TAAGGCGTGCGGCGGTATATATAGCGTAATAATATTATTCTTCTTATAAAGCTCTTTAAATTCGAGCGAGTTATAGCTTTTATAACTATCTAAAATAAGTAAGTAATATACGCCTACGGTGCAGTTCTTTATATACGTATTAAAATATTGCAGCTATATAATACTAAGCTTATTTATTATCCAGCTATTATCGCTTACTACTATAGCCTAGTCTAGCGGTATATTACTGCCCTTATACTATATAAAAAGGTAGTACTTGCCCGCAAGGATAATAAATAGCGGGATTGCCTATCTATATACGTTAATAGCCTTAATTATAGTAGCCTACTTGCGATTACCTAGTTATATAGCTTTTAGTTAATTTTATCTCTTAGAGCCTGTAATAACTACTCCTATTAAGATAACACCTATCTAGAAGCCGGTTTTATTAAAGTTATAGAAGTTATTATCTATAATACTATACTTTGCCTTTATATTACGTATAAGCTTAAACTACAGCGTAATAATCCTTAGATCTTTATATAAAGCTCTCTAGTAATTATACTTTTAATTAAACTATATTTAAAGCTTATTAGTCCGCTTAACAAAGTTATATAGCCAGTTCTTACTAACCTGGCCGGCACCGCGCTCTCTAAGTAACTTATTGGCTATATCTCTTACAGCGTTTAAGCTAGGCGTAAACCCTTGCGAATCCAGATCGAGTACATGTTCAATAATAACTGATTCCTCTAGCTTTGCAAGCTTTTTTGAATTGGGCTCACAATCGCGTTAAGCGGTGGTTCCGGCGCGTCGGTCTTGGAGCGTGCTTCTAGGGACGTTGTACGTTGCAACAGCGCGTCGTTCGCTTTGAAGTTAATTCTTATCAATTGCTAAGATAGCTAGGCAGATTCGGCCTTCTTTTTGGATTAATTGTATATTGCGTTGTTAAGACATAGTGGTTGAAAGCTAACGGAGCGCGTTTTAGTAATAAGGTGGCCGGCTCGCTTAGGTGGCCGGCTCGCTTATATTGCACGTTATAATATAGCAAAGTTATACAGGCTAATTATACTACTAGAAATAGTAGGTAAGCTGCTTAAACGTATTATAGCACGAAAACTATCTAAAATAGCAGAAAAGAAAGGCATGCTCCTACTAAGCTAAATAGGCGTAAGGCCTAAATAATTTATATAGATAGTACTAGAACTTTTTATAGAATAAATATAAACTATATAAAAGGGCAACTTTTACCTTATTACCTTTCTTTTTAGCCTAGATATTTTAGGGGCCTTTAATAGAGTATTTTATAAAAAAATAATATATAACCTATAGGTCTAATATATACTAGAATAGATAGTTTAATTTATAGAATTATTTCTATAGAACCGAACTATAAAACTTTCTATTAGAAGATATATTACTAAAACTATTCTAGTTAATACAGGTATACTATAAGAATTCTTACTTTTACTAATTTTATTTTTATTTTTTATAAGCACGCTCCTACCGGTACTATAAAAAGGTAATATAATAGCCTATAGGTTTATAAACAACACTAATATTTTTATATTTAGCAGAAGTATAGAAGAAAACTATAGAGTAATTAAAAGTGCGTATATATAGTATATAAAGTAGGCGAAAAAGCATAGTATAGTATTCGCCCTAAATAAGTATTACCTTATATATTTTATAAGGCGCTGTTTAAATACGGTAAATATAAAGGCTATAGTAAATATCTAGGGCTTTATAGAAGGCCTAATTATAGAGCTCCGTGTGCTTAGAGTTTAGGTAGACTTTAAACTTAAATAGGGCCTATATATACGTATTATAAAGGAAAAGGCTATAGTATAAATAGAAGCCCTTATATAGCTAATAGTATTAATATAGAGTATAAGCTTCTAAAAAGCATAGTATATATACTTAGTAGTTATTAGGCCGGTTCTTATATATAGGTGTACTACCTAGTTTCTAACGCTAGGTATAAAAAAATAGATTAGTAAAGCAAAGATTAAATAACTTAAAATAGCCTAGAACTACTCTCTCTATACTATTACAGGGGCGTATAAAATAATAGATATTAAAACGCTTAAATATAAAACCTTTTACCCCTTTCTAAGGCTTAAGCTAGAGGAACTTATAGTAGTATATATAGACCGTATACGCGCAGGCTAGGCTAGAGAGTATATTAAAACCACGTGCTATACTATTAGAAATACTATTAGGAGATACTATAAGCCTAGGAAAATACCTAAATATAAGCTAAGCCGGTATAATATACTAAAAAGGCTTGCAGTTAAAGCTATAGCACTAGCCCTAAAGTATAAAGGGTAGTTAAATAACTTATATAAGCTTTTAAAATAAGGAGTAATATAGGAAGTATATAAGGAAAGGTAGAGAAATAAATAGAAGGCCTATAGAAAGAAATAAAGGGGCTCTTCTACGCCGGCCCTTAATATAAAATAGAATAAAAATTAGGCAACTAAATACTATAAGCTTATAAAAGTAGAAAGCTTAATTATTACGCTTTTATAAATAGAATATATAGGGCTTAATATATACCTGCACTATATAAGGGTGCCTAATTACCTTTTACCTATATACTCCTGCAGGTATATACTATAGTCTCTAAAGTATATAGTAATATACTATAAATAATACTATAATAGTAGAGGTAATATATTTTTTAAGGCTAGAATAAAAATATATATATAGCTGTATAAAGACTATAAGGGAAATAAGGCTGTTTTGCAATAGTTCCTGCACTAGATAGACCTCCTACCCTACTTCTCTATAGCTAGAGAGATGGCAACGGAAAAGCTGGCTATACAGCCAGCCGACTCGTATAGCCACGCCCTAAGAATAGAACTACACGCACGCACGCATATTATATAACCACAGGTACGCCCGCAACAGGGCAACCCCCCCAATTTCCTATTGTCCTTTAATTTAATACCTCGGCTTTTGAGAAAAAAGGGCACGCGCGTACGGTAAGGGCACGCGCGCCCTAACGCGGACCCCGGACCTTACTAACCTTCTGGACACCGTACAACCCTGGAACCTAGGGCCTACGGACACCGGATCGATCCTAGAGAATGCATTAAAATGGCTTACTCCGTGGTGATGCTTATAGAGCTGCCACGCGTCCCCTACAGCCGCGCAGAAACAAAAGGAACGTAAGGCGTTATACACTGTAGAAAACAAGGTTTTCACCCGACCGCTATAGAGCCAACGGTTTCCCCTGGTAAATAAAACCTAGATAGCACTGCCGCATAAACCCTAACAGGAGCTAAATCGGCCTAATAGAACCTAATAATAATAATAATAATATTGCTAGCTAGTTTAAATATATTACTAACTGCTAGTATACTAACAGACTTTATAGTAATAGAAATAGAGGCAAAAAGTAGGTAAATAAGGCCTAATCTAGGGCCTATAGAGGGCTTAGAATAGGTGGATTAATAGCTATAATACCTCTAGCAGCGTATATTAATTACCTCTATATAGTAAGTTTCCACAGCCTTAAATTATTAAAATCTATCTATTTCTTATTACTAATACAGACGCAGGAAGAGCGGCAGATAGATCTTTAGTATAGCTATAGCAAAACTTAGTCTGCAGCTCTTATAAACCGGATAAGGCCCGCAAAGCCTTAAAGTCTATATTTCCTAGCTTCCTCCTATATAGCAGCTCGCCTACAACTCTACATGCATATATATCACAAATTTAGCTCGATTTGCACCTGTTAAGCGCCTCCAGGAGGGCCTTACAGGGGCCTATCTATTGGAAATACACCGCAGGAGCCCTAGCGCAGTGAATTGAGCTCAGTAGCTGCATAGGAACTTCTATAAGGAAGCTTCTATACACATCGGCGGTGTGCGTACAAGCTGCAGGTCACGTGCGGGCCTACACGTGAGCTGGAGGCCTTAACACCACGGCCAAGGCCTGTATATATTTGTGCAATGTTGGAAAACGCCACGGAGACGTCGATAGGCCTGCGCGATGCCGATTGAGGCCTGGTAACTGGCTATCAGGCCTTAATTGGTATAGAGTAGGCCCGCTGGCGTCTCCGTGGCGTTTTTCAGGCATTGTAGATTGTACAGGGGTGATTTGCAGGCATCATAGACTATTGCCCGACGCCTTACCCCGCCACCCTGCACGAAACATAAAATACACAGGGTCCTGCCCAGTGGGTCTTCCTTGTCTAGCTCCGCATACGCCCTCTCAGGCGTGTCAGACGCTTCTTCCGCATCAAGCGGCTTGTGCTTCGACCGCCCCTGCGCCGATCCCAGGGTAATTTTGGGCGAGGCGAAGCAAGGGTATGCAGTGTGGCTTCAGGCGTCCATAAGCAGAACCAGGGCCTGCAAAGCTTGGGAATGTGAGACGTGAGATGCTAAGACAGACGGCGTCGGTCGGCCGGCTGATATGGAATCTTTTATATCCGCTTTTAGCTCTTGCTTGGGAGCGAGGTGAGAGGCAGGGATCGAGCGCGGAGTGTGACGAGAAGCTGTAGATTCCATAATGCTGTAGTTAGGAAAGGTTTCGGATTGAGGATGTTGCGTGTGTTGTAGAAGTGTGTACAGGCCCAACCCCGTGTGCGAACAACTTGCTATCAGCGGTACCCTAGAGAGGTAACGGGGCATATGGGGTTTGGCGACTACCCTGGGGCTGGAACGTGGGGAGGTGTGGTTGGTTGCTCGGTCCTGTTTTTGTGACCTTAGGTAAAATGGACTGCGCCGCACCGCGAGGTTAGATGGGTCTATCTTTAGGAGCGGTTTAGGCTTCCATCTTGGGCAACAGCTGAACGGTATGGACGGAGGAGTTCTGGGAAATTCGGCACGTGAGCTGCACGTGATGTGGTGGTGAAGGCATTGAGCAGAATTCGACTTTGGTAAGTGGAAGCGATTTTCACTATTGAACCTTTCAGCATTATAGAGATAAATTCGTATGTCTTCAAATATTCGTATGGTAATATATGTACGCTAGAAGGTACACTACAACAAGAAACCATAATTATAACTCCAAATGGCTATGCAATATGCAATATGCAAATGAGTACGCCAGTAAATGCAATGGCTCCAAAGCTTCAACAAACTACCTTATCGGCGAAATTACCACATTCTCCAAAAGCGTCAACACACTTGCATCCCAACTCTGCGTCTCGCCCTTCTGGATTTGATACAGCTCCTTAAACGCGCTCTCCTTCGATAACAGCCTCTGTGGCGAATCGTATTCCACCAGCTTTCCCCGATTCAATATCGCGACGGCGTCAAAATCAATGATAGTGTCCAGTCGATGCGCGGCCGCAATGATAGTGCAGTGCGCAAACTCGGTTCGGATGAGCCGCTGCATGAGGGCATCAGTGTTAACATCCACACTCGCAGTCGCCTCGTCGAGGACTAGAATGCTGCCTTTGCGCACCATGGCGCGAGCAAGGCAGAGGAGCTGGCATTGGCCGTGGGAGAGCATGTCGGATGTGAGCTTATCGTCCAACCAGCTCTCCATGAGGATGTGGCTGAGCTCGACTTTCTCCAAGGCAGCAACGATTTCTTGGTCGGAGCAGACATGGAGCGGGTCGACGTTGTCACGGATAGAGCCGGAGAGAACGTAGGGGTCTTGTGGGAGTGCGATGATGCGGCTGCGGACGTCTTGTCGTGGGAGGTCTGAGATGTCGACGCCATCGATGAGGATTTTGCCGTGAGAGAGATCGAGGAGACGGAGAAGCGAGGCAATCAGACTGCTTTTTCCGCTGCCGCTACGGCCGCAGAGTGCAATCTTAGTCCCCGGGGCGATGTTAAGATTGACGTTATCGAGCGTAGGTCGGGAGGCTCCTTGGTGAGAGGCAGTGATGTTCTGGAACTCGATCGCACCGTACATTGGCCACTGGTCTGGTGGGCTGTGGTTCTCATGTGGAAGATTCTCGGACTTAACTTCTTCAGTGAAGCTTCGGACTCTTGCAAGCGCGCCCATGGATGTCTCTAGCAAAGTCCAATTCGTGATCAATTGCTTCAACATTTGAGAGAACCCCACAAGATTCGCGAGAGCGAGGCCAATGAGGCCCGGGTCACTACTAGCCCCCTTTGTCCCAACGGCAATGATGACTAGAATGACTGCAATTGTGCCCACTATCAAATCCAAGACCAGGTTGAGCCATCGTTGGATGCAGTAAAGTAGGTAAAAAGGCTTCTGAGATCTTGCGAGCGCTTCCAAGAAGCGAGTAAGATGCTGTCGCTCCCACTGGTAGGCTCGAATGGTGACGAGGCCACTTAGTAGCTCAAGGAAATGCGTGAAGAGATGTGCCTTGGTTTCAATGTCCAAAAGGCGGAGACGTCGGCTAGTACGGAGGTAGAACTTCTGCACCATGTAGACTACTACAAGGCAGAATGGCATCGCTGCACCGATGTACTTTGAAGCTGTCACGATGACCAGGAGCTGGGCGATGAGAACGAATGCCATCATAGCGGTCCGGACTAAGGAAACTGGCAGTTCCATGTCGATGAGTTCGAGGTCTTGGCTGAATCGATTGGTCGTGACTCCGGTGTCTGTTGCTGCGAAAAAACTCATGGGGGCGTTGAGCACAGTATCCAGAAGCCTTTGATGTAGCTTGCGGCCAGATTCCGGAACCATCTTCATGATGAGGATCGAGCAAGCGAGAACGAGAGAGGAAATTGCCAGAACGCCCAGCATTGCGTAAATGGATAGATAGTACGTGATTCTCGTGTTAGGATGCTCGGTGTTGTATTTTGCCCACCATTTCACCCATAGATCTACACAAGCTTGTTAGTATTGTCTTCATGAAACGCAGGAGAGGAAACTTACTTGGGAATGCTGTTCCAAATCCATATAGGGCGCAGAAGAAGCAGAAGATGACCCAACGAGTCCACCCAAAGGTGTGGATGTAATATTTATAGATGGTGAGATCACCGGCCGCAGTCGAGTCTTCTACCGTGGTCAATTCTTTTTCCACCTTTTGAGTTGCTCCAAATCCCTTCAAAGTCTCCTTCTTCTCATCCTTTTCTTGCCTGTATATCGAGTGGTCCGACAAGGAAGAGCATAAGCTTCTAACGTAGCCATGGTGAAGATACAGCTCTTCGAAGGTACCTTGCTCCCCGATGGTGCCTTTGGAGTCAAGAGCGATGATGTGATCAGCTTGGGAAAGACGATGCACGGAGTTGGTGACCAAGATGATAGTTGTGTCCGTCTTCCTTAGAAGACCCTTATCGCCTAGAATCGATTCGAAGACTTGCTCTTCAGTAGAGGCGTCCAGTCCACTCAATGAATCGTCAAACATGACGAGACTCTTACGGAAGTAAAGCGCTCTGGCCATGGTCACACGAGCTTGCTGTCCGCCGGATAAGGAGAGGCCCTTGCTTCCAACAACTGTATCATCCCCAAGTGGCATTTGTGAGAGATCTGTCTCAAGGTCGCAAGCCTGTAGTACAGTGTTGTACCAACTACGGTCGTAGTATGTGTCGTGGATAATATTTTCTTTTACAGTTCCGTTGACCAGCCAGGGATTTTGAGCACAATAGGCTATTTCGTTTGAGAAGGATCGGTAGAACCCTTGAGCTGTAGGCATCTCTCCCAAGAGGGCCTTCAAAAGCGTTGATTTGCCGCTGCTCACAGGACCGACGATCATTACGAGACTTCCTTCTTTGATAGTAAAGTTCAGGCCACGAAGAGATGGTGGTTTGGCTAAGTCCCATCCACAACTGGCGTTGTGAGCAACGATACAGTCTTTCTTATTTGAGAACGTAGAGTTGCTCGAGATGCGTGAGAGATTGATTGTGGTTTCATCGATCGATTTCCTGTTTGGGAAAGTATTGAAGCGTGGCGAACGAGAAGAATCCCTTGAAAATCTCTTTGCTAAATTGTTGAAAGGCGGAGAAGGAGAAGAGTCTCTTGATATTCTGCCCCGGAATGACTTAAAATGTGCCGGCGAAACGCTTCGAGATACTGTTCCGCGTAATGTGTTTGGTGGAGCAAGGGTGTCATTATCTCTTGATCTCCTAGTATTGAACGTGGAGTAAGGTGTAAGATCTTCATCTTCCTCTTCCTGGAAAGTTGTGTACCGAGAGATACGTGAAAACCCGTCGTCCTCTGAATGGCGTTCGTCAACCTCGGGGTGATCCAGGAACCGTTTCTCTTCCTCAGCCTCAGCGGCAAAGTCGAACTCCTCAGCCGCAGGGCGTTCTATAGGCTTGATGGAAGAGCCTCCCGCCTTTTCGTCGATGTTGAGGTAAATTCGAATCCGCTCGAAGCAACCCATAGCTGTGATGAGCCCTGAAAGGGAGGTGATGAAAAAGGCTACCGGCTCCATAAGAAGCTGGAGCAACACCAGAGAAGTGAGGGCGCGGGACGTGTCCAAAGGAGCATAACCTTGGTATTTTGCCAGCATGATGTACGTTCCTAGTGCAAACACGGGGCTCAAGGAAGTGCTGGTAAAAGATAGCGCGACAATCCTCACTAACAAGGCGCGAAACCGTCTAGAGGTTGTGATCTCCTTTTCACGAAGATTGCGGATCTGGTTAGCCAAGTGAGGGGTAAGGCCAGTCATCTTGATACCCTTCATCGCTCCTAACATGGAAGCGGTTGCGTCGATTCTTGTCTGGATACGGTCGAGCCACGCTTTTTGTGCATTAGCGAGCTTAGGAGAAGCTCCTATCGCGGCACCAGTACAAGCAAAGATGACCCCGAGCGGCACTAGAGCCGCCCACCGAATTTGTCTATAGAGAAGCCAGACGGAAAGGGCTATTTCGAACAGACTAGCCCACAGTTCGTGGACCTGGCGAAGACCCGCGGTTATACGCTCAACGTCCGCGTTCATCAAAGTGACTGCTTCCGACTCTTTCAGTGCCGATGAGCTGAGCGTCAACGTTTTGCGGTACAGAAGGCCAACCAGAGTACCACGTAGCTTCGCGATGCTCCGGTAGGTTCGGTGTTGGTGAAGACCGCCGGCAGTAGCATACCCAGAGTAGACAAGGACATATGCGGCGATGAGGCCATACCCGACTGCTTTGCGGTTTGCATAGTCGTGCTTGGTCAAGTAGCTCAGGACGCGCTCGAGAAGGAAGGGTTGACTGAAGTTAAATCCAGTAGCACACATCCTGGGTAAGATTGCGGACGCAAAGGTTCGCCAATGATGCCGAACGGCAATGAAGAACAAGCCATTGGGTCGGGTTTTATAAGGCGCTAGATACGTCAGCGGATGAAGTGTTAGAGAAAGCAAAAATTCTTACATGTCTCCCACTTCTCGAATAAACCAAGGAGTTCTTTCTCTCCAACAAGTGCTGGCTGGAGCTCAAAGAGCCCACTCTCTTGAAGAGGGGTTCGGTATCCTCTGAGAAGCATGGGGTTTATCCACCAGAAGGTCAGGCGACTGAAGAAGCCACTTGTAGCCTCCGGTGAACTCTCCTTCACGATCAGCCATGCCTGCTTTCCCTTGAGCTCAAGACCAAGGAGAAAGACCTTGATCAATGTTGCTATCAGAAGCATGATAGCGAGTGGCCGAGCGCCATTTGTAGCCCAAAGTGTACGTGTTCGAGCTGCATCGAAAACGGCAGAAACGGTAAGGTATGTGGTGATAATTGTCGAAGGTCTAAGGCTCCGGTAGTGTTCGAAGTGCGACACCAATCCAAGCATGCCGGTCGCTATGATGCTGAATACTGTGCATGCTACTTTCGCTCTCGTTTTGACAGTTTCGGGCATCGCCATTGCACCTAATGAAATGAGCTGGACTGCTCCATAGAGCAGATAACCAGACTGGATTAAGTCAGTAAAGCTGAAGGGGAGATGTTGAGTTTTAGATTCTAGATTCTTACCTGCTTCGCAAAATGCCATCTTCGGCCACTTGCTTTTATGCTGGCCTTGTGTAGTTTGTACAGTCGGAGGAAAAGAAATGGCAACGCGACGATGAAGGGTATTATAGAAAGGAAAACCTCCTCGAAGAACAAGGTAAAATCAAATCCGCCATAGCAGTGGGGATTAGCAGGCCCAAAGGCTTTCTGTGTATCTATTGAACATGATGACGCCATCGAAAGTAGACAAAAGGAAAATAACGACAAAAAGGATAGGAAAGTCAAAGGTTTGAGATGCAGTAGGAGATTGAATGTACAGTTGAGGGCTGTGAATTAGCAGTTGGCCATGTCGATATTAGTGGGATGACTGCAACGATCGGAATGATCCATTCTTGGTGTCTCTAAGCCGGATGCTGCGCAGCACATTTGTCCGCAAGTCTCTGTACCTAGGTTGTAGGCTGGAGAGGCTGAGTTCAAAATTGGGTAGTAGAAAGACTCCGACTATCCCGAAGATCCGTTTCCTGCAATTGGACTAGAGGCCAGTGACAGCGCTGACGAGACCCACAGAGTCGACCATGTACAGCCCCCTGCGACGGCCGTCTTCTAGAAGGGTAATACAAGACGGTAAGATTCATTCCGTGGGTATTTTTAGGCCGCCTCGCTCGCTAGACGTGCGGTGCTATGTATTGCGGTGTGGAGCTCCAGCGGCTCAGCGGTACCCTGCAACGTCTGCGCCTCCCTGCATGCCACGTGGCGCCTAGCGACGGTGAGCGAGGGCCATATTACAAGGTCTGCAATGCTTGTCCAGCGGTCCCTGCGTGAGTGATGGGGTGGGTGACCGTTGAGCTGGGAGGACGATGGATGCAGAAGGATGAAAGTGGGAGCTCCGCTGAGACGGTCCCTGTGCCCCGATACCCAAAGCGGATGCCGTCACGTGCGAGACATCAATCATTTAGCCAGACTTTCATGCGTCGGTTGATCGTAGGTATTGTCAGACTATACGAGCGGGCGGCACGCTCAACGTACTCGAGGTTTTTGGTGATTAGTCTCGGATGTTTTGCCCTGCTAAATAAAGAACATATCTTCAACGTTTCTGTAGGTCGATCTCGTGAAGGACCTGCCGAGCAGACGGGTCCGGGCCATCTAGCGAACGAGCATCAAAGAAGCGAATGCCGCTGTGCTTCAGAATGTGCTGCTCGTACTTCTTCTTGATATCGAGATCCGTGATCGGCTGGTGACTTTCTTTCTCGACCCACCCATGATACGGTACACCCTCAGCGCTTTGATATTCAATGAGTCCCATCATCCAGGCCATCTCGATATGGCCTTCCAAAGAAAGTTCCCCATGAGCTTCCATTTGCCATCGAGTGCAAGAGATGTTCACTTTTCTGGGTGCTTTTTCGTAAATATTTGCACATTTCTCTGCTAGTATTTGCGGTGCTTCGAAGCATGAATAAGGATTTGATTCCATGGGGTGTGCGACTAATTCCTGTACACCTGACTGTTGGAAGATATCAATCTGACGCTCTTGGCCACGCGACTTCCGGATCTACTGGTCACGTGCAGGCCTCTGTAATACATATGGGCTCAGCCCCTTCAGTAGAATACAATCAAGGATTCACTTCCACACTGACTACCACTGCCTGAGGTCGCCCAGCCAGCTTCCTGATTCCTTCAAATTATGAGCTTCTTTGATTTCATATCCCTAAAGATATATGAAGGCACTATTCTATGACGGCGCGAGGAAAGTCTACACAGATTCAAGATGAAGCATTTCGAATAACAGTTAAAAGTAATCCAATATAATTCAATTACGCTGTGCTTCAGGTTCAAAGTGGTATCTATGTATATACATACACGCGCAACAATGTAAATTATCGAGAAGAGCAAGCCAAGCCCTAAGACGAAGCAGAGCGAAACTGGAGCAGGGGCCCATCTTTCGACATCGTGATATGATCCCGAAGCTGGAATTCGTCTAGACGGTGCCTCCCATACTCCGCTCCCACACTGCCTCCGGACTTGTCGCCCGCTGCAGTGCTGAAGTCCAACCTGTACAGAACAACCGCCATCGTGAGCATCATCTCGACCAACGCAACGCCCTTTCCGATGCAGCCTCTTGGGCCTGTTGAGAACGGGACGAATGCGGAGGTTTGATCGATAGCTTGCTGTGTGGAGGCCTCCTTCTCGACGAGCCATCGGTCAGGGTTGTACTTGAACGGATCTGCGAAGTAGTCTTCCTTGTGGTGGATGCTGTAGATGGGTACGCCCACTTCGCAGCCTCCGGGAATGAACTCGCCATTGACGACAGCACCGCCAGCTGGAACTTCGCGGGAAAGGGCGAGGCCGACAGAGGGAGACATGCGCATTGCCTCATCAATACAGGCACGGAGGTAGCGGCAGCTGCTAAGCTTAGCACCACCTTTAATATCGTCTTTGCTGTCAAAGGTAGAGCGAATTTCCGCGGCAGCGCGGGCATAGGAATCTGAATTGCGGCTCAAGTAGAAAAAGACGGAAGTCATGGCGGTGGCAACGGTGTCAGCGCCAGCAACCACGAGAGTTGTGCTCTCAGCAATTATTTCCGTGTTGTTGAAGCCGAGGCCGGTCTCAGGGTCTTTGGCATCTGAGAGGATTTGGAAGAGATCCTTGCGAGCTGTCCGGTCGTTCCTTTTGGTGTCTCTAAGAAGCTTGCCGACGAAGCCGATGAATGCGTTCCTAGCAGCGATAGCTTGGGGGAACAGGACTTTATCGAGGCGGAACATCTTCAGGATTGGTGCTTGCAGAATGGAACTGACACGGATATTCGACGTTTCAATGACCTTTACAACGTATCGGTAAGTTGGCCGTTCGAGCATGTTGTATTTGCCTTGGAAAATCAAAGAGGTCATGATGTCGAAGGCCAGATAGTTGCACCACTCCGACATGTTCCGTGTCGGGTTCCAGGCCTTTTCAACACTTGAGTTTTCTGCCTCCTCTTCGACAGTCTGAAGCATGCGATCGCAGAATCGGTTGATGATTTCAAGCATAGCAGGCTCGAAGTTGCGGATGACAGCATCGGAAAGACCCTGGCTGATGACTCGTCTGCGGCGGCCGTGGTCTTTCTTCTCTCTGACGGTGAGAGTGTTGAGGGCTTGGTGGACCATAGCGGAATAGTTCTTGCTCTTTAGAAAGTTCTTGTTTTGCGAATAGATATCTAAACGATGATCAGTATGTGAAGCTGGAAGCTAAGGTAGGCAGCTTACCCTTGATACCCGTAGCAGTGTTTACATTCAAGCGATTTGGGGCATAGCGAACGAAGTCGCCATACTTCTGGTGGCATCGCCACATGTCGATGTGGATGTCCCCTTTCCATGCATGATAACCAGCGTAAAGATCGGTGAACCTGGCCAGAAAGGGGCCTGGATGCTTGGACAAAGGGTGGAAATAGATAGAGTAGATGATCTTAACGAAAATCTAAAGGCACATGTCAGTCTGTATGACAAAGTCTATATTACTGGAGAAGACATACGTAGAGAGCGAGGCCAAGCCCCACCAACGAGCACGCTGCAACCAGACTATGACTTGAAGCCAAACGAAGTGCCTTGGTGATGTGAATGGCCGTAGCCGTTGGGGGAACTACAGCGAATGGGGTCGTCATCGTGACGCGAATGAGACGAAGAGGAAATAGATAGGTGTGCTAAGGAGATGAACTTTAAAAGAGAATATTGAACTGAACCAAGGAGATGGACAGAAAAACTAAAAGTAGATAGAAATGAGAACGAAGGAGATGGACTAGAAAAGCTTCTACATTCTTTACACTAGAATATATACGATCCATCATCTCCGCAGCAATCTAGCCTAAGTCACGGACTGCTAGTCCACTACCCACACCCCTCAATCTAATCATGGGCTATGGGTGACTGAGAGAAAGGAAGACTCCGGCTGCCACGGCTCCAGCCTCAGAGACACTGCCACCTTCCAGCCTTCAATCTCCTGATCAGTGCTGGATTACAGGCCATTGAAGACATTTCGGCAAGCTCCCGATGCGTTTGTAGACGGGACTATGCTGCGGTGATTCTAAATCGGTCAGTAGCAGACCAGGGCGAGCCTAGTGCAATGACAGCAGGTACCCTACAATTGTGACGACCTGGAACGAGGCCAATGGGGAGATAGGGCTGGGAAGACGACTGATGCGTGCATTGTCGTTTCAGAGAGTCGGTGAGGTAAGCCCGTAACTTTACAAGACTATTCTAGCTTAGCGTCTACACCGGCCCACCGGGCAGGGCCCTGTCGCTATCTCAGTAGCGGTACAACACACGTTCGATCTGCGGGCGGGGTCCCTCCAGCTGCCAGCTCGCTACATACCTCGCCACCTCGCTACAAGCCCGTCTCACTCAGCCGTTTGAGTGCTGAGTCCAGGAAATCAAGCCACCGAATGTGGGCCTGTGCTGAACGCTAAGCATTTAGAGCTGCACGTTCACCATGCCTTCCCCTCGGGGCTGTACCGGCCGTTGAGGGGTTGGAAATGAGGACGCTACTGTGCTGCGGTCTGCTACATTTCCAATTTTGTAGAAGCTCGACTTTGAAACAAGGTGCTACTGGACTTCAGCCCGAGATTATCATCATATTATACCAGAGTCATTAGCTTCCATTTTTATTTGTATCATCTACCTTTCCAGTGTCTTCCATTCGTCGCTCTAATACATCATCTCTCTACCTTATTTTCGGGTTGTGTTTGAAACCTTATCTTTTTCCTTTCAACCTTTAATTGATCATCACACGACAAACGCTGTCCAAAGGTTCTGAACCCGATCATTAGTCTCCGCAAAGATGGACGCCCATTCAAGCCCGTCGAAGCAACAAGAGCTGTGTCACACTCTGCTCATAGAACTCCTCGCGTTTGTCTCTTAGTCCAACTTCGTGCAATATCTACTAATGCATTAGCCTAAAGACACCAGTTCTGCTCACCTGTGCGATGGACCGAGACGCAGGACCTGCTTCTGCACGACTTCAAGACCAAGAAGACTGTCGAAATCGGGCCATCAGACACCCTTACAACGATGATGAAGAGAACTCATGATCTCACGTACCGACCTTTCGATACCGCCAACTCTGTATCTCGAAATTTTCTGTCCCTCAAGCGTAATAAGCAGGATGTCTGTTTTCAAAAGGAGCGAACGACGACCCCGGCAAAGAAGGCAAAGGTGGTCAACACGAAGGCTGAGGTGTCAAAGCCTACTGTGGCCTCAACACCACCTATATCGTCAACACCACCTGCGGCAGTGGCCGTTAGTCCCATTGAAGATGCTCCTGTGTCTGCTGCAGATATAATCATAACCATCGTTTCAGTTGCCTTGAAGAAGAGCCCGAAAGATCTGGCTCTCGACAGTTCTGTCAAGGCCCTTTCTCGAGGTACGGCCTTGAACCTAGCGGCTGAGATTTGTATAACTGACTCTAAGCAGGACGATCTACTCTGCAAAATGAAATCACAGGCGACCTGGACACCGAGTTTGGGTCCGCACCTGATGGCGCAGAGGACATTCCTCTGAAAGAACTCGCCGCCATGCTTCAGAAGTCTTTTACTGGGCAGCTAGGACGGCGGACGAAGTCCATGGTCGACAAACTTTTCACATCCAAGATGCCAGGTGGATTCAACTTGACGAAAGTGCGAAGCATGCTTGAACATGAGTATGGATTTGGCGCAGGAAGACAGGACTGTATTCTTCTTTCCTCCCTCCAGACTGCACCAGCAGCCCGTCTTGACTCCGAAGACAAAGCCAGAGAATATTGGTCCAGTACCGTGCAGATTTACATATCCGCTGCCGGTATTCAAGTCCAAAAGGCTGCGATATCTTCTGGTGCCGCTGGTGCTGCTGTCAACATCGACCCCAAGGCGCTAGAAGCCTTGACAAAACGCAATGACGACTTCAACCGAGAGATCTACGAAGCCTATGCCAAGCACGTCGGCGATAAATCTGGACCTAGTTCTGACGAGCTTGCAAGAATCCGGAACGACTTAAAAGACCTCCAGAGTGAACTTGATCTATGGAATCTGGAACACGGCAATGACTACGCGACTGGTATCAAACCACTGTTCGACCGTCGTAAGGCTCGGCAATACGACTCGTACTGGAATTGGGCAGTACAGGACCTCTTCCAGATTTACCATGGCATCCGCCAAGGTAGCATTCATATCAACGACGAAGATCTGGTTCCCCGCCGACAAGCTTTGCTCAATAAATCATGTGCGCGCTTGAACTCCGCTCTCACTCACATGTTGGCTGAGATAAAGGCTGAGAAATCACAACCAGTGGAAGTAACGAGCTGGTTCGCGGAACTTCTCGCGGACTGTAAAATGGCTCTCCATCGATCACCAGCCTTTATTGCGTCTGCGAAGCTCACAAAGCCAAGAACTACCATCGATATCAACGGGGTGATACAGTTCGTTGAGGAACCGGTTGCGCGCGTACAGGCGTGTGAGGAGCAAGCCCTGAAAGAAATCATCGTTGATAAAGACGCAAATGGGGAGATTACCAATATCAGCGTCAACATACGTACCCATAATCTCGACGTGCCGGCATCAGATACCTCATCAGTTACTGAAGTAGCCACTCCTGGCCTTCGCTACACTTCCCTCCCGAAAATACAGAAGAAGGCTGGAGGATCATGGAGGGACTCCATGCCTTTGACAGACGAGTTCGCAACGGCTCTAAATCAGTCAACTTCAAAAGGATTGGAGTTCTCCGGAAAGAACGTTCTCATCACTGGAGCCGGAAAGGACTCCATTGGTTCAAAGATCTTACAAGGGCTTCTCTCTGGAGGCGCCAGGGTCGTAGTTACCACGAGCTCATACTCGAGAAAGACCACCATCCATTACCAAGAGATGTTCTCTAGATTTGGATCCAAAGGCTCCAGCCTGCTGGTCGTGCCGTTCAACCAAGGCAGCCAGCAAGATACGGAAGCCCTTATCGAATATATCTATAGTATAAACGACTCGGAATGGGATCTAGACCACGTTGTTCCATTCGCAGCTATCTCGGAGTTCTCTAACGGGGTTGAGCTTGGTTCGAAATCAGAACTGGCTCATAGAATGATGCTCACAAATACTCTGAGGCTACTCGGAGCGATTAAGACGGCTAAAGAGGCTCGTCGGATTGACACTAGACCTGCGCAAGTTATCCTTCCTCTATCGCCCAACCACGGCGTATTCGGAGGCGACGGGCTCTACTCGGAATCGAAGCTTGGTCTCGAAGGACTTCTGAACAAATGGCACACGGAAGATTGGTCCGACTACCTATCCATCTGCGGCGCTGTCATTGGATGGACTCGTGGCACTAAACTTATGAACGACAACGACATCGTAGCCGAAGGCGTTGAAGGCCTGGGTGTAAAGACCTTCTCACAAGCTGAGATGGCTTTGAATATCCTGGGCTTGATGACTTCGCCGCTTCTTCACATTTGCCAGACTGAGCCGCTCCTTGCGGACCTCAGCGGGGGCATGAGCTCGTTTCCGAACCTCAAGGAAGAAGTCGCCATCATCCGCTCGGAAATCAAAGACATCAGCGCCAGCCGACGTACTATGGCTCGTGAACTCCAGGCAGAACACGGTGTCTCATCTCCGGCAAGTAGTCAGTTCCCTGCTTTCACGCAGCGAGCCAACATCAAGTTCGATTTTCCCAAACTTCCTGACTTTTCTTCAGAGGTCGAACAGCTCTCTCAGCTAGAAGGCATGATCGACCTCGAAAAGGTCGTGGTCGTATGCGGCTACGGGGAAGTCGGACCACATGGCAGCTCTCGCACTCGATGGCAAATGGAAGCTCATGGGGAACTTTCTTTGGAAGGCCATATCGAGATGGCCTGGATGATGGGACTCATTGAATATCAAAGCGCTGAGGGTGTACCGTATCATGGGTGGGTCGAGAAAGAAAGTCACCAGCCGATCACGGATCTCGATATCAAGAAGAAGTACGAGCAGCACATTCTGAAGCACAGCGGCATTCGCTTCTTTGATGCTCGTTCGCTAGATGGCCCGGACCCGTCTGCTCGGCAGGTCCTTCACGAGATCGACCTACAGGCTGATTTCGCGCCTTTCGAGGTTTCCAACGATACCGCCACAGACCTGATCAGGGAGCACGGAAACAAGATTACAATCACCGACGTTGAGGACCACTGCGTTGCAGTTCTCAAGAAGGGTGCCCGTCTCATGGTCCCTAAGGCTTTGGTTTTCGACCGCACCGTTGGAGGCCAGGTTCCTACCGGGTGGTCTGCAAGAACATACGGTATTGCTGAGGATATTATTAACCAAGTTGATCCTGCAACACTATATGCTTTAGTGTGCACCGCTGAGGCTTTGTTGACCGCCGGTATTACCGACCCCTATGAATTTTATAAGTACATCCACGTTTCTCAGCTCGGTGTCGCTGTCGGATCCGGCTATGGTGGAGCTGCATCGTTGCAGGGTATCTACAAAGAGCGATTTCTGGATAGACCTATTCAAAATGATGTGCTGGCTGAGTCCTTCATTAATACCGGCAGTGCATGGATCAATATGCTTCTGCTCTCCTCCTCCGGACCCAACATCACGCCCGTTGGCGCGTGTGCAACCGCACTAGAGTCACTTGACGTGGGCTTCGAGCTCATTTCCAGCGGCAAAGCGAAAGCTGTACTTGTTGGTGGCTACGATTACTTAGCTAAAGATGTTGCGTACGAGTTCGCCAATATGAAGGCAACCATCAGCAGCGATGCAGACATGGCCCGCGGCAGGGATCCTCAGGAGATGTCTCGACCTGCCACTTCAACTAGGGGCGGGTTTGTTGAGTCTGAAGGCTGCGGCATCCAGGTTCTCACCACCGCAAAGCTCGCTCTTGAAATGGGTTTGCCGATTCACGGCATCATGGCTATGACGCGGACTGCTAGCGACAAAGCTGGCAGATCATTGCCAGCCCCTGGCCATGGTATCATGACCGCCAGTGGCCGGTCCAAAGGTGGCGCCTTCGACTCACCCTTAATGAGCATTGCCTATCGCAAACGCCAAATCGACCTTCGCATGAACCAGATCAAAGCCACTGAAGACTCCGAACTCACCTTCCTCGAAGAAGAGCTCACCTCTTACAAGTCCAACGAACCTGACTTCGACATTGACGAATTCCGCAAGCATCGTATCGCCGCCATCCTCTCCGAGAGCCAAAGCCAGCGACAAGAAACCATGAACACCTACGGCAACAACTTTTGGAAACGCGATACTCGCATCTCGCCTATGCGAGGCGCTCTCGCTACTTGGGGTCTCGCAATCGACGATCTCTCCGTTGCGTCCTTCCATGGCACGTCGACTGTGATGAACGAGCTGAATGAATGCAGTGTCATCCAAGAGCAGATGACCCAGCTCGGTCGCACACGCGGCAACCCAGTCCAGGCCGTCTTCCAGAAGCACCTTACAGGCCACCCCAAGGGCGCCGCGGCGGCATGGATGCTGAACGGGTGTCTGCAGATTATGGATACGGGTCTCGTGCCGGGCAACCGGAATGCAGACAATATCGACGCAGAGCTCGAGAAGTTCGACCATATCGCTTTCCCAAGCGAGACTCTCAAGACGTCAACAGGAGTGAAGGCTTTCATCGTAAGCTCATTCGGGTTCGGGCAGAAGGGCGCGCAGGCGATTGGAATTCATCCGAAATATCTCTTCGCGGCGGCAGGGAAGGAGCAGTATGAGAGCTATCGTGTAAAGCTGGCCAAGAGGCAGAAGAAAGCGTATCAGCATTTCCAGAAATCGATGATGGAGAATAGTTTGTTCAAGGCGAAGGATTTGCCGCCGTATGCGCCGGGGAAGGAGACGGAGTTTTTGACGAATGTGGATGCCAGGTTGCCTATGGACATGGAACTTGAGTAGGCGACGCTTGCATATGTCTTGTATATACTTTAGGTTTTGCGCAAGGAGTTTTCGCTTTTCTCTATGGCGCGGTGTTGGATCGGGGATGTCTGATCACGTTTCTATAGTCCGTATAATAGCATTATCTATCACTACTTTCGAACATGGTATTGTTCTGACATCGTGATTTACCAGGGTCTTCGAAGCCATCCTTCAAAGGAATTTGCAAAGTTTACTTATCGCCTCCAAACTAGGGTGGCCAGCTTAACTCACTTGGAACAAACGAAGATCAGTTTTACACTTGCCTGAAGTACTCAAATGACTCTAGAGAATAAGGATAGACTGTAAGGCCTATCGGTTGAGTATCTAAGTCCACTACTTGCACCCAATTGACACTGCCCGAAGCTCTCCAACACATCATTTAGAGCCAGCCCGTGATGTAAAGCTTACTGCACCATGATCTAGTCCTCTGGTCTTGCAGTCCCCATACGGCGTGATAATCTACATACTTGTATGTCAAAGGTGAGCCATCTCGAATCACGTGGAGCAACATTCTCTGAAATACGCATCATAGCAGTACATTTCCTCCCACTCGAACCTACCTTCGTATCCCCACATCATCATGCTCGTCCACGCCAGACATCATTATTTTTAGATTTCAACTTTTTCATACAACGCACCCGACTTTAGAATACTCCACAGCCTGGCCGCGGTCGTGACGTAGCGCTTGGACAACATGGTAATTGGGTGTCAGTAAACCTCATCCACTGGGCACAGCCCTGCCACTTGCGCCGTGAGCTGCATGACAAGCTTCAAAGCCCCTGTCAAGCTTATCGGAGCCATGGCGCCTGGGATCTGAATCCTTCGTCTGGGGTCCTGGAAGCCAAGGTTAGTCACAAAACACAAAATTACAATACTGGGCATCCCCACTTTTCGCAGGGGCCGAAAATACTTCTCCGTGCCACAGGCCATATCCGTACGTGACCTAGCAGCATCGCGCAGGAAGTACAGCCCCGATCCGCAGTCGGTGTGAGATGACAGTTGCCAATTATGTCCAGCGTTCGATTGAACTGGGCCATGGCGCTGCTCCAAAGCCGCGAGCCACCGGAGCTGGGCGGCGATGGACCCTCTTCGCTCTGGTGCCACCGTCCTAAGTGCATCCTGATATAGCGCGGGTTCAGCCCTGCCTAGGGCCTCATTGATCTACTTTGAATATCTAGAAAGTTGCTTCCCCCATACTCTCAATCGTCATCCATTCCACTTTCTGTGCATACTCTTTCCGTCTTGATACCCCAATTTCATTGTCCAGCGAGCCCTGTATATATTGAGAGCTTCAATCGCTATTTCCTTTATTTTAGCAAGATGGGTAAGTTTGAAGATTTAATGCTGCATGCCTCAGTCCACGTTAACTAATTCGCAACTTCAGAGAAGTGCCTCTTCGAATCCCCCAATGGATCGTACAATTTCCACTTTTTCTTGCCAGAGGGTTTGACCGAGTTTGCAAATCTCCTACGCGAAGAGTTCCTACAAAGTTTCGAAGACGGGGAACTTTCGGAACCTAGTTCAACCTTCCAATTTCTGGCCCAATTCTTGAGATACATTACCGGTCGAAAGGCTGCGAAACTCGACGCGCCTACGAGAGAGGTTTTCATAGTTGCACTAGATAAGTTCGAAAATGAGTACCTACGCGGCGAGAACATCCACACCTGTGTCGCAGCGATGTCAGACGCGGAGCCCGCCAGCAGGAGAGAAATCATCAGATCCTACTACGAGGCCATGCATCTCATGGAGCACCCTTTTGGCGCTGCCCCACCGCCAATATTCTCAGAAGACAATTCGACATTCTTTGTGTTCGGAGGACAGGGAAATACACAACAATACTTCGATGAATTGAGGGATCTCTACGGGACATATGGCTGCCTCCTTGACGAAGCTTTGAACTTTGCGTCGGAGATTTTTGAAAGAGTGCTCGGCGACGAGACAACGAATGACCAATACCCTCACGGCCTGGACTTCCTCACATGGTTACGCAAGCCGGAGACCACCCCCGAGCGTGATTACCTGCTTTCAGCACCCGTCAGCTTCCCATTGATCGCGGTGCTTCAGCTCGCCAGCTTCTATGTTAAGTGCAAGCTCTGGCAACTTAACCCTGGAGAAGTTGTTCAAAAATTGCACGGCTTGACAGGGCACAGTCAGGGGATTATTGTAGCGGTTGCTCTTGCGACGTGTGAAACCTTCGAAGATTTCCAAGGGGCGTCAAAGTCCGTATTGATAGCCCTTTTCTATACTGGCTGCCGAAGTCAACAAGCTTTTCCTGGGAAAACGTCATGGCAAAAGATGGTTGAAGAGCGGTCGGCAGACCCAAAAGATGACCCAACGCCTATGATGAATATATTGCATCTGCCCCGAGCAGAAGTCGAGTCGCAAATCCGCTCATTCAACCAGAACGTTGCATGGGATCAGGAAGTCTATATGGCGCTAGTAAATGGCCCCTCGAATATCGTCGTCGGCGGCGCTCCAGAGTCGCTACGAAATTTTACAGCATTCATCCAAAGACTTCGAGAACCGAAGTCCAAAACTCAGCCTCAGAGCGGTAAATCCTTCACTACGCGATACCTGCCCATATCCTGCCCTTTCCATACGCCCTACCTTACAGAGGCTGCTCTAGCTGTTGAAGGAGACATGAAGAAGTACAATATCTCAATCATGCCACGCAACCTGTTGATTCCGGTATACGACAGCAAGACTGGTCGGGATCTCCGTGAAGCAGAAGAGGAAGCCTTACTCCCAATGCTTACGAGAGCGATCACCACCGAGGTAGTCGATTGGCCATCGGCAACCAAATTTCCCAATCGCTCTTATATCATTGACTTCGGGCCTGGCGGTACTTCAGGCGTGGGAACCCTCATGCATAGGATGAAAGAGGGAAGAGGTACTCGAATTATTTTGGCTGGACCGCTTCAGGGCGCACTAGCGCACGTGGGCTACAAAGCTGAACTGTTCGAGAGCTCTGAAACCTTCACTAAGAAGACAGTCGACTGGCTGCGGGACTGGGCGCCATCTTTGCTCGCTGACGCGTCGGGGAGGACGATAGTTAGCACTAAGATGAGCCAGCTCCTTGGAGTGCCGCCGCTCATGGTTGCAGGAATGACTCCTACTACTGTACACCCTGATTTTGTCGCCGCAGTCATCAACGCAGGCTACCACGTCGAGCTGGCTGCCGGAGGCCACCCCAGCGAACAATCACTCGTCAAGGCTATCACTACCATTGAGAAGTCAATCACAACCGGGAAAGGGATCACCATCAACCTGATTTATTCGGCACCAAGAGCCATCCAATGGCAGATCCCCTTGATCAAGAGTCTTGTTCAAAAAGGCCATTTGATTGAAGGCATTACGCTAGGCGCGGGAGTTCCATCACTTGAAATAGCAACGGGCTATATCGAGGAACTCGGACTAAAACACATCGGCTTCAAACCGGGATCGGTAGATGCAATCCAGCAGGTGCTTACAATTGCGAAAGCACACCCCAACTTCCCGATCTTATTGCAGTGGACAGGAGGACGTGGTGGAGGCCATCACTCCACGGAAGACTTCCACGCACCAATGTTGCAAACATATTCGAGTATCAGACGATGCACCAACATCATCCTGATTGCCGGCAGCGGTTTCGGTGGAGCCGAGGATACATATTCATATCTGACAGGATCATGGTCGGAGAGGTTTGAGCAATCTCGTATGCCATTCGACGGCTGCCTCTTCGGAAGTCGAATGATGGTCGCAAAAGAGGCGCATACTTCTCTAGCAGCGAAACAGACCATCGCCGCCACGGAAGGCGTCGAAGATGCATTCTGGCGGTCTGGTAAAGGCATCATTACTGTTAAATCGGAGATGGGACAGCCTATCCACAAAATCGCCACTCGTGGAGTGCAGCTATGGGCTGAGATGGATAAGAAGATCTTCTCGCTCGAGAAGAGCAAGCAGCTTGTCGTGATCAAGCACCAACGGAGTTCCATCATTGAGCGCCTCAACAAAGATTTCCAGAAGGTTTGGTTCGGCTACGACTTCGAAGCCGGCAAATCCGGAGAACTTAAAGATATGTCGTATGCAGACGTAGCCAGACGCATGATCGACTTGCTGTACCTCAAGAAGAGCTCCCAATGGATCGATGACTCCTATATCCGGATACTTGGAGATTTCGTCCGCCGCGTCGAAGAGCGTTTACCTCTGTCACGATCAGAGCTTTCCAAGCCCATCTTTAGAAGCTATGATGACTTCAAGGACCCGGCCAAAGCTATGCGCACTCTGGTAGAAGCCTACGGAGAGAGCAAAATACAGCTCATCAGCCAAGAGGATCAAGAGTATTTCCTCTCAATCTGTCGAAGATCGGGTCAGAAGCCGGTTACATTCATCCCCGTGCTGGATGCAAGCTTCGAGTCCTGGTTCAAGAAAGATTCGCTGTGGCAGTCCGAGAACATAGAAGCGGTCATCGATGGTGATATACAGCGATGTTGTATTCTCCAGGGACCCGTTTCCGTGACCTATTCCACCCCAGACAACATTAATCAACCCGTAAAATCCGTTCTGGATCAGATCAGCAGTGCTCACGTCAAAACGATGCTCGACGAATTCTACAACGGTGACCAGCAAGCTGTTCCGGTTGCTGAATTCTTTGGCCACCAGGCCTCCGATACTACATCGGAAGACGGCATTCAAGTTATCCCCGCGCCCGAATTCACTGCATACAACATTCCCTTCAACGCGCAGAACATCCCATCATCCGAGGCGTGGTTCAACATTCTTGCCGGCAAGGAGCTCTCTTGGAGATATGCAGTCTTTAAAAGTCCAACAATCACGAGTGGAGACGAAGTGATTCCTAATCCTATACGTCAAGCATTCACGCCATTAAAGGGTTGTTCCGTGCTCATCACAAACGACTCCGGAAGCGGCAATATCTCCATCACTATGAGTAGCAATAATGACGGTCAAACGGATGCATCGATCGTTACCAGCGAATCGGGAAAGAAAATCACGCTTCGCTTGGTATGCCACGAGAACGCGCTGAAGGAGCCACTGCCGCTCGAATTCTATTTCAGGTACGTATACACATGGGCGAAAAAAAGGTGGCACACTCATCAAGTACTCTGCCTGTGCGTACACCTGTCTGCCACTGCTTGGAGTGCTTCAAGAGGTTTTCACGAAACCCAAGGTGAAGAGCTTCTAGCTCGTTCAGATTCTTGAAAATGCATTAAAGCACCCCAAGCAGCGGCAGACAGGTGTACACGCGACACAACTTGTTCTAAAATTACAGTGATCCCTTTTCCATACCCCGCGTGTTTATGAAAACCCACTAACATGTGTATTGCCACCTTTAGGTATCACCCGGAGCTACCCCATTCGTTGCTACGTGAAGATGTTGAAGGTCGCGAAGAGCGGATTCGCAGCTTCTACGACACGCTCTGGTTTGGTAAGGGAGAGGATGTCGAGGAGGTCGTCATTACCAAAGGCCTCGTCGAGAAGTTCTTGCAAACTATTGGCGGTGGTATGCGAGGGCTTGACCGAGATTCGTTGGTACCAATGGACCTGGCGATCGTGGTCGGTTGGAAAGCGATAATGAAGTCCCTCCTCTTCGTGAAAGGGGATCTCTTGAAGCTAGTCCACCTTTCTAACGAGTATCGAATGTACCCCGGAGTCGGTCCATTGATGATTGGAGACAAAACTGAGAGCTCTGCGAAAACGACTGCCATTACAGTCCAAGAGACTGGGAAGGTGGTCTCGGTCTGCTGTGCCATTACTAGAGATGGTGCTCCCGTGATGGATGTTACATCAGAGTTCTTCTATCGCGGGACATATACCGATCGCTCGGATGCATTCCAAGATATCAAGGAAGAGATAAGAGAGGTTGACCTCAGCACAAACAGCCATGTCAACCTTCTGATGTCGAAAGCCTGGATGTCATTCTACCACCCTGACACCACAGAGACTCTCTGCGGCAAGACCCTAAGCTTTGAGCTCAATACTTTCTCCTCGTCAAGTCACCTCCGAACAACTGGAAAAGTCTTTGCCAGCTCATCATCTTCAAGAGATCCTATCGAAATCGGCACCGTGGAGTACGACTCTCTTACCTCTGGTCTTCCTCCCACCAACGGAAATCCTGTTCTTGGATACCTTGGCCGTCACGGTAAGATCGTTCAAAAGCGCGTACCTCTAGACGCTCCCCAATCCCTCAACCACGAAGAATCAGGCTTCATCTTCACCGCTCCAAAGAGCAACCTCGCGTACTCTCGTGTTTCGCAGGACTTCAACCCGATCCATGTCTCGCCCGCATTCGCCCGCTACGCCGGTCTTCCAAATTGCATCACACACGGCATGCATACTAGTGCCATTATTCGCAGCATCTGCGAAATGCGATGTGCGGAAAGCAGCGCAGAAGTCCACCTCGGCTCTATGAAACGCTTCAGCGCGTCGTTTAGCGGGATGATCCAGCCCGGTGACAAGATTGAGGTTAGCATCGAGCATGTAGCCATGTTTGAGGGCCTCAAGGTCATCACCATCGAAGCGCGGAATGTCGATACTGAGGAGAAGGTTTTCGTAGGTGAGTGCGAGGTCGAACAATCGGAGACTGCGTATGTCTTTACTGGTCAGGGAAGCCAGGAGATGGGAATGGGTATGGATCTTTATGAGAGCAGTCCCGTTGCCAGGGCTGTCTGGGAGAGAGCGGATAAGCATTTTGATGAGACATATGGTAAGAAGCAACCAGGTCCTCTCATACAGTTATTGTATGCTAACATATCAATCAGGATTCCGCTTAACCGATATCGTAAAGAAGAACCCAAAACAACTCACCGTCCACTTCGGCGGCCGCCGCGGGGCCATCATCCGCCAGAACTACCTCAAAATGACTTATGACTCCTACGATAAGGCTGGCAACAAGACCACGAAGCGATTCTTCGATATCCACGAGCGAAGCGCTTCTTACACTTACCGCTCGCCCGCTGGCCTCCTCTTCTCGACTGAATTCGCCCAGCCCGCTCTCACTGTCATGGAAAAAGCTGCCTTCGAGGACATGGCCGCCAAAGGCCTCATCTCGCAGAACAGCATGTACGCCGGTCACTCTCTTGGCGAGTATGCGGCTCTCTGCGCAATTGCGAATATGATGCCACTCGAGCAAATCCTCTCCATCGTCTTCTACCGCGGGCTATCGATGCAAGTCGCCGTCGAGCGAGACGAACAAGGCCGCTCGGAGTTCGGCATGATGGCTGTAGACCCTAGTCGCGTCACCCCATCCTTCGAGATCAAGGACCTCGAAGCCACCGTCTCAAACATCAGCAACACGACGGCATCACTGCTTGAGATCGTAAACTACAACGTCGCCCAGCGCCAGTACGTCTGCGCGGGCACGCTGACAAACCTCCACCTCTTGACTACTGTTTTGAATACCCTCGCTGGATCTCCGAAAGCCAAGCATGACGCTGCGTCTATCTCTGCTCTCATAGTAACACATGCCGCAAATGTCGCTGCCGGACCTCCCATCACTACATTAGCACGAGGCAAAGCGACCATCCCGCTCACCGGCATCGACGTCCCATTCCACAGCTCCTTCCTGCGGCCAAACCTGTCCGCCTTCCGCGAAGTCCTAGAAGCCAATATCATTGCCAATAAGCTCGATCCGCAGAAGCTGATCGGTCGCTACGTGCCGAATGTCACCGCGCGACCATTCGAGCTGACAAAGGAGGCTTTTGAGTACGCGTATGCGGCGACGGGAAGCGAGCGCCTGAAGAAAGTCTTGGACGATTGGGAGCCGGAGGCGCTGGTACCCGCGATTGCGGTGGGTGGAAGGTTAGGGAGGCTGGCAACGTGGACGAGTGCGACGGATGCACATACACAGTTGGGGAGGGTGAGGCTCGAAGGGGCTGGGGGGAATACGTCGCTGTAGATGGATAGCATTGTGCGCACTATTTTCGCCTGCATCATCTGGATACTATACTAGGTAGCGCGGCGTTTTGAAGTTCATTGTTAGCGTGTCGAACCTATTCCTGTAGTGATTGAAGCTCTTGATAGGATTCATTGAATATCAAAGCGCTGAGGGTATACCATATCGTGGGTGGGTCGAGGAAGAAAGTCACCAGCCGATCACGGACCTCGATATCAAGAAGAAGTACGAGCAGCACATTCTGAAGCACAGCGGCATTCGCTTCTTTGATGCTCGTTCGTTAGATAGCCCGGACCCATCTGCTCGGCAGGTCCTTCACGAGATCGACCTACAGGCTGATTTCGCGCCTTTTAAGGTTTCCAACGATACCGCCACAGACCTGATCAGGGAGCACGGAAACAAGGATGCGATCACCGACGTGGAGGACCACTGTGTTGTAGTTCTCAAGAAGGGTGCCCGTCTCATGGTCCCTAAGGCTTTGGTTTTCGACCGCACCGTTGGAGGCCAGGTTCCTACCGGGTGGTCCGCAAGAACATACGGTATTGCTGAGGATATTATTAACCAAGTTGATCCTGCAACACTATATGCTTTAGTGTGCACCGCTGAGGCTTTATTATCTGCCAGTATTACCGACCCCTACAAATTTTATAAGTACATCCACGTTTCTCAGCTCGGTGTCGCTGTCGGATCCGGCTACGGCGGAGCTGCATTGTTGCAGGGTATCTACAAAGAGCGATTTCTAGATAGACCTATTCAAAATGATGTGCTGGCTGAATCCTTCATTAATACCGGCAGTGCATGGATCAATATGCTTCTGCTCTCCTCCTCCGGACCCAACATCACGCCCGTTGGCGCGTGTGCAACCGCACTAGAGTCGCTTGACGTGGGCTTCGAGCTCATTTCCAGCGGCAAAGCGAAAGCTGTACTTGTTGGTGGCTACGATTACTTAGCTAAAGATGTTGCGTACGAGTTCGCCAATATGAAGGCAACCATCAGCAGCGATACAGACATGGCCCGCGGCAGGGATCCTCAGGAGATGTCTCGACCTGCCACTTCAACTAGGGGCGGGTTTGTTGAGTCTGAAGGCTGCGGCATCCAGGTTCTCACCACCGCAAAGCTCGCGCTTGAAATGGGGCTAGCCGTCCGGGGTATCATGGCGGTGAGCCGGACGGCTAGTTAGCGACAAGGCCGGCAGATCACTGCCTCGAGGCTGTATTCAAAGCCATTCTCGCCACACACAAAACCTATGCTGACCTCGATGTCCCCAAGACAATGCACGCAGAACTGAAGACCAAGGTTGCTGAGATGAGGAAGGCGGCCGATGTCGTGCGAAGGCAAAGGAGCAGATGAGCAAGATCGGAGTCGACCTTACGGAGGACAACTGGAAGATTCTGCAACGCTCGAAGCGTGCCAGGACCGAGTAGGAGTTGCGGTGCCTTTGCCTGGTTGCCCACTTGTGCCCATCCTTGCATCCATCAGCTCCTTCCCCCCGGCTCCCCCCTACCTGTTTGCTCCCCTCCACCAGTACTTAGTGCATAGAAATCATTGCTATACAACTATGGGTACCCGCGGACTCGACTCCAAGATCTCAATACCCTCCTCAAAGTCGCCTATCTTGCCGTCTTCATCCCATAACGCAGCGAGCACTGTCCGGTTTCCTACCCAAGGCGAACGCGAATGCTGCACAGCGTGGTTCTGCATCAAATTAGCAAGTATATTGAATTGGAGCTATATCACTTACATCAATCAGCACAACATCACCCGGCTGCCACGTAAGCAACACCTGCGAATCCTCCGCAATCGCCAACGCGAGATCAAGATACTTCGTCTCAATCGGCGTTCCGTCGCCATATTCTGGAATAGGGTGGTAGGAGCCATCGGACCCTAAATACGGCGGCTCCGTCGCGCGATAATGCTTGCTCCTTCCCCATGCGCTTGTCAGATTTCCGAAGAACGTCGTCAGGCCTAGTTTCTCGTGTTTCCTAATGACTTTGCGAGGTCAGTTTCTACGCTATATCAAGACGCTTATCGGAAGTGGAGTACTTACTTGGTACAATATGCATCACGCTCAACGACCCATCTTCATGCCACTCAAACCTCTCACTATGCCGCTGCACCTCCGCCTCCACTTTCCTCCGCACGGTTTCTGCGTCGTCACCGGGCACCACGGTCTGGCCGTATGCTCCGAGTACGCTAGTGCCGGTGTTTGATTTCACTTCTTGCACGCCATAGCGGTACACGTACCGGACACCCTTCTTTAGCAGCGTCCGAACGAATTCAGGTGCTTGCTTTTCGAGAGCAGATGCGAGGGCTATGCTGGAGTTTATTGGGGTCTCTCCGCCTGTAAAAGGTTATTTATGCGATTCTACATTCAATTGAGGTCGAACTTGCCTTGCTCCGGGATGACTATAGCAGAGAAAGTCAACCACGCAGGGTTAATCGTTGACCAGCCGTACTCGTTGTGCGGCCAGATAGGTAGTTCTGGTGGTCTGCGCTTTCATAAGCCCCGTCTTCCACAAATCAATGGTGGTTCTACTCACCCCTCATTCGCAGTCTTAATATTCTTCGCCAACACCGTCCTCAGCGGTGGCCGTCCCACCTCCTCATGAGCACGGAACCCAAACGCATGCGCGACCTCGCTATAGTCCTGTGGCGTCTTAATCGGTAGTCCACGGAAGATGATAGCGCCGCCATGCTTCTGGGCCAGGCTGGAAATTTGCCCCGATTTCGCCAGTCCTTCGATTGCGGTGACGGATTCTTGAAGCGTGGGTTGCCAATTTGCGGCCGGTTTTAGAGCAAGGGGGAATTCAGCATCGTTGGGGAAGCCTAGAGCTTTGGTGCTTTTTTGGCCTGAAAAGGTGAAGGAAGTGAAGGCTTGGGATGTAGAAAGGACGCCGACCATGTCGGACAAATGCGTAGGTTCGAGTGGAAAAGACAAATTGGACACAAGGCGTGAAAGTCTAGGGATTGAGATACGAAATATTACCTAGGTACTCGGTCTACATGTATTACTACGGTCTGCATCGCGATCCACTATTTTATTATCTCGCGGAGACCAGCGCATGTCCGACATCACGCCCTGGTTAACGCGGCTTTTGGATGCGATATCGCACAAATCTCCGCAGCATTCGGGGTGTCGGAGTCTATCGTTGGATTTTGCACGTTTTGGAGCTGTTTCTTGCGGCGATGAGCAATGTTTAGGGTCGATGTCGCCATCAGAACCTGAGAAGCAAGATCTACCGCGGAAAGGCTAAGTCAGTCAACGGTCGCTGTCAGGGCTGTCAGTAGGACGCGTGAGTCGCAAAAGTGTATCCGATGTGCTTCCGCAGGCCTTATCGTGGTTTTCTTGATGAAGAATGAACGTCAGTCCCAGGATCGATCACGACATCTCGCTAAGCGGGTGTTCTGCTCCACTTTCTATCTTAACCTCTGATCACCAACATCACTCTCCATCTCAAGAGTCTTCAATATTCACGAGTTCTGACTGTCATAATAGTGATTTGTAAATGTTTCCAGGTGAGGTTGAGGACTCCGAATGGTTGTAGCATTGCAAAGGTCTATTTCCGCAAAAGTATACTCTAGCGAGAAACTCCCAAGGACTTCTCCGATTCGGACTGCCTATATATTAGCCGGACCTCGTTACGAGTCACTGTCAACCATGAGCTTGAGTCATGCAGCCGCCACAGCCTTATGACTTGGAATCAGGGCTTTTGTGAAGCTTTCGCAGCGACATAACCCGATCCGTGGCTACGGATAGGAGACGAGCCCCAGAAGCAGGAATGTGGGCCGTTATCGTGCCCATGGCGGCTGCATTAAACACTGACAGCGGGCCGATAAATATCAGCACGCCATAGATCATGATACCCTAGAGAGAATTTCTGCGAGGCCCGCCGGGATGTCGCATCTCGTCGCATCTTATAAGAGTATCAAGCATCTTCTCCTAAACATTTCTTTTCTTACAATCGCTTCAAGTTTGCTCTACCGTCATGGCCACTGAAATCAAACACAGCGTAGCTTCGCCAGCTTCAACGCCAGAATCCGAGGATGTGCGTTCAACCTCGAGTACCCGAAACTACAGCTGGTTCCGTGGAGTCTTCTTCAACGCAACTATCGTTGGCGTGGCGGCTTTCACGGCACCAGGACTATGGAATGCTATGCAGGCAGTTGGTGCTGGAGGACAACAAACTCCGTATCTTGTCATGTAAGTTTGAGAAAATCTGAGTATCCTTGACAGAGTTCTTACTTCAGTATCAGGGCTGGTAACGCGATTCTGTTCGCGCTGATGACATTTACGTGTCTAGCTGGCAGCGTCCTTGCGAACCGATTCGGACTGAAAGCGGCCTTCATCTTTGGAACATCTGGTTACGTGCTCTACTCAGCTGCCCTGTACTGCAACAACCGCTACAGAACGAAGTGGTTCATCTATCTCGGCTCGGCCGCCTGCGGTATTACAGCTGGAGTCTTCTGGGCCGCAGAGGGTGCCATAATGCTGAGTTATCCCGAACCAAAGAACAGGGGTAAGTACCTCGCGTACTGGCTTGCGTATCGAAATGGTGGATCGATCATAGGTGGTGTAATCAACCTGGCCTTCAACTATGCTGGAAAGAAGACGGGAAAACTGAATTGGCGAACTTACATTGTCTTTGTCGTGCTTCGTGAGTGCCCTTACAAATAGCCGCCGATACTTCCTTACTAACGGCATTTTAGAATGCTTCGGACCCGCAGTAGGATGCCTACTATCACCACCAGAAAAGGTTCAACGGCGAAACGGCACAAAAGTTCAAATCTCGGAACGGATTCATACCAAAGATGAGATCAAAGCAATCTTGAAGCTGCTGACGCGGAAAGACTTCCTCCTAGTGTACGTACCCCCTTACCCGCGGAAATCATACGACCATACTGACACACCCCAGCGTCCCCTTCTTCATCTACGTAACCTGGAACCAGCCCTACATCTCCGCCTACGTCTCCCTCTACTTCAGCGTACGCGCCCGAGCCCTCGCTTCCCTCGTCGGTGCCGTCTCCCAAATCTGTGCCACTCTCATCATGGGCTCTTTCCTGGACTGGCAACGCCTCTCCCTCAACACCCGCGCCAAGGTCTCCTACATTGCCATGATGTCGCTCATCGGCGGATGCTGGGTCTGGGGAATCGTCGTCCAGCGCGGCTACTCCCATCACAAGCCCGCACTCGACTGGAACGATGCAAGCTTCGGCCGCGGGTGGGCGCTTTATGTGTTCTGGCAGGTGAACTTCGCGCTGACTTACAACTACGGGTATTGGTTGGTAGGATACATGGCGAAAGAGAATCGGGAGATAGTGCGGTATACATCGGTGGTGCGGGCCGTGGAGGCGGCTGGGCAGTGTGTAGCGTCTGGGATCAGTTCGACGAAGACGCCGTTAATTCGAGAGACGGGGGTGAACTTTGCGCTTTGGGGGCTGGCGGTCATACCGACGTATCTTGTTGTGAGGAATATCGGGGTAACGCTTTATGGTGCGGATGGGGAGAAGGGCGAGGATGAGACTCCTAAGCTTGCGGAAGGGGGTGTGAAAGAAATTCAGGTTAAGCATTGAATGCTTTGGTAGACATTAAAAGCTTGAGTACAAAGATACTATAGAAGTGTCGGTAGTTATGGTCAATAATCATACAGTTGCTGTTTCCAAGGTGTCTGTATTGCTTGTATATATTGCGTATTGCATGTTCATCCGCAAACGGCACTAGAAGCTCTTTTTCGGGGTTGAGTAGATGTAAATAAGACGAGCTTAATTATCACCACCCTTTTCTCTCTATATCCTAATTCTCTTCCTATCAGCCCCCCCTAGATTTGGCTTAGCTCTGGCCTGTAACAACTTTCTTTTCACCAATTAGAAGCTGAATTACTAAATCTCAATGTGGAGTTCACATCATCTCTTCGCCAGATATGCAGGCACACTCCAACAGCAACCGAGGGCTCTATTACCTTAGTCCTTAACAGTTAGCCAGCCCTCCAGGACGGCCTTCTAACCAGTCAATCCTAAGAAGAGAACAGCTTGTGGTAAAGGACCTGGCACGGTAGGTGGCTATGTGGGACGGATTACATGACTTTCCTTTTGAATTAGTAATTAAGAGGTGCCTATCTAGGTCTTTTAGTCTTAATTAGCGGGCAGGTGTGTAGAACTAGGCGGGCCAATTGTGATGATATATCTCTATTTATCCACTCTCAAGATGTGAATTTCACATTGAGATTAGTAATTTAGCTTCTAATTGGTGAAAGAAAGCTGTTACAGGCCACAGCTAAGCCAAATCTAGGGGGGGTTGATAGAAAGAGAATTAGGGGGGTGATATAGAGAGAAAAGGGGGGTGATAACTAAGCTCGCCCTGTAAATATTATGACTGCCGTGCCCTAGAAGAAGTAGAATCCTCAGTTTAGCTTATATCAACGCCAAAGATGTCAAGTTGCAGTACTGGACGTGAAGTGAATGGCCGAGTCACGTGTAGCACAGAAAGCATCACTGAAAGTCTGCGCTCCAAACATGTCTGTTAGATATCTTCGCCTAAACCAAAGATTTAGGGAGACACATCAACGCCCTGGTGGTTCACAAACGACCATCTGCTAACCATCACGTGAGCGTCACGTGCAGTTTCCTTTCACCCCTCAAAGTCCACCAGAACTATAGTCAAGTAACGCCTGGCAATTCCCTGCTCCTCAGACACCCTGTAAAATGCCACGATAGCAAATGCTCACCGCCTGAAGCTTGATTGCCAACAAACCTCCACAACACAGCCTCTTCTAAGCCGCCCAGAAAATAGAACATTGGCCCGGTTCAGCCCTGGAACGCCACTGCGACCTACCCTTGCACACCTGGGCAGGCCCCTGCCGTACAGAAGATACAATACGGTAATGAAAAAAGCTTAAAATCCCAGCAATCGTGGCCCATGCAGCATCCGTGCGATCCATGGTAACGTTAATTCTCCTAGAACTGCAAGCTTTCTCCACGTCCAAGGGTCCTTGGGTCCACGTCAGCCCCAGGATCTGAACCCCTTCCTCACCGGCTACACCTATCACAATTCGGTCAACCTCCGAAATTTCCGACGTGTCATTCTAGCAGCTTAGGTAGGATATCCGTGTCTGTCAAATAACGAGAGCTAGCTGTTCACTAGCACGGTTGCTAAGCCACGGCACTTGGGTCGCTGTTGTAGCCGCGTCGACAATGCCACTGGCCGAGGGCCTATTCCTCGAGGCTCTCCTGGCTCCTTTACAACCAATACGTGGTAGTGTGCGAGCAACGTTCTCACTGCCGCGATATGTCTCCTTGTTGGGAATTAAGCCTAGACCCCTGAAGTCAGTGAGCAGTGCCTCAACTCGTTTGGTATCTAAGTCGCATTTGCACAGAGGGGCGTCTGAGGTAAGAACTAGGTAGGTGGTACCAGTAACACAGCGTGGCTACCCGCGTCTGGTCTGAGGCTTGGCTCGATGTTCAGTCTATATCAAACTGGGCTGAGTAAGTGCACCACCCCGTGGTGGACAGCCAAGAAGCGTTTGGATTAGTATTCTTTTTTGGTCAACGCTGTCTTACAGCAGCGGGAATGCCCCGAATGAGGCGCTGGTTCTTGGACCAGTATCCAGCGAGATTTTTGAATGTAGGTGAGGCTGAGGATGGGGCTCTGGTGAGGTTATTTCTATGTTTAGACTCACTTTACTTCTCAGTGCTCTTTAATACGCTTGTTGAAGCGCAATAGAAAGACAAACATCTCAAAACAGTTCTTTCTTCCCATAAACTAGCACTTCATACCCTCTTTCTCACTAGCATCTAAAAGTTTATGGCCCTGTTGGATCTCATTCTTTTCGTCAAGTCCCGCAAAACACCCACCACCCAGACCGAAAAATCTAAATAAACTCAATATGGCGTTTCCCCCCTCTCCACTTGAAACCATTAAGTGGAACGCCCTCGGCCTCTCGATCACTGACGCCGTAAACGGCCACGTGGAATCCACCTATACTCTCTCCACCGGCGCCTGGTCCACCCCCAAATTCGTCTCAGACCCTTTCCTCCGCGTCCATGGCCTCTCGCCGGCCCTAAACTATGGCCAACAAGCCTACGAGGGCCTCAAAGCCCACCGCTCCCCATCCAACTCCATCCTCCTCTTCCGCCCCGCCGACCACGCCGCCCGCCTTTCCAACTCCGCCGCCTACGTTTCCATCCCACCCATCCCGGAAGCGCATTTCCTGCAATGCGTCAAGATGGCCGTCGCGCGGAACGCAGAATGGGTCGCCCCCCACACCTCCGAAGCCCTCCTCTACATCCGCCCCCTCGTCTTCGGCAGCAGCGGCCACCTCGCCCTAACCGCGCCCACCGAGTTCACCTTCGCGGTCTTCGTGCAGCCGGGGACTACATACCACGGCGTGCAGCCCCTCCCCGCCGTCGTAGTCGAGGACTTCGACCGTGCCGCTCCCCGAGGAACCGGCGGTGGAAAGGTGGGCGGCAACTACGCCCCCGTCATCCGCTGGACAGACCGCGCGCGCACACAGGGGTACGGGGTGACGCTGCACCTGGACGCACAGACGCGGACCTGCGTCGAAGAGTTCAGCACGTCCGGTTTCATTGGCGTGTGGAAAGCGGGTGAACACGTCACGCTCGTCGTGCCCGACAGCAAGAACATCGTCGCTAGCATCACGAGCGATAGCTGTCTTGCGCTAGCGGAGTCGTTCGGGTGGACCGTGGAGCGGCGGGAGATCCCGTGGAGCGAGTGCAAGTTCTTCGACGAGGTGGTGGCGGTGGGGACGGCGGCGAGCTTGCTGCCGATAAGGAGTTTGCATCGCCCGAGTACCGGGGAGACGTTTTACTATGGGGATAGCACGGGTGACGTGACGGTGAAGCTGGGGACGGCGATGAGGAATTTGATGCGCGGGAAGGTGGAAGATGGGTTTGGGTGGACGGTTGAGGTGAAGGAAGGGGATTTATTGGCTGAGGAGAGTATTATCGCTGAAGAGCCTGTTGTAGAGGCGGTTAGTGAGCAGCCTGCTGAGGTCGTTGATGAGAAGGCGAATGGGGTCGAGAATGTTAATGGATCGATTGGTAGCAAGGGGACAGAAGTGGAAGAGAAAGCGTGACTATCACGGGTACAGAAGACTCTTAGACATCTCTGGTGTTTGGGTTGAGCGTTTGGGCATCAGTCATATATTGGAGTTAGGACATCAGTTCTCTATATATTGTTATATGTCATTATTTTCTGTTCTTACCTCATCCCTCCGCGTCCTAGAGTTCCCGCATCTCCCATCCTGAACCCAACCATGCATACAATAGACTTCTGCCCTCCATACAATTTACATGACAGTTCAACACGCATCATTTGTCAGGGAATTATCGGAAAGTCCTCATATGCTGGAGGTGGCCACCCCCTCCCTCCGCCAGGGAAGGTGATGCCTGCTCCTTGATATTCATTTCTATTATTGCTAGGCTTGTTTCGTCTCAAGCGTACGCAGCCCCTAGAAAAGATGGTGACTGTAGCGCATCTTACACAGCTCACTACTATTCTCCAGCCCGAAAAGAAAGCCCACTTCTCCAGCCGGAGCCTCGAACTCCCAACCTGCGAAAAACTCGGGCCGAGGCCCTACAAAAATCCCTTTATAAGTAGGATTTTTTCGCATCCCTTACCCGCTGGCTAGGCGGTTAGCCACTCTACCAACGGGGGGACGGTTGATCAAGCCGTCCACCCATTGGCAGAGACCCCGAAGGGCGGAAGTGCTGGGAAATTATAGACTTTATATGGGGTTAGTCAATGCCCGAGCATTGAATTCACCTACGCAAACAGCACTAGACACTATTGATTACACGACAAGGGGATTGGGCCGCCTACAGTATTACACGCTGTAATATACATCATGTTCATCGTCCTTTTCCCCGCGCTTTCATTGGATAGGGTGTGTATCGATACATTAACGCGATAAATATACATGATACATGTCTATTCTCATCGTCCCAGCCTCTAGCCATCCACCAAAAGCAAACCTAGAGTTCAATAAGCATACAAAGCCGGCCTCGACCCCCCAACCCTCGTCCCATGCAGCAGATCAAGACTCGCAAAGTTCTGCGCGAGCGGCAAGCTCCTCCGACACTCCTCCATCACCTGTTCGCGCGACCAGTGGCCCTCGCCCACCTCTCCTGCGTTCCCCTCCCCCTTTCCATTGCTCTCTCCTTGCTCAGTAGGCTCCTTCTCTGGAAGCAGCCCACACTCCTCAATAATCTCCTCCGGCTTCACCGTCACCCTGCCCGCTTTAAAAACATACCTCGCAATCGCCGACGCATACACCCCCTCGTCCCCCGCCTCCCGCTTCTTCCCCCCTCCCCTCTCCATCTTCGCCTGCCCGCCTAGCACAAACGCCGTCGGCTTGCTCGCGCCGGGCTTCGTGAAGTGGCTCACGACATAGATCCACTTGGCATCCCAGCACAGCAGACGCGAGGAGACCTCGTAGCGGGCGAAGGGCGGGATAGGTTTCTTGAAAACACAAGCAGTGCCGCCGAGGTTGATGGTTTTAGTTTTTAGCGTGGTGGCTTTTGCTTGGGTTTGGTTTTGTTTGAGGGGCGCCATGACGTTCTTGAAGAGGGCGAGCATGAGCTCGGTGCGGTTGGCGTCGAGGTCGGTGAAGAAGGTCGAGTTGGATTTGTGGAGGTTGTAGTCGAGGTCGACGAGGGCTTTGGCGGGTTTAGGGGTAAAGTCTTCTTTTTGGGTTTGGAAGGTACTGGGGCTTACGCGTGTAGGAGGATGTGAAAACGGGGAGGAACAGGGACTCGGCGCCGTGGGAGGCGGAGGAGACGGTCAGATGGCGGCGGCGGAATAGGAGATGCCGTGATAGCTGAAGCAGGAGTCGTACCTTCGGGAGTGTTAGAAAAGGGGAGTTGGGGGTGGAATGGGGTTAGATTTACGTGCCACATGAAAAGGAGGCTTTTGCCGTTGCTCAGGAGGATGATAGTTAACATAGCTAGTCCGATGAAGATTTGAGCGGGGCTGAAGTGGAGGGTTAGGCCAGAGGCATCGATGATGTGCTCGGCCATGGTGTTTGAGTTGTCCATGATAGCTGATTTATTTTCTTAAAATGATGTTTGAAATGCTCGAAATGAAGTGATTGAAGAGGCAGGATAGTGATAGGAAAGGATGCTAGACTGTGTCTAAGTCCTATATATGATGAAACGAGGCTGAATGCGCAGCCCAGTCCGATCTCATTGGTTCTCCGTTCTCTCGGGATAATAATAGATTGGAACATGTTGGTCCCCGAGTGATAGGCCAGGTGCATGTCTCGAAACGCTATTACCGAGCGGTGCATGCCGAATATTCCAAGCATGTAGTGCTCCCATAAGCACGGGCTAGGGAAGTGGAATGGGGGTAGTCCGAGGCTTAGTGCAGCCAGCGCAACAGATGCAGGCAGTGCTTTTCCAGAATGCCAATCAAAGTAGTATACACGTTATGAATGAGGAAAAGTAAATGTTGTACTATCTTCTGGAAGCTTGCGCCTCGTCCAAGCCGCATCCTTCGGATTGCTCCCGAGGCCTTTTAGCCCGTAGCACAGACACTGCTAGACCGAGTCAGGGATGGACCAGGCCTGATCCCAGTGACAGATCTCACGCTAGCGATGCCTACTCGGCTTCCGACCTCTACGTGGTGTTGTACCGTGTGTTGTATCGTGACTTCGTCGTAGCAAAGGGCGTAGATAAGCTGAGTGGCAGAAGACGCCCGAGATGACAGCTGAAGGTCGCGACTCTGGCTCTACACGCCCCACAGACTCTAGAGCGGTCTTTGGCCTCCTTGATAAGCATCTAAAGCGATCTTCCGCTGACCGATCACGGTGTAGCACAACCTTCTGCGGCTCGACGGCAGCAGTATGGCTTAGACAAGGCTTGGAGATGGCTCGGACATAGCTCGAGCCGTTGGCCTCTGACTCTCCGCCGCGGCTTTGCACTTGCAACTTGCTATTCTTGCCTCATGGCCCGTCTGCATTGGGGCCGTCTGCTCCTGTTGACCCGTTTCATCACATTAGAAGGGACCAGCTGTCGGCCACGCCCGTTCAGCCCTAATGGTCAGGCTGTGGGTGCCTGTCTCAACCAGCACGCCCTCGTTGCGGAGAGGCGGCGGGAAGCTTCGCCCCCAAAGCTGCCCGAACTGCCAGACGCGCCAGAGCAGCAGCTGTTAAAGTCATCTTGAAATTATCCGTTTCATCTAGATCGCGGCTGTTCCGATCTCCATTATTCGCACCCCAAGTCCCCGTATATACGCACGGCGCGCAGCCCTGCACTGCAGCCTTGTCATATACGAGATTTCTTATTTCAACCGCCTTTCTTTTGATGCCGCCTGGTCATATGTGTACGTGGGGGAAAGGTAATTTGCAGTAATTCCCCGAGTTGAGAATAGGGTTTCGTTCACATCTCCGGGCGCACCACAATCAGCCTAAATCCTACGCCTAGTCTATCTCGGGCATAGACTTCAACACTTGGAGCCCGTCGCTATTATATCACCTCTACGGGAACTCCATCGCCATGGATGTAGACCGGAAGCTCAACAAGGCGCTCGAAGCGGCCAACGACGCCATGCAACACCTTTCCGTATCGCCAGATTTTAGCAACTTAGACTACGCGCATATCGATCGATTGCTGGCCAGAGTTGTCGACCTACCTACCGAAGCAAACCAAAGAAACACGCGCCGCAATCTGCTGGTTGTACGGCAATGGATGGTCCAGAAAGGCGCTGCAGTGATCCTCCTTGAAGTCCTAGGTCAGTTGTTTTGGAGATTAGGCGAACTGAATGGGAGGCAATTCGAACGATTCAAGGCCGCGCTGGAGAATCAGTCGTCATATCTATCCCTGGTTCAGGACCAACGGGCAGTGGCAATCGTCGTGCAACGCATCAGGCACATACAAAAGTCCAAATCAGATGCCTGTCAAGATTTCTTAATCGAGCTATCTGATGGGTCGGATATTAAAAGTGAGCATTCTTTCACCAGCGATTCCGGCTTTCGCGAAGTAGTCAACGACTTCATTAGAACTGAGAGGCTAACTTTAGCAGCGGAATCACCAAGATCAGACAATGAGCTCTTGAGGGTGTCGATGAGCAGATCGCCTACCCCTATGCGTCATATGTCTTCACCAGGCAAGGCAGCCATCTGCATGACTAGTCCGGAGCCAGAACCAGCGGCTTTTGGCACAGGACTGATCAAATTTCTCCCAAGTTCTTCTTCGACCTTATGGAAGAATGATATGGAGCATCTCCTGATTGAGTTTTGTAAGCGCTACAAGCTCTCGTAGCTCAGTTCAAGTTAGCTGACGAAAGCAGACATCAATGGAATATGCCCCGGACGCACCCCAACGAAAACATCAAATGCATACATCACCCTGCTGCGAACCGCAGATACCTGTCCAAGCACTAGATTCGCCTTACTCAGCCTAAGTGCCTCATATATTGAAGATTATGTCCATGCAGAAAAGGAGCGTTATCATCAAGCTCATCTATTTTACATGACGGAGGCGCTGCAGTCGCTGGCTCGACAAATCACCGCCGGTGACTCATTTGATGCATGCCTGGCCACAAGCATGCTATTACTACACCATGATGCAGTCAACAACGTTGAAGAGTCGAATATGTGTTGGTCTGTTCACGCCAGTATCTTCGACACGATCCCACCAAACCAAATCAGCCCGCTCTGCGACGCCGCTTCATTCATAAGATACCAGCTGATACTCGCAAGAACTTCAAAAACTGGTGCTCAATTACGAAATACCAAGCTACACTCACTAGAGACTGCAGAATGGTACGATCTGATTCCTCAAAACGAGACGCAATGCATCAATGGCGTACTCGGCCTCTCGCCGCAGCTTCTTTTCCTCATTTCCTCCATTACTGCTCTTTCGGCGGACAACAGCAGCTCCATAATGGCTCACAGACACTCTTACGCGCAAATGCAAGACTCGCAGCTCCAGAATTTGCGGCAATGGACGACGGAGGTGTCAGGTGCAGCACTGGAAATCGTGCTTACCACAGCGGAAACATATCGGCTTGCTACGCAGATCTATCTCAGATGTCGACTATATGGGTAAATTCAACCCAAAAAATACTTGAATGAGTTCGAACGCTAATCGCATGAACACAGTTACACTCGCTTCCATCCTGCAGTCACTGAGCTCTCTGACGCCCTCATCTCTCTTATACTCTCCATACCCGTTACCGGCCCGTTATATACCGCAATATACCCCATCTGGCCACTCTTTATAGCGTGTTTAACATGTAACGCCGAGACAAGGGATAGACTCTACCAGCGCGTCGTGCCGATTCGGGAAGGAGACAAGAGCACGCTTCCAGCTGTTCTCCGCCGCATTTCTGGTCTGCGCAGCTGGCTTGCGCGTCAGAGCCCCGAGATTCATCGTCATGAGGGCTGGTGGGATGAGATGCTAGAGCCGGAGAGCAGTGCTCATGTTATCCACACTGATCGGCTTTTGTGTTTGGGGTGAGATGGTATATGCTGAGGACGCCTGGTGCGCTCCTCATGCTTGCAATTGCTACTCAAGCGTCTCTTTCAATTTCGTTTGTCATTTCTGTTCGCCTATACATATTTATCTGTAAATCGTTCGCTGGATAAAACTGCATTGCGAGGATGGGAGGGGCGTTCTACTGCTTTAGGGACCGGGAGATATCCACATCATTTTTACATAGACTATCATTATTGCGAACTCGAAACTACTTAATTCATAATACAGTCACGGAGCTTCATATGCATGAACTTGAACAAGAAAAAGGTTTTGACCAGCACCCAATCGCAGAATACCAGAATCTGGAGCGGAGTCCCACGTAGCGGAGCTCCACTAGCTCCACTTCCCTCCCACTTCACCGCCAGAAAACCAGAATCCACATGATTAGCCATCTCATCACAACTATCCAGTCCGCTATTCGCACAATTTATCCCGATCCGGAGATCCATGGCTGCAGGGATGTGATGCATGCTTATTTTATCCGCGGGGCGATCGGTGAGGCTGGACAAACAACCCCTGCGTCTCACCTCCACGTCAGCCATGCTGCCGGGTCCACGCTTGCAGCTTGCCGAGTTATATTTACGATCAGCTGAAAGAGGACCGCGGGGCTATTCCGCTAGCCACCTTTTGGGGGTTCGTATGCTACGCAATGTATTGAGTCGGCCCTATGGTATTGGTTAGTTTAGTGCTTGGATGGTAAGGAACATAGCCTCGACGGGTGGGACCTGTCTCATTGGATATCATTTAGGGGAGAGGCTTGAGGCTTGGGTGATTGCGTATAGCCGAGAATAGGACGGGATATTTGGAAGCAATCTCACATGATTTGGCTTATGGGCTGGAGGGATCGGGCGAATGCTATCTTTTGCGTTGAACTGCTATCTGCTTCCTGTATTGCGTCTGTTTCTGCATTTCCTTCCTCTTTCTTTTTTTTTTTTTTCCCCTTTGTTTCTTTCTTTCTATTGTCAATCATCTAACTAAGCATACCAATATCAAATCTTGTGAACACTCTCCAACACAAGTACTCAATTTCTTTCCCTCTCTCTCTCGACATACTCCATCCTCTATCTTCGGAGCCTTAAAATGGGCTTCATCCACTCCTACCACCTGCCACCCGCCGTATCCAACCTCATCGCAACCTCCCCAACCCTTACCCTCTTAGCCACCCTCCTCGCCATCAGCCTCCTCACTCGCGCCCTCACCGAGCTCCAGCGCCGCCGCGCCCTAGCCCAAACCACCGCCTCCCTCAAAACCCCCATTCGCATCCCCTACTGGATCCCCTTCGTTGGCTCCGCCATCTCCTTCGCCCGAGATGTCGAAGGCACGCTCGCAAAAGACCGGTAATCCCCCCTCCTCTGCAAACCCCAAACCGACCATCCAACCGCGTGCTTACACACCCTCGACAGCGATTCAAGCGGCGACGGCCTCATCTCCTACCGCCTCGGTCCCTCGACCTACTACGTCCTCAACATGCCCTCGCTCGTGCGCCAAGTCTTCGCGCAAAAAGCTGCCGTGCTCTCGAAGGAGAAGATCCTGTACTGGTTCATGCGCGTCGCGTTCGGCGACGGCAACGCCGCGCGCACGGAGCACGCCGCCTTCCACGCGAGCCACAAGGCGCTGAACCTCATGCTGAAGGACGATTTCGTGGGCGAAGCGACGGGGAAGACGGCGAGGGCGGTGGGCCTGAAGGCCGGGAGCTTGGTCACGTCGAAAGCGAACGGGGGGCTGGAAGCGTGGGAGAAAGCGGGGGGCGTGACGTTCAACGCAGACGGGAGTGCGGACGCGGATTTCTATGGGTTGGCGGTGCATTATGTGGGCCAGGTGGTGATTGATATGCTCTATGGGAAGGCGTTGATTGGCAACAATCCGGAGCTGCAGAAGGATTTGTGGAACTTTGATGAGGGGGTGCATCATCTGGTTTCGTCGCTCGGAGCGTTCACGGCGGCTGGAAGAAGGGCGAAGGCGGCGAGGAAGGCGCTGGTGAAGGCGATGGAGGGGTGGCATAATGCCATGGCTGCGGTGCAGAGGGGTGAGGATCCTGGGCCGGAGTATCAGGAGTTGGATGATGTGTCGGAGGTGATGCGGTTGAGGGTGAAGAATTGGGTGGAAAACGGCGCGTCGACGAAATTGCAAACGACGAATGATGTTTCGGTCCTTTGGGGCGTGAACGTCAATTCGAACAAGAACATCTTCTGGATGCTGCTCCAGATCTACGCGCAGAGGGAGTTGCTCGCTGATATCCGGGAAGAACTCGTGGCGTATGTGAAGGTGTCGTCAACTGGCGAATGTGGAGCGAACGGGTTCCCGAAATTAGATATCGATGTCGATGGGCTTTGCAAGAATTGTCCGTTGATCAAGGCGTCATTTTACGAGACGATGAGGATGAATATGTCAGGGTTGGGGATCAGACAGGTCAACAAGGACCTCATATTGACGGAGTCTGCCGAGGATGCAGCAATGTTCGGGAAGAAGAAGCCACAATCGTACCGCATCCCCGCTGGAAGTTCGCTCGTTCTCGCCAACGGGACGATGCAGCAGGATCCGCGGATCTTCGAGGAGCCTGACAAGTTCCGACCGGGGAGATTCATTGAAGGGAACGGTAAAGATGAACCTGTCCGCGTCAATATGAAGAATCTGCATACGTTTGGAGGGGGGTTGTACAAGTGCAAAGGGCGTTATTTTGCTGAGAAGGAGGTGCTGATATTTGCGGCGAGTATCTTGGTGATGTGGGATTTGAGGCCGGCAGATGGTAGCGATGCTCTCAAGATTCCAGATATGGGTCTCGCGGGCGCATCGAGGTCTCCAGTGGCCGACGTCCGGGTGCGGTTGACACGGCGTTACTCGTGATGTCTTCTTTCAGCGGCGTACCAGTTTATTTAGTGTTTATCGTTCTATGATACCTGTATAATTCAAAATAGCATAATCACGTCAGGATGGATTGAAGGAATAATTTTACTCATTCCATATAAGCATGTTGGTCTGATTAGCTATTCTGGCGATAGAGCCTTATTCAAAAGCCCAACTGACACAGTCAAGATCAGGCGGAAAGATCGTCGTCAGTAAATCGACACTCAAGGCCGTCCCAGCTTGGTCTCGTGATGCGTATTGGTGCAAATGACAGAGATAAAGAGCACAACCTCACTATATGGAGCGTCTGTCAGTTCGATTAAATAAGCAAGAGCTGCGATCGAGGATCCGTCGATAATTGCATGATTTATTTCTAGTTTGCAAATGGCAGTATTAGTCGAGACATATCATGGTCACGGTCACAGAGCAAGTCAAAGAGGGTTTTCCCAGACCACTGATTTCCATTTCCTACATGAACATGGCGAGCTGAGGGACTGGAGAGGGGGGAAGCTAGGACTCAAGAACGGAATTTGATGGACACAAGATGGCGTCCTGGTCTAGTCGACCCTGGCACGCTTAGTCGACCGAAGCGCCTGTGAACATTCACGAGTGAGAGTCATCCCCACTTTGTTAGCATCCTTCTTCGCCTGTTCGAGCTCCTTGTCCTGAATCGTGGTCAGTAAATATTCAGAATGAGTCCTGAATTCAGACACGTACCTTTTCCTGCTTATCGAATTTGGCGTTGATCTCCTTGGCAGCGACCCTGAGTTCTGCATGGTAGGCGGATGGCAGATCCATGCCAGCGAAGGTGATGTGAGTCCGCAGTACGGCCATGAAGACTGCTTCGAGACAACCGTCGTTTTTCAGGGCCTTCAGAGTGTTACAGTCGAGGACGGTCTGAGAGGCCTTCAAGTGAGGCTTTCCACAGGCTTTGCAGTAGCGCCCCATGGTGTCGAAGGTGTTGGGTTTGGATCGTAGTAGGGTGTATGTTATGAAGACAGAAGAAGTTGGTCGGAAACGGGGTTTTGATCGCCGGGAAATTGGGCTGCTGGATCGAGTTAGCGCAAACGTCATTCTTGGACAAGAAGGTAGGTACCAGGCCGTCATATATACTCACATGACCTTGGAATCTTGAAAGTATGTTGAAGCACCTCACAAAGTGGCCGAAGAGCACACACAGACTTATGAAACACCGAGAAAAGGAGATGGTATGTTCACGGTGAAGATTATACAGTGCCAGGTCAATCATATATACTCTGATACCTACCTAATGCTACGACGCAGTTGAGCCTGAACCTCGTGACAAGCCTCACACTTAGCCATACTCGTGAACTGGCATTGAAGTGCCTCGTGGCCCCTCACACGCTCTTGCCCATCTTGCTCTCATCGCCTTGTCCATTCTTTTCCATCTGATCCCCCCTCTGGCTTCCCATCAACTGTCGTTCCTGATCTTCGTTCTGCCCCACTGACTCGTTCCTGCCAAACGCGTCTGCACCACCATGGCTTCCGCCACCGTTCACGCCACCACCGTTCACACCGCTGCCGCCCACGCCGCTGCCGTTCAAGGGGCTGCTGTTCAAGCCACTGCTGTTCAAGCCACTGTCGTTTATGCTGCTGCCGTGTGTGCCCATAATCCGACGCCCCAACACATTCTTCAGCCGCGCTCCGCGCATTGAGGACTGTTGGTGGCTTTTGCGCTCCACTTCATCCGCTAAACCCACTCCGGAATCTTAGACATTCAGTGAGAATCTTGACCGCTTCCCGATGCTCTACCTTCATCTGCGCCATCTCAGACTCTAGTGCAGCAATCTGTGTTCGGAGGTGGGTGTTTTCTGCAAGAAGCCATGCAGCATCGAGGGGCTCCGAGCGATTGAGGGTCGGTTGGCTGATGAAGGCAGTGATGCTGTGCTGCTGGGTTAAGTCGGTGCTGCTTGGTATGAAAGACGAGGCCGTTGTATCGCGGGCCGATAGTAGATTAGGGTGGAAAGTGGGGTTTGCTTGGTACGGGTGACTAGCTCGACGGTTGCAGGCCAGGAGGAGGGCCGTAATACGGAGTTCCGTTCTCTGCGAAGCCGAATGGGTATCCTGATGGCGTATACAATTGATATCCGGCTAGAGAGCCCTCCTGTCTGTCAACAAACGGAGCTGCTGGAGGCACCCCCGGGCCAGCCCTCATACGCTTCGCATGCAGATCAGCTTCCTCAAACGCGTGCTGCCGCTTCGTCTCATTGCTCTTAGTGAATGATGTGAGTCCCTGCTCGGAAAGCTGAGATCCTACCGTCTCCGCAAATCCCTTTGGTTCATGGCCGATCTTACGTTGCCACCACTTGCTATTCTTGATGTAGAGCGGGCAAGCAAATCCCTTGTGATTGATCTTGTCCTGGCACCACATGCACTTCCGGGGGCACCAGTAGAAGTTTTCTGGGCCAGGCTTCCAGCAACAGATGCAGAGGTCTACGCCTACTCTTGGAGGAACGTCGTTGTGGGAGACGAGGGCGTATGTGCGCGGTGGGCCGCGAGGATTGTTCGGATCAGCGCGTGTGATTGAACGTATATGGGTTTCCATCGCGGTGAAGGAAGGTGGAGTGGAGGGTGGAGGAGAATGAGTGGAAGTGTCGTTGCGTCTGCTCTTTCCTCCGCCACGCTAGTGTCTGGGCACCCATGTCACGTGCGGATAGCGCCGTTGGAGGTGGCCTGGATTGGTATCACACCCATCAAAACGGGCAGCTTGCACGTCCCGAAAGCTCCTTGAAGGGCTTCAAACGGTGGTGGGAAGGTGTATACAGCTCTATGATGACGTAATATGCCTTTGCTCACGCATGGTTCCCTCGGTGAGGCAGTTGTAAACTTTACCTACCAAACCTACTGCGTCCGCCCTTCCACCGCTGTCTAAGGTGGCCTAGAGAGTTATTAGACCAGTCAAATAAGCCAATTTTCCTTGCATCCAAATGCGTGAAACTGCGCTGAAGCACTTCAAACGGTGGCGAAAGCTTGTACACAAACCCAATAATCGGCAGGCCAGATGGACGGCACCGTTTGAGCGAGCCCAATGCTTCCAGACAACTCACAAGATAGACTTACATCGCATACAGTCCCACGAGGCAAAAAAAAAAAATACAAAAAGAATATCCAAGGAGCAAAACACCACCCCCTTCACCGGTGTGAAGGAGGAGTAGCCACCCCCGAAGGGGTTTCTCTGATAACAGTCGTGACAATGGCGGGACTCGAACCCGGACCCAAGGCATTCATGTTAGGGGCGAGGGGGCCGGAGGGCCTGGGCGGAGGCGGGCGGAGGCGGAGGAGGCGGGGGCGGTACCACTGGGGCATTCCTGCTGGTTAGTTGAGATGTGCCCAAATAACTCAAAACATATACTTAGGCTCCAAGGTCAGAGGTCTGTGCTTGTTATGGTGAGGGCCGCACACGTGACCGAAGAGAAACGTCCGCTGCCAGCGGACTCATCTCACCTCAACATACAAAGCTGTACCTATGATGTCGGGCCAAGGAGACCGGCTTATACCTGGATATCCTCCGCCCTCTTCTAGTCCTACTTCCACCATTTTACCTCCGCAGTCTGGCTTAGATTTCTGGATTTGTAGTGGGGAACTTCGGATGGGGACGAGCAAGTAGACACGCATACTTGCGTAGACATGTGTTCATCTCATCGTGGCTACAACCACTGCGTATCCTCAAAATCACTATCTCGGTACCAATTAGCATCCGTATATGGCAAGTTTGGGTTGGGTGCATTGCTTACTTCTAAATCGTTCTCACAACGTCCGCCACGAGTCTAAATAGGGAAAACTGGCTTACGCGCATTCGATAGACCATCCTAGTCATATTCTTGGAGGCGTCACAGCTCTTACGTCCGTATAATAATAATACTACTTCAGACATCCTGCTAATGTCGTGTGTACATTCCTCCTAAGAACGGCCATCCGTACCTTTGCCATGAATGCGGAAGTTGAGGTCGAGACGGCGAATCAAACATGGAGGGCGAGCTGGCGATAATGAAAAGCGACCAAGATCAAAGAAATACTACAAACGGCGGCGGAAAATTGCCGAACCTACTACTCAAACCTACAAACCAAGCTGCTCGTTTTGCTTCAGATGTCTCGATTCCACCGTCCGATGAACATCAGACAATGTTATCTACATAGACACTAATCTACTACGTAAGACTGCTTCCCTCCCACGTCCAACACTCAATCAGTCACAGCCACTTAAGTCTCAGAACACTGTCAAGCACACCTCGCTCACGTTGTCTCCGCGATATGGGAAGAGTAAAGAAAGGGCCAACCCGCCAACCAGCCACCCACCCAATCCATGCAATTTAACCGCTTGACACCATCCGATCCCGTTCCGATCCCAGGACTCCAGAAGACCACAGCCAATCATGCCCATGCACAAAGAGAACAGAAGGAAAGCAGAAGTGAGTGAAGAGAATAGAAAATTAGACTAGACTAAGCCACGAATCTACCCTTACCCCCAGTTCAGGTGTCTCGTCTGCCCATATGTAGACACCGTTGAGCCGTGATCCGAGACACCAATAACCGAACGCTTTATGTGTGGAACGAGTGGATTGTATGAACCTGTGACACTGCAGCTCTGGTGGGATGGCTACGGGTAAGGCGGTCATGGCGGCAAAGCTTTTGCTGCCAGAATGAAAACAGTCAAAGCCGCTCAGAGGTACCGCCCGTGACATTCGTTGTGATGTAGAAAACTGTGTGGAAAGAATAAAACTTCCGAGACGGACGCCCATATCCATCAATGCGCGCTGCGAGCGCCCTGTCCAAAGGTCTCCAGCAAGCTGACATCCCCGAAATGTTTCGCATCGTACTGGTTAGATTCGTGGGTAGCGACAAGCGCAAGGTCTTCCATAGACTTTCCAGTAATCGTTGCCGTGCTCTCATCCATATTGCCGAAAGCCCCGTCATGAGGCTGTGAGACTGGGGGGGCTGCACTACTACTCGAGCTCTCCCCACCTGCAGAGCCCTCGCGACCTTGACCGTGGTTCGGACTGCTGTTATGATTCGCAAGATTCTCAATATGGGAGCTTCCATGAGCCTGGTCATGCTTATCGTCTTCAACTCCAATGACCTCGGCAAGACTGGTGAAATTGAACATGGGCTCTAGGCCGCCTGTAGTACCACCGGGAGAAGTTTCGTCTCTGTTGAGGCTCACACCTGAAGCCGTCGGGCTGGGTTCGAAAGAAGAGCCCGAGGCGCCAAATCCACCAACTTGCTGTAGCGAACCTTGCAACGACTCGGAGAAAGAAGAGGCGGACGAGGAGGCATTCGATAGATTCCTGAGAATTTGCCGATGGGTAGGGGGCTCCGCAGGCTGCCCAGCGGTTGAAGAATGGCTTTGAATCTGGGCCCGCGAGTGCTCCAGATGGCGCTGAGGGTCCTCCTTGGAACCAGACGCGTTGATGGTTGAAGTAGGTTCGCTTAGCGGGTTGAAGCCAGTGTAGGCACCAGATCGGTCGACACCCTTACCTTTGCCTGCAATTGTCGACAATCCGGCGTTGGTGGTATCGGTGTCGCGATCAAAACTAGTGCTAGGGAAAAACCCAGTCTTTCTCGCCGCCTTCTCGGCCTTTTTCGTCTCTTTCGCCTTTCTTTTCTCCTCCTTTCTAGATTCCTTAGCAGATTCCTTCTCCTCCTTTTTCTTGCGCTCCTCCTCAGCTGCAATGCTCAACCGGATCGCTTCCATCATCATGAGGTCTTCAAGATCCTCGATTCGATTTCTTCGAGAGCTGTGGCGACCAGGAAACAAATCGTCCTGTCCCCGCGGGCCTGAGCCTCCCGATCGCTCTGCAGCAGCAAGCAACGCGCCCACGCTTCCGACACTTCCACCATCACCATGACGAGGCGTGTGGTTGCCACTGCTACCACCGCTATCTCCCCCGAACATGGTCCGCCGCCTTCGACCAAGAACGAACCCCCTGCCATCCGCAGCCTGGATATTCCCCATCACGTATGCCGCGTTGTGCAAAGCAGTCGCCGCTGCAGCTCGTCGAAGCGCATGGGCACGTGCATCCGATAGCTTCTTGGCCCAATCGGGCCGAACCCGGTCTGTGGTGATCACACTCGCATTATTGGCCGAGAGTGACGTCGTTCTCCGTCGATTACCTGTGGGTGATCCTAGTCCTTGAGAAGCTAGCGATGAAGAGGACGACATGGCCGACATGGTACTCGCGAGTGGATGTCCTGCCTGTCCTGCCTGTCCTGCCTGGCCTGCATATGAAAGCCCCCTCCTAAAAGGTGGCGGTTCGTATGTAACACCAAACTCCGGTTGTACGCAGAATGGACAAGAAGCAGGCTCTGAAACAAGCATACCATCCTCCTGAGGCTCCTTACTCGCATTTGGATCGGTCGGGTCATGATGCTCTGGAATGTGGGGGTCAGGTCGCTTGATTTGGACAAAACACTCTGAACAGATCGGTTGATCGCAGCAGCGGGTCTTGTTGAGATAAGGTGGATAATACAAGAAGCAGATGGGACACTCGGTAGCATTCTTATATAGGAAAGCTTCTAAGCGTTGGCCGTTAACATAGGGGTCCTTCGGAAGCTGCACCTCCTGGGGAGTCATTTCAGTTTGAGAGTTATTTTTCGATGATGTCGTCAGAGCAGCTAAGGTCTTGGCCCGACCACGGAAGAATGGTGAAGATGATGATGGCGAGGCCGAAATTGGGGATGTGGGAGAAGGCAGCGAAAACGCTGGATGTGACGGAGATAGATTCATTGATCTGTCGGAGTTGGATGACTGCGATCTCGAGGTTATGGGCACTGTGAGGTGGTTGATGTTGCTGTTCGACGATCGAGGGTTCCAGTCCACACTCAAGTTGGTTGAACGTGGTGGCTCCTCTGGGGGAATTTCATCGGCCGGCGGGATGGGCAAACCATTGACGACAGCTACCAACTGATGCTCAGTCCACATGTCCGAGTGGTCATTGAGGCCCTTCCAAAAAGGTGCCAGCCGGCGCTCAATCTTCAACATTGTTAGCCTGCACTCTACTATAGTGAGCACATCTAGCATACCATCAATTGCCGGACAACATCTTTGTTGAAATCCTCCGGGCCCGTATAGGTCCCCAGTGTGACTAGATATCCGCCATCGACTCCCTCCTCGCGGATACTCCGCTCCCGCTCTTTCTCTCGGGCAGCCCGTTCCTCTTCGAGTTTCCGGGCTTCCCTCTCTGCCTTTGTCTCCCGCCGAGCTTCCGCGGGTGGTTGGTCGGAGCTCCCGCCGATGCCCAGGAATGACAGGTCAGGTCTACTTCCCCGTCCGCCACGACTAGTATATGTTGCCAACCTGTCGCCCGCGAGGTGGGAGGAAGAGCCGGAGGGCCCGGTAGTGGTAGGAGAGCCCGCGTCGCGGACATTATCCGGCCGCGAATGGCTGCGCGAGGAGCCTGGACGCGCTTCTTTGGCCGAGCTGTTACCCATCCTGCCAAATAGGAATATCCCGGGAACGCCGTCGAGGGTGTGGAGTGGAGCGGATTGGCGATGGTGGTGAGGTAAGCAGGAGGCGGAACCTCATGAAAAGAGAGTGGCCACGGACGAAGGTGTGAATGCAAGTGAGGGCGACCGGGGGTTTCTGTGGTGGTTCTTCGAGCGGGGAGTCGGGTCGCATCACAGGGACATGATAATGGATGAAATCTAAGACAGCTGGCCCAGCCGGAGTCGCCTTATCGCACGGTGGGAGGTCGCGGGCGGGCGGGCTGGTGGTTGAGAGGGTGGATGCGGCGTGGAGGCGGCCGGCGCTGGGTGATGGAGGGCAGTCGGGTGGTGGAGGATAGAAGAGGTTACGGGATCGCGTCAGGCTTCTTTGGGGTGACGTTGGACGAGAGGGCCAAGGTTGTTTGCGTTGTGAGAGGCGGGGAAGGGAGAACCCGGCGATGTGAGCAGCGACTGCAGCGACTGGATTATCTACACCTCCGACATCATCGCTCAGGGCCCCCTTTGAATCGCTCAAAAGCCTGCTGCTAGACTCACTGCTGCAGGTGCTCCTCCAGCGCTACCCATACTATTCCCGCCAGCGCCAGGGCTTGCTTCGTGCCTTGCCTTAGGTCTAGATAAAGCTGCCGCCGAAACCGCCCAGCATGGGGCGCATAGAACCCCACGCCCAACCCAGGTTTCACCACCATATCCAAGAGCCGGGGCACCCGAGTCATGTGTGCCTATTCGATAGAAGAAACCCATCATCTGCTTTCTTTTCTTGTCCACGCTCTGCTTTTGTTATCTCTCCTTCAGTATAGTCTGTACACCACCGAGGCCATGCCGAAGAATGGGCATCAGGGCATCAGGTCAGGGCATCAGGCCGCTAACCAATGGCGAGGCTGCCCGATGGTGTTTGGGCCTTCTTGGTCCACGACGACGTGGCCGAATTTGAACGGGGAACCCCTACAACTTTCCATATAGCCACTCCTGAGGACTCCATAGTTCGAAAGGGATAGATCTATGACGGTTAATCCCGATCGGGAGCAAACTGTCCCTCCTATCAAATCAGAGTTGAGTATTCACAGTTCCAGATCTGGATCAGTGTTAGACATTACCGATTTATCTTGCTTCTTTGTTGCCGCTTCAAGTACCCGTGTAAAATCGGGCTCAGGCCGTAGCCTATATCGCAGTGTAACCAGGATTACATTCCATTGCTAGTTTCGATGTCGGGCGACTGTTCTCCTGACGATTAAAGACAGCTGTGCACAAGGTACCAATAGGAAGCCTGAATCATAGCGTTGGATGCTTTACATTAGATCTAAACTTTCCTCGATATCTTGAAGAGCTTCTGAAGCTAGCAGACTAGGGTAACAGAGCAAAATGAAACAGATATGCTTCACCAACGAAACCAAACGCTAGGTATATCAAAGGGCGAAAGATACTACGTCTTCTCCTGCAAACAGCCGGCATATAGATACCTGCGAGACTTAAAAAGCGATAACGTAGGTGGCAAGCGAGTCGCGCAGGCAAGCGAGTCGCGCACCCTTCAACTTTTTTGCAACGCGACACCTTATAACTCAACAACGCATAGAAATACTAGTAGTATAGTAGCTCTGCAGGATTAGATAGTATCTAGAGTACGTTTCTCACACGTTTGTGAGTTATGCCCAGGCTGTCTACAAAGCTTACAGCGCGCTGAGGCCTGCCGGCTGACACCTGATTGCGCGTTGCCTTGACGCGTTTCACTCTCTAGCTGCTGCTCAACGTCCCTTTGAGCAATAATATCCTCTCCTTCTGCCTTTGTTAAGGTGCCTCGCTTCTGGATCCGTTTCCTTTTGCGTTGTTTACGCCTTGTGGCGGCCTCATTTGCCTTCTTAAGTCTAGAGACGCGATCGCGCAGCAACACTAGCTCATGGCCCATTACCTCACCGCCCCTTTGAAGCTGATTAAGTGACTGGATAATCGATGTAGGAGAAGAATCCTGATGCTTCTGTATCCGATCACAAATCAGGATTAATTAAGACCCTAGCTCGCGCGCGTTGCTTGGTGTTTTTGATTCCCATAGGGTAACATCTACAGCAACGGGGGTAGGCGTCCGAAGCCTAACATTAAGCTGTAATAGTACCTTATCTAGATTATATAGGATTAGGCCAGCGCCTTGAAAGCTTGCACAGATGTTATCCTTTGTAAATAACGCGTTAAAGGCAGCTTTAAAGGCTGGCAAGAACTTAAGCTTAGTAATATGGTTAATGTGGTCGCGTACTAGGCCATTGACCTAATGCCCATACGCGCGCTTTAATGGCGAGAAGCAACCCACATCAAGTGGCTGTAGGAGGTGCGATGAATGCGCTGGCATGCAGAGAGTATAGATGTTGTTCTCCCTGCAGATGGCCTGGAACTCGAGCGATTTGTGGCTCTTATGGCCATCTAGAATTAATAGCCGGCGTGCGCCTGCTGTCCTCCCTTTTGTATGCCTATCAAAGTGCCGCAGCTATGCAACACCAAGCTTATTTGTTGTCCAGCCATTATCGCTCACTAAGATAGCCCAATTACTAGGTATATCATCATCCTGATACCAGGCAGAGAGGTGGTACTTGGCTGTAAAGATAATAAATGGCGGGATCGCCCACCCAGCAGCATTGATTCCCTGGATAACTGTAGCCCACTCGCGATTGCCAGGCTGTATTGCTTTTGGTCGGCCGCGCCTCTCAGAGCCTGTAATAACAAGCTGTGATGATATCCTGCCGAATAGAAAGCCAGTTTCATCGAAATTGTAGGTGTCCTTATCGCAGATGCCGTACGTAGCTTTGGTGCGCGCTACTAGGTTAAACCAGCCTCCAATAATTATAGGATCCTCGCATAGGGCCCTCTGCCAGTCGTACGGTCGATTGAATCGCGTTTTGAGGCTAGGTGTCCGGTTGACAAAGTTCCTTGGCCACTTCTGGCCAACCTGGCCAGCGCCGCGCTCAGCAAGCAGCATATTCGCCATATCGCGTACAGCATCAAGAGTGGGCGCAAACCCACGCGCATCCAGGTCCAGTATGTGTCTGACAATCACCTCCTCTTCAGTCGCAGTAAGTTTCTTTGAGTTGGGCTCGCAATCGCGTCGTGCAGGCTTTCCGGCGCGTCGGTCGCGTAGTGTAGATTCAGGGACATTGTATAGTAATGCAGCATACCGTGCACTAGGAATCTGTGTAGAGTTGATAGATGAGATAGCAAGGAAGAGGTCTCCTTCGTTGTACGGCAATGGATTTGTTGTTGGTGGAGCCATTGTAGTTAACAGAGGTCGCGTTGCAAAAAGTTGAAGGGTGCGCGACTCGCTTGCCTGCGCGACTCGCTTGCCACCTACGTTATCAAAACCTGTACCTATACCCATACTGAAATCTACGCCCACCATTCTCACCCCTCCACCACCCCAGACCTCCGCGTCACCTCAAAGCTCACCTCACCTTGCGCAAAACGTCACCTTCACAACTTTATCCACCACAACCCACCAAACCTACGAAATTATACACCCCACAAACATGGATTTCGCACCCTACCAAGATGCCTCCCCCGAAACCCACCGCGCCCTCTCCCCGCCACCCCCGGGCGCGCGCTCCCCCTCTGGCGTCCGCTCGCCCACCTACTCGCCGCGCGCCTCGCTCGACCGCACGCGCAACACCACCGCAGCCGTCGTATCGCCCTCGACTACGTCTCCGCAGGCTGGGTACTTTGGGAGCCAGGAGCCGGAGCGGGAGCCGTGGGTTGGGAATGGGGGAGGAGGGTTTGGCGGCGGGAGGGAGGAGGTGGATATGTTTGAGACGAGTCTGCAGAGGTGGGGGTTGAGGATGGATTATGAGGCGTGTTTGGCGTATCTGCTATTGCCGCCGGTGGGGGGTGTGCTGTTGTTGGTGTTGGAGCATCGGAGTGATTATGTGAGGTGAGTGGATGCATGATTCTTGGTTGATGGGGGAGAGGATGCATCGTGGGAACTTGAGGCTACGAGGGACAGAATTGTGGAAATTATATTGGCTCTGAGTATGAGAGCTGATGTTGTGATGCAGGTTTCACGCATGGCAGTCTAGCTTACTGTTTGCGTTCATCTTTGTAAGTTTCCACAGGTCAGATATACAAGAGGATTGAAGCTAATCAGGATCAGGTCATCCACATCATATTCTCCTGGACGAGCATAATATCATGGCTGCTATTCGCCTGCGATATTGCTCTCATAGGGTATCTCACATTCCGGGCGTACAAGGATGGTAAGCATTCTCATAACTTTACAAGCCCTAAGCTCTTTCCCCTTATATTTCATATCTGATCGATTGCAGCCGAGACCCTCGATCGATTCGAAGTCCCCTTCTTTGGACCCCTCGCCAGCTCGATATTAGATGACGAGTGACACGGAGTCAAGTCTACGGCCTATGTCAAGGGAATGGCATAGGAGTTTCTGATGCAATGTATACTTCTCTGTACTAAACAGCATGCAAGGCGTTTGGGAGGGTTGTTTGAATACCCACTTCATTGCAATGGCTTTTGCACGGGTTCATGTGGTGGTAGTTTCTTAAGTACATTGTCGAGAGCCCCATACAAGTACTTAATTTATAATTTCCGTGTATCAAGTGCTGGCTCTTTCGTGATACTGTCAAGGATATGCATGAGAGACTTGATATGCTGACCGCTTTCAATTTCGCTGAATATTGCGACTGCCTCGTGGTGCTATAACTGATCAACAATCTGCAGCGAATAATGATGTTCAGAATTCCAAATGCCTCTCTTCTTTCGAGAAAGAAGGGCGTGAGATCCTAACATCCAGGTCATAGATCAAGACCCAACCAACCTATCCAAACCTTTCTCTGGCAATAGCCCTCAACATCTCCATCGTCTTATCCTCCTTCGCCCTAATCTCGGCCTGCCTCTCCTCCCTCTCCTCAGCCTTCGCCCTCATAATCTCCTCCTTCCGGATCTCTCGTTCGTTCTTTTTCCGCTCACCTTCCTTTTTCCGCTTCTTATACCCGTCTATCCCATCATCGCCCATGAGATCCCCTTCCGGGACCTCCTCCGCACCAGGCGACTTCGCTTCCCTGAATGCGTTCAATGTGCCAGTGACTTCCCGCTTCTTCTCAAGCGCACGCTCTCGGGAACCGGGATCTGCGCGGGGAGCAAGCTCTTCGAGGCGCTCTTTCTGCGTGCTGCGGTCCAGTTTGCGCTCGTAGCGGAGGTCGGCGATGTTGTGGGAGCGCGCTTCGGCGGTCATTTCTGTACCAAAATTGTTAGCAAATTGCGTTATACATAGGGAAATGAGGCCTTTGAATACCATCTCTGAGCTCCAGATCCTCTCTACGTGGTATGACGGGGCCTGCACGGCGACCATGCGAGTCTGGAAGCGCGGGCCCAATCTCATCCTCGGAGCTTGAATCATTCTTCGTGTCACCCACTTCTTGTGTAGTATTGTAAGGACGGAGGTCTGGAGACTCTCTCCGCTGTCGCTTGGGTGATCTCGAGCCAGCGTTCTGCGCACCGGTGGATGCGGCTGCGTTTTGCGTCTTCTTCAGCATGGCGGGGTCGTACCAGCCTTCTGCGAGTTCTCCACGGTTCCTCAAGAATGTTAGTCTCTTGTCCAAAGTTTCGAGATAGTGAGGGGTGAATGACATGGATATGAGAGTGTGGTTTACCATTTGGAGAGGAAGCTCTTCCATCGTCCGCGCGCCTCGTGCTCCTCTATTTCCTCGAGGTATAGCTGTTTGTGGATGTCGAGATATGATGCAAAGAGGGGTTTGTAGGCTGTGAAGTCCTGTTTTACGAGCGGGCGAGCTCGGTATGGGAGGACTGCTGGGGGCGGTGGTGAGCGCTTCCGCTTGTGTCGCGGTTCGTCCTGGCGGCGCGGGGAACGCGATCGAGCATCGTGAGAGTGGCGATGGTGATGATGGGAAGAGCGGTGGGGTTCTCTATGGGTATGTCGAGAGTTGGAGTTAGAAGGCATTGCGGCGGTTGCTGTTGGTGTTTAGAGTGGGTCGATGCAGGTTGGTGTCGTGCAGATGAAAGATTTCTAACTATACATCGGGAAACATTCAACATTTCAAAGTAGTTTAAATTTCAAGCGTCTCTTGAATATTCGAATTCCTATTTCTACTTCTTTTCAAAAGTCATCAATGCTGAATGTAGTGACTATCCCGGTAACCTCTAGTTTTGGTGTAATCGTGTTTGAATAACTTCATAGTCAACCTCGAGCTCTGTACCTCCTCCCATCCACGTTGGGCGTGAAAAAAGTGGCACACTTATCGAACACTCTGTCTCGCGTGTACACCTGTTTGCCACTGTTTGTGGTGCTTCAACGCGTTTCCACATAGTCCAAGGCAAAGGGTTCTATCTCGTTCAGATTCCTGAATGTGCATTGAAGCACCCCAAGCAGTGCCAGACAGGTGTACACATGAGACAGCTTGCCGTAGAATTGGAGTGCCACCTTTTCTATGCTCCGCGTGCCATCGTCACCACTTGTTCTTTTTATGTACAATCTGTACAAAATTATTCTACTACTTGAGAATCCTTAACTAACTGAACAGTGATAGTTGCCATTGAGAATCGACATGGAGCCTCAAATCACACATGGTACCAGAGAAGCATTCTAGATACCATTTCAGTCCGCCTCAATGCTGGACCAAATATGTGATCTCGAGTACTCATCCTTCATCATTTCAGATTACATACATCATAGTTCGTTTCAAATGAAGTGACCTAGCACGATGTTGATGGATCTCCTTCAGAGAAGTTGATTATCGTTATCCTTCTCCTAAACAAGACTTCAGACATCTCATTAGTATCATTTCCCAAATCACATCCTTCTCAACCAGCCTCTCGTAGATACGACGTCCTCGATCGAGTTTCACTTAGTATAATCCTATAGCGCCAATTTAGGGTGTTGAAATGCAATGTGATGTCGGTGAAGCGAGGATGCATCTCCAAGTACAAGCGGCCTCACCTGGCACGTCGCTATCGTATATCAAGCCAACGACAAACAACTCGGCTATGAAACAGCTAGGCAATAGTAACTCACTTCATCTTCCTTGCATAGATAATAGGAACATCACTTCCAACAAATTAGGGTGGCCTCCCTCATAACTCTCATCTCTTCTACTCACTCTCACTACGACCAACCTCTTACTTGAAGCCTGTCCTCGCCTCAGCTATAGGCCTTTGACACATAAAAAATCAGCTTCTATCCTCTCCTCTACAAGGCTTCTTCAACTATCTTCAACTTCGACCTCTTGCCCCCACATTCCCACCCTCAGTCTCCTCTATCTCCGATCTCCATCTTTTCAACTTCGCCCTTCCCTGGCCTTCTGCAATCGTATTCAAAGTTGCGATACAAGCTCCACTAATTGAGCTGTCTTGCCTTTCGGCCACTATCAAACACACCCATCGCCTTCAGCTTCCTAATCACAACATCGAGTCAATCAATCCTAGGAATCGCCACCCGCTGAGAGATTCCGTGTCGCCTACCCACCGACTGATTGCTTTGGTTATTTTAAAGCGAGTCCTTGGGTCTTCAAGCCGCTTCAGGAAGCTCGACACTAGCATGGCGGCCTCTGGCTTCTCCGCTGGACAATACGTCCTAGTCCCACTCCCAGACGCACCTCAGCTTTCGTGGCCGGGAATTGTTTGCACAGAAGATATGGTGGAAATGATCCCAGAAGACGATCGCCAACAACGAAAGAACGGTTATGAGTTGCCGGTGTTGCTGCGTAGGGCCGACACGTTGGGAGTGTGAGTAAACCCTCCTCGAACACCAGTCAGCTGGTACTACGCAATTGAAAATTAATTGGACTAGTGTTTACGCCACTGCTGAGACCTTGAAAGGGCTGGATCCTGAAGACCGAGAGGTCATAGCGGGCATGGACGAAGATCGCCGTGTGGCGTATAGCGAGATATTCGACGACGTTCGTAATGTCTACTACCCAGATCTGGCCTACTGGAGGGAAATTTTAGAGACTAGCCTCATACAACAGCAATGGAACGGATATGCATCGGACGACAGCGTCCAACTCGTCGAGGAAGTGGTAGCGCCGCGTAGAAGAAAGCAAAATCCATCGGTACCACAATCCCGCTCTGTCCAAGCGAAGAAACGGAAAGTCAATACGCCCTCGCCCTCCCCCGAGAAAAAAGACAACTCGTTCTACACATGGAACTTGACGTCAGAGTTAGGAACTGCGGTTTCACAGCGTAAGCACTCTGATAAGGTGCAGTCTACGCCAGACGAAGATCTGATTCAGTCTCTAGAGGATCACTCGCAAACACTAGAACTAGAGCCAGAGCCGTAAGTCAAAGAAATCTGCCCGGCCTTCATCTCCGCGGCTAACACACTTCTAGGGTCGATAGAGAGTGGGCGACTTTTTACATCGGTAAAGACGAGAAGGAGAAATTCCTAGTGCCGTATGCAGATGTGCTGAAGTTCGATTGCTTCAAAGAGGCCATCGAGGACAAGGACGAGGGCATTTGTGTCAGACGTCCAGCGTTCCGCAAGATAGACCCCAAGAGCTTCGACGCTGTCTCGGAGTTCATCTCAAATGGAGACTTCAATCCACTTTTCAAGCAAAAACCACCAGAGGATCGGCAAGAAACACCAGAGGATCAGTTCGTGGACGACATGCCCACCCAAGTAGACAAAATAGAGGCAATGACCCGGTGCATTCGAGCATGGAAGGTATCCAGCGAAATTCCCTTCGAGGAAATGATGGAGATGACACTACGAAAGATCAAAGCATTCAAGGAGTCCCCAGAGTTCACTCTCTGTCTGTCGAAACTCGTCTTTGCCGAACCGATCTCCGATCTCGACGCTGATATGCAACCCGAAGCCGATAAGCAACTAAGAGAATACTTGATTAGTGAAATCCACGACAACATCTGGCCGGATATAAGCCAGGCGAGTAATGTACTTGATGCTTTTCAGCAACGTCCGGATCTTATGAGCGCAGTATTGGAACGGATCCGGGAGGCTAAAGAGCCCCGACGCGAACCCTATGAGGAAATTTGAGCGTTCTAGCGTCTTCTTGTTTTGCTTATATACTGACTCCGTATTGCGAGAACCGGGGAGTGAGCCAGGGCCGGTTTTAATGATTTTCGAACTAGGCAATTCTGATTTTCATGAGCACACTTATAGCGGTCATCTGAAAAGGGCACTTCAGTGCCACTGGCAATCCAATTTTATCTATTGATTCTGCGTTCGGCTTTGATATTCTCTTTGGTTTCGGCATCCCCATACTTATATGTATGTATGTTCCTTTACTATTTCAATGACATCTTCCTCATCTCCCACCTCAAGTCTCAAGTTATAGACATTAAGGGTACTTCAACATATGGGTCCCTGTAAGCTTATTGCCACTTTTTGGAGCATGGTGGCCGCTAGAATTGGGAACCGGAGTAAATCGCGAGCTTATATTTCTCAACATCTTGATACCACACTAGGCTACCCCAGACAGTGGTGCCATCTATCTCTCTTCTACACGAGGTTTAGATCTGCGTGCCTCTTCTCACCATCCCTCCAAAGCGTTAGCTGTGCTACCTTACATACATGACTCTGTGATTTGACCTTCTTTCTTGTCGCGGCCGAAACGTTCTCCGCAGCACGCATCTTCGACAACGAAGTCGGCTTCGGTGACGCCGTATGTCGTCGGAGCACCAGCACGGTGCCAGATTTCGCGAACATCCCTCACGACTGCTTCAGGCGTGCCATCGTTGCTTTGGCCCTGAACTAAAACACCATATTCGTAGATTCCAAATCCCACCAGCTGCAGACTCTTTCTATGTTCCTCTAGCAAAAATGACTCGATATAAATGTAGACATTATAAAATCTGTGGACATCGGAGTTGGCATGGTACTTTTGCGGGTGAGCGAAGCGGACCTCGAGCAGTTTTCCATCTTTGAAAGCCTTAATCAATCCGGCAACAGCATCGAAGCCGAGCCATTCGTAGAGTTGTTGTTCCCGTCGCCAGCATCATCCAAATCGTTCGGTACGCCTATTGTAACGTCTTCCAATTGCATCTCAGCCGGAATAAACTTGCACAGCTGCTCATGGAAGCACATATTGTCACCTTCGCTCGTCGTAGCGGCCCTGCTTGGGATGTAGAAGCTCTTGATCTTCAGCCCGCTATGCTCGGGCAGTGTTTTGAGAAAATCCAAAGCTGCTTTGCAGCTCGTCCACACCGAATAGAAGACATTTCCAGTATATATATGGGAACGTGACTCTTTCAGCTTTGAAATCCATGTGAAGGAGGACGTCTGCGACTGGCAAAATGCAGTTGAAGGCCACTTGATTCTCGTCTTCAGATGATAGTCATTGTATGACATTTCCTTCAGAAGGACAGAGCTCTTGCACGAATATCGAGTCTCGAGGTCCTTCGGGAAGCCTCTAGACGCGTTAATCTCGCTCTTTGATCTCTTTGGCTGTACGGATGGGAGTCCTCTTTCGGTCAGCTCGAACAGTTCACAGATTCTAGGGGTTAGAGGAACATGGGCGATTGTTTTATACATGAATCAACAATGCCAATGTGAACGATGTCCTGCTTTCGATGGTTCTGCTTTGAATCTCTAGGCAACCTGTGAAACGTCAGAGACGCGATTCGATTTCTATGTACGAATACGCCACCAATCTTACGCGCAATCACATGATCGATTATCTTCGCGACGTCCGCTTCTTAACGGCCGTCCCTACATCCTCCTCATCCTATAACAGCATAAAGTCCGGATAGATTACAGGACACAGTTTCATCGATAGTATTTCGGTTGACTCTTATCACACGAAACTTACGCGCTAGCAGCATTGGGATAGCATGAAAGCATAGGTATCCGGTATCCTACTGCATCTCTATTCATATGCGTATTATCTTCCCTCCCCGTCATTATCCCCATCAACCAATCCTTGAGCTCAAAACTGGATCTCTCTCTTATTTTATGCCTTCACCTTTCCCTTCGCCATCCGACAGTGTGGTGACCGAACACCAGAGGCAATGGCCATCGCGAAGTAGTGTAGCTTTTGCGAACAATAAAAGCCTAACAGTGCTAGTAATAGAGACGATTATTCGACCAAGTTCTGGTGGCATTGTAGCATCTTTGATGTGCCTAGAGTGCTTTTATGTCTCAGAAGCGGGCTGTAGATATCTATAAACAAGGAGAGAGTGGCGAACACGCGTGCATAAAGAGCAGCTGATGCAGATAGGCGCAGAAGGCGCTAATGAGGCCGCCAATCTAATGAAAAGATTAGTATGACTGTGCTGGAGATGTTGATGAGTTGTCAGTATGCTGTTCTGCGGACAATGGATCCGTTAGTCGGGCGTTTGATGTCAGTACGACGGTGAGCATACGAACTCTCTCTCTCTCTTGCCTTTGCCATATAAACGTGTTCGTTCATATTTTCGTCGTTCTCCGTGTGAGGCGAGCGAGCGCGTCGCCCGCTGGCGTCACTTGACCTCGTCCCTCAAGCATAGGCCCTCTTCCATCGACCTCTGCTTCGCTCTATCAAGGCCGTTATGATGGCTTGCTAGCTGTCGATGGGGGATTTTGTATTGCGTTAGTCTAGGAGAAGCTGTCAATTCCATTCACTCAAACGCGCCCGCAGATCTGGAACCTTCTCTTCTGCATCTGCCACGCTGACAGCTGTAGATCATTCACCTTGAACAACGCTGCAACCCGCGCTGTATTGAAACCAGCCACCCTGGATTTGCTCGCACTCTGTCTACTTAAGCCTGCTCACCGACACCCCACCCTAACTTCTCCACCACACTTCTCAAGTTGGCTTCACAGTTTATACTCTTGCTCTCACACAGTTTCCGAGCTTATAGCTGTCATTCTCATACATTCTATCTCTCTCCACTCGTCTTCCACATTACCTAGTACTGTCGAAATGGGTTCCTTCGGACGCGGTCTCTTGAGTGGAGTCGGTGGACTCTTCAAGCGAGGTGCTACCGCCCTCGGACTCTATTCTTCTGCGCCAACATCTTCGGATCTCGGGTTCGAATACGAAGACACTGCAGCTCGTACCGTTGGTGAAGTCGAGTCTGACGACCCTAACGACCCATACGTTGCTCTCGGTATGCCTACCTCCCTTCCTGCGACTCCTCCGCGTCCCATCTCCTCGTCAAACATGCTGACCTTTCTAGCTCTCCCGGACATCGAGGATGATTGGGGATGGGTCAATCATCTCCAAGAGAAAGGCTATTGGAACAGCCGCAAAGTTCCTCAGGGTTAGTCTAACCTGCCTACTGTCCGATTATATCCAACCTCGACTAACTTATTCACTACAGATGTCTATCCCAAAGACCTGCCAGCTGGCTTTGCCACCAACCTCCAAGCGTTCATCAAGTCTTCTCCTGGTATAAGCGCAACTCGAGCTCTAGAACTCGAGATATACAAGTGTGGCGTCGACAAGAAGCACCTTGAGAGAGGGCGCTTTTTGGGAGAGCTTGACGATAACAATATGTGGGGTAAGTCTTCGTATACTCTAAAATGCGAACTAGGATGGCATCTAATACGGCTTGCAGTCACCAAATCCTGTGGTTCCAACAAGTTGACGCCTACCACGACTTGCGAGGAGAAGTATCAAGTACTCGGTAAGTCCTTTCACAGATCCATGCGACTATGTATATCGCTCGTTCGTTACTAACACAACACTTAGCGGCTGGCCAGGTTGTCTGGGTTGGCGAAATGCCTAGCATCGCATTGCTGTTTGCCGGAAAGGGTTGGTCATACAGCATCCTTATTCACTACGCCAACAGCGTGTGCAACGATGTTAGCCGCATCGACCACAGCGTCAGCGGCAGCCAACGGAAGCTGATCGAACCTTCCTACCAAACATCGTACGAGAACGCGGCGATGACGGTGCCCTCGGTCGTTTGCGACCATACGCTCGGTACTCAGGACCACATTGCCGGCGATGGCGATCTACAACATATCGAACTCACCTACGAGGCCGAGCACACCAATCAGAACACGGTGTCCTTGGGATCGAGCAGCTGTTCCACCTCTTCGGAAGACTCCATCACCGACATACTGAGCCCGTATCAAAATACCACAGCATTCACTCTTCCAGTTGAAAACGACACGCGTAAGTCTCCCCATATCCACTTCACCTCTTTACTTCGTACTTCGTCCACTACTAACATTGTCCATATAGGCGCCCTCCATCTCCACGCCTGGTACACTTTGAAGTGGTCTCAACTCGAAGAGGCTTGCTGTACAATCTGGCGCAGCGTATTCCAGGGTCCCGTGGCCAACAACTACGTCGTCCTGGACGAATCTGCCAATCTGATCTACCTCCATCTAGATAACTTTCTCAACTTCTTCGAGAAAGTGCCTCGAAACTCCTCTATGACGCTCGCGGTCTTGCTGGATGATTCGTTGGGCAAGGTCCAGGAACACGCTCCCATCTTTATTAGCTTCGTCTGTGACTCGGCCAAGAACGCCGGTGGCTGGACTCTTGATAGACTCTTAGAGGAGTCTACCTACGAGAGTCTCGCGGAAGCGGTCTGTGTTGTTGTACCCCTTCTCACGGCCAGCACCTACTGTGCGTACAATGTGTCTTACTGGGCTGCACGAGGCCTTTTCGGTTCATCCAAATGGGTTTGGCGGAAGGCATTCCCCGCCGACATCACCATCGAAGCAACATCTGCTTTCACACTCTCTATGCCGGGCCAGTTCCCCACCCCAGCTAGTCCCAACAGCCACGACGACTACGCTCCCTGGGCCTCGGCTTCCCAGACAATCTGCTGGGGCGTTCGCAAGGGCTGCTGGGCCACTCACAAGGTGGTTGCCGCTACCGTCTTCACGATCAAGAGCATCCCGAAGTGGGTGGGCGCGCTCTGGGCGTGGTGGAACGACAAGCCCTCCACTCCCAATAGCCCCGATACCTCGAACCAGCTTTTTCTCCAAGACATCGAATATCCGGCCCTACTCGGGACTTTTCCGCAGGACGCAGCCCCTGTGCCTTCGTTCCCGCAACCATCACTCTCGAAGATCTCGCCTTCAAAGGTCACTAGGACTCCGTCCTTTTGCCGCCTGTCTACCATGTCCATGCTATCTCCCTTCAACTCTGGAACCATTACTTCGGTGTGCTAGATCCGTCGCCAAAAAGTATTTTCGTGGGTTTCCTTTTGTACATAGGTGGTCATGAACGTACCGTTTATAGCGGACCTATGTCCCTCATCAAAAGTGTTTCATAGCGAATGTAAAAGATGTTCTAGATTATTGATTCCTGTGGTGTGGTTCATAAATCTGCGATTCCTCCGAGCCGTGCCCAGCGAAGAGAATGTGGTGAAGCTTTGAGGGTGCATATAAGCGGACGATGGCCCATTGATTGAGATGAACGGAGAAATAGCTTCTTGTTAGACGATACTGTAGAGGAGTAGTGGAAAGCTGGGCGGTCGGTTCGCTAAGCTAGCATGGATGATAGCAACGCGAGCTGTGCGTGAACAGGGTGGTGGTAGGGGCCAAAATGGAGAAAGAGATGAAGACAGAAAGATGATATCCTTATAAATATGGCTCGAATATGTTAATACGTCATGGATATAGACGGCTTCCTCCGCTCAAATAGTTTTAATCTCCATGATATGAACTCCAGAAATGCTCTTGAACGCCATTTACCCCATGTAGACCCAAGTAGATAAACCAACGTAGAAATCTACAACGCTAATAATTCTCCCAAGTCCCAATATGACTCCCCAACACCCTTGTCTTCGTCCAATCCACACCATACTTATACGGTGCCAGGATCGGCTCCTCATCAATCCCACAATGGTCCTCCCCGTCGCGCCCACTGAACCACCCCAGCGCATACGTCTTCGGTAAACTCTCCAGATAATCTGTCATCTGCTTGCTGTCCATCTTCTCCGTATCGACAAAACTGACCAGCATCTTGGACTGGTGGATGAAAGCGAGCACGGAGGCCATGGTACCGATCTGGCGCGGGATGAACTTTTGCGAGCGGCGGAAGTAGATGATGCAGGCGATGATGACCAGAGTGAGGAGAATGCCGAGGACGAGGGAGAAGGAGACCCAGAACGATTTGAAGGTCTCGTCGGAGTTGTAGCGGTCGTCGGAGTCGTCTAGTTTGTTCTTGCCCGAGCTGTGGCCGTGGCCAGGGAAGAACTTCTTGCCATCGACGGAGAAGGAGGAGACGCAGACGGTCAGGACTTCTGTCAAGATGGCGCCGAAGCCAACCATCGAGACGACGTAATGCCGGCTCATGAGGGCTTTGATGGGAAGCCATCCGGGCATGGTCCCGGTGTAGTCGAGGGTGAGTGTTCGCGGTGGTGCACGTCGGCGTGAGAGGATATAAAAGGGTTCCAGCATACGCACGTCGCAGTCGAGAGTGCCCCAAAGCAGTTTAACAGCCGTTGCAATGGCCGTGAGCAGGAATGGAATTTTCTCAGTAACATTATTGGCCGCATCCACAAACATGAACACTGGGATTGCACCGAAGAATAATACCAGGAAACAGATGTAAGGGATGCCGGCTCGTTTCCTTAGCATAAGCGGTCGGCTGTCCGTGTCGTGCTCCCGCACGTTTTCTTTGATGTTGCGGATATACTCTCCCTGCCATAGGGAGCTTTTGTGTAGAATGTATCGCCTGTGTCGGAGCTGCTTATGGATCAAATGCAAAGGCGCAGTATCCAGACCATGGAAGTCGTTGAGGATATGGCTTCGGGTTGCCATGGCTGCGACACCAGCAATACCCTTAGGATCAGACTGAAGCCCGCTCTTACGGCGTAGTTGGAAAAGCAGGACGACTCCAAAAATGGCGACACAGCACAAACTTGCTGTCACTAGGCGTGACCAAATGGGCACTATCCGGACGAACTTTAGTTGGTCTTCTTTCCGCTCCTTCTTGGGTGGATACATGTTGATGGACGCGGACTGCAGGACGGGGACAAGACTGCCTGAAACCAAGGTAGCCAACGAAGAGTAAATGACGGCATACTGTCGGTATTTCAAAGCTCTGAAGGGGACTAGCCATGACATAAACGTAAGGTAGTCCATGTTTACAGACTCTGCAGCTGTTGCACCGGTCTTCTTAGAGAGCTGATAGTAAGGCTCCAGTCGTTTGACCTCAAAGTCGGAAATTTGCCATAGGATACCGTAGGTGACTAACGTCAGGACTGGAGCATACTTCCAAGTAAAGTATGCTGTTATGCTGAGCTCATTAGGGGCTTTGAACTGTATCAAGCCCTTGCCGTCCTTGGATCTTCGTATCGACAGCTGGCACAGGAACTCCTGCAAGCCGGCAAGACCAAGGGCAATGACAATTAGAAGCGATATGTACGGCCAGTGCATCGACATTGGCCTCCAAGAAGGCATATCGGGGTCTATGCGAATGTTAGCAATAGAAACGTTTACCGGAGCTCTCAACGTACCTGGAGGGAAATAATAGCTAGTTTTTTGCGGAGCATCACCCTCCCCCATACCTGCATTCATCACACTTCGGGTCTCATATTCAGCGCCTCCCAAATTGCTGATGTCCATGAGTGGGACTTCTGCGACAGCCAAGATTTCTCCGGTCTTCTCTGCAGCTTTCTGGGCGTCCTCGCGGGATGAGTCTACATTTGACGGTCCGCGACGATGCTGATGCACTGGTCCTGGGTGATGGACAAATGGTGCCTCTACGACCGAGCCCATTCCTAATCCCAAAATTGCGTTGCTGGATTTAGGCTGGGCTTCTAGTCGATCGTATTCGGCAGCAAAGCCTGCCTGTAATAACTCCTGTTCGGCGTCGATAGAGTCTGCTGTACTTTTCATTTTCTTGCTGCCGCTATCCATGCTTCTCATAGCGATTGGCGACCCGGATAGCCCGCTTATATCAAACCCAAGGGGCTCTTCCTCCTCGTCCACACCTTTGAGTCCCCGCGACCTTTCGACATCATCCTGGTCTTCCAACACGCCGTATTGTCTGTTCGTTCGTGCAGTTCGAAGCGAGCTGAGCCTATTTAACAATCGATGAGTTCCTCCTGATTTCAACTCGGGCGGTGAGTGATGTGTATCGAAGGGATCGGAGGCAGAACTGCCATACAATGTGGGTGGGGCTGGTGCGCGTGGTATTCGATAAGATGGCTCAGCAGCGGGCGTGAGGGGTGAGGGGTAGGATGTTCGTCTCGAGGAGTCATGGTCGGTATTGATAGATGCAACAGAGGCCGGTCGGGACGGGAAGAGCTGTGAGAGTCGGTCGGAGGTGGAGCGGTGCGAGAGGGGTGGTCGGGTGAATTGCTGCGACCCAGGGCGTTCCACGAGAGGCGACCCGACTCGGAGTGGTGAGGGGAAACTCTCATTCGAATAATTCCTCTCCACTGCTGGAGAGCCAATGCGTAAAGGGTTAGGAACCCCCTCCATGGAAGGCCTAATCACAGATCAACCCTAATTTGACCACAGGATCACAAGCGAGTCTGTATGGGTCCGAGGACGCGATGTCGTGGTATCGAGGGTACTCCAGTATATCAGACGAGAACCAGATGGCAGGCAATAGAGCAGCTGTAGTATTGAAGGTTGCTGGAGCCTGGGAAAGCAAATGTGCCTTGAGGTTCTTCGTATCCGTGGATTCAGCCTCGTTGCGCCGAGAGCTGAAACTCACAGCACAACCAAGGCAGGAAAGCGAGCGTAATGGGGTTGGGTAATGACGATAGCACGAACAAGCTTCAAAACATTATAGAGAGGCGAAGCAGGTCCGGAGCCTCCCGCAGGAGTTCGCAGCACGCTGTTCCACCAGCCCTGAAGTCCTGATCCCAGCCTCGCGAACAATGGCCCCGGTCCGTCGAAGCAGGCGCGGGGCTGAGTTAGGTTGGTGACTGGCGGGGTGTCCCGACAGCCTGGTTAGACGTGCCGGAATGTCTTACGGTAGCGGTGGGAGGCCGTGAGATGTGAGCTTTGGAAGAGACAAAGGATGGTGGAGACGAAAAGGAATCATGGCCCCCTCTTCAACCCGCCGGCGCGACCTGGGCAAGCCATGGGCCAAGCCCAGACGCAGCTGGTCGCTATTTTTACGCTCAGCCTCACCGGAAGCACTGGGTCTAGCGCCAGGTGGTCGTGATGGCGCTCTTGGAGGCGTGGTAAATAACCTCGGATTACTTCAGCAGGGAGACGCCTGTCTTTCTTCGTTATATACGAAGAAGACGCGGAACAAAAGCTCCTATTGGCTCGAACAGCTTGCATAAGAACTAACGGGCCTAATACAGCAATTCCCCTCGTCAAGCCGGCTTAGCGTGCGTCGAGGACCCCTTTCCGTCTAGACCTGCCCCATTCGAGCAGGAGCTTTGCGGCGTCCGCTGGAGACGAAGCGCCTGCCGCAGAGCAGCAAACACCACGCTTTTTCTCCACAGCCCAGCCACACCCAAGGGCCCCTCAACATTAGCACAGACGCCGATATACACTGCCGCTCGGCGCACCCATCATTGCTACGACGTGCATGAACCGTGGTTGTCCTTCGCTCCCATCCAATCGCCACGTTACCCGCGTGCTCCGCGCCGCGACTCCTGATACCTGTCTCTACCATTCACTGGCACGACATAAGACGCGTTCACCGCTTCATCAGTCCCCTTTAGACATTATACAACACACGCTCGCCAGAACACTGCACCTTGTCCACCATGGCGAAAGGCAAATACACCCCGCTGACCGTACGTTGATTCCTTGCGCCGTGAAACCTGCACCACTCAACCCCGCCTACAACTCCGACGCTCTCTAAGTGGCCATTCGATGCCCTCGACTGACATGCGCAGCTCTCCCCGGTCAACTTCAGCCTCACAGAGGGCACCTCGATACCCGCTCCTCCTGACTCGCCGCCTGACACTCCTCGCCCTCCCACTCCCGGTAAAGGGCCTCTCTCATCACATCCTACACCCTCCGTAGGAACGTTCGCTGAAGCCACAGCTGCCAATGGGAAGTCATCAACAGAAGGCGGCCTCATCTCGCCAACCCCACTCTCCCCCACCCAGAGCAGTCTAGGCAAGCGGCCGTCATCGGTACGCAAATTCCTAGGCCTGCGCACACTGAGTAGCTCCGACAGTCTGAGGAGTACGGCGACAGACAGGCCTGGTAGCCCTTCGACAGTGGACAGCAGGCCGTCCCTCAACCGGAAGAAGAGCGGGAGCTGGTTCGGTAGGCGGAAGAGCGCAATGTTCGTTGGCCGGGTGGAGGAGGGTTCGGAGAAGGAGAACGCGGCGCCCAGGATGGCGCCTGTACCTGAAAAGAAGGGTCCTCCACCGCCGGCTCTCCCGGAGCTGAAAAGTCTTGGTGTCAGTGAAGAGGCAGTATCCATGGGTGCGGACGATATGTTTAAAGACATCAAGTGAGGAGATAGAATTGAAGAACGGAGATTGATGGGGCTAGCTGTAAAATGGCCATTGCAGTAATGGCAGACTTGGATGGGCCTATTTTTCTCAGTTCCGCGCATGGAAGAGCTGGCTTGCGGTTGTTCATTTCGTTGGATACACGATACCCCAAACAGGCAATTCGAGAGATTGGCATAAGAGGTTTATGGGGATGGTGTCCAGGAGTTGTTGATAAGGAAAAGATTGGTCTCAAAAGAGAGCTGGTGTGGGGGGACTGCTGATGATTCCTGGTTCGATGAAGCAGTCCGACTGTACAGCTGCTTCACACACAAATTACTACCCGTTTCTCTGTATATGCTTAGCATCAAAGGCTATCGCTATTGCCCTCGAAGTATCAATTCTTGTTCGCTGTCTACATGCTCCTTCTAGGCTCCGTATCATCTCATGTGACAAACAATCTTGCTGTGCTTCTTGTGATATGTATTTATACAGCGTATGTTGAACTCATACGAAAACCCAAACTCCGTTCATGCCCGCTAAACCATCAGTCCACCTCCTATTGCCATCTCTACGTATTCTTGAATACGAAGACTCCCTTCCCCTTCCTGAACCCCTCCAACGTCCCTTTCACAGCCGCAATCAGCTCACTCTCCGGCGTCTCCCACTCCCACGGAACCTGCTCAAACGGCATATCCTTGAACTCCCCCCTCCTCGTCAACTCCAACACATGCTCCACCGTCTTCTTCTTCTCCTCCGGATGCCACTCGGCCCATTTACTAACCCAAAACCCATCAAAATGCACATCCTTAAAAATCAACAAACTCGCCGGCAGCACCAACGGCTTCTTCGACATCGCGCCATACGTCACAAAATGCGCATGCGGCGCCAGAATCTTCGCCATCGCCGTCGCCGCCTCCCCACCCACACAATTCAACCCCAGCCTGACCTCCTCCCTGCCCCCATCCGTCCACTCCTTCACCCGCTCCCTAAACTCCCTTGCCAGCAACTCCCCCTCCGTCACCACAACCGTCGCGCCTAGCTCCGCAAGCTCCCTCTTCAGCGCCTCCACCCCCTCCGGCCGGTCGCGTATCACATTAATGCTCTTGAGCCCCCACGCCTTCCCCAGCTGGATCGCCGCCCGCCCCACGCCGCTGTTCGCCCCGTTCTGCACAAACCACTCGCCCTCGCCCACCTTGACGAAGTCGCTCAGCATCCGGTACGCCGTGCACGGGTTGATGCTGACGGTGCCCGCCTGCACCGCGCTGATGCCCTCCCGCGCCGCGGGCTCCAGCTTCACGAGCTTGTCCGCCGTCGTCTGCGCGTGCGTGCGCCAGGTGCCGAACGACGGCGCTTTCATGATCACCCAATCCCCCTTCGCGAAGCCTTTGACTTTGTCCCCGACGCCGATGACCTCGGCGACGCCCTCGTTGCCCGCGACGGCGATGGGGGAGGGCGTGGAGAGGGCGGTCGTGAAGACGGGTTTGGAGGGGTAGACGCCTTGGATCTGGTTGATGTCGGCGGGGTTGATGGGGGAGGCGAGGAAGCGGAGGGTGAGGAGGGAGGAGTGCGCGGGCGAGATGGAGTGCGTGTGCAGCGAGAGGACAGCCGGGGGGTCGCCGTATTGCGTGAAGGTGAGCGCTTTGGCTTGTTCGTAGCCGTAGGCGGAGATGGGGCGGCGGGCGGAGGGGCGGAGGAGTTTTGGGGGGGTGGAGGGGAGTAGAGGGCGGAGGGCGGTGTGGGAGAGGCGTTTGGAGGCCATTGTGGGAATTGGGTGGTTGGGGGGAGCTGTGGAGGTTTGTGCTGTTGATGTCGTCTGGTGTTTTCTAGTGGGATGTTGGAGCTTGTTTGAAACCGAGGATACGTAGGTAGAACTAGGCCGGATTACGCAAACAACAAAATTACGAAAATCATAGTAATTCTGCAGTTCGCTGTTAGAACATTTAGATGGTATTTAAAATCAAGACATACTCATGCTGTTAGTTTATAGATGTCGTATCGTATTGTAGAGCACGTGACCGCTTGACAATTGAGAGGCTAGCTTTCAGATTGCGTCCTCATCTTAAATTTATAAGGTATAAAAACTAAGAGCACTGTTGTCTTATATTTACTAGCCTTACAAGATGCTAAACGCCCCCTATCCGTTAAAGAATATGATCAGTCATCGTTTCGTTACAGCGCTCACTCTAAGCTCCCTCCCCCTTCGGCGCCTGCGGCCTCCCGCTCAGCGTGTTTATGATCGACTTCAAATCCATCCAGAACTCGTCTTTCGGTCGTCGGTCTTTCCAGTCAGTCTCCTTACTCTCGACTTGCTCCATTGGCGAAAACAGCACCTTGGCGCCCTTGATACCAATGACCGCCGCACTCATCGGATCAGCAGCAATCTCGTCCTTGCTCTTCCCGATGAACTGCTCGATATGCTGTAGACTCTTGACGCCGAATCTCGTCGCTCGCACTCTGTCCATAGGCGATGGTGTTGTACCCTGCTGAAAGTGGCCGGGCACACCAACACGCGCCTCGAAGCGGCCCTTGGCTTCCTCGCGGATCATGTTGGCGATGATTTCGGTGGTGTAGGTCTTGGATGCCTTTTCGTTGCGGAGGATGATCTTTCCGGCACGGCCCTGGCCCTTGTCTCTGGCGAATGTCTCGCGGAGATGGTCGATGTCGCGGTCGAGCATCTTAATGTTGATGCCTTCCTCGGGCGTGTAGACTGCGAGGGCACCGATGGAGAGACCAGCTATGCTGGCGATGTAGCCAGATGCGCCGCCTTGTGTCTCGATGATAAAGACGCGGCGTCGGGAAGCTGATGCGGATTGTCTGCATGCATCGCAGTACTGAATCAAAGAGTTCAGGCAGGTATCGCTTCCAATCGAGTACTCGGTGCCTGGGACGTTGTTGCTGACGGTGGCAGGGAGAATGACCATTGGGATCTTGAAAGAATTGTAATGTTCCCTCGCTTTTCTCAGCTCGCTGACTGCGGTGAAGGCTTCGAATCCACCAACGAGGAAGAGCGCTTGGATGTTGTATTTCGCGAAACACATGGCGGTCGTTTCAAGGTCTGTAGACGGTAGACCACGATTCGTTCCAATCTCGGAACCACCCTTGCTGGCCCAGCTTTCGGCATCTAGCCAGCTGATTTCCTTGATTGCGCCCTCGTCATGATGCCTTTGTAGGCCGGGGAAGCCATTGTGGATTGCAACTGGTGTGTGGCCTCGAGCCAAGCAGTACGCTACGGCGGCTCGAGTTGCAGCGTTCATACCTCCGGCTGGCGCACCGACGTGAATGATACCAACCCGTATTCGCTAGAAACGGTCAGCAAGAGGATTATCGTTGGGTTCTTGACAAATATCTTACCTGATTCTCCGGGAGGCGCAATTTGGGTTGATCTGACGAGGTGGTTATGTTATAAGCCTGGTAGTATTCGGCAAACTCTGCGTCTCGTAGACTCATAGCTCGATCGAAGTCCTTGGCTCCAATAGCCTCTGCCACTTCGTGGGTCTGCTTCACAGCCTCCAGTAGCGGCCTTCGCACAATCTTGTTCTCAATCATGCATATGACTGGACTTGGTGTCTCCGGGGTGGCCTCCAATACCGCCTTCACAGCTTCAGCGCCTTGTAGAGTGGACAGCATGCGGTCATACGCGCATGCAGTACCTCCTCGCTGGACGTGGCCCAAAGTGGTGATCCGAGTGTCCAAGCCCAATTGATTGGTAAGGAGATCTTTGACCATCGACGGTGTGATCTTGTTTAGATTTCGGTCTATAGCACCCTCGGCAACGATTACGATGGTCTTTCTCTTGCCCATGTCTCGGTGCTGTGAAAGTTAGCAAATTGATCTTGCTTGGAGCTGGATGGTGAAGTCATACCTGCTTGATGATGTGGCACATCTCCTTCTCCCAGTCATCTGAGGGAGGGTTTTCCGGAATGAACACAAAATCAGCACCAGTACTGACACCTGCCATGAGAGCAAGCCAGCCGCAATGCCTTCCCATGACTTCAATGACGAAGGCTCGCTGATGTGAAAAGGCCGTGGCGTCAATGTAATCCACCGACTCGCATATTCGCCCCAGAGAAGAGTAGCAGCCAATAGTCGCGTCCGTCATGGACAGGTCGTTGTCAATAGAGCCGACCAGCCCAACAATGTTCAGATGCTTGAAAGGCTCGACCTGCTCGGCGGTCAACTCGCCCTTCTCCACCAGCTCTGCGACAAGGCCAGGCCATTCCCCCCTAAACTTGTCCGCACCGGTCAAACTACCGTCTCCTCCGCAGATAATGAGAGCATCGATGCCCTTCAAGACCATGTTCTTCGCCGCGGCCAGGCGTCCGGGCCTCTCCATGAAGGACTTGCACCGTGCCGTGCCGATCAGTGTTCCGCCCTCAGAGAGGAAGCCCCGGACGTCTTCCCATCCCATCTCCTTGATCATATCCCCTCCTTGTACCAGGCCTTCATAGCCCTCGAGGATAACGTAGGCCTCGCAGTTCTGGGCAATTGACATGCGGACAACGGCTCGCACAGCTCCGTTCATGCCGGGGGCGTCCCCTCCGCTGGTCATGACACCAATGCGGCGCTTCTTACCCGGGAGGGGTGGTGGAATCTCGGTCGGGGCCATGGTGTTGTACTCGGGTTTGTCGTTGGGGATGCGGGGAATTGGGAGGTCCGATGCAGTCGTTAGAGAGGATTGCGGACGAGGAAGCTATATAGTGTAGCTCAGATGCGGAAGAAAAGGTTTGGGGTGTAAATGACCAGGTGCATGTTGAATAAAAACAAAATGGGAGGTCCGGAAAGTGGTGAGCTCTTCCCGGGGGTGGTTCTGGATCGGGATGCGTGGATGTTGCACCGCGACGTGGGAGCTCACACCAATCATACGATGCGGGGTGGAGGCATGTACTTTTACAGAGCTGTGTCCGATAAGGCTGAGTTTTCTTCTTTCCCGAGCTCTCCAACTCCATTCCTCGTCACCGTTCGCCGAGACGCAAAAGATGCTATCTAGTAGAACTATTCTACCGCGAGGCCGTCAAATGTGATTCAATTAGAACGCATAGTCTAGGAACAACCTTCGCATCTTAAATTTTCCGGAACTGCAGACAGCGAGCGAAGCATCTGCTCTTTTGCTTTTTGCGAGAATTTTCCCCTCCCTTATCATCCGGAATCGCCGTATCGACGTTATGTAAATCTTCAAGCCATGGCGTTACTATTCTTGATGACGTGTGACTCCATATTTTTTAAGCCTAATGCAGCACTGCGGGCATGGAGCATTGGAGATCTCGACATGGGAAAGAATCGGCTTGTCGTATTTCCCGTGAATTCTTTCTCATTTGCGTCCTCAAGGAATTTACATCTTTTCAAGTTTCTGCTACTATGCTAGAGCACTCCACACAGCGGCAAGCAAGTGTGCACAGACAATTAAGGAGGTAACTCAAGAATTCGCAACAGGTAGTGTAGCCTGAATATGAGGTCTTTATGGTCATTACACTTGTTAGAAATTCTGATTTCAAGCGCTCCTCGCCATGGTGTTCCTTAAACGGCCTTTCGTCTTTCATTCAGTCATACATACATTATCTGTCGTTACTATATCCATATTGCACCTATCACCGCTGCTATTAGGAAAACGTTGAGTGGCCCTAGTGATCTTATCCGTCCCGCAGCACCCGTAGCAAGGGGCCCAGTATACCCAGCCGTCTGAGTACCACTACCACTCGCAGTGCTAATTCCGCCTGCTCCACCTAGACCACTGAGGATGTATCCACCAACTCCACTCGAAGTAGCCACTGACGGTGGCGTCAAAGGAACCGTCGAGCCGGCCACCACAATTGCAGTCTCGGATGGAGTCAACGATATCGTAACACCATTATACACCGTCGTCGAACCCGGTAACAGCGTCCCTCCGTTAGGCAAAATCACGCCTCCTCCCGTGGCAGTGGCATAAGTGATTGGAAGAGCTGACGATCCCACAAGGAGCGTCGTTGGAGCCGGAGCTGGAGCTGGCGTGAATGGAACAGGTTTGATCGTCTCGGTGCCATCGACCACCAAAGCTGTTCCGGATGGCACAAGCGCGATCGTCTCTCCGTTCACCACAGTCGTAGTGCCAGGGAGAAGCGTCGCCCCCCCAGGAAGAATAATGCCGCCTCCGCTCGCAGAGGCGAACGCCGCCGTGATGGCTGAGGAGCCCACCTGGATAGTGAAAATAGATGGGAAAGATGGTGTAGCGGGAACTGGGAGGACAACGGTCGAGCCGCCAACTACGACAGCTGTTTCGGAGGGTGCGAGAGAGACGCCAACGCCGTTGATTGTGGTTACGGCACCGGGCGATAGAGTAGCACCTCCTGGAAGTACAACGCCCCCTCCACTTGCAGAGGCAAATGCAGCCGTAATCACTGAAGAGCCTACCTGGATAGCGAAAACAGATGGGAAAGATGCTGCAGCGGAAACCGGGAGGATGATTGTCGAGCCGCCAACTACGACAGCTGTTTCGGAGGGTGCGAGAGAGATGCCAACACCGTTGATCGTAGTTACGATACCGGGCGATAAAGTAGCACCTCCTGGAAGCACAATGCCGCCTCCTGAGGCTGAGGCGAAGGATACTGGGATGACGGTCGAGCCAATTTGGATGGAGGATACGCCCGCCGGAGGTATAACGACGACTGGTGGGGGTGTTTGGATGCTTGCATGAGAGGAGGGCTGATTTTGAGAAGTTGGAGGTGGGTTGTTTGCTACGGAAGAGATCGGCGATGCACCATTTGCTGATGAAGGAGGCACCGGGGCACCGATTACCGATGAAGAAGCTGGAGGAGCAGCAGGAGCAGAACTCGGCTGGTTCTCGGACGCAGGAGGTTGGCCATTTCCCGCCGAAGAAGGGGGAGGAGTATACTGAGATGACGAAACCGGAGGTGGAGTGACTTCTGCTGCTGATGAGCCTACGGAACCAGAGAAAAAGCCTCCAACTGTGATTGTGGTTGAGCCATGCGTTGTTAGCGCACTGACAGGCAAATGCACTGAAGGCTGTCCTGATCCGCTCACAAGAGAGCATGACGCTATCATGGGGAAGCTCTCCGTGACACTGGGGATCGCTAGGATTGTGTCTTTCAGCTGCGTCGGCGCATTCACATAAGTTCCTGCAGACCAAAACGTCGAGGTCGCTGGAACAAAGTCGTATTCGGCCGTCAATTGGATGATGTTGCTTACGGGATTGAAGTTCTGTAGGTCTTGCTGGCACATCTGTTCTCCAGCAGACATGCTGTAAGTCCCCGTGACGTAAAATGCAGAGTTGATGGCGACATATGGCGTTGGGTACGTTAGAGTTGTGGTGGTGAGATCTATAGTGGTCCCTATATCGAAGAAGGTTTCAGAATAGAGGAGGTATCCGGGGATGATGTCCGTCGGAACTACGAGTCCTTGAGTCGCAGAGGCATTGTATATTGTCGTCGTGTTGAGTATTACAGTGTTGTTATACTGAAGGTACTGGGTAAGGACCGTAGCGTAGGTGATGGTGAGAGACTGGTTCCACCAGAAATTTAGTCCGACGGTTTGGGGTACGATGAGGCAACATGGTGCTCCGGATGGTGCTATTGTGGTGGCTGGGTATTGAGTCGAAGAATTTGAGTAGAAACTGGAATCTACAGCCTATCAGTATACACTCAGCAGTTCCAAAAGAGTGTGTCATGCCCGCATCGCGACCTCTCCATCGGGATACGGCTACTGTCACATGCAATAGCGTCACGTGGGCTATATCACGTGTTGCTGTCACATGACCTCGCTTAAGGCCTCCGCGCCTCTTCCTACACATTCACGTGACCTTGTAGCTACTTCGTCTGTATACTCAATACAATAAGGTCTTCTCCCTCGATCCTCGCATTGCACCGTGACAGAGTGTACGTAGAGTAATATCCTAGAAGAGACAATTTATTATCACTTACAAGCTGGTAGATTAGCCGCAAACGCTGTACTAGCAGAAAACAGCACCAGAGCGAAATTAACGAAAGACATTGTAGATATTAACAAGAGCTGGCAGGATCCGGGGATGAGGAGGTGGATTTCACGCTTTTATTACATACTACTCACTGCCTACCAAGATACCTAACCCATGCCGAGGTCGGGTCATACACGCACACAATTCATTTACATGGCAGGGATCACATCGTTAAAAAAGGTTATGGGGCTGTTTATAGAACTAGTCGGGAAAATGGTGCGGCGCGTAGATGAGCCCTAAACCCAACTCGTTCCACTCCGCGAGGAGTGGAAATGGACGTCGTGCAAGGGCAGGTCTCTCCCCTCCCCTGCCTCCACCAACCACTCTCAGTCGCAGAAATGCTCTCTATATTGCGTACCAGTCACGACCTTCTTCTACAACGCTTCCGCTGGACATCTTTATTTAGATACATTTCGTGCGGCTCATCCATTTTGTCGGAGAATCTTTCAGCTTACATGCGCAGTACATGCACGCTGCGGCAAGGAACTGCGGCTCGACAAGGACACGCACGATCGATCTTCTCCCATTCGCTACCATTGCGATCAGTGTTCGGGATCCTGGCCTATGGCTTATGTTTAAGGTGCAAGGGTTGGTGTTGCAAAACTTCTCCTCCTCGTTTCATTGATGGACACATCCGGAGGCGCCCACATATGGTGTTTCATTGAAACAGGTCTGGCCATATTCTACATCTCGCCCTAGCGGGAAGGAACCCGCTGACTAGGTACACAAAGCTTGGGTGTCGACCTGATAGCCCCACCCATCTCCTTCCCAGCTTCTCTCGTCTTTCACCTCTCATTATGCGCGACATGCTTCCATCTTTACCCTACATCGTCTAGTTGAACGCCTTGTCTTTGTTTCATTACTATGGGGAATGTCACTGTCCCCGCCCCGCTCGTTTTTTCTCCCTCTCAATCCTGGGATGGGAACGACGGAAGCTGGTCTACCTTTACAATTCGCGTAGGCACTCCAGAACAAAATTTCCGCGTTTTGCCTTCAACCAGTGGCCAAGAGATCTGGGTTCCGGTTCCTGAAGGCTGCATATCGACCGATCCGAGCGATTGTGGCGACCTCCGCGGCGTATACCCATACGATGGGAAAGCAAGCTCCGGCTTCCTAGCAAATCAATCTTCAACATGGAAATCTATTGGACTATACGACCTGATACTTGAGCATCAACTCGGCTATGCCGGTGCTGGCATGTACGGCTTTGATACTGTTGGTCTTATGATTCAGAATTCTGGTGGCCCCAGTCTGTCTGGTCAGGTTGTCGCTGGTATTGCGACGAAGGACTTCTATCTCGGCATCTTTGGCCTGGGCCCGAAACCTTCCAACTTCTCGAATTTTGATTACCCGCAGCCATCCTATATGCGCAGCCTGAAGGATCAGAATAAGATCCCTTCTCTGTCGTATGGATACACAGCTGGCGCATCATACCGTAAGCTACAAGCTCTTCTCTAGACCCTCGGACCACGCGCTAAATTATCATAGGAATACCACAACTCCCAGGAAGCCTTACCTTTGGCGGATACGATACATCCAGATTTGACGCAAACCCTATTTCATTTCCATTCGGCACTGATGACTCCAAAGTCCTCAGTATAGGCATTCAAGGGATCACAGCTACAAACACCCTACAAGGCACAGTCTCCCTCATGAGCACCGAGATTTTATCCCTGGTAGACTCCACCGTGCCTCAAATATGGCTTCCTCGAACAGTATGTGATGACTTCGAAAATGCATTTGGTCTTCAATACGACAACAAAACGGACCTTTACCTTGTCAACGACACTATCCACACACAGCTTCAGAAGCTCAATCCTCAGATCTCCTTTGTCCTCGGAAACACGGGAAACCCTGCAGATACAGTCAGCATATCTCTTCCATATGGTGCCTTTGATCTGCAGGCCAAATCTCCGATATACGCCAACACAACTAATTATTTTCCTCTTCGTCGCGCTGCAAATGATACCCAATATACCCTCGGACGCGCTTTTCTTCAAGAAGCATACGTCATCGCTGACTACGGACACTCTAACTTCTCCGTTCATCAAGCTCATTTTGAGTCACACATGCCACCGCAAACGATTGTGGCCATTTTACCACCAGGAGGGCTCACACACAACACCACAAATGGCACTTCCACGCCCCAGAACAGTAAAAGCCTACCAGTAGGCGCCGTCGCCGGCATCAGCGTAGGTGCCGCAGCGATACTGCTTCTTGTGGCCGCGGCCCTCGTGTACTTCTTCCGCCGGCGCGGAAGACAAAACAAAGAGGCGCCGCTTGCTGAACTCAGCCTTGATGGTGGAATTCCTCCATGGCAGCAAAACAGGTGGCATTATGGGGCGGAGCTGATGTCGGAGCAGAAGCATGAACTGGATGGGCCAAATCTACGGCATGAGCTCGGCGGCGAGAAAGGCCCGGCGCTATTATCAGACGATGCAGTTGTGAAAGTGCATGAGATGCCTGCGAGCGATTTTGAGTCGCCCTTTCGGCTTGTGGTGACGAGCGGCACACAAAGGAGCAAAGATGGTCCTTGATATCGTATGCCTATTATCGGCGTCAATGAATAAAGCGCCTCCTTTGCCCAACCGCCACGCTCTCCTCCCCCAGAGGCTGACTCGACGGCGCAGAGAGGGAGCAGTCCATGCACAGTATAGGACTACCATTAGAGACCTCCCGACAGCGTTACGATGCTAGGAAAAGTATCTACTTCGCAACCTCTGATATACACGTTGCAGCCCTTTGCATAGCGTTTCGATTCTGATCGACGCCTGGGAGGATTTCACACAGCGTCACAAAGCTGTAAATTTAGTTCAATTTCACAAGGTCTGAATTACGCATAACAATCCGTTACATCGCTGTCAGATTCTATTTGACTGCTTGGAAGACTTCAGATGGTGTCAGGCACGTGCGAGAACGCACATACAGGATCTCGATTATCACGTGCGTTTTGATCAATGGAGAGTCTCATTCATGCGTCGCGATTCGTGACATTGCTGCTGATATATTTCGTCCCCTTGGAGGACTTCAGCCACTGTTACCCATATGGCGCTGATCAAGCTATACCTACACAGCTTTCCAAGATGCATAAAAACACACTCGTTGTCGTCAGCGAAAAAAGCAAGTACGCGCAGCCTTGTAGCGTAGCTTGCATTGCTCTATTTCTAACACATTTCAATGCACAACTTCAAAGCGCTTAAAAGGACTATCCTACAGACAAGTATACCCTAACGATTCCTGTAAGTAAATGACATCATCCCACACACTCTACAGTCACGTTTTCAGCACTTCATGCAAAGGGCGCCTGGATCTCTCCAGAGCCACTAGGCGTACTTGGCGAACCTATGTCCATGAAGGCGTCCAGGCTGGCCCAATGTCTTTAGCGAAAGTTGTCTTGGAGGCTCTTGGAAACTCTTGGATGCTCTTGGTATTTTTTTACCAACCGTTTTCGAAAATTGACTCTCTTCGATGGATTCTTTGCCAGGTCCATGTTCTGTCACTGGCGATGGGCTTTTTCTGAGGTCGAGAACTTGTGACGTTGCTTGAAGAACTCTACCATGTTATACCTCCATGGGAGGAAAACATACCTACCTACCTTAACGTTCGACTGCAACAACCCAGCCACAGCGCCACCATTCTGGGCGGCCTATAGACGAACGGATTCTCGTGTTCAGCCTGGATCTGTCCCCAGCTTTGCGCCATCAATCGCTTTACCTCCTCTCAGCTCCAGATGGAGGCCTTCGGGGTGGCGGCGAGGCCGTATTTCAGTGCTTGGTACTTGGCTTCATAAGGGCGCGACGCCCTTGACTCCCCTTTATGTTCCTTCATCACATACCCTAAGCTCACGAGTGTCTATAGATCATAGTATCTCTAATACGTCGATCTTACCTTCACTGCAGACATGAAGGTTGCTGAAAGAGGACCACCGATGCATCGTTTCGCACGCCAAAATCTTCTGAATGGGACTACTACCACCACTGAACAGGCAACTAAGGATCCGACTTCAACCGCTACTCCAGCCGACAGTTCAAAAAGTAGGTACTGTTCTTAGCCAGATGATATACCGGGGTCAAACTCAACCAACAATAGATACAGTTTCTGCGACAGACCCAATCTCCTCATCATCAGCCGCCGAATCTACTACTACCGCTTCAGTACCGAGCCTGAGCCTCGTTGCTATCACCACCGCTACTGCATATACGAGTTCGACTCACTCACCGATTCCGCAGTACACCGGCTCAGGAAATGTACTGAAAGGCTATTGCGCGACGCCAGACTACACTTTGATTGATGGAGGTCCTACGGCTTATTGGGCTCCAGTGCTTGGCTGCGTTGGTGATAAGACGGACTGTTGTGCATTCAGCGTTGCATCCATGACGGCAGCCTCGACACTTCAATCAACACTGCAAGCCAAACAGGTTGGAGGAGCCTCCGTTGGGTTTCCGATTCCGAGGTCTGATGGAGCTGAATTGGACACATGCCCGGACGACTACACTTCTGTCGGCAATGGGTGCTGCCCGTCGTAAGTTACAGCTGTTGACCCTTGGACTCCATTCACTAATAGAGGTCATAGTCAATATAATCCCTGGAACGCAGCATTTGACGGCCAAACACCTTGCTATCTCGAACTGTCCGGGGCCGCAGTAATGACTCCACCACCGGTGCCAGACACCTACGCTCTGAAGGCGACGGGTTCCGGTGGAACGTCGAAACCTACCTCTGCTGTCGTCAATGTCGTATACGCGATGCAATACAAAGTCAAGGCACCTAAAAATGGAGGTCTGGCTCTACCATCTAAGATCGGTATCGGAGCGGGGGCCGGTATTGGTGCTCTTGCATTTGGGATTCTGATGATCTTCCTCCTATGGAAACGTCGAGACCGGAAACGAAATCGTGCAGCTCGTCAATCCCTCAAAAACTCTGGACCGAACTCTACCACCGATCCAGTCGTGGGGCGCTACTCAGCACCATCTCAAGTCACCAGTGCGGGCGCCCCAAAGTGGCACCAAAGAGTATCTGAGCCGGTTGAGGGGAGGTTCGGAGAGCAGTTCAGCGACCAGGGTGCTAGGCCAGCTGGCACCAAGATATACTCGGCGGACTGGGCTCCTGGATCAGTTTCGCCTTCACCGAATGAATACTCACAAAAATCTATGCGGGTATCACCGAGGAACTATTCTTCAACTCCAATGTCCAACACACCTGCGGCGGGACTTTCGGTTTCTGGGCAGCAGCAATATCCTTTCCCAGCAGCAGTATCACCGGTCGATGTGCCTACGGAGTTGTATGGAGGTGTCACAATGCATAGACAAGAGCTTGATGAAGGACCGCCGATACACAGGCAAGGGTTGGTTGGAGTAGCAGAGAACAGACAGTGGCCCCTCCCAGGGGCGAGGACGCGGTACGATCAATGAAAATGCTCTTCCTACGCAAGACTCAAAGGTCTGGGCAAACATCAAAAGAGGAATACCGTGCGAATACAAGCATGAATGGGCTTTGACGCTCGATGACGTCCTCAGTACATAGAGAACTTATGAAATTTGATGTTTTTCTTGACGAGCAAAATCAGAAGACATTCCGAAACGTTATCTCTTTCTGTCAACTGACCGTGCAGCGATACTCTAGGATATGACTCCCTCGTCAGCTATCTGATTGGAGCTTTGCACACGCGAGGTCGCACTCGCCAGCATCGTCGGAATGGGTACCGACACGTACGTGAGTATCCTCATGCTGCACAACCACGGATCCAGCGTTTCCAACCTTAACGAAAAACACTTCTCCACCAGAACCCCACTCCAATTTCGAGCAGGCTGTCCAATCTGCGCCTCCCAGCTCTACGGAACAGCCGTTGATTAATCTCCGTAGGAGCCGGGCACCGGGCTGAGGGGCTCCTTAGACCAAACATGAAACACGTCTAATGGGCACTAACGGCGCACCCTCGGCTCCGTGCCACCTCAACACGCTCCTACACTTATACCACCCTTTACCCGCCGAGGGGTTCCCGGGTCTGAGCCATGGCCCAGTGCTAACCTTTTTGTTTGCAGACGACCGAGTGTTCAACGACTCGTGGTGACGTGGTAGCCAGGGGAGGATCTGACGAAAGACGGGTGCTTGCTCCGCTACAGCAGGACGAAATCATTCGGTAGACGTACGGCAGACAGTGAGAAAGGAGGTTGACGCAACTAATGGCAGGGTTGGCTGTAATTGTAGGGGCAGTATGGCTAGAGTGGCTTGAACTTTACGAAACATGGCGCTTGGTCGACATGATGGATAAGTACGTACTTCTGCACACCCGCTTTGGGAAGGCACGCTCTCTATCGTCACTTCTTTGCGTATATTGTCAATTTTCAGGCCTAGTGCCCATCACACTCTTTTTTCTACCTTCTACAGCCACTCTTTCAAGATTCGGTACCGGTCTACCGCCATTATGATTTCGAAGGCCTTCGTTGTAGCAACGCTCGCTTTGACCGTCACCCTTGGGAACGCCTTTCCTCCCGACAGGCATCGGAAGTTCCACCATGGCCACTCCTCAGAAAGCCTCTCGGTGAGCTCGAGTTCTTGTACTGAGGAGCCAGAAACGTCCACCATTGTGGCTCAGGAGACTGTCTACAAGACAATTCTGGCATCATACACTTATAGCTCGGCAAGCTCTTCGCACGCTGTGGTCGCCACTAGCAAAGTAGCAGCGGTGCCTTCGTCTAAACGCTCCCCCGTATCTTCTAAACCTGCGGTCTCTGCTCCCAAAGCATCCTCTGCTCAAATATCCTACGTCGAAGTTTCTTCCGCCAAAGCCTCTTCGAAAGCAGCTGCCCCCACCAGAGCGTCTGCCACCAAAGTCTCTTCCACCAAAGCGGCCCCCACGAAAACGTCGTCCTCCAAAGCGTCTTCCATCCAAGCCTCCGCCGCAGCCGCTGCCTATACCTCTACTAAAGCTCCGCTCACCCCTCACGGCAAAAAAGCCGGCATGTCCGGCGGCGACGCCTACTACCTCTGGGAAGACCTCCTCGGCTGGTGGTGGGACTACACCCCCTTCCCCAACAAAACCGACAGCGGCGAGTCCACCGCTCCCGTGCCCGTGCCCATCCTCTGGGGCAACGGCCACGTCGACGCCGTCGACAAGGAGCGCTTCGACTACTTCACGACAACGACAGTCCAGCTGACCGACCTTCCCTACGTCATGGGCTTCTACGAACCGGACTGCAGCTCCACCGGCTCGAGCGACATGCCGGACGTGGACGCGGCGGTGGTGCTGTGGGAGAAGTATTTCGCGCCGCTAAAGGGCAAGACGCTGCTGGGGAGTCCCGGGATGTGCAAGCAGGCGGATGAGACGTGGTTGGAGGAGTTTTACTCCAAGATCAGCACGCCGTGGGATTTTACGACGGTGCATATCAACAAGGTGGATATGGATGGTGTGAACAAAGATCTTGTGAGATTCTCCCCCTGGATCGTTGTATTTAGAAAGCCAGCAAAACTAATTCTGTTCGCAGGACCACTACTGGGACAAATACGCCCTCCCCATCTGGGTGACCGAGTTCAGCTGCGTCCAAGACAACCCCGTAAGTCTGCTCTTTTTGCTTCTCCAAGCACTAGAGACGTTGATAGCGAGATGTGCTAATCTTCACGCAGTGGATCCCCTCCACCGACCAGACTCTGATCAACGAGTACATCTCCAATATCGTCCCGCTGCTCGAGAAAGACGACCGCGTGTACGCGTATGCGTACTCGACTGGGGAGGGCCTGGCGGAGGAGTGGAAGCCGGTGATAAACGGAGTTTTGACCGAAAGTGGGCAGAAGTACCTCGATGCCATCTCGGCGTACTAAGCGTGGATCGACTTTTTCTCGAATTCTTTGCTCTCGGGCACGGGCGGTGTACAAAAGTGGGTGTTTGATAAGGAACGGTTCGAGTGCATGTTTGCGGAGGTAGATGGACAGATTTCCCGGGTATGTTTGGGGTTGTGTAAATATATTTTCTCTTCTAGATGTGGAACATCACCATAGATTTGACGAACGGGCCATTAGATCCAACAAACCATGTCTTCGAAAAGGCAGAGCATTACACTCGTCCCGTGATTTTCTTTTCCTGTGATGCATTACCAAACAGCGCTAATGCCCAGACGCATCCTCATATTCCAACTCTCTAGATCCCGCCTCTCCCCCTTCCCCGCCCACAACCGGCAACCCCCGCTCCACCCTCTTCCTCCACGCACCCCTCTTCCACTCCTCAAACGCCGGCACCCGCTTCTCCCGCGGCCAAACATGCCCAAACGTATTCGCCGGGCCCTCGTAGTGCAACCTTGCCAGGCTCTCCCCAAAATCAATCGGCGGCTGCACCTCCACCCCATTAACGCTAAACCTCACCTCGCCAACCCTCTCATATAGAATCTCGCCATACTCCGCCGTATGATAGTCCATTTTCGCGAGCATCGAGATATTATGCCAGAGATAGTACGCCAGGAACTCCGGGCGCACTTCTTTCCCTTTCCACGCCACGGTGCTGGGGATGTAGTAGCGGGTGTCGGTGGCGCAGGTCTCGCCGTCAGGGCCCACGAAATCGAGGTGCAGGGTCTTGATGCTGACGCCCCTATCGGCGGAGGAGGAGGTGTGCGGGAGCGGGCCTTGGCGCAGGACATGCTCCATTAGGTAGTAGAAGCACCAGAGGATCTGCGGGGGCGAGCCGTCGCCGGGGTTCCACTGCCTCTTTGCGCCGGTGTGGAGGCCGAGGGCACGGAAGGTGACGTTGACGCGGTCGAGGTGCTTGGCGATCACGGGGACGGAGAGCCAGGTGGGCCAGAGTTCGAGTTCGCGGACGAACATGACGTCGAGCTCGTAAGGGGGCAGTTGGGCATTGTTGGAGAGGCGGGAGAGCGTTGCGACGGTTTCGGAGGAGAGTTGGTGGTTGACGAGGAGGAGCGCGAGGCTGGAGGAGGTGTAGGAGGGTGGTTCGAAGAGCACGTGCTTGAGTCCGAAGCTCCAACTCGAGAAGAAGGGCCTGTGCGAGTTTTTCTTGGTTGAGCGGGTTGATTCTGCTTCGGCGATGCTCGAGTGAGGTTTTCGGACGCATGAAAGGGAAAGTTCGATGATGTTGTCGCGTATTTCGCGAGGGATGGAGAGAAGGGATGACATCGCTGAGTAAAACGTGTATGGATGAGAAGTGGATTGGAGGGGTAAAGTTGAAGTTGGAGATCCAGGCAACAGGTGGGGTAAACGCCTCACTTCAGCTTAGATCTCCCCGCTCCTGTTCATACTTGGGTGTCACTCGTGACAGCAGTCTATCTGTCGCTGTCTGAAATCCCTCGATACATTTTCTAGGACCTCAACGGGACGTAAGTGCATCATTTTGGACGACCAGTAAGCTCGCGAGGGCACCCACTCTAGGAACCTAAACTTACAGATCACATCTTCCCAGAGCTGCTTCAAGGGTTTTGAGATTTCGAGAATATTAGACGATCTTTCTTGCTCTGTGATTCCACTGAGGCGTACGTATCTTATCCACGGTACTCGACGTGACTTATCGGCACAGACAACTGGGCAGGCAAGCGCAAGTTCTTTCGTTTTTTTACGATTACCTACGAAGACGCAAAGGGGGAATAACAGAACCGAAAGTGCACATGTGGTGCATTGAGTACTGCTCTAACCGTTCAAGGCGAAGACCAACTTTTAAGCAAAAGAACAGTTTTATGATAGGACCAAGATAACACTTAAAATGCACCATGATGGAGGATTCCATATAAATGTGGTAGAAACGGGAGCCTATAAAAAGGCCGAAAAATCACATAACGTGCAGTATAAGCATGATGGTGCGCTCAAACCGAGAAGAGGACCAATAGAAAGCGAAGGGGGCAACAGGAAGCGAAGGGGATTGAGACTGAGGGGTTGCAGTGCTCGTATTGGTTCTACATTGCTGACGACCTGGAAAATCTGTGATTATTTCCAGGGTCCGTAATGGTTCTACTGTCTGAAGGCGTGTTGATGTGAGGGTGGAGACTGAGGGGTTCCCAGGTGACTTGACCGAAACAGAGAAACCGAAAGGAACCAGTAACTTAGGAAAGAGACGGCCAGGATGGTTCACCTCACTCCTCGCCAATTCTGTGGTTTAATGACCCGCAGCCCCAGAACGCCTCCGAACCTTCGAAGGCTTAGGACGTAGTAGAGCAGGCCAAAACCTAGACCTCCAAGATGTCCCGAATGTGCTGTTCCAGTGTGTTGGTTGAGATACCAATAGTCATACGCAAAGTACCCGCTAACAACAAGCCAGAGCGGTGCTGGGAAGAAAGCGACTAGCATCATTGTTCTCGGTACTAAACAGGCAGCAGCAGCGCCGAGACCCATGACCATTCCACTAGCGCCGATGCCTTGAACCATGCGGTAAGGCCGTTCGCGTCGTTTCTCGTGCGCGAGGAAGAAAGCGCTTCCAGATATAAGCGAGCCAACAGACAGAATGATGAGGTTGAGGAGAGGGAGTCTCGCGCCGTAAACGAGGACACGACCGAATGCATGCAAGGTGAACATATTTCCCAGAAGGTGATATCCACTAAAATGTGTGAAGCCGGATGTGATGATGGTCCAATATTTGCCTTCCCGAATGCTCTGAAGGCTCATAGGCAATTCTCGTGTCAGCTTCCGAGACTGCGAAGGGCTTGCATGAACTGCGGCAAAGACGGCGACGTTGGCACCAATGAGGCCCCAGATGAAGCCCATACCCGGGCGTGGATTGAAGCCGCCCATCCTGTTGGAGGCCAAGCTGGAGTAGTAGAAGTGTCTATCCATGGCGAATGAGCGGCGAGTATGGAAGCCAAAACGCCATGAATTTTGGGAGAGTTGACGCGGCAGGGAGCGCGAGACCGCGGATGAGCGGTGGAGGAACGATGACATGGAGTTGTTGTGCCACCACGCGTGTGGATATCTGGCTCCCGCTCCAATGGTGGGGGAGAGCACAAGAGGAAACACGAGGCTGTCTCCGAGAGCTAGCTAGATAGTCTATAGAATAGAATGAACTCTTAATGGACAATGCCTCGATGGAGACGTCGGATCAACGACGCGTAAAAAGGAAGCTCAGATGAAACACACACTCGGATCAAGAACAGGGATTGCTAAAAGGATTCCAAAAGAGAGAGTCTAAGATAGCACTGTGCAGCAGATGCTCTCGAGCGCTAGACGTAGAATGGTGAATGAGTAGATAGTGAGGTTAAGTCTACCATGTCGTTCCTCAGCCAATCACTCGGATCACTCCAGCTTGCCGCACCGGGCAGGCTTGGCACCAAGGCCAAAACTCGCCCACCGCACAACTTCATCTTCAAGGACTCGCCCTCCTCTCACCCACCTCACCGTCGCCGCGCAACCTGCCACTGCCACCTGAAAGCTTCGCTGCACTTCTGAAAAGGCTACGCACTAACTCGAAGTCTTGCCCAGCAACTCCGCCACCCAGACTCGACCAGCTCTCTACAAACAACACTCCAAGCGCAACCTGTCCTACATATCTTCTTCAGCGAGATCGTCCCGCTGCCTAGCTTGCACCAACACAGGGCAAGCCACAAAGGCCACATCTACACTTCTATCTCTCCCCAGCAGCGAGGATCACTTGCTGGCTCCACCACTCACACCGACTCGACTCCTACACCCGAGCCTCTGAGCCTCCGAGTCCTGCATCCGGACTCTCAATAAGACGCGGCCGTATAGCCCGCTGCGCTAACAGTTCTGTCATCTTCTAAGTCACACTCATTCTCCCCCACCCGTGGTGGCCCGCGCACAATGACTACCGACATAACAAACCAGCTAGGAGCTGTCAAGCTTGGGTAAGTTAAGCACTTCGATACGGAAGGCCATTTACTGATACACCTTCAGAGAGCCGGCATCAGAGACCTCCTGGAAAGATGGACTCAAGATACCTTCCAAAGACGCCCGACCACAGACCGAGGTACATAAATCTGAAATGGATTGGCATATTCAAAGGCTAATATAAGGACTGCTAGGACGTTACCGCGACCAAAGGACTCGAATTTGAGGATTTCTACATCAAGCGCGAACTCATGATGGGGATCTTCGAGGCTGGCTTCGAGAAACCTTCGCCCATTCAAGAAGAGGCGATCCCTGTGGCTTTGACTGGACGAGACATTCTTGCACGAGCGAAGAACGGCACTGGAAAGACTGCCGCCTTCGTCATACCAACACTCGAGCGCATCAACCCTAAGAGCACACAGACACAAGCCCTCATCCTCGTCCCAACCCGAGAGCTGGCGTTACAGACATCACAAGTGTGCAAGATGCTAGGCAAACACCTGGGGCTCAATGTCATGGTGACTACCGGCGGCACTGGGCTCAAAGATGATATCATTCGCTTGTCAGAACCTGTTCATATCATCATTGGAACACCTGGAAGAATTCTAGATCTTGCGAGCAAAGGCGTTGCAGTTCTGTCAGGGTGCCAGACGTTCGTTATGGATGAAGCGGACAAGCTGTTGTCTCCCGAGTTTACGCCCGTCATCGAACAACTCCTAGCGTTCCATCCGAAAGACCGACAAGTCATGCTCTTTAGTGCTACATTTCCAATCGTGGTCAAGCATTTCAAGGTAAGATTATCGGTTTCCAATCCTATGCAACGAATAAACTAACAGCTCAGGATAAACACATGAACTCGCCGTACGAGATCAACTTGATGGACGAACTCACCCTCCGCGGTATTACCCAGTACTATGCCTTTGTTGAGGAAAAGCAGAAAGTGCACTGCCTCAACACACTGTTCAACAAGCTTCAGATCAACCAGTCCATTATCTTCTGCAACTCAACCAATCGGGTCGAACTCCTCGCGAAGAAGATCACCGAACTCGGCTACTCATGCTTCTACTCCCACGCCCGTATGCTTCAACACAACCGCAACCGCGTTTTCCACGACTTCAGGAACGGTGTTTGCCGCAATCTCGTCTGTTCGGATCTACTCACTCGTGGTATCGATATTCAGGCAGTTAATGTGGTCATCAATTTCGATTTCCCAAAGAATGCTGAAACTTATCTCCATCGTATTGGTCGTTCTGGTAGATTTGGACATTTGGGCTTGGCTATCAACTTGATCAACTGGGACGATCGCTTCAATCTTTACCGCATCGAACAGGAGCTAGGAACCGAGATTCAACCTATCCCTCAGACTATCGAGAAGAAGCTCTATGTCTACGAGTCCCCCGAGAACATCCCACGCCCGATCTCCAACCCTCCTGTCCAGCGAACCCAAGGCGCGGGTCAAGCCCAAGAACAGGACGAGGGAAATGTTGCTCGCTCCAACTCTCAGGCCAGTAGTAGGCAAAACTTCCAGCGGAATCAGCGAGGTGGCGCGCAGTTCCAAGGCCAGCGTAGAGGACCTCCATCCAACCTACAGAACCGCCAGAATGGCAACAATGCCCAACGTAACGCCCGTCCTCCACCAGCCGCGCCGGCATAGGAACTTTCGAAGCCTTCATGTTTCGTTTCCCGGTTTGCCTGAGCAGTTTTCGTCGACCTCCCTTTTGGGTCCCTCTTTTGAAAATCTGGCGCGATCTCTCTTTGCTCAGTAACCTGGAGACTTGTTCTTGGTACCGTTCTCAGCTTGAACATATTTGCGGTTTTCCTATTTTCCTTCTTCATGATTACGGGAGCGGGTTCGACGATTTGAAACGGGATACCTGGTTTTCTTTCCTCAGAAGTTTCACGACTCGACTACCTGGCGCTCCACGGAGTCTACGACTTCAATCCAGCACTGTATTATATGCCTGGACTTTTTGGACTTTCTGTTTTCTCAACACAACTCCTCTATCCAAGCTGTCGCCTCTCAACACCCATGGCGACTTCCAGTACTCTCTCACTCCCGGATACAGATGCTTTTCTACCACTTTGTGCTGGAGCGGATCTTCGTCAGTTCTGCCGGATACATGACCGGCGGTGTAATCATAAAAGTTCATGCACTTGTTAGAGGATTCCTGGCTCACAGTCACCATGGCATATATCCTCGGCACTCTAGCGTTCTCACGGCAGCCCTGGTTGGCTTTCTTCATCTTCTCAGCCACGGTGCTTGTTATTTCCATGAAGGCGTATCTCGGCAAAGACGTCACGATGCTGTCATCAGCAACTCTCTCATGTGTCCCTCCTCAGCTTGCGATCTCGAGCAAGTCGGCTTCCCAACACTCCATCATCTCACACCCTTCTCCACCACCCTCCACCATCATACGATCTTCCCTAACACACCTCTTGCAACTCCAACTGCGGATGCTACGAATCGGTCCGCCTCAGTCACTGTTGATCAACCTTTTCATCTTGAGAAGGACGAGATCAGTCTGGGCAACGTCTCTCAACCACACCAACTCTAAGCTGTTGTCTTACACCTTTCTACGGGTCGTAAGAGTGGTCTGATGATACTTTGTTTAGTAGAAGAAAACCCAACAAAGAAAACGATGAATATGTTAGGGGATGATTCAGCCAATTAGCATTGACATGGTTCGAGCTGGGATGCGGTTGAGCATTCGACTGGCCTTCAGCATCATGTAAACACAAATGCGAATCATTAAACCTATATTGTCTTGACCTTGCTGTGACTTTAACGTATCTCCACGCGATCAGTGGACCTTAGATGTAGCCTTGTAGGCCAGTTGGTAGCTCAGCGCATGTCGTCATTGCAATATACCATGTAGCCAATAGACGAGAGGACCCTTAACTTGATGCTATTCGGTAGGTATTTAAGAACCTCGCTAATTACCGGCGCCATCCCGAAAGCTTAAGCTTGTTTCAACCCGGGCAGAGATTGCGCTAGATGTTATGAAGGAGCTCGAGAGCAGCGAGTCGAATGAGCTGGTCGATATAAAGTAGATGGACGGCGGAAGCATCCCGAAACAAGCAGGTGAACGGATCGGGCCAATGCAGGCTGCTGCAGGGGAGGGGCCAGATGGCGACGTCCGGCCTGGGGTTCAACGTTGATCTCAACCACCATGATGCCGACGGCCTGTCGCACGCGCTGGGATGCTGCGGTCGTTCTTGGCCTCTGACTGGCCTCCATGCCTGAAACAACAGCGATCATCATCCTGTTGATGGCCCTCCGCCCTCCATGAGGCCGCGACCTTCGCCGCGATAGGCTCCCGCTTCGGGAGCTACCTTTACTATCCTTCCACGATTGTTCCATGCATACAACACCTCCCTCTTTCATCTTTAGCAGGCCAACGTTCTATCCAATACGATAGGCGCTGTACCTATTGTCCTTCCACGTCGGGGACTTCTTTGCGGAGCTTCGCTGCCCTGGGCCCAGCATGGGCAGCCTGGCTGCCTTCGAAGCGGTACAAAATGCGGCGATGTCTGCCCTGGATGTAGCGCGGGACACGGCTATGGCTTCCTCAATTCCCTCTCTGCGGTCGCTCTCCAAGTTTGCGCTCGGCGGTGCGCAGCTGTTCCTGGGTTCTGGGTCTACGGTGCTGGGTGGTACTCCGAAGACATGCTCTACGACAGGGCAGCTTAGCTGCCACAACACCACGGCGGTAGCAGACCTCTGCTGCTTCAACGCGCCTGGCGGACAGCTCCTCCAGACACAATTCTGGGACACGGACCCAGCCACCGGACCGTCAGATTCATGGACCATTCACGGCTTATGGTAAGCCAAGGTCACTACAATCCGTCTTGTAGCCTTTCTAACAGACGCGTAGGCCAGATCACTGTGACGGCACCTTCGACGCCAACTGCGACACCAGCCGGGCATATACCGGAATCGGGGATATTTTGACCAGCTTCGGCAAGACGGATGTACTCACCTATATGCAGACGTACTGGAAAGACTATCAGGGCAATGACGAGTCATTCTGGGAGCATGAATGGGGCAAACATGGCACTTGCGTCAGCACCTATGACACAGATTGCTACACCGACTACCAGGCAAAGGAGGAAGCTGCAGATTTCTTTGAGAGGACCGTCAACCTCTTCAAGACTCTTCCATCTTATACTGTATGTCTCTCCTGGATTTTTCTTCGTTCAAACACTAACAAACGAATATAGTGGCTACAAGCAGCCGGCATTGTCCCTTCCAGCACTGCTACATACACCGCTGCCGCCATCCAAGCCGCGCTAGGGAAGAATCGCAATGGCGTTGAGGTCACTTTGGGCTGCAGCAACGGCGCGCTCAACGAGATCTGGTACCACTACAATGTGAAGGGTAGCGTCCAAACGGGCGAGTTCGTAGTCGCTGCCCCTGACGGTAGCAAGTCGACATGCCCTGACACTGGGATCAAATACCTCCCAAAGAGTGGCAGTGGTGGAGGGTCACCAACAACGACTTTCGTCACCGGGACTAAGACGAGCACTTCGGCTCCTACGAGTACTGGGGGTGCTTTTTCCGGTAAAGGCTACTTGAATGTGTCTACGGGTGGTGCGGCAACGGGATGTCTGATCTCGGCTGGCACATGGTACACATCGGGTACTTGCGCAACCTACACGGCTGCCACGAGCGGATCGGGTTTCACGCTGTCAACTTCCAAGGGGAAGTGTGCTGTTGTGTCTGGTGCCTTCACCTGCGGATCGAGTGTCAGCTCTGCGACTGTCTTCACCGCTAGCAGTGGCAAGCTGGCAGCGAACGGCAGTGCGAACTTCTATGCGGATGCTGTCGCGAGTGGGAGCACCCAAGAAACGGTGTATACCAGCAGTCATTCGACGAGCTTGACGATTACATGGCAGAGCGTGTAGGCCGTTCAGGGTTACGATATGTCACAATTTCTAGCATTTATGGATTGGGTTGCACATAAACATATATATGACGATTTGAAATTCTTACTTCTAAAGTCAATACCTTGTAGCCGCAATTGAATATGCTGTCTCTTTAGAATCAACTTGGCGGTTCTAACTCGCTTTGTGGAGTCTTTCTGCCCGAAATGTAGATGCTGCGTCCTCGTGCATACCTAGGTATTTAGGGCGTTCCATACGAGAGACGCCACTTTTGTATGTGCAAGTAATATCATGTGGTCCGCTAAATGCCGCCGGCGTCAAGGCGTAATAGATATCAGGGGCAAGGCCCCGCGATGACCCGAGGCACGTTTCCGAAGGGTTCTGGGGCTGGATCGGCACTTTCTCCTGCAGGGACGATAGCTGGTCAGAAACACCACGCGGGGTGGTCTCCAGCAGCGACTGGCAGCTCGCAACCTCGCTCCGGCTTCAACCACACCCTCCATCCCTCACCGTGCCGGGCCACGAATCACCGCCGGCCTGCCTGCCATTTGCGACAGGCCGTGCCATGGCGTCATTGAATCCGCGCGACTCGGCGCCGCCTAGTGGATATGGCCCTGCCATCGAGCCGTAGGGCATCGTTCAAGGCGACCCTAATCCGGCGGGCTATCCACCCATTACACCCCGGCCATGCCTGCCTTATTACATATTCACTAACCGCCAGCGACTGACTGTCCTCTTCTTCTACTCTCTTCGTCCGCCGCCTATTGCTTTTAGCAGGAATCAACCACGTACGCGGCGCTCTCCTCCTACCTTTGTAACAGAGCCGGCAGAGTAGGCACTACCTAGGTGTATATATACAGCCCCGCCACAACCACCACCACCTTATCGCTCCGGACGCCTCAGGCCTCCTCCTTCGATGGCCGCGACACCGCCGGCTACCGCAGACGCTCCCCAGGTCCAGCGTCCCGTCGCGTACGAAAAAGGCACCCCGCTCTCTGCCATCCTCCCTCCGCTCATCTTCGGCACGGCAACCTTCAACCACCAGTACAATGACGATCCGTATGCGCTCGACACCACAGGCCTGGTCTCGGACGCCCTAACCCACGGCATCCGCGCCTTCGACACCTCGCCCTACTACGGGCCCTCGGAAACCCTCCTCGGCGCCGCCCTCGCCACGCCCTTTGTGCGCACCACCTTCCCGCGCTCCTCGTACTTCATCCTCACAAAAGTCGGCCGCATCGCCGAAGCCCACTTCGACTACTCGCCCGCCTGGGTCGCGCAGAGCATCGCCCGCAGCCTCGCGCGCCTGCACACCTCCTACCTCGACGTCGTCTACTGTCACGACGTCGAGTTCGTCTCCCCCGCCGCCGTCCTCGGCGCCGTGCGCGAACTCCGCCGCATCCGCGACGAAGAAGGCACGCTGCGCTACGTCGGCATCTCGGGCTACCCGCTCGACGTCCTCGGATCCCTTGCCGAGCTGGTCCTGCGCGAAACCGGCGAGCCCCTCGACGCCGTCATGTCCTACGCCAACTTCACGCTGCAGAACGAGGCGCTCGCCGGCCCCAAGGGCATCCAGCGCCTGCGCAACGCGGGCGTGGACGTCGTGCCGAACGCGAGCCCCCTCGGCATGGGCCTGCTGCGCCGCCAGGGCGTGCCCGTCGGCGCTCTGGGCGACTTCCACCCGGCGTCGCGCGCGCTGCGCCAGGCCGTGCGGCAGGCGAGCGACTTCTGCGACGCGCATGGCGAGAAGCTCGAGGTCATCGCCATCAGGTATGCGCTCGAGACGTGGCTCGCAAGGGGCGCGAGCGTGGGGAGTCGCGGGGACCCGGCGTCCGGGGTGCCGTGGCAGCAGGAGAGCAATGAGGCGGTCGGTGGGACGAAGCTGGGGGTCAGCGTGATTGGGGTGAGCCGCGCGCCGGAGCTGGAGAAGACGATGCTGGTGTGGCGGAGTATTTTGGATGGGTTGGAGGGGGGGAGGGAGACGGCGATTAGGGCGGGCAGGTGGAGTAGGGCGTATGAGTGGGCGCAGAATCGGAAAAGGGCGGTGCAAATATTGAGCGAGGGCGTGCAGGAGGTGTTGGGGGAGTGGGTAGGGTATACGTGGGAGAGTCCGCCGGAGGAGAAGGGGAGTAAAGGGGAGAAAGAGAAGGAAGGGGGCCAGGGGAGGGTAGAGAGCAAGCGAGTTTCTGATATCAAGGTGAAGGAGGTGGAAGCGCCGTGGCCAACGCCGGATGCGAGTCCGGAGCCAGAGGTCAGTATTCCGCTGAGGTAGTTGTTGGGGTGTCCCGTGTTGGGATGGGGTAGTGGATTGCATTTGGGAGGTTCGCTGTGAGCATTTTCGCGGAGGATCATAAGAGTGGTATCGGTTACGGCTGCTTTGAATTTTTGGACATGGCATTATGACGAGGCTTTCGATAGGTGGAGGTATAGCTGGTTTGTTCAAACGAATCGATATGACTATGCTTCAACTGTCGTCTTCCTATAGCCTCTCCGCTTTGCTAATGCTATACGAACGGTCTGACCTTTTCCCTAGTCACTCATCTTTCCTACTGTCAATTACCTTGTTGATTCCGCCGTCCTAAACGCTAGCGCCAATACTCCTCCTGTTCCATGATCCCAAAACAATACTGCTATGTGTGCGCCTCTCTTCAAAATTTAGGGCTTGCATCGTAGTTCCACTGCGGCTTTACCCACCCCTTTCCGCCACCCCTTCACACCCCGACAGCCTTCAAAATGTCCTCCAAACTAATATTGTGCCCCCCCGGCACCACTTCCTTCCACACCCTCTCCTCTACCCGCTTCTCCAGCGGCAAGATACTCCAATGCGGGCTCTGCTCCGCCTGCAGCCAGTCAAAGTCATCAATCTGATCCCACTGATTCGCCGACTCGGCATTCGCGTCTGTAACCTAAATGCGACATCCACATTAGCCCTCCCTCTATCCAAAAAAAAAAGGGTCACGTAGATAATCCACCTACATAGCTTGTCGGCAGGGGCGCAAACCGCACCCCCTCACACTCCTCCACAATCGGCCGGCTCGCACTGTGCAGATACACGTCCACGTTCTTGCTCCCGTGCATCCGGAACTGCCGCGTCGCGGCCACGACCACGCTGTTCTCGACGCCCGTGACGTGCGTCGCGCCGGCGACCTGCCCGCACACGATGAGGGAGTGTTTGATGTTTTTGAGGGTTAGCCCCGCGAATGGGTGGCCGGTGGCGGACGAGGTGGGCGTGGACATGTCCGCCACGCAGCGGCGGAGGTTCGACACCGTGCCCCTGGTTGTGGTGTGCGAGGTGGAGTGCGGCAGGACGATGTGCGCGTGCGCGTGGTTGGAGATTGCGATTACGGTCGTTGGAGCCTTGGTGGCTTCCCCTTCCGCGTTGGTGGCGTGGTTGCTGTACAAACTCGACTCGGGCTTCTCGTCGACGGGGGAGGCGGCGTCGAGCGGCGTGGGCGCGAAGGAGGAGGGGTTTGTGCTGGAGGGGGAGGACGGGTAGCCGGAGACGCGGAGGGTCTTTTGGGCGGCGAGTTCGGCGGCCGAGGAGAGGGAGATGGCGGAGGGGTTTTTGTGGGCGGTTCTGAAGGAGAACTTGCTGCGTGGCGCGAAGGCGAGGCGGGTTTTTTGGAGCTTGTCGTTGAGGGCTTTGATGGCCTGGTTCCATGCGAGTCGTCAGTCAGGACTTCGGGCTTAACAGTGGTTGGAAGGTTGGGTAAGGGGGTTTTGGGGACGCACTTCGGCATAGGTTCGCTGGTCGTATGCGGGAATGTAGCTGGAGGCGTCTTTGACTTCGTGCGAGAGGCGGGCGATCCCCGCGAGGCAGTGGTCGACGGCGTCGTTGCGCTCGCCGCCTGCGAGGGCGGTGGAGGAGAGGCGTTCCATTTGTTCTTGGAGGGCTGGGAGGGGTTAGTTTTGGTTCTTGGGCTAGGCAGAGGGCCATACCGGTGACTTCATGTTGGAAGTAGCGGAAGAAGCGTTCTTTGAGGCCTGCTTCGCTTTGAGGTTGGGATCCCATTTTGGGAACGAGTAGGGATAGTTGTAGACGCCGCGGATAGATGCTTGAGGTCAGAAGTAAGAATGAGATTAGAGGGGCTTTTCCCTCAGTGAATCTTGAAATTGGGTATGTTGTTCGGCGGTGGGGTGAGAAGTGGTGACGCGACGAGGGGACGCGACGAGCCGTGGTGGGGTGGTTTTGGAGACCAAAAACTGCGGGAGCTTGTGGCGGTCATACTCATGGCTTTTATTTAAGGTATTTGGAAGCTCCCACGCCCCTGCCGTATGCCCGACCCGCCATGGCCAATTGATGCGTCAAGACGCTCCGTTTGGGCCCAAACCCCCAGAGAACATGCAGACAGACGATCTACCCCGCGTCTTGCCTCTAGGCGTCGTATCTGGACCACCTGACTAGATACCGCTACTAAATAAGGTCGGCGGGACTTGAGTTCGGGAGCGAACTGTTATCGCCACGCTGTTTCTTAAGGCGCGTCATATCGCATGAGGTTTGATGGTTCATATTGAAGTAGTTATGCAGAGCACGTGCCATAAGTCTATCACTTCGAGGTCCAGCTTCTGAGATTTCACCTCAAGATCGAAAACATGTTTGGTACAATTTTTGTAAATATATGTACATGTGCCCGGGGAAGCTCTACCATCTGCAATGTAATTGTTGCAAGCCGTCGAGAATACGCAGAAAGAGCACGGGTTCGCTAGTTTAGTGAGAGGATGGGACACCGGTGAAATCAACACCGTATTTCTCCCTTAGCCGCTCACGCCTTCGCTCTTCATATCCTGCCCCATATATTCCTGCAACTGTTAGATGGGTAATGCTAGAATGAACAGAATGTTGACGCACCTCGACCCTCGCCCAGCTCGGCAATGGTTTGCTCCACTGGTATCCTCCGGTTCTTCCTCAAAAACTCCTTCTTTGCCACTTGGTCGACTTCAGGGCCCTCAGTGTAGCCGGTCAACGACCCTCCGGCGTAGTCAAATGTGCCCAATATCACCGCGAGACAGGCGCCATATCCGATTATCGCAGGGGTCGACCGGACTGAGGGAGCATTAGCACTGAAGCCCACTGAGGCAGCCTCCAATATTCGTACTTTTCAGACCCATCATTGAACCGGCAAAGAAGCCTCCAATTGCCGAATTTAGGCTATCGTTCTTCTCGCGGAGGTTGGCCGAGGCGGTCTTGGCAAAGGCGTAGGAGGCACCCATAGCAGCTGAAGCCTCGTTAGCCTTCTGGCGTACGTTCCCCAAGTACCGCCGGATCGTAGTCCATACCGTACACTGCAATTGTGCCTCCGCTCCTTGTGAGAACACCCATTGCACCGATGTTCTGCTTGGCCAGGGTGTTCTGGACACCGGCAACGAGGGCTCCGGCGCCCGTGGTGACCATGGTGGCCCGGAGGGTGGTGGATATGGCATCCTGCGGATGGTAGGGTCTGCTTTCTGAAGCCATCGTGGGCGCTGGAGGGGGCGGGCTGGATGAGAGTGGTGGTGAGGTCTGGAGTCAATCGCGCGGCTCTGCCCATCAAGCTCCGCCGCGCTAGTGGACCCGTTTCTGGAGCGTGCACAGCTGGGGCATGTCATTTCATCGAGTCTCCAGATGGCTGCGAGGGCGCGCTTCTGACAGCTTTCAAATACTCCTTGGGCCTATGGCGAAGCTCTTCAAAGCTTCTGGCTCTTACTCCTCCCCGTGAACTCCGCGCTTTGCCCCAGCTTGCGTGGCCAGCCAGCGCAGTCGCCTCCAACTTCGCAGCCTGCGATGCTCTGTCCTCCGCCTATTCACCCGCCTCATTCTACGCACTTCTCTCCCGCGCCTCTTGCGGTAGATTTTCTTCTGCGTGTACCATAGACTCCTCCCTGCGGACATCCAAACCCTCCGCCCATAGACCACTGCATACTCTTCCACTGCGTTTGCGGTGGAGATGTCTTCCACGCCTGGTAGGCCTGCACGCTCTGGAAGCTGTTCTCTCTGCTCACCATACTCCCTTCTCTAGGCAAGACCGCCCCAAAACTACTCCAAGACCTTCTTACCTACGACCCGCGCTATGAGGATCGGGCTGGTCGAAACCTGCTCACAGATCCTCCCCCGCATCATGATCCGTCCCAACCGCCACAACGTGCCGTGCCTCTCCGAAACTGTCGCCATGTCTTCATGATAAAGCATGACCAGAGCGTGCTGCCGGTACCAGGACAAGCTCCAGACGAGAAGACCGTGTACAAAGTAGCGTCATTCTGCCAGAATTGTCTATACCACGTCGACGTAACGGTGGACTTCCAGGACCATGGAGTGAGAAAGGACCCCTGCCCGACCAGGGACTGTCCGCTGCACCACTTCATACACCGACCCGATGGTGCCTTTGATCGAGAGATTCTCGGCATGTTCAATGGGCCCAGGATCTTCAGATTCCAGTGCTCGTCAAATACCTGCCCCGTCGAGCTTCGCATACGGATACATCCTCCACGCCTCACTGACGATTATATCCACCTTATGACAGATAAGATCGAGTTGCGCCGGAGGTTGGAATCCGCGAAGCAGATTGACCCAGACCGCCAGGATCACAAAATGGCGAGACCTGTGGACGGCCTTGATTTCTTGACCAGTTATTTGAACGATTCCTTGAATCCAACCAAAGGGAAGGGTCGGATACCGCTGCTGAACCGAAAGTTCCTAGTCACATTTGGGAGGAACTGTGACGACATGCTCCGTGACTTGGGGTTTACGAGTGCCATGGTAGGTGGCGCCGGTTGCGTTCGCTGGGTCTCAAACTCTAATTTCTTCGCAGGAACACAACGACGGCACCAACGAAGAGTTCTGCTGGTATCTCCCAAAGCCGCCGCCCTCCTCCGACCCTCTCGCCGAAAATTCTATGCGCAACAAGATCGACGACGCTATTCATGAGCTCTCTGTGCACATATCGAACAGGCCACAGTCCGAGAAGCAGGGCGTCCGAAACAACGTATATGCTCCAAAGCCCTCTGTGACGGAAATCGAGAGAGCGCTAGGGTGTTTAGACTGTAAGATCTAGATATACAATGGAAAATTCGCAACTCACATATCGGTGTAGACAGCAAGATCTCTTTGACTCGCACCCAAGTGCAGAACGCGAAGGGACAGGAGGACCACCCGTAAGTTCGCCATTGAGCATGCTGTTAGAGTGAGAGCTCATCCCCAACCACAGATATTACGCCGGCTTAGGAGCCGTTGGGGACTTCTCCGACGCACTGCTCTTATTTGCGTACAGCAGGCAGGTAGAGACAGACCCTGTCAACTCGGCGTACTATTTCGAGTGCCTCAAGGATCTGGCGATAGGCAGGAAAAGCTCGACGCTCGAGGAGAAGGTGCAAATGCTGGCCTCGGAAGGACAGACGAGCCGCAAGGAGATAGCGGCCGCCTATGCTTACTTCAACATTGACCCCAAGTATGTGTCGCTCTTGTCTGACGATATCGTCATCGGGACCTTCAAATCTCGCATGGCGGACATGTCCTTGGTGCACGAAGAGGAAACGCGGCAGATGCTGCGCGTCATTGGCCAGGCTCGAGGGAGCTCCAAGATTCTGCAAGAGGCGTCGAATGGTGAGCTTGATGGCTTGTGGTAGTGTATGCACTTGCTGACGAGTGCGCAGCTATCGAGACGTATTCGCAAGCGCTTTCGTGGTTTGATCTGGACGAGACCACGGCGGACGAGTTTGTGATCACCATGTTCACTCTTAAGGTACGTGTCAGGCGGCGTGGTGACAGCGGCGACAGACAGCAGTGACGGCGGTGACGCAGCAGCTTTGCTCCTGCTGATGCACTTTGATGCACTTGCCCGTGAATCGCTTCCGTTTGTTACCCGCGCGTTTCTACGCCGTGTTTCTTCCCTTGTCTTGACTCACCTTCCACTTCACTCTTCTACACCTTTGTCTCTATCTTAAGACACCCACCACGCCAATGTGTCGGCAACCATACATTTACTCATTGCTTCGCAGATTCAGGACAGCCCCGCAAACGAGAAAATCGCCCGCAAGGCCCTGGAGATCATTGCCGCTCACCGCAACAGCGATAGTTTGCGAAGGTTTTTGCAGGACGGCTCCATGGCAGACGCCGATATGGATATTGCCGATGCATACTCGTTTCTCGGTATTGCGGATCGCTCTGGAGACATTGATCTGAGTGCGTTGGCAGTCCATCGCGATCTGGCCATCGCCGATCACAAGGACGCAGTAAAGGCCAACCGAGCGTTCGAGCTCATCGCACGGGAGAAGGGCGCCATGGTCCAGCAGACGAAGCCTGCTGCTAAGCATCCCTTGGAGATCTGGCCTGTTGGATGTAAAAACATCGGGAATACCTGCTACCTCAACAGCGTTCTGCAGTTTCTCTTCACCATCAAGCCCCTTCGAGAGATCGTTCTGAATTTTGACGAGCAGAAACAAGAATGTACTCCAGAAGCGATACAGAACAAGAAAGTTGGTAGGCGCGTAGTCACACTAGAGAGAGTCGAGCGCGCTCAACAATGTGAGTCCTATTTTTCGCTGTTTTCGATCATGGCTGATTCTACTTCACAGTCATACAAGAATTGAGGAAGCTCTTCTTGGTGATGATCACTGCGCCCAGCGACTCCGTAACACCAGAAAGACTCCTCGTCATTCTGGCCCTGCTGAATGAGTCTGACTATGGTATCCTTGATGGCAACTCTAATGTTCAACCCACGGAAAACGGTACCGGCCACCTCGGCGAAGTGGAGGGTCGCCCCGTATATGGACCCATGCCGAACCCATCTGCGAGCAAAGAAGAATCTTCAAACCCCACATCGGGATCGCCGACCGACGTGATCATGACTGATTCGGACACTGCAGTCACGACAAATACTTCTATAGACGCATCACAGGATGACAAAGACAGAGGCGACGTACAGCAGAATCAGACGAACTCGGAACCACTGAACCAACCGCCAGCCGCCCCGTCACATCCACCACCCCCAGTTCCGCCAAGGCCAAAGGCATCCGCTCAAGAAAAGACCGTGCTCCAAAGGGCTGAAAACGCCGCGCAACAACAAGATGCCGCCGAAATCCTGAATAATATCCTCGATCTATTGAGGTGTGGGATGAAAGCTGATAATATCATGGAGGATGGGGAGCAGATGGATAAAATTACTAGGTATGCCGAAGTCGTCTTCGAAATGCCAGCCTTCTCTAACTCGTCGCAGCTTGTTCTTCTCTCGCATAAAGACGGTACAAACCACTAAAGGCGAGACTTCAGCAACCTTGCAACTCCATGATAATATCCTTGCCTCCCCAGGCGACTACGCTAGACATCTCTACCGAGCTCTCGACGATGAATTCGACCTCGGACCTGTCGAAGGGACAGACTCACTCAAATATGAAGAGATCAATCGGCTACCGCCTATCTTGATGATCAACGTGCGAAGGTTGGTATTCGACAAAGAATCAAAGAGAGCGAAGCGAATCGAGTCTCACTTGCGATTGGAGGACGTTCTCTACTTGGATCGATACCTCGACCAAACCACGTCTCTATCTAGCAAAGAGCTTCTGAGTCTTAGAGAAAAGAAATGGGAAACTGATAAGAAGCGACGGGAGCTAGAAAATATGAAAAAGGAACTTGAAACCTCCGAATTGGGTACTAGTCGTGCAGACGACGTGGAGGAAACAGCGGAACTTCTCGATGGCCTTGAGAAATTAGACGCTGACGAACTCATAGACGTCGACGCTATACCCGTTGCCCCTGGGCTTTCAGATGCTGTTCGGAACGAGGCGGAGATCCTCAGGAAAAAACAGGAATCTTTAGACCAGGACATGAAAGAGGTTGACGAGACGATCAACTCCTACTTCGAGAATCTGAAGGACCACCCCTACAGGCTACAGGCTGTCTTCATCCACCGCGGCTCCGCGACCGGTGGACACTACTACATATACATCCACGACTTCAAGGAAGATATCTGGCGGAAATACAACGACGAGACGGTGGATGAAGTGAAGGACCTCAAAGAGATCTTTGAGCAGGAAGAGAAATTCCCGGGCCTTTCGACGGGCATGGTCTACGTGAAGCAGGAGGATGTGCTGGAACTTGTGGAAGCCGTCAAGCGGGATCCACGGGTACCACCTCCCTTCCCTCCCGCGGCTGATCATGCTAACCAAGAGATGTCACAGGTCGACGAAAAAATTACCCAGGACGTCGAGATGGCGGATGCAGTTGAGGGCTCGTATACGGAAGTCGAGTATATCGAGGGTGTGCCCGCAGACGGCCCTTGCTGTCCCATGCCCATGAATCATGTCTTGGGTTAACGATTGTGCTTCTCTAGTTGACCCGCACACTTCCGTATTTCATGGTATATTCGCGGTCGATTTTGGGTACGACGGCGATTCTGACCAGAGCGATTCTTCTGAGGACATTGGCTGGCACGAAGGCAGGCTCGTGAAGGGTTCCTTCGAAAGTGGAGACTTTGTACCCAGGAAAATGGAGCCTTCCAAGGCCGATTCTGTTAGTCCTGATGGGAATTACGTACCAGTTACGCCGGAGAAGAGGGCGCTTTACCTCCAGCCGAATGTCCAATTGGAGGAAGGGATGATTGAAACATCATCGCAGCAACTCAAAACGGCGGAATCGCCATCTTCTTTACCATACCGTTTCAAGATTGCCGATACCGCAGTGAACGCGCCACTAGACGAATCACTCACTCTACTGGAAAGGGCCGAGGCCGTAAACTACGCTTTGACGGAAATAATGCAGGAGGGTTTGTCGCTTTCGCTTACAAGTGAGGACTCGTGGCAGGAAGATATCATTCACCTGATGGCGGAAGATTTCCAGGAGGGGGAGAGCAATAATGTGGTCAATATCATGACCCTTGAGTGCAAGCCTGACGAGAAGCGCGATTTGAACGATTTGGACAATCAGATGATGGAGGCGGTGATTGCGATGTCGCGGACTGACAAGTGATTTTTTGACGCTCGGATTCCTCCCTTCCCCCTTTCTTTTTCCATCATTCATCCTTTTTCACCGTTCGTTGAGATGAGCTAGTGTTGCATTGAGAGTGGATTGCTCTCTGCGGTTCGTTGTCCCTGTTAGTTTCAGCGATACATACATAGGAGAGGCTTGCCTGGTTAGGTGGGCGTGGATGGTGAATGAGATTCATAATTGCCTATCCTATACTTTGCTGATTGCGCTGGATTGTTGAATGTGTAGTCGCTGTATCCTAGGCTGCCGAAGTTTACTGGAGATCGAGCGCATTGGTTGACTCACTTTCTTCCCAGTTACTGCGACTCAAATCCCGAGTAGGGTAGGTCAGCAATGACATGCCAACCCTTGGTGCAAATCGCATAGGCTGGCTCCTGTTGGATACGCTGTGAAATTACTTTTGCTGCATGGCCTAATCTCGAGTGCCTAGCAATAACATGCCCAAACTGAGTTCAAATCGCACGGACTGGCTCCCGTTCATGCTTCTCGCGATATCGAACTTACCCTATCTCTCAGGAGCTGATTTATGGGTTTAAGCCAATAGTACACCAAAATTGGGTTCAAATCGCATGGACTGGCTCCCGTTCATGATTCCCAAAGCACCGTCTGTCGAACTTTTTCCTCAGGTCTGATCTCGAGGCTCAGGGAACTGACATACTAAAAGAGGCTGAAAATTAGGCACGTTTCAGATCGACAGTGATTCGAGATTTTGATATTCATCGTTCGACTGATGTTCGTGGTCGTCATGTAGACCGCTTCAAACGTTCTTGAAATTTTGTTTCATAAACTCCCCGAGTGATTGGTCTTTAGGAATCGAATTGAATAAACCATCCAACGCTTACCGCCATGCAGAACCAACCCCTCACTTTTGGATGTCAAACACCTCAATCTTCTCAATCAAATCCCCACCCAACCTAGCAATCTCATTCAGAATCCCACCCGTATTGACCACCGCATCCACTCCTCCATATCTTTTCGATGCCTTGGCCTTGCCAGCAACAGGCACAGTCGACGTCCCCAACCTGACTTTCCACCCCCTCTTTCCCGCCGCCAATGGGTTCCAGAGCCCAGCCACCACATCCCCACCCTCCTCATCATAGAACCAGATAATTGTGTTCCCATAGACTTCCTTCAGCTCCTCGACAAACAAGCTGGCAGGCGCATACCCAACCGCCTCCACATCCCTACCCTCCGACTGCATCTGCAACTGCAAGTTCTTGAACATGGCGTTATCGGCCTTCGCATCCGCCTTCAAGCGTCCAAAACGGGTGAATGGTCGTGCGATACGGAGCACGAAACTATAATCGCTCAACGGGCCTGCGAAGAGCGTTTCAGGCTGGAAATCCGCGACACCAGTCTTCCCCGCGACGATCCCGAGCTCGGTGTCCTTGAGGACGCTCACAGCCGCCTGGGCGAGCACCGTCATACGTCTCGCGACTACCTTGGCCGGCCGCGCGCGGTCCGTCCACGTGGTGCCGTCTGGATCCAGGTTCGAAGCCGCGAAGAGTACAACGCGGTTGAGGTCGCGGTCGATGCGGCGCCAGGCTTCGAAGCGCGTCGTGATGGCCGCGAGGTCGTCGGCTTTCATGCTGTCAGCGCCGCTTTCGGTGTTGGCGAGGTCGACGACGAGGGGGCTGTGGGTCCAGTCCCAGCGACTGAGCCAGAAGAGCGTGCGGAGGAAGCCGTTGGTGGCGCAGGATGGGGTCGTCCATGGGGCGGGCTGGAGGAAGGAGCGCGCGACGAGGAGTTCGATGAATTCGGGGGCAAAATGGGAGGACAGGAGGTGCGAGGCGAACCATTTCTTAGTTAGTCGGATTGAGGGGGAGAGCGCGGTGAAGCGGGTGCATAGGGCTTGCATGGCCTGTGTATGTGCCGGTATGCGGAGGAAATCGCGTTTGTAGGTCGCCAGAGCGTGGGCTGCTGCTTCACGACTTGGGCCGTCTAATGATTTGTCTTTCAATTGGTGGTGTAGTAAGAAGGCCTCGCGGTCGTGATGGATGCGGAGACGAAAAGCTGCGCCTGATGGAGTGATGATGTCGAGGAAGGATTGATTTTGAGATGGCTGTGAAGTGTTCTCAAGACCAACGCGGGTGACGTATTGCGCGTTTTCTCCCGAAAGGAGTTCTGCGAGCTTGAGAAGAAAGGCGACCTTTGTCCTTTGGATAGCAAGGAGGTCATCAGGCCATCGCCCGGATCCCTCAAATTGTACGACAATTGATGCGGGAGTTTTCATCTGCTTTGAGACGTTGAAGGGTGGGTCGATCGAAGAGTAGCGTAATTGAGGATCCGCGGAGATAATATGCCGAATTTGAAGAGGAAGATTCTCTAAACTTCGAATGTCCTTCTCGAGAGTAGAGAAAGCACTCATGAGCGTAAGGAAGGGGGTTGTCCCTGACTGCCCACTCAATCCGCCAGCAGTGATAAGATGGTTGAAAGAGTCACCTGAAAACTTCGCCGACTCTGCGACCCTTGCGCTGATATGTCGCTGGAGGATGTGCCTGATGATCTGTTCCACAATTGTCCCACTGCTTTCTTTCTGTGACCAGACGAGACTCTCAAGGATGCTCCCATCTTTGAAACGACGAAGCTCAGATTTTTCGCCCCAGAATTGGCGAAAAGAAGCGGCTTCTTTCTTGTTTTCGGCTGAGGGGCCATGATCCACCAACCTTGTAGAATTAACAGGATCTGTCTCCAGTCCGATCAATATTCTGCCTTGTCTATCTTCAAAGGGCCTAGACGAGCTAACTTGCCAGCCAGTCTCCTCAGGAAGGCTTATCGATAGAGAAGTGATTCTATTGCCGAGACCACGTGTAAGAGTGGTATAGAGCTTTTTGCAAGTCCGAGGTAGAGTCTGGCGGATGTCTTCCTCGTTCGTGTCTTGCTCAAATCCGGTGAGAGGAAGCTCGAGAATACTATCGTATCTGTACAATGGCGACTCGACCTTGAGAATGAAGGTAGAATCAAATTGGTCGAATGTAGAGTCTGCTAAGGATTTCAAAGTATTCTTTGCTTCCTTCTGTAACAGTCTATAAGACCAAGCGGTCATTTTGAACAATAGATTGAGACCCCTTTCACCGTCGAAGAAATAAGGAACGCCTTCAGTTTTCGGTAAAGATACGTTGGCAGCCTGGAACGCAAATGGAATCTTGGTTAAGTCTCTAGTTGCGAGAAATTGAATCGTGGCCTTGAAAAGCTGGTAGCTGCTGTATCCGGCAGAGAGAATTGGTGCTCCGGTACCGCTGCTACTCTGGAGAAGAATTGCTATAATGGCCGCCCATTCGAAGTTGCCGAATCCTCCTTTGCGGGCGTGACCATGGAATCCGCGCTGCCTAAGCCATACTCTCCCGAGTATGCAAGCGTCCTTGTACGCGTCACACTGCTTCGATGCAGCATGAAGCACTTTCAGGTATGCCGTAATGGAACAATCCGCCTGTAGTGTTGCGTTGTAGAAAGGCGTTGGGACTAATTTGGAAGACAATTCGTCTTTAGAGCCCTTTGGTCGTACACAGTTTTTCTCCGGCAAAAGCTTCTCAGGTGAGAAAATCTTCTCCCCGGGGGAAAGAAGAACGTTGATGCAGAATTTCGATGCCGAAAAGTCGCCGCTAGCATCTATTGAAGTCAGTCAGTCAGTTTCACGACGTTTTGGGAGCCTTCCATACCTTTGCTCGGCCGTACGACAAGAATTGGCTGTAAGGAATTGCCATTCAAGCTTTCAAATCGTATTTCAAATTTGTGATCCTTTGACTCTTTGATGCCGACAGCTATGCAAGCTAGATAGTATGCCCGTTTATAGAAGTATCGATAGTTGAGGAAGTCTTTTTCTTGGAAAAGCGACTGCTACTTGTTAGCTAGGGCATCTTATCGATATCAGAGAAAAATCTTACACTGGGCATAGTGACAACAAGATCAACACAAAGCTCGTCGCCATGCTTGGTTGCTATTTCCAGGACGTAACTTCCCGTCACATTTATGACTGCTGGTTTCTCGTATTCCAGCTTGTATTTTGCGTCTTTTGGGGGTCGTGGATGAGGAAAAGGCGTGGAGACTTTGCTTGATTTGAGGAGGGATTTTTCCGCGTCGTGAACCTGTAGAATATTAGCATATGATGTTAAGAGAGTATGCATATAGTCATACCAGCTGGGGCTCGCGACTGGGAATTTGCTCGATAATGCTCTTCAATGTGTGCATTGCGTTTGTGACCTCCTTCTTTCCGTATTTCGGTTTGACTTGCTTCAGCAATTCATCCACTTGTAGTTTGAAGAGATTTGACTTGTATATTTCAGCGGTGTACACTCCGTCTTGTGGTATGTCGTCGATTCCTTTCCGCGGTTTTGCTCTATGTTCTGGTCCGGTGGTCTTGCTCTTCTTGACTGCTACCGGTGTATCTTCTTCAACAGAATCGCCCTCCTCGCCTTCGCTTCCTAAGGCATCTTCGTCTCCATAAAGACCGTGTTCCTCCATGGGGTCCTCGTCCCCGCTGGACTGCTCGCTATCTTCGGATCCGTTCCTAGCGAAATTGTTGCTGCCGGATATTGCGACGTCTCTATCTTCACTGCTGTCGCTATGGCTGAGCTTCCTCCTCTTTGTCGCTGGCGGCGCCATGGTGGGTGTCGAGTAATCGTTGCGCGTTGGACCTGAACTTTCGATACACAGAAAAAAAAAAGGACCGTGGCGGTGCGAGTTGTGGCGCATCGGCGTGGCTGAATGACGTTTCGGACTTTCAGGAACTTTAAATTTTGACATCCGAACTCGGAGTGTGGGGCAAACGACGTCTCCGACGGCATTTCGACGCTTAATATGCGGAACTCTACTGGCAGGCGGGTCTGCCACATTCATACTTCACAATTGTCGTACGTTTCACGCATCTAGGCTATCCCTATTCACTTACTCCACCATGACAGTCTCAATGGCGGAAGACCCCGCTAACGACGTTGGCGAGAGTATTCCCGCCATGACTGCGCACGTGAGTCACTTCCGCAAATTGCCATTGTTCATGCTGAGATGTCGTAGGCTGTGAGTGTATCACTGCCGACATGGAAGGCAAACGTGGGATATGAAGAGGGGGAAGAATGGGTCATGAGCAAGATGAAGACCGGCTATCCCAGGTAGGACCCAAAGTCTGTCCAACAGGTATATCTATTGCTAAGACAGAAAGGTTTTTCATTCATAAGTCTATTCAAAAGCTAGCCGCTGCAATCGTTCAAAAATATGGCCGTCCCGGCGAGGCGGCCTTCCTCTTCCCCTCAAACGCCGTAGCATCACGTTGCCTGGCCTTCTTCAACCGTCAAGCTCCGCAGCTTGATCCCCAGAAAGTCCGAATTGTCGATCTTGGGCCCGCCGCCCCAGCAGCTGGCTCCAGAGCCACCGAGGAAGTATCTCCAAGTATTTCTGCGGTGATCTTTCCGCAAGAACACTTCAGTGTCGCAAAGGCGTACTGGCAGCACTCAGGCGATGGAATCTCAAGCCGCCGAGCAGATTATTGCTTTAATCTATTCTCAAAAGGGCTATTAGTCGACCTTCGTAAGCAAGAGGAGCCGCGGTTCTGCAAAGGACCAAAGCGGTATCAGAAGAAGACATCTGTAGACATTACCGGCCATTCGAACGGCGTTGACTCTGTGACGAAGGGAACTGGAGATGAAGTACAGGATCCCACGCGCTTCGTCGAGGAGCGATTTGGGAGGAACTTGGATCTTTCCTTGGCTGCCAACGCTAAGCTAGCAATCCGACGTCGCATTGCAGGCTCGTTGACGGCTGATGTTGGACTGACAGAAGCTCTGTCTTTGGAGAGAGATGAGGAGACGACGAGGAAAGTCGCAGGGTTCTCCGAGGACGACGTCTACCTGTATCCTACCGGGATGAGCTCCATATTCAACAGCCACCGTACTTTGCTGGCTGCGAGAGGCGAGCTGAAAAGCATCATATTTGGGTAGGCTAGGGCTACTCCCCAAGGAGACAAGCACTGACTTCGGATAGGTTCCCTTATGTCGACACTCTAAAGATCGTACAGAAATTTGGCCCTGGATGTTTATTCTATGGGTTCGGATCCGCCGAGGACCTCGACGATCTGGAAAAGAGGCTTGCGGGCGGTGAAAAATACCTGGCGCTCTTCACCGAGTTCCCCGGCAACCCGCTGCTAAAGTCCCCCGATCTCCAGCGTATACGAACGCTGGCTGACACGTACGATTTTGCCGTGGTCATCGACGAGACGGTTGGCAATTTCCTCAACGTTAATGTCCTGCCGTATTCGGATGTCGTAGTTAGTAGCCTAACCAAAGTATTCAGTGGCGACAGCAATGTCATGGGCGGGAGGTAAGACAGCGTGCCGTCCCCTGCATGATTGAGGACTAGTCACTGATTCAAGCAGTGCCATCTTGAATCCCAAAGGGCGCCACTTCCAAGTTCTGAAGGACACCTGGGAGTCAGAGTATGAGGACAACCACTGGGCTGAGGACAGCGTCTTCCTTGAAAGGAATAGTCGCGACTTCGTCCCACGCATCGCACGCATAAACGCTAATGCGGAAGCTATCTGCGACGTGTTACGAGCTCATCCACGTGGTACGATTAGTGCACGATCCCTGACATTTTGCTTTTTATTCCTCCAGGGCTGATAAGGTGCACAGTGAAGCAAGTCAACTATCCCAAGTACAGCCCCACGCGGCCGTTTTACGATCAGTGTCGTAATCCTAACGGGGGCTATGGCGGCCTGCTATCCGCTACCTTCTATTCGACGGCAGATGCGGTGGCGTTCTTTGACCACATTGACACGGCCAAGGGCCCGAGTCTTGGGACGAATTTTACATTAAGGTTAGCTGACATTCGATGTCGCTCTCACCCTGGGATCTTCCCGTGCGCTAACATGTGGCTGTAGTTCTCCCTATGTAATTCTTGCCCACTATTCGGAACTGGATTGGGTAAGCACCCCACTTCTGCAAGGCATTCGCATGATAATGAAACTGAAACTCCTAGGCTGCGTCTTTTGGTGTCGAAACAGACCTAGTCAGGTTCAGTGTTGGTCTCGAGGATACCAAAGAGTTGGTAGACACGTTCGAGCGGGCATTGGAGGCAATTCCGCAGTGAAAATGAACAGTCAACCTGAAACAAACGACTGATGGGAGGTGGAGAGAAGGATGAGGACGGCGTGAGGATTCTGGCACCAGATCGGCGCGGTTCCTTCAGAGGAGAATTTTCAAGATGTTGGGCTGGGCCAGGTTCACGAGCACCGACTCCTCAGCCCCCTACCTACCAAGGGGACGTAGCGGGAGAATGACAGACAGGGAGCACCTGGAAAGACGACCTGGGTGCTGCAGGCATGGCGTTGGGTGGCGAAGGCGTGATGTATCACAGGGATGGGGCTTCGGAGTCCGCAAGGCAGACTCGGTGTCAGGCGCCGCTGAGACGGACGGAATGACAGTACCTGGGCATCGATGGAAGGTCCGAGTGGCATGGGCCTGCTGGCCCTGGCCAAGAGCGAAGTCGGAGGTTTTTCAACAAACACCTCGCGGCTGGAGGGTCTGCCCGTTTTGATTTAGAGCCTGGAAGCATATCCCTTAGCTTATCCTTTCCGCAGCGTTTGCGGGGTTGCCGTGCCGTGAAGCTGCAGCGGGCATCTGGCGGAGAAGATGCCTCTTACGTGTCGGACTCGCCGACGGTAAGGTTCCAAGAGACTCCCATAGTGCGGGGACGTCGTGGGTGTGCATCTCAGGGGCGCCACAGCGTAAGTCCGAGAGGGCCGACGGCGGAGTGGGCAGACGGCAGGCAAGCTCACCACGCCAGGAGCCAGGTCTGCGGGTGTGGCATCCAGGATGGGCCGGCGAGCAGCGAGTTGCAGGCGCCGGCCGGTGGAGAATCGCGTGACATGTGCAGCAGCAAGGAACGCTAGACGGGACAGCGTGCGGCGATGGCGCCGTCCTGAATAGCAGTTCCATCTGATAGGCAAGCCGGACTCAGCACCTGGGCTGTCGGTTGGGCCGAGAGCAGCACACGGCATGCCGTGGAAACATGAAACACATGCATCTAGCGGTGGCCGCGCGCGGTGTGGGCGCTAGGTACTAAGGGGGGCATTTCTGCGAGCCGGGGAGTGCCGTCTTGCAGTTCGTGATGCTGATTTAAGCAGTGAGGCACCATCTGCAGCGCCGTAGCGCGATCGACACTCGAGCCTAGGTGTGGATGCAGATAGAGATCTGATCGATGAAGCCGCTGCCGAAAGAAAAGAACCGTCAGCATCTAAAGCTGAAAACGGGAGCATTTAGAGCTCAGATTGGTTGGCCCATGGGCCGCATCGTGCATAATCAAGAGCGCTCGAATCAGCGCAGCGATTTAAGTTCCAAGCCACAATCGAAGCCGTCCTGGGTGGTTTCCCAGTCTTGCCCGCTGGAAAAGGCACAGCGATGTTCCCAATGCAGGTTCGATGGTGCACATCAACGGCTGCATGTGCACTCGCCGTCCATCGGCGTCGGTTCGGAGTGAATAGGCACGTACTCCAGCGCCTAGCTCCACGCTCTCCCACGCGGCCTGCAGGTCAGCCCTGCATCGCATGGTTACGCTCACGGCCAAGATGCATCACCCTACACCCAACAATGGCCAGGCCTGGCAAGTGAGCGACACCCTACGTACGTACGCCAGCGTCACTGTACATACATCCAACAGGAATCCCAGCGGGTGTGCTGCGAGCTGCCCAAATCGCACGTGGATAACAGCCTCGAAAGACCACGCTACCGCCGCTTTCGCTTTCAGCCACCCGAAAACTGACTTGCGGTCCTGCGCGCACTTGCATGTCGCTGCCTTCTGCAACCCTAGTGGCCACAGCACAATCAGATTGTCGCCGCACCCGCAGAAGCCTGACTCGGGACCTGGGTGACGCCTTGGCATCGAAGCATTCGAAGCTTCTCCCGCGCGTCCTCGCATGAGGCACTTCCTCTGCGTTTGTGGAGTCCATTCGCTATACGCTATCCGCTTGGCTGCATTGTCGGGCCCTGGTCCCGGCTTCACAGGATGGCCTTGTCTAATCAGATTGTTTCTAGCGACTGGTAAAGTTCTATATCTCTGACAGCACATTGGGTATTAGATGCACACGTTTAGTAAAGAATCTTCATTCATTCAGCGTTCCCGTCAGTTCAAGAGCCACAGCTCTCTAGCTAGTCGTGACGGTAAAGAGGCGTGAGGGGCTTCAGCGTAACAGGCATAGTGCCCAGCGCTACTGATGGCGAGCGCGGACTCATGCACGCCCACCCAATTCTCCACACCCCAGGCTTGAGGCACTGGTTCTCGACGTCGACGTTTGTCAGTCGCGCAGCAGCTGGCCTCTTCTTGGCGATTCATCTGCAACCATCACGCCGCATCGGGAGCCGCCCTTCTCTGTGCCGTCCTACTTCGCCTCATTTCGACGTCGACAAGATTGCGTGCCAATGCTCCGTCTCCCGACCGCGCCGAAGAATTTGACGGCAACCGGGCTCGTCTTTTGATGGCAGCAGGCGGCGGCTTGTGACGGTGACCCAGCGGCGTGGTCCCCGAGCAAATCCCCTCGAGCACGGGAGCTTGATATCCGTGCGCCTCAGACGAACGAGGGCGTTTGGCTGGATACCGATCGTTGACACCTTGTTCGAAACCGCCAGCACCGTTTATATCGGGCCTCTCATCTGATCGCACTGCAGCCCACGGGAATTGCTAGTGGTTTGCTGGGCAGCGCCGAGTCCCAGCGGTGGTTGAGCGCGGCACCCGCCGGCCTGGACTCGATATCAAGTACTTTTGCTCTCCCCAGCGCCACGAGGGCGGGCATGGGGGTGGCAGGCCCAGCAGCGGCATCTCCCTGGCCCTCTGGCCAAGGGGCCTAAACAGTCCGCAGACATGCAAGTGCTGGCGGCCCGCTGTGAGGCCTGCACCAAGCTTCGTCAATGATGGCAACGCGACCCGCGGCGCAGGGAGAGTGGCAGATCTACCCCGTCGTCCCGCCCGCCAGATCTCCTTGCACCGCGTGGAGTTGCGGTGGCCGGGGCAGCAGCCAGAAAGGGCGTCGTCGGTAAGGCTGTTCGAAAATAGCACACGGTGCGACGTCTGAGGCTCGCCGCGGTGAGCAACAGTTTGCGTCGTCTAACGATGATCGCCGAGCACTGGTGGCGCAGCGCGAGGCTTAACCCACCACCTATTTTCGCAGAAGCAGCTTTGCCCGACAGGGCGAGTTGAAACCACCGAGCCCGCCTGGTAGGGCGCGGTGTTCCACTTGCAGCCAGGCAGTGGGGTCCTGGTGGTCGGGAAGGGAGGGGGGGGGGTGTCTGCAGCCACCAACACCAGAGCCTACAGAGCCTCCCGTTGCAGACGCGCATGCTAGGCCTGGTATACTCCTACTAGCACACAGCTACAGCAATACTCCGCGACCCTGGAAATGCCGAAAGCCAGGTGGCTTACCGCGATCGATCAGTGTGAGGACGCCTCAGCGGCGTGAGCGCGGCAGGAATGGAGGCACGCCTCGACCGCTGCTATCTGCGGCAGCGGCCAACGGGCCCCGTGCTACAGCTCCAGGGAGGAGCATGCCACTCACTGACTGGTGCACGACCTAAAAAAACGGTCGGGAGGAGGCCCGCACCCTCTCCTCAGAATGCGCAAGGTCGGGGCCAGGAAGTGAATCCTTCAGGCACCGACCCACTAACCAGCCGCGCTCCCGGGAGAATGCTGCTAGTCCTGGTGCTAGAGCTCAGTCCAATCGCCAGCGTGATGCTCAGATGGTCTATCTATATGTTCCTATGCTCCCCCAGCGAGGCGCAGGCTCTCCACCAACCAGCCAGTGCTACCAGTCTGCTTAAGCCTCCCCTCCGTCAGCCGCCCGTCTAGTTTTATAAAGGCACCTAATACGTCCAGATCCAGCAACCTGCCCGAGTGTAAGACCGTCCCGGCTTGTGCCTTTAACTTCCTATGTTCCCTCACACCAAACCATGACCCCACGGTCACCCAAATCAAATAAGTCGACCACCATCTCACGCAGACTTAGATCCAGAGCTAGCCAGCATCTCTCCATACAGCCGCCCGAGCTCCCTCAGATTCGCAACTTGCGCTCCCGCCGCGCCGCAACAGCAGCAGCATCCTCCAGGAATCCCCCCGCTGGACAGCTATCCGCCATATCTGTCACTTCGCGACCAGAGCCCCATCACGAGGCTGCCTGGGATCCTCCAGAGCTCCCACAGTCCTTTCAACGTGTCCGAACCTCACACTCGACAGTATACGAGCCCCACCTCGAGTCGCATTCAAATTCGCTGCTTTCCCAGCCCATCGACTCGTACAGCTCTGAACAGCTTCCTCCGCCAACCCTATCTTCCTACAACACCGAGGCACGCCAGTACCATATTCAGGCATCACCAGCGCCAGACCTCCCTTCACTCCAGCTTTCCCAGTTCTCAGAGCACCCCACTTCCGGTGAATTCGATCTGCGCCTTGCAGCAGGCCCCGGCCTTCAATCCAACCAGCAAGTGGATTTACAGAATATGAGGTAACTTCCGAAGGCCTGAGCTACAACAGATCACTCAACTGACCTTTTCCAGTGCTATTGACTTCATGGTTCCTTCGCATTACGGTTCCATGGATCAGTACGGTTCTTCCGCCCCGCTAGACTCTCACAGTAAGAATCTCCTCGGGATTGAGTTAAGAGTCATGTTAATGATGCTCTCAGGCTACCAAATGCGACAGCAGTCACAATCATCGGCAGGATACGCTCCAGCCTATGTCTCGAGTCCGCCATTACGGAGTCAGTCAGGTCGGTCAGAGGCGGGGATGCCACCATACCAATCAACTTCAATACCTCGTTCCCCTTACCAGCAGCCACTCGGACCTATGCGCGGAAGTCCAACACCAATGTCATACCCCCCAGGATCAAGCGACTCATCTGCAATCATCGGCACTCCTCCAGCACATTCATACGGTTATCCTGCAATGCAACCCACCCTACCAAACCAGCCTATCAGCTCACTGGGAAACCACGGGTCTAGCTATCCACCGTAAGTTCCAAGATCTACAGGCGGCGAAGAAAGCCTTGCTTACAGTAAGCAACAGAGCCGACGCATACCCTCCAACTAGCTACGAGATGGCCTATGGGTCTCTCCCCACAACCATGTACCCACCTTCAGCAACGCCCGCCTACTCCTACGACCACATGGCGCAGCCCAATCCCGCAGCAGGCGGCCTGTCCTCCTCGCCGGAGCAGCGTAACGTACGTGTACTCAACCAACGGCCCAAGCCGCAGTGCTGGGAACACGGCTGTAACGGACGGCAATTCTCAACCTTCAGCAACCTCCTACGGCACCAGCGCGAGAAGTCTGGAACGGCGGCGAAGAGCTACTGCCCTCGGTGCGGCGCTGAATTCACGCGCACGACGGCGCGCAACGGACACATGGCCCACGAGAAGTGCAAGTCCCGGCGGCCGTCCGACGCAAGCCAGTAAGCTGTAAGGCTGCGCCGATGTCGTGTCCTCATCGTCCGTGCCTCCTAAGACTCACCACGAAACTGGCGGACGCACGGGCCACTTTGAGCATCGCCGTATGCACATTCTGGCGCATGGCACAGATCATGTTTCGCACTTGGGTCTCAGCCGGCGAGGTCGCGGTGGGGGCGCGACAAAAGTGCCAGGCGCGGGTTGGATCGCAGAGAAGCAATGTGGTTCGGACTCGTCGATATCGCCCAGCATTCGACTCCTGCGAAACTCAGATCCCCATCGCCTCTCTAGTTTACCATCTATTTGGCTTGGGACAAACGCCAGACTTCTCAGGGGGCTGTCATACACCAAAATAAGTTGCGCAGACAGCGTCGCTTTCGGAGATTGGAGCGATTTCGTGTTTCTCAGACGACGCTCTGACCCATTCGCTTCTTCGTCATTCGCTTCTTCGTAACTTGGTCCAAAAGGGGGAAAACCCCACCATCACCATTGTTACTGAGCGTTTCAAGTTTTTCTATTTATTTATTTCGCGCCTGTGCGGTTCTACGCGCTTTAGAGCGTTCTTTCTTACTCTTTCGTGAGCTTCTACACAAAGCATCTGGGCCGGCGTTTCGAGCGATTTTGCATACCAAGTACCCACCACCCATACCCCTCTCGCTTCATTCTATTTCTTTCGGAGTATTCCCCCTTGCTGGAGTTATCATTTTTTTTACATTTCATTTCATTCTATTCTTTTCTTTTCCGTCGGCAAACACTTCCTTGCGCTTGTTGCATGCGGCTGCCTCGCACAAAGATCTGCACCGGGGATCGTCGTCGCTGCGCGAGGCTGTGCGGCCCCCGTCAGGTCATGCTGTGTACTGTAGCACAGCCAACACCGCTTCTTCCACACCACACAAAACATAACCCGCAAAGAACACATCTCTTTAATCTTCTCATCTTATCTCAGCAATGAAGGATTAGCCACATTGCATGATCGATCGACCTTCACCGGACCCGGGCTGGACAGTGCTTCAACGCCATACCGCAGCTGGGTGGGGGCTTGGTGAGAGCCGGGTAGGTAGGCGGTCGGGCTGTGCTATACGCTGGCTCGCTGGCTCGCTTGCTCTCTTCACTGGGGTCCCGCTGTGGGCGACATGGGCTGGTGCTCATTTATTTGCTACTTTTCGAGTTTTGCCGGCTGGGCGAGGCTGAGCTGGGCTTACATACATTCGCGGTGGCGAAGAGTGAAGGGGCTTACTTTTCCACCCACTGCGCATACCCTTTTTGTTTTCTTTTCCTTGCTGCCTGGTTGGGCATTACTGGGTTCGGTTAGAATAGAGGATGGAGGGGACCTTTCTTGAAGCTACTGTACTGTATTTCTCGCTGCCTTGTATAACGCATGAAATATGAAACTATGAATACATAAACATCCTACTACCTTGTGTGTGGTTTCTGTGCTAATGATGTAATCGGTAGATACTGGACGTTTGCGGCGGTTAGGAACTAATGCACCCCACTCACCCCAAGCGCAACCCCGACAAGCCCATGAAACGACCCACGCATCAACGGCCTCCAAATCTCCCCACGTTGGCGGTGGCTGGTTTCCCCTCTACAGCCAGCCATCAGGACCCTCTCTAACGACTCGCGGACTCGCACGTGCGCTGTTTTTTTTCTCGGCCGTACCCGCAGTCGGATCATGTTTGTTCTAGACGTTAGCGAATACGAGAGCTTCGAGATTATAAGATCATAAGATCATAAGATCATAGTCGGGCTTCGGGGCGTTCGAACCGATCCGAATCGCTCGGGCGCGGGTGTCCTATCCTATCATAGCGTGCATCTGAACGAACGGCGATGGCTCTCGTATCGAACCGCCAGCTTGCACTCGTTATGCTTGATTCGCTTCCCTGTCGCTGATCGAACCTGCGTTGCGTCTGCGATTGCGTGGGTTCCTGCGTCGCGCTGGATAGGACTCGTTTTGGATTATGGGAGTTTTACGAGCGGGAAATCACGAGACGTTCATTTTCCTCCGAGTCGTTGGGGGGTCGGGCCCGTGGAAGAAGAAGGCCGTTGAGAATAGCGCGTCGAGGTTGATAAATGGCTCGTGGAGCATAGACACTTGTCCTTGGGGGGAGGCTAAGAAGTTGGGTTGGTGTTGGGCGGTGTTGGAAGTTTGATTGATATACCAACGAGTCTGTGCTCACGCACTGGCGACAGCGCTCACGTGCCCCCCTCTTGCTTTCGTGATGCCACTTGTGGAATTCTCAAATATTCGGTTGATATTCGGCTACTATGCACGTTAATGTATAGATCTACTGTGGGAACGCTTTCTCTAGTATGTATTAGGCCTGTATAGGCCTTTCCTATATATATATATATATAGACTAGCTAGATTCCTATATAAAATTTATATCTATTATCCTCTAATTTCTTATATTGCGTGGTCGGAAATATCATACACTATAACTAGCTTCGGTGTTGAGTTGTTCGTTCTGCTCCGATGTGTTTGTAAGCTAGTCTACTTGTACGAGACCGACCGTCTCCGCATGGGGTGCGAATCCCAAAACCAAGTCCACGCTTCAGGGGTGCAGGAGGTTAAGAGAGGCGCGTGCGGCGCGCCAAGACACCTAATCTTGGATATCGCGCGATATTGCAGGGTGCGACAGTAGTATGGCACACACCAGGACCAGTTCGTGGTTTGGCCTTTGATGAAGGGGCGGGAGGTTCCAGGACTGGCTGTTCTAGTTGCTGTAATGAGCAATTCCCGTTTTGGAGCCTCGATCCCCGGCTCATGGCAGCGGGAAAGCCACCGACAGAGGGCATCTGCAGCTCGAGAGTATTATCTATTCGCATCCTGGTGAAACGGTCGTGCTGCGCAGAGTCGCCGAGTCACCGAGTCGCCGACCCCTGCTTTTCCTTGGTACATATGAAGCATGCGTGTGACGGACCGTGGACCGCCGTGCACACCGGCTTCTGACCTGACGCGCGGGTAATATGCATATCAACGTGTGGTGGAATCTTGTATAACTCGATGAGTTGGGGCCAATCACTCGGCCCGATGAGCGACCTAGCGAATAGGGCTCTCTGGCAAGGCTTGCGGTGTGTGGGGACTGTGCTAACGTAAGGACGGCTGGGCTGCGCCGCAGTCAAAACAGAGTGCTGACAGGCGTGTCAGGTCTGTCCTGGGCTGGAAGGATGAGGCGACGAGCATTGAAGTGGCAGGGGGCGCCATGGGGAAGTGCTGGTGGCATGGAGAAATCGGTGTCTAGGGTGATTGAGTTGAGAAAAAGGTCGCACACAACGGGCATGGTACAGCACACCCCCGTCCCAGAACGCGCCCAGCAAGGCCGAACCGGCGACCAGCCCTGGCCCATGGACATGACTTCGTGGAAAGTCCGCGGCGGTGCGGAGTGCCACTGCGCGGAAACCCGCATCCACCGCCGTCTTCGTCGGTGATTCCAAAAGCCCGACGCTACGTACCAAGGCTCCTGAATGTGGAGAACAGGCCCCTCGAGGTCGAGAGCATGTACGGTGCCGCACTCTTGGTTGGAGCAAACGGCACCACGATCAGCTCTACTCCGCCCCTCCTCGGCGTCGCAACGTGCTCTCAACGCCCGGCTCAACCACTCGGACACGGCATCGGCATCAAACGAAACCATGCGGCATCGCATCGCATCATGCGGCATCTTCACACCGCCGCAGCGCGTCAAAAGAGGCCCAAGACCGCAAGACACGCCCTCGGATCGGATCAGGCGGCGGACGGGCTGATGTGCGTCGTCGCAGTGCGGGAGGATCGAAAGAGGTGGCGACGGCGGGCGGGAGGATTGGCCAACGGCCTTCCTGCCGTGCTTGCGCAAGGTGTTGAAGGATCGTGATGCCGGCCGTGAGGTGCAGTAGGCCAAAGGCTCACCAAGAAGGCCGTGGACGCCCCGACGAACTGGGCGCCGGGCTGCTGCTCGAGTCCCTGACAGGTGGTACCAGGGGCCTTGGGCCCTGCTTTGCGGGACAGGGTCGGGGGGTCGCACGTGCTATCCTTGTCGATATGACAGAGTAGGACAGGAGAGTTGGTGAGGCTGTCGGGTTCCGTCGTCGTCAGACCGCCCCATCTCTCTCAAGGTTCCGAAACACTTCTTTTATTGCATCGCACTGCTATTTCGGCTCCCTTCGTCGCTTCTGGCTTGGCTGGCGCCCCAGTTGTAAGCGTTAATGCTGAGCTAATAATACATTGTACACAGCCTCAACTCCATGTTCCAGGAAAATGCCCATACCACTTTCGGCAACCAGATGGCATGTCGAAATAACCTTATGAAGTCATTTCCCTTAAACCCACGCAAGCCTCGTGCTTCAACTCTAGCAAGTGTCATGAGTAGACACTATTTTTGTATGTCTCGTACTATTCGCTTTCGCTAAACGACATCATCGGTACGAGTCAACGAGAAGGTGACTGCGCCTCCTGGGAAGATCTGGAGACCCGCTTTGAATGGAAGATGGGGCTCTCTGCTCACGCCGTTGGTGTTGCCCTCGTGGTCTGGGCGTCTTTGCTTTCAGACGAAAGCTTCCATCACCACATAGTATCGAACATGTGTCTGCGCTTGAAGGGCTGAAGGACTTTTTCACCTGCTCGCCGCAGGGGCAGACTTTGGTGGTCGTAGCATCGAGGTACTTCCCCCAAATCGTTATTAACGACCTTTGATCGTCTTCATGCTGCATCTCATATGGAAGAGTCTGCTTTAATGTCTGGTTGTTTGACAGCCAGGCAGCAATGATCACTTTCGACATATCTGGTCGCTCGAGAGCTACTCCTAGATCCCCCACGAAGCTTGTCCAGAAAGTCGATAGTTTCTGTTTTCTAGGATTGCTCGATGCAGTCATCGTACGCAACGAGCTTATCTTTTTAGGAAGCAGATTCACATTCGAAAACGCGGCACCATACAATATGCACGACGAGAGAGCAAACATGAAGGTGATGCAGTTCGGAGGGATGACGATCGTTTCGCCCGCGATCTGGGTGAGGACAATACCTCCCTTGAATTGTGGGTGGAGGTCGTCGAAGGAGGTATTCTCTCGCCATTCCGACACCCGCAATGCCATGATGTTGTCCGCACTCGGCGGATATACAACCCATAACAGAACACCTTCCGCAATGTTGTATAACAAGAAACTATCGCTGTGGCGTAGGTTGGATTCCGCAAATTTAGAGAACACAAATGCAGAGAAGGCAGACGGGTAGGCATTCCAATCAGAGAGGAAGGCAGGTTTGATGAAGTATCTAGACAGCGCTGGCACCCTTTGCCCAATGAAGAACGTACCCATCTGACTAGTGAGTGCAGTGGTGCCGTCACTCTGCAGAGTCTCGATGATGAGTCGAAAAGCAGTGCCTTTGTCGACGTCCAGATCGGCACCATTCTGATAGACGCTAGGGGGGAAGGGATAGTCAAGGATTCCGCCAAGTAGAACATCATGGACATCATGTAGACAATGCAGCTCGCCTCTCCACGGAACACATTCGAATTGCAAAATCTTGGGAGCATCCAAAGGCGTGGGTCCAAAATCGGCCTGCCAATCCGACGAGGAAGGTTTGCAGACAACACTCACGCTTGAATCCAGAAGCGACTGGAGAACACATCTGTCGTCGGTGTGTATTTTCTGGCCGATACCCTTTTCACACGGGTGAAAGTATCCGATGCCTGTGCTGGCACTTCCGTGAAAGATTGATGGCCGCGTGAAAAGGGTTCACTGTGCTGATTTTGGTCACGTTTTATGAATAAGAGGCCGCAGTCGTCGCAACTCCAGTGAGGTTGAGTTTCATGGTTCTTGACCCGAAATCTGCGCCCCCTCCAAGAGCAGTTGGCGTACAGGCACCTATACTGTAGATTACGAGACGTTCCTGCAGGCGATTGCAAATCTTAAGGACGATCAATAGGGGTCAACAAGTATTGGGGACTACATGGAGGGTACCTCCTTCAGTGCCATACGTACCGCATGATTATATGTGTTCAGCAAGGTGGGGTTCAACGAAATAGAAGGACTATTGCCGTCGCCGGTAAACAACTAAATTGCGAATATTGATATCTTTTTCTTTTCGAGAAACTCTTTCTACTATGGAAGTGGGAGTGGGTTTCTTTCCTTCTACTCATCCGGAGAATAGCAATGGAGTTCGCAAACGAAGATGGAAGGCAAGTTTTGCAGATGTGATAACGTACTTCACAAGCGAGTCGGCCACACAAGCGAGTCGGCCACCTCATCATATTTAGCTGCCTTAAACGTTGATTGCTCCACAACGCCAATAGATATCAACTAGATACAAGTTGTAGCCTAATCTGCAGCAACCTCTGCATCTTTTTTGCACGTACGAGCGTTGTGCCCTGGTTCGCCGCAGCGCCTACAGCGCTGCACGCCGCCGCCGGAGCGCGCTCCGGCTTGCTGCCTTTTGCTTTGAGCTGCCTCCTCGATTCTTTGAGCAGCTATTTGAGAGCCTGCTTCCTTTGTTAGAGTTCCTTCCCTCTGAATCCGCTTTTTTTTGCGCGCCTTGCGCTTTGTGGCAGCTTCATTTGCCTTTTGAAGGCTGGCAACTGTATCGCGCAGCAGCGTGGCTTTATGCTTTATAATTGCAGCACCTTTAGAGAGGCTATTAAGCGAGTCAAGAATAGCTGTAGGCGAGCTATTTTGATGCATTTGAATGCGATTACAAATTAAGGCTGATTGAGAGTCTAGCTCGAGAGCGTTGCTTGGTGTTTTTGATTCCCATTGAGCCTCCACGGCGGGAGGCGACGGCGTACGAAGCACAACATCAAGCTTTAAGAGCACTGCCTCTGGATCAAGCGGCACAAGGCCTGCGCCTCGAAAGCTTGCGCAAATATTGCTCTTTGTAATTGAGTTGTAGAATGCTGCTTTAAATGCCGGCAGGAACTCTAGCTTTGTGATGTGATTGATGTAGTGGCGTACTAGGTCCTCAATTTGGCGCCCGTATGCCTTTTTCAATGGCGAAAAGCAGCCAACATCAAGCGGCTGCAGCAGGTGCGACGAATGCGGCGGCATACAGAGAGCAATGATGTTGTTCTCCTTGCAAATTTGTTGGAATTCGAGCGAGATATGGCTCTTATGGCCATCAATAATCAGCAGCCGATGCGTGCCTATGGTGTGATCTTTTGTATGCATATTGAAATGCTGCAGCCAGGCAACACCAAGCTCATTCGTTGTCCAGCCATTGTCGCTCACTGCCATAACCTAGTCCGGTGGTATGTCGTCGCCCTCGTACCATGCAGAGAGATGGTACTTGCCTGCAAAGATGATGAATGGCGGGATGGCCCATCCACAGGCATTGATTCCTTGGATTATTGTTGTCCATTCGCGATTGCCTGGCTGTACAGCTTTTGGTCGATAGCGCCGCTCGGAGCCTGTTACAACCATGCTTGATGAGATGACGCCCATTTGGAAGCCAGCTTCATTAAAGTTGTATGTATCGTTATTAATAATGCCGTACTTTGCTTTTATATTGTATACAAGCTTAAACCAATCGCCAATAACCTCTGGATCTTCGCATAGAGCTCTTTGATAGTCGTACTTTCGATTAAACTTTGTTTTAAGCTCGTCCGTTCGCTTGATAAAGTTGTTTGGCCAGTTAATGCCCACTTGGCCAGCACCGCGCTCGGCGAGTAGCTTGTTGGCCATCTCTCGTACAGCAGTTAAGCTAGGCGAAAACCCTCGCGAATCCAGGTCGAGTATATGTTGAACAATGGCTGATTCTTCAAGCTTTGTAAGCTTCTTTGAATTAGGCTCACAATCGCGTCGTGCAGTCATTCCGCCGCGTCGGTCTTGGAGCGTGCTTTTGGGGACATTGTATATGCCTGCAGCGCGTCGTTCGCTTAGAATTTGATTTTTTCGGATAGCTAGGAGAGCTAAGGCTAGCCTGCCTTCTTTTTGGATTGATTGCGCGTTGTGTTGTCGACGCATATTGGTTGTTGGTTGACGCGTCGCGTTTTCGTGATGAGGTGGCCGACTCGCTTGTGTGGCCGACTCGCTTGTGAAGTACGTTATTTCAACTAGATTCTCAATGTTTACACGTACCCAGCTCCTTGACGGCGCCAAGCAAGCCAATGGCATCCAATAGCGAAGGGAGAACTCAAGTAGTTTTGATTGGATCCACATATATATACGACCCAATACGGCGTTTGCTGGTAAAGTTGTCGGTCAACAGAGTGGAAGCCCCAATAGCGGGGAAGCTAGGGCGCCTATATCACGTGATTACATCGCATTACCCAGTGTTCAGTTATAATTTGTGTAGTAAACGATTTACAAGAGGTTAATTTCAGTCTTATCCACACTGCATCCCCAAAAGGGTCACATATTGAAGTAGTCATAGGCGCTCACGTGCTGATTTTCCATGACTCCAAGACCCGCAACCTTGTCACCTCATCACCTCAAGTCCTGTTCATCAAATTCGGCATCACCCTCATCACAACTACGCAGCAATTCCGCCCGCACAAGTTTGATTCACGAACGTCATCTCGCACGAAAATATATCATGGCTTGGGTGATGTGAGCCTCACGGCTTCTTCAACTCCACCCCTGCCAATATCGCCATCTCGATTCGTTTGCTTTAAGCTCATTGACTCACCAACCACACCAAACACTTTGTCAAAATGCTTCCTTTATTGTCGCAGCTCTTTCGGACACATTTCTCTCATACTAATTCCCGCTCGATACACAACTACCGGTCATTATCCCGTTCGCAGCGGTGCAAAATTTAGCAAAAGCGTATAGGGATACAGTCACCTGCGCAGGACAGACGCTCTCTGAAACAAACACAGAAAACCTTGTCGTCTAAAGAGATATGGCATCGATTTTCACGTTTGATCCTGATCCTCCGCGTGTTTCCTCGCCTTGGTCCACACCGCCGCTAGGGTCCAAGCCACAGTCGAGGATCCCGCAGGATCCTTCAGTCGTGGGACCCCGTCAAAAACGTGTTATTAGCAGCTCTTCAGTTGCTGCACAGCATGATGACACTGTCACACGTCTGGAGGCAGAGCCCCAAGAAGGACCAACTGAGTACAAGCTTCATTTACTCCTTCGCCGCCGCAGGTCATTCTCTCGCGTTAGCACTGGACGACATGTGTCGGGGTCACATCGCCCCCGCACGGAAGCTCTACTATCTCCGACTCCACGAAGTGCCTCAGAGTCAAACCTAGCCAATCCCCTCCCAGCCACGTCTTCCACACAATCACGCCAGCACCGTCTAGAGCAACTAACCACACAATTGCTCTGGCGGCTGCAGCAGTCTTCACAATATCACTCGTCGTCTGCAAACAACCTGATCCTTCCGCACCTCCCGGATGCCTCAGAGCTGTCTAGTGCCAACGTGCCGCGCAAACTCTTGCCAGGTCTAGAAGAGAGCAGGGGCGCGTTATACGAGATTGGTGTTGCAGACGACGGAACTTTCGTGGGCTTAGCTGAAGATGAGATGGAAGAGAGTCTAAACAACCTTCGGGCCATGGCGGCTAGTCTAGGCTGTCTCGTGGAAATCCTTCGCAAAGTTCCCGTCGGTGATTGTGAATGGTTCGAGGATGTGGACACGGGTGAAATGGCACAGCGCATGCGCCGAACTGGAAAACTGTGGGTCACTGAAGCGTTCGTTCGTCCTGACCTCAGTCTTCTGCTTCCCGAAAGAAAAGGCGCTCTCGAGAAGGATTCGAAACCTGCAGGCCTAAGGGTCGGTGCCGTCCCCACGCCCGATAGCGGAGCTTCGACCCCCTTGCACTCATCTGCGGACCAGCTCAGGGTATCCCTTACTGGCGCCACTATGTCTGGCAAGTCGAGCCTGTTGGGTTGTCTTTCGACAGCGACGTTTGACAACGGTAGAGGGAAAAGCCGCCTGAGCCTTTTGAAGCACCGGCATGAGATTGCCTCTGGAATGACCAGCTCAGTTACCCAGGAGCTGATAGGCTATCGGGACTCTACGGCCGATGGTGCCGCCAATTGTTTCCAAGTTGTCAACTATGCATGTGGCAATGTGTCCTCGTGGACCGATATCCATGCTGCCTCGGAGTCTGGGAGGCTTGTCTTTCTCTCGGACTCTGCTGGTCATCCTCGCTATCGTCGGACCACTGTTCGCGGCCTTGTTGGATGGGCACCTCATTGGACTGTGCTTTGCATACCCGCTGACAATTCCGAGGACACCTCTGGAAAAGTTGGAAGCACACCGTCGTCCCAAGATGTCCTCGGCTTCGCCGCTGCAGACGTGGACTTATCCCAGGCGCATCTTGAGCTGTGCTTGAACCTGGATCTGCCCCTGGTAGTGGTGATCACCAAGCTCGACCTTGCCACCAAGAATGGACTCCGTCAAACCTTGTCTAGTTTGCTTTCCGCTCTAAAGGCGGCCGGCAGAAAACCCAGCATTCTATCTGACGCGTCTACCGTAGTCGATGAGGCAGACTTGCATGTTGTTTCATCTAAAGACCTTGCAGATGCATGCAAGACAGCAAGAACAGTCACTACTTCGCCAACTACTGTTCCTATTGTGCTTACTAGCGCAGTCAATGGTACAGGCATTAGCAAATTACACGCGTTGCTTCATGAGCTTCCTTTGCCCCTCCCGGTTATCCCTCTCACACCCTCTCATCGAGTCGATGGTACCGATAGGCCACTTTTGGCCCTCTTCCACGTGGAAGAGATTTACAGCACGCTATCTCCGAGCAAGGCACTTCCGAACACCGATCCTGACGTGGGCCGCGGTGTGGTAGTAGGGGGTCATCTCCAGTATGGAACACTATCCTTGGGTCAAGAGCTCCTGCTTGGCCCGTATCCTATGGATGTTTCCGACGACAGCGATAGTGGTAGTGGAAAGACAGGCACGAGCCCTACACCACGTCCACTTCGCCCTTCTTCCATACCAACCTCTCGTTCCTTTCCTGGCGCCCTACACAAACGCTCATCTGCATTCCATCCGTCTCGTCATTTCGGACAAGAGAACCAGCATGAATGGCGGCGCGTTCAAATCAGCTCTCTCCGTAATCTGCGCCTGCCGGTCCTCAAATTACTTGCAGGACAAGTAGGGACCATTGGCGTTGTACCACTAGACCAACCTATCTCAACGCCAGCCATCGTTCGCGTCCGTAAAGGCATGGTCCTCGTCCATGGCAGTCCAGTCGCCAAACGCGTTATAAGAGCAAGGTTTGTAGGTAAGCATGCGTCGTCTGTCAACGCCCTCACAGTCGGCAGCGCTGTCGTCGTATATGTCGCGAGTGTGCGTGCTTCGGCCAAAATCGTCTCCGTGGCGATCGAACCGGGGCAAGCAAAGACCAACCCCAATAGCAACGAAGATGATGACGATAGCTTTGGATTCGGATTCGATGACGATGACAGTGGTTCCGTTGACGGAGAGAACAGCAACGACGGCATCGCTACTGCGATAGTAACGTTCCAGTTTATCGCCTCGCGGGAGTTCGTCGAGTGTGGAGCGCAGATACTCATTGTACCAGGCGGTGGACCGGGCTTATATGGCGGCATGGAAAGAGGGGAGAAGGGAGTTGCTGGGCTTGAAGGATATGTGGGTACGGTGGTGGATGAAGACATGTGAATCCGGTGTGGTCTATATCTGCAGCATTCGTGAGCGCTTATAGCGGTGGTTTTGTTGATTTTTTCCTTCTTCATTTTGGTTCTTTTTATAAGCATGTCGCTCTTTTGCTCCGCGTCATATGTTTTTCTAATTACAAAGTTCTTTTTGTAATAAAGTGCTCCAATTCATGCATCTTTGATCCCTTCGCGATAATACAAGCAGCAAGTCGCCGGCCTCATAGTGAACACTTTCGTCCAATTACCCCACTTCCTACTTATACACAGGGTCGCCTACTGTACGCGCTGTGTCCCAACGGCGCTCTCTGCGGTTTGATGTGATAGTTCTTCTGCTATTTACGTTCAAGTCTTGCTACAAACGTGCCCCGATATGGATGTCTCCGTGTCACACGTAGCAGCTCCTGGAAATTAGTCGACGGTTAGATTTGGCATCTCTTCTAATACGATCAGACGAAGTCTACCTCTTAAGTACTGATATGATACGTGAGGGTTGGGAGGCAGCGTGGTGGAAGGAGTAATGGGAGTAATGGGAGGAAGAAGAGCAACTTCGCGCCTCCTACTAGTGCCATCCCCTTGCCTCTGATTGCACTGAATGCCTACCTGTTAGCTCATATGTTCAGGACCTCCGCGTCTACCACATAGGCTCTAAAATCAATCTCTACAGTTCGATCCAATGCTTCTTTTCACAAAATACCCCAAGAGTCTGGCCATAGGGGCTTTAACTCCTCGTGCGCCTCTACGTCTTACACACTTCATCCTACAATCAATCTCCACGATTCTGTTTGCCATTTATCCCACGAAATCTCTCAGTACCTACATATCGCCCACCCTGCGCATTTCACGCCCAGCAAAGTAATTAGAGGCATTCCACATGCTAATTAGAAATCTCCCTAAAGTAGCCCTCGGGAAATCAAGTACGTCGGCGGTGTCAAGATCTAGAAAGTGGAGCTAGTCTGTGTAATTTGCACCTCATTACGGCATGTGATTGGATGACACGCTACAGCAGAAGTGAGGATCAGGTGTTTGTCATGGTAAAGCTTAGGGCTTGTGAATTGGGCTCGTTGAGAATGAAAATCTGGGGACACCCCGAATCAAGGCGGTGGAATTGGGTTGATTCGGCGGCGTTGAGACGTACAAACGGGAGCCAGTCCGTGCGATTTGAACTCAATTTGGGTGCATTATTGGACTCACTCTCTAAGTCTTCTGTAACGACCTGATAATAACTCAAGGTGCTCCTTGTTCATATCTTCTTGGTATACCTATTCCTAAGTCAATCTACTACCTGCAGACTCCGTTCACAATGTCGCTTGTATCTTCCCCGAATAACCTCGTCCCTTAGCCAGATAATACCCATTGTCATTTACACCTTCCCAGTTGGACGCCATTCATCCATAGCTCTGAAAAACACATCCCCTAAACTCCCCCTCATGCCCCCGGCGCATCCGTCAGCGGCACATAGCTCACCGCAAACAATCTCTCCCTCACCACCCTCCCATCCCCCTTCTTATCAATCACAAAGATATATTGCTGCCCCCGCTCGTCCACTGGCACAAAAAGCCTCCCCGGTGCCTTCAACTGCTCCACCAACACCTCATGGTGCTCCGCCGCGGCGGCCCCCACATGAATCGCATCATACGGCGCCCCCTCCTTCCACCCTAACCGCCCATCCCCTTTCACGAACTTCACCTGCCCAGACGCCAGCATCTCCCGCCCTGACTCCGATTTCCGCATATTAGCGTCCGCGAGGTCGACGAGGGGCTGGATGTGGTCGATGCCGATGACGCTGCCGGAGGGGCCGACGAGGTGAGCCAAGACGGCGGTGAGATACCCGCTGCCAGAGCCGATGTCGAGGACGTGGGAGCCGGGGGCCAGGTGCGGGAGGAGGGACTCGGCGGCCGAGGCGTGCATATGCGGGGCGGAGATTGTGGCGGCGTGTCCGATGTATTGGGGGGAGTCTTCGTAGGCGGAGCTGGGGGCGTAGTGGGCGCGGTCGACCTGGAGGGGTTGGGTTGTTAGTTTTGAAGCTTGAGGAGGTGCGCGAGGGGGACAAGTACCTTTAGCATTGCCTCTTTAACGCGGGCGTCTTTGATGAGGCCATTCTTGAAGAGGTTGGTGATGAGCTCGGTGTTGGTCGCCCCGGAGCAACGCCAGGCCATGGTGATGTGTCGTTGTTGTGGAGGGCCGCGCAGGTGGCGGAAGAGGGGTCTGAAGAGAGGCAGAGTGAGGATTGTGAGGAGTGCTGATAGAAGGAAGAGCTTGCGATTGTCGAGAGCCAATATGGAAAGCGAGCTAAAGCTTAATGGGACGGCAGGAAGCTTGACCTTAAAGGCGGAATGGTGAATGAAATAAAGATGAATGGAAGGTGGGGAGACAGCTCGAGAATTGCGGGACGTCACAGACACCTCCGAAATCCGGGGTATGGCCCGTGCATTCTTCAACGTACTCAGGTTCGACATTCTCAAAACACTCCGCCTCTCAATTCCTTCACCTCTTCACCTCTCCACCCACCGAACACACCAATGGACACTACCCTCACCCCAACCGACCTCTTCTCCCCCTCCAAAGCCCGCCAGCAACGCGCCCAAGCCCGCGACTGGTCCCACATCGACAGCTGGCTCGCGTCCAAATACGCCTGCCGCAGCATCCCCACCTTCGAGCGCAATGACGAGACTCTAAAAGCCTTGCGCGCCGTCGCATTAGCCAACGAGCGCGCTGATGAGGAACAGCGGCTATTAGAGAAGGTAGAGCGGGAAGCATTGGCGGAGCTAGAATCGGTATGGAACGCGCTTCAATCTAATCGAGCTGAACGCTCTATAAGCTTGCAAAGCTTCGGACCCGTTTTCTATACACTAGGCTACTACAAAGCTAATAAGCACTCCCAATCTAGGCCCCAGACAACCCCTCCGACACCCTCCTCACCGCCCTAACCACCCACCTCCCCCCCACCGGCGCACACTCCCTCACCGCCCTCGCCACCACCTCCATCCACCTCAACACCCCCTCCACCGACCCCTCAGCCCTCGCCCACGCCCTCATAACCCACACCACCACATCCCACTCCCTAACCACCACCCTGCACCACCTCCGCACCCTCCACACAGCCCTCTCAACCACCCTCTCCGACCTCCGCAACGAGCTCCACGCCCTGCGCGCCCCAGCATACACCGTCCCCGCCACCCTCCCCCGCCAAACCGCCGACCGCGCGCGCGTGACGAAGCAGCTGCGCGCCAAGCAGCGCGAGTGCGAGACGGCGCTCGCCGAGCTCTCACGAGCTACCACGACGCCGAAGAACGGGCAGGACGACGTCAGGACCGCGGCCGGGCTGGCGGTGTTGGAGGCGCGGGAGCGGGAGCTGCTGGAGCTGCGGGCGCGGGTGGTAGAGTTGGAGGCGCAGGTGCAGGAGTTCCGGGGGTTGCCGATGGAGAAGGAGGGGGCGCGGCGGGAGGTGAGGAGGGCAGAGGGGGAGCTGGAGGCGCTGCTGAGAAGGCGGGATGGGATGTTTGAGGGGTTGGTGGGGTAGGGGAGAGGGTGGGTGAGGGTCCTAGATAAGCGTATGTTTGAAGACGATCGGTACAAGGCAGTTGGGTTGGAGTGAGGACCTATTTCTAGAAAGGTTTGGTGGATACCCTTAGGTTACTTGTGGTTATAACAGTGGCAGCGGCATGTGCGGCTACAAGTAGAGCAGGAGGGAATAGCTTTGCATATTGGAGAAAAGGTATCAAGAAGTAACTATCCTACCCGAAATCTCGGACCCCCTACACGTGGAAGAAGCCCGCACAAGTTCCGCTGATTTTTGGGCTATCACCGTTCGATTGAAGAAAGTATCAGAAAAAAGGGGCTGGATTGGGAATTCAAAGGCAATCTTTCCACCCCTCGCAGCGCTAGAACGAATGCAGTAAAATAGAAGGAAATAGCAAATAGGAAAAAGAGACACCGGGGTATATGTCCTCAAGCCCTTTCTTCCCGCAAATGCACTAGCGACAGTATGAAAGAAAAGAAAAAGAAACAAAGACCATGGAGGAGAGTACAAGCACACAACCCTCAGAATCAGGAAGCAACCCCGGGACCCTTCGGGTACTCGCCAGGCACATGCAAATCCGAAACGCTGAGGCCCGTGTTGTTCCTCAAGATACCGGGAAAGGCCTCTCCAGATGCGCCTGTTGCCTTAATGGTACTAGCTGAGGCAGCTCCAGTTGCTGCCTCAGCTCCCCCTAAAAAAGGCGCCTCTGCGGTGGAAGTGGAAAGCGAGGTGGGGACTGTGGAGATGGTGCTTGTGAGACTGACTGGCGCGCTGGGAGCTGACATGAGAGGTAGCGCCGGGGCTGGGTGAGACAATGCCTCCGTGGGCGTTGCTTGTAGATGAGAAACTGGTGCGGTCTCTTCGGCTACCGGAGCCACCGCTGGCTCTTGTTCGTTCTGCCCATCGTGCTGGTGGTGATGGTACGTTTCCGCGCCAAGGGCTCCGGCGGCGACTCCTCCAGCTGCAGGAGCCATCCAGTCGCCGTAACTACTCTCGTGTCGTTGCACAGCAGGCTGGCTTTGGGGAACAGAAGATTGTGGTTGGGAATAAATTTGTGGTGATTGGGGTTGATAAGCGGCCGGGGGAGGGTTCGATGAATTTGGGTATGGGGCTTGATAATAAGAATTGGTTTGTTGAGAATTGGGTTGTTGATAGGTGTTCAATCCCCCAGCCACAGGATTTCCGTACTGATCTTCGTACGGAGGGTATGGGGCATGTTGCTGAGGAAGCTGTTGAGGCTGCTGAGGGATCTGTTGAGATTGCTGAGGAATCTGTTGAGACTGGCTAAGGTCGTTGGAGACTGGGGCTTCTCTCGTCTCTGGATAAGACGCTTGCAAGCCTCCGGCCGCGGTCGTTAGGTCATGATCGATGTCCGAGCTACCACTAGAAGGCGAAAGTGGTGCTTGTAAGTGACGGTTCACCTGGATATCGCTTGGAAATCGCCCACCTGGAGATGGTCGTTGCTGGAGCTCTTCCGTAGCGGGCTCGTTCATCACCGACTGATTCGCAGAATATGGGACTGCGTCTGCCTCGTCCTCGTCCAAACCTCCATCGCTGCTAACGGATCGATGGCTTCCTTGGCTAACGCTTCGGGCATGTCGTCGAACGAACGCATTCCGCTCTTCGCCAGTCTTCTCGGTCAGGCTCTTGATGTCTTCATACCAAGCCATCATAGTGTCGTATGACTCTGCCCTGAACACCCAAGAGTGGCCGCGATGCATGGACCCAGTTTGACGGCCTTTCAAGACAAACTTGTGGGAGGATCCACCAGGCTGCGAGTGCGATCCGAGTTTCTGATCTGGTAGGTAAAGTGACATAACAGGCGGCTGAGTGTAGATACGGTCCGCAGACTTGAACTCGTGAAGATGTGTAGGAGACAAAACATACCTGGCCAAATTAGCGATGTTTTTGTCATAGGGTCTAGGCATACATACCATCCAGGGGTGTAGCTCTTCAAATACTTGCTCTTGCGCTCAAGCATGCCCGCCCTTACCTCTGTCGTTGCAGGATGATTCTTGCCTGGGTATTGGATGTCCTCAAGCCGTCGCAGCGGGATACGAGGATTGACAAAGTGCGGGTCATTCTCGACATAATGATTCCATTCGAAGTCTTTTGGCATTGCGATCGGGCCATTCCGTAGCTTGTCAACAGTGGCATATTCTTCATCGGCATCCCGCTTGAGGATGGTCGCTAGAGCATTGTACGATTTCTGAATTTCCCCAACAACAATGGATTCTAGCTCTCTTCCAGAGTTTTCGAGGTTCAGGTATGCCTAGCAAAATCAACATATGTTTCCAACGCCATGAGCCGTTGTCACCACTCACCCGATGCAAGTAGTTTTCTTCGTCAATTTGCCTCTCGATCTGACGATCAACGCCTAGACGGACGACGTAGGGATCACCTTTTCCAGCAACAGATGACGGGTCGGTATCAATTAGGTTGAGGGACTCTTCAAGGCTTGCGACAGCTTTGCGCGTGCTTTCCTTCTCCTTCTCGACAGAATTCTTAAAGTCACCTGAAAGCGATTTGATCTCCTTGATTTTTTGCGCCAGATCCTGCCTCAAGCCATTCAGTTGCCCAATGACATCGATTTCAATATCCCGTGCTTTGTTTGCTTCTACTACGGTCTGCTTATGGAAGTCCCGAAGAATGCGATTTGCTTCGTTCAAGCCTCCCTCTGTCAGGAAGGCTGATGGCGCGTTTGTATTGTTGATAACATTGGAGACCTTGAGTAACGTTTTGGAGCGGTGCTCGTAGGAGGTCTGAACTTCGCGGAAATAGGCTATGATGTCTTTGAGTAGCTTTCGCCAAGCTACGAGATCTCTTTATTAGCTTCTTATGTGATTGTATCGCATACGCGATTTACTGACCTTGAAAGCGGCTCGCAAGAACCTCAGTCGGGTTTCCCGTGGTTGGAACAGGAGTATAAAAAACGCTATTCTCTTTGCTAGCGGCCGGACCCTCGTCTTCGATGTTGACACCGCGTATACTGCCGGCATGCAAGCTACGCTTGCTTCCACTGCGCTTCAGGCTTCCTGTTCTTCGGACCGACCCCTTCTTCTTTAGAGTTCCGCTGCGCGCGGGAGCGGCTCCCTGGTTGAGAGTAGATGCATTAGACGCCGTGCGGTGGGGCAAGTCGCCGTCGTTCAGAACGGAGGTGCCGCGTTGGGTGGCATCGAAGTCCTCCCCGAACTTGCTGCGCTGCGGCGCAAGGGATTGGGACAATGGGGACGAGACGCCCGGGTTGCCGGGAGTGGTTCCGAAATCATGCTGGTCGATGTCGAGGTGCGAAGCGTTGGTGGCAGCCGTGCCATAACCTCTATGGAGGTGCGCTGGGTCGTTAGGCGGAGGAACGGAGTCGTACAAGCCCTGCGAAGGGGTCAAGGGTCTTTGAGCCATGTCGTGTCGGGCGCTATCCGGCTACCGGGACCGTCTACGAGCCTGAGACAGAGGTGGTGAGAGAGGAGGCAAGACAGCGGAGTGCGGTGGAGATGCTGCAAGCAGGGTGGAGGTTTGGTGTTGTGTTGCTGTGTTGCGGGGAGGGCCGGGTCTAGACGGTGATTCGATGACGTTTGTGAGGCTGGGCTCTGCGCAATGAATTGAGGCTGAGCAGTTGTCCAACGGGGCACGGGATGCGGCGCGGATCGCAATAGTCGGCTTCCTCTTCAGACCGAAAAGGAGGGAATATTGGAAGCTGGTGGCGCGGGAGATCTGGAGTCTTGAACTCTGCCCGCCAGAGCTGGCCTTTTTGACCACGACGTCATTTCGCAAACACGCCACATAAACTGGTCGCCAGTCGCGTCTCTCCACACTCCAGCCTGCGATCGTCGTCGTCATCATGCAGCTCATACCCGCCTGACTCCGCCTGAGGCAGTGGTTGTGCTGCCCAAAACGGCCGCCAATGCTCGCGCCGAGTTTGCAGCCTGTTTCCTCCATTCGGGATACCCGGCACCCTCTTAGTACATGCGCCAAACCATGGAAACCAGTTGTCCCGGTTTCAATCAGCTCCATTCGGAGATCGGGTGGTGCACTCGGCATAGGCATGATGAAGATTCTATACGGTAGATCAGGGTTCAAGAGACCTTTCACCGCGTACCCTGCAGCCAATCGCTTTCATATCTAGTCTTTATTCCCTGCATGGCTTTCTGAAACGGCTTGCCATAGGTCCCCGTGCGGATGCTCGGCAGGGTCCTCCCGTGACCCTGTTCCTTGCAGATATCCGAGGTGTTGCGTAGCCATATTTCTAGTTACATATCCTCTTGAGTCGCAAGTCCACTATTCTACATCTACCATCACAATAGAAGGCGATCCTACTTTGTTTGACAAAACGGCAACACTTCGTACATAGTCTTCAAAAGAGCACGTTGCCAACTCGGCATCAAAAGCCATTCGGAAGTTTTGGACATCATGGCTTACGGCAAGTTGACTGCCTTCTGCTCTCCTTCGATCAGCCTGTCTTTCAGAACTATAATGTAGCTGATCGTGTCTCCAGTCATCTCTTTCTCAATTATATCGTACTTTCAAAACTGAACGAAATACGAAGATACATCAGTGATGTCGCACCTCATTCCATTCTCCCTCCTTGAAAAGCAAAAAACCAGGCAACCCCACGGTAGCATCGGCGTCTTAATTCACGCCGGCATATCTGGCAATGTCGCTTGTAAAGGTGAGCTATGCGTCTTCGCTGCAGACGGATATGCCAACGAGGTCAGCAAACGTCTGGTCGCTAGAGAGCTTTTTTAGCACGGCGATCTTGTTGCTGATGTCGGCTGTGCTGGGGCCCCACAAGCTGAGGAACATAATGGTATTGGTGTTGATAGGGGCTTGGATGGCGGAGAGGCTTAGTTGTTGAGTCGGGTATTCGGGTTGGAGAGTCGTGTAGCGGTGGACACTGCTAAAGAAGCCTCCATACCCGTGGAGAGAGTGGGCTACTTTGAATTCCTTTTCTGAATTGGCTTGGGCTTTGGCATTGTCGTCGCTGTTCAAGGCATTGGCACTGAAGCTTTAGTGGTAAGCTTGCTAGGCTATAGTGAGCCATATGAAGACTACCAGCGCGAAGCTTTGAGGACTATCTTTATATTACTTTAGTACGTGAGATAAAAGTGAGCTTTGGTTGTAGTCGTAAGAGCGAAAAAGCGAAAAAGCGAAAGACTAGGAAGCCGCCATTCTCGTGATGCTCTTTTAAATAACATCAAAACGCACGCCTTCGTCAAATGAGCGATCCGGAAGAAATGAGGATTCGTGAATACGGTGAAAGAAAACTCAATGCCGGCTTGGCTTGAGGGGCCGTAATGAGCCATACGCAGAAAGTAAGTGCGAGTTCCTCGGGTACAAAGCTACGGTCTTTCTGATATGAGAAATGATAAGAAGCCTTTCTAGTAATTGTAGAATAAGAAACTATACGCATGATGCTATTTCGATGCGACGCCCTTTCCGTCTGTACAAGAACGCGCAGGGCTCCTTTCAAATCGCATCCCGGCTCGCATCCTCAAACCCCGAGGGGCACTGAGCTCTTAGACACAATCAGCCTTTCGTATCTCGCTTTTTTCTGCGGAGCACATTTTGGCTGCCCGTTTTCACCTCTTTCTCCAATTCTTTTATGCGTGCAAAATGGGTGAAGACCGTGGGTCTCGCAGATTGACTCTTAGACTGAGAGACAGACAGACAACGATAGGTTTCGGATGATCCAAGATACGAGTCGCCTGAATCTGCACTGCTATTGGGTGTGATATGAATCGTGGGCAAACGAAGAGACAGAAGTGTGGTTGAAATAAGACTTTCCGTGTCTCGCGAGTTTGAAGCTTGCTGGTTGCCTGACAGATCGTATCTTCAGGCTTGACATATCAGGCCCACTATGCCCGTGTGTGGTGAAGCTTAATTCCATTACAACGCCAAATGTGGTAGACCGAGCGAAATATTTCAATACTGAATTTCGACGGAGAGCAGATGGAAGGGTCTGGGAAAGTTTGGATGAATACCTACGCTAGAGATATTCGAGTTTTGCTTGAGCTGTCGTGACAGAGTTTACAGTATTGACCCGACCTTACCTCTATGATGCATGCTGAAGCCCAGTACTGTTTCTTATTGAAAGCAAGGAATCTGCTGCTTGGTGCTTTGAACGCATATGGTGTCGCACCACAGCACGACAAGAGCGGATTACTGACGGGGGCTGGCAATTCGGGAAAGAATTGAGTGCATAGATAAAACGACACATCATTCTTGTAAGGACGGATAGCTAATGCCCACCTAAACAGTCCGGTTGAATTAGGGAGTAAGCAGGAAGAAGCCAGCTGCGAATGGGTGCTGGATGGCAAGGTGAAGCTGCAGGAGCCCCGATGGTGTGGTGTCTAAACGCGTGGCATGATGGTCGTTCGTGAGGGTGTCTCCCATTCATGCGGAGGCGCTTCGGAGGCGCTATTATCGGCGATGATGAATGATGAGACTGCAAAAGTCTGAAATTCCGAGAGTGACGACGACGAGAACACTTCCGCGGCAGCATGAGTGGGATCACATGATCTTCATTTTGTTATCGGCCAAGCGGCTCAGCCTCCGTTGATCGTCTTATGGCCCGTCCCACACCAATGTTTCCATCATCAAAAGGGGCCGCCACGTCCACCAATCCTTCGGCCCCCAAGACGACGGGGTTTCTTAGAGCAGCAAACCGCACGTAAGTCGAAATCTACACACCAGCCTAGCGGCATCAGCCACCATCGCTGGCCTGACGAGAACGGGCGACAATGGTTCATCAGACTAACAAGCAGCTCTGAAAGATGAATGGCGAGGGCAATTGACAACCATAGTGAGGCCGAAGGTGAGACCTAGCACGGCGCCTCATCACAGTGTCTCTCGCTGTCTTCGTATTCGCTCGGAATCCCCCTACCATGCACCGCTGTGGTATGTTAACGGTATGTGATGACTTATCACGGCACGGATCCGCTGTGGGGAACAACTGTCGTATGCAGGTGTCAGGAGGCAGACTATGTATTGGGAAATCGCTCGCCTTTCACGTCCCCATATTACCGCCGACTCATTCCCTGTCCCGTAAGCACCAGTATCCACGAGGCTGACTTGAGCACAGATCCGGTATGTATCATGAATATCTAGGAAGAGGATGACAGTGCATCACGCCACTACCCAGCTGTGTCCTGTGTTAACATCGAGGGATGGATAACTAAGCCTTGCGGGCGGAAAATACATCCCAGCAAAGACTTGGGTTGTTGCGAAGGTAAGGGTGCTTGTGCTGGGCTCGTACACAGGCCGTCATGCTGATCCTTCCTTTTAGCTTGCCCAAAGCACTAGCAGCATGGATCTGCGAGACCAGCTCTTGCCGGTCACGACTCAATGCCCTCCTAGGTACCCGTTGTCTATCCCATAAGAAAACAGCCTGGATTTCATTTGCTATTCTTAGGGATCATCGCAACAAGCCGACCACTTGGAGTGATTCATCTCGTATCTGAACACCGCTCCCGCCGACCCATTTCCGTCTCCCCAAGGAGTCGAGTACGTTGTCTATTGCAATCAATCATCACGACCTCTTCGTCTTGGTTTCTGAGAATGTAATGAGCTCATGTAGGTAGCATGTCGCGATAAGCTTCTACGCCTAATATGCTGTGCATCTTGAACTACAGCCTTGGAGCTTTTCTAAGCTCTTGGTAGGCTGGCACCAGCGCCACTAGGGCGCCACTGACAGCCCTTCGACAGCCCAAGGGGCGGACTGATGCAGAAAAGCGCCTCCAGAAACGGCTGGCTTTGCTCCACAAATTGACAACGCCGCACCTCCTCCACCTTCGCAACCGGTGATCCCACCGACTAAGGGATGGCCCAGGGTCACTGCCTTCCGGTTCCCCAAACATTCCGATGTACTGTCGTGGTAGTTTGTGCCGCTGGAGCAACGGGTCATCGTGCAGAGGCGGCATCTATCAACCTTGGGTAGATTGGTAACGCGAAAAGGAAGTTTACTCGATGATCCGTGGACTAGGTATAATCACCCCATGCCTCTCTTTGAAGGATCTTTCTACTTTGTGTCGCGCAGCCTGAGATGGCTGAGTTGATCAATTTGTCTTAGAGGAACGTCTTATTCACTCCTTCTCTTCTTTTCTACATGCTTTAAACGACATAATTCATTAATACTTTAATTGCTCCTCAATATCTCTCTGGGTCTTGGGCGTCCATCGCCTAAACGAGCTACTCCATGATGGCAGACCTCCCAGCACCAGATATGTCCTACACATCGAAACATAACCGTCGCAGCGTCGACGTGTTCGAAGCTCTTCATCACATCAGAGCACAAGAAGAAGCTGGAATAGGCGCCTCGGACTCACACCTTCCGTTAATAGGTACCCATGAACGGCCTATCAGCATTCCAGCGTCGTCCCTGGGCACCTTCCAGCTACCAGGCGTTCCTGGAGAATGGAGAGTTTCTGGCACAGTCACCCCCGGATCACACGCCAGCCTGCATCACGCATCCTCAATGATGTCCCTACCCGCCGCGAAATACTCTTCTATACCGCCAGACAGTCCCACACTTCCACCCGAAAGCGTCGCGGAATCACCACCACCACCTCCCCCCGAAACTTATAACCATGAGATATTCTTCTCTCGGCTCCACGAATATGCATTTATTTTCAATGTATGCCTTGCGCAGCTTTTCTCCCTCTCGTCCCTCGCCATGACCGTAGCTCCTCTTCCAATAGTCGCAGACTACTTCGATAATCATGATCCTGGGCAACTAAGTTGGTTCACTGCAGCATATAGCTTGACGGTGGGGACTTTCATCCTTCCAGCTGGGCGGCTTGGAGATATGTACGGCCATAAACGCATTTTCATCTTTGGATGGCTGTGGTTCTCGTTTTGGTCTATCATATGTGGATTCAGCAAGAGCACTATCATGTTGAGCGCTTTTCGAGCCATGCAGGGAATTGGTCCAGCACTGCTAGTACCTAACGCAATGGCACTGGTCGGAAGAACTTTCCCTATGGGAATGAAGAGGAATCTCGTATTTTCTCTGTTCGGCGCATGCGGTCCAACTGGATGGGTCACCGGAGCGTTCTTCTCGTCGCTTTGTGCACAACTAGGTGGTGAGTAGGCCATCACATGCCATCCGAAATCACCCTGTCGTCAGAAATCACACCGTCACCCATCACACTGACAAAAATCATTACGCATGTTCTCAATATTGGCAATGCTGACTTACATGATGCAGGTAATAAATTGAAACCTTCCGGCTGGGCATGGTCCTTTTGGTTTCTAGCCATAGCGACCTTTTTGGTCAGCATCCTATCGTACCTCGTAATACCAGCTCCAACCACCCCACCCCCGACTATGACACCGACCACGGATAAAAATCTCTTGCGCTTGTCCCAGCCAATGAGACCTCAGTCAGGAGCTCAGTTCGACTACTTGGGATGTTTCAGTGGAGTTTCCGGTCTGATCCTGATCAATTTTGCCGTGAATCAAGCGCCGCTGGTAGGCTGGAAGGTCCCGTACATCTACTACCTACTCGTTCTGGGTGTTGTCGTGTTCGGATTCTTCATCTACGTGGAGCTAAAGATAGCGAGTCATCCCCTCGTGCCACTTCGTGGTCTTTCCAAAGAAGCCGGCTTCGTGCTTGGCTGCATCGCCGCTGGATGGGGAAGCCATGGCATCTGGATCTATTACTACTATCTGTTCCTGGAGGACCTGCGCGGATGTACGGCGCTTTCTGCAGTCGCACAGACGCTTCCCGTGGCGGTGACGGGTACGATGGCTGCGCTCAGTACCGGGTTCCTGTTGAAGAGGTTCCAAGTAGGCTACGTGATGATGGCAGCCATGATGTGCTTCCTGCTTGGCGCCATTCTTCTCGCTACTGCACCTGTTGACCAGAGCTACTGGACTCAAACCTTCCTATCAGTTTTAGTCATGCCCGGCGGGATGAACCTGAGCTTTCCGGCTGGAACTATCATTCTCAGTAATGCTATGCCGCGTGAGCACCAGGGGATAGCAGCAAGCTTGATTAGTACAATGGTCAACTACTCTATCTCGACAGGATTGGGCATTGCCGGAACGATCGCGGTGAATACGAACGATCATGGACGTGATCCGCTTGGAGGGTTTAGAGGAGCGTGGTACTTCGGTATCGGCCTCAGCGCACTCGGTGTTTTCATAGCCGGGTGGTTCGTTTATCATTCTAGAGTACCCAAGTCATAATCGACTGAGCAGTGGTGCTACACAGGGTCCATCGGATGTTGGCGTCTTCTAGGATGTGCGATTTGAAAAGGTCAGACAGGTTTTCATGTCTGATAGAAAAGGGACTGGCGTTCAATGAAGTGGTTTCAGCAAGTTCGTGTCGACATGATGTCTACGACATGAGGCAATTTTTTTGTGTTCCAAAATCGGTACTATTTAGCATACGTAATTATTATTATACCCCTTAGAAAATGCGGTATCGAACGCATTTCCTCGACTGTCGTTCCTTGCATCTACTGATGGGTCTTCAGATGAGCTACGTGATGTCCGCATGATGATTACGGAATCGTCGCACAATGAGTGAATGGGTTATGCCTTGGAAGTCGAGCTCCAGATGTTATCAATCACTCCGATATTTCGTACGAAGAAGTTTCGTCTCATGTCCTCACGTGCTCTCACCAAAACAAAAACCCCTCCTCACATCAACCCATCCATATATTTCGAAAAATTTCAACCCTACTCGTACTAACCAGCAGGGACCTTGCCCTAGTGGCGTCGGCCCCTTATCTCCAACATGCTAACCTAGGTCTTGTTTTTCTTTTTGACATTTGGTGTCCAGGTCCGCGTTCGATTCCCGCTCTGGACTTTTTTTTCTTTTCGGAGAAACGCTCTGAGAGGGGTGGTGTTTTGTTCCTTGGGTAATTCTTTTGGGCTTGCGTGCTGTACGTAGGTAGATAAGGGCAGGTTTCCTTTCCCGCTACCTTTGTAGTGTTAAGTTGCAAAGAGCCGTGGTGGCCATTTATGAGCCACGTGAGTCCAGGATCAAGCTCACTTAAGCTCCCGCTCGGTTCCATGCATGATGATGTCACTGGATCTGGTCTCGCAAACTCTAAATCACAACTCTCTTACAACTATATGCGCATTGGCAGCTTAACTTGGACGATGATCGGTAACTCATCGCTACTTTTCGGTACAATAGGTACAGAGAAAACGGTTTGACTGCAGTCATCAGGACACACGATATCAACAGCAATCAGCCACAGCGCATGCCAAGCCACTATAACAGCCACGACCTGAAGCATCTGCCAAGTTGGAATTCCAACTTGGCAGTGGTGAAAGCGTGGCACAAGCAGCATGGATCATCAATATTTCACGACTTAGTTGTCCACGAGGAGCTTTAAGGCGCTCCATGCTTTCTCATATTGGATGCCAGCTTTCAGGCTGTGCGGGGAAATACGAAATGATGTAGAATTAACACATGGAGTGAAGGGATATATAACAGCTGGGTCGCAAGTGTGGCTGAGGTAGACCTTCATTGATCTTCCTTCGTTTCACGGTGAATTGCATTGTTGTCATTCGTGTCGTCACTCGTGATACACAAGCCTGAGTTGGCACCCTTCATCAACGACGCTCCGTAGTCTTCCTCCTCCAACCTCCATCAATTTCGCAATCTCAAAGCCACACTTCATCATGGGCCTCTTTACACGCCGCCGGCGTCCAATTGACGCGAATACTACGACTGCGACAGGCGCAACGCCAACTACACGCGAGACTACCGGTCGCCGGGGAATCATGGGTCGCCACGAGAAACACCCGCACTCCGGCAGCGCTGCCTCTTGGAACACGCGCCCATCGTTCGGACAGTGGTTTAAGGCGACATGGCTAGATATCTTGACGATGATCATCATGGGCGCGATTGGGTTGGGCGTATACGAGGCTGACCCTGCACCTTCGAGGAGCTTCCCTGTGGATTTCTATGATGGCGAAATTGTGTAAGTTCAGACACCAGCATCAGAGTGTGCTTCAAGTGAAATTCGGGGCTTGGTATTGTCGCAAAGTTAACAATAGCTGATTCTGAGCAGGTACCCGGAATTCTCGTATCCTCTACGAAAGGAGATCGTTCCAATCTGGGCAGCAGCTCTCATGGCTGCCCTGATTCCGATCGCCGTCTTTCTGATCATGCAAATCCGAGTTCGAAGCTTTTGGGATGTCAACAATGCTGTAAGTCCTACAAGGTTCCCTATTTATCTTTGAAAAGCCTCCAAGAAGATCGAGTCTGACGCATATCAAACATTCAGACTATCGGCCTCCTCTACTCTCTCATTACAGCCGCTGTGTTCCAGGTATTCCTTAAATGGCTCATCGGCGGTCTCCGACCACACTTCCTCTCCGTTTGCAAGCCTGCCGTCCCCGTCGAAGGCCTCCAGACCGGTACCGGTTTCCGTCAAATCATGTACGACCGAAAGGTCTGCACTGGCGACGAGAACCAGATCAACGACTCTTTAGAGAGCTTCCCTTCCGGTCATACCACAGCTGCATTCGCTGGATTCGTGTTCTTGTATCTCTACCTCAACGCCAAGTTGAAGGTCTTCTCAAACTACCACCCAGCTATGTGGAAGCTCATTGCTATCTATGCTCCCATTCTCGGCGCTGTGCTAATCGGGGGTGCTTTGACTATCGATGAGTAAGTCATTCTATTCTTCGAACCCCGATATATATCAGGGCATTTCTGACACATTTGTAGATTCCACAACTGGTACGACATCATTGCGGGCGCAATCATCGGCACCCTAATGGCCTTCAGTGGCTACAGAATGACCTACGCAGCCATTTGGGACTTCCGCTTCACCCACATTCCCCTAATGCGCCACGCCCCCTTCATATATGGCGCCGGTCCCTCCACTTTCGACGGCTTTCACGACGCTGTCTGGACTCGCAAGGCCGGATGGGGCCTGCAAGAAGGTGGGGCCTGGGGCGGTGCGCCTGGTGATGCACACGACGGACCTCGTGGGACGATGCCGGGCGCCGCTGCTACTGGCAACGGTACTGGCAATCACTATCGCCATGGGTCTAATGGTGCTGGAACTGGTGATGTCCTTGGGAACGGGAGTCATGCTGGACGGCATTCGATTGGTCGGAGACCAGTTCCGCCAGCGAAGCATGGGCACGGGGATAATATCGTCTGATTTACCTTCAAGTGAAGTGTGGGTGCTCCGCGGATCTGGAAGGATGACACAGAGCTGAATATCAAACGACATGATTCTATACAGGAGGGAGTTACTTCGGTTCAGAATGATCAGCATGGCGTTCCTGGAACTTGAACTTGAACTGGGGGCGAGATACCTACTTTGCTATACATAGCAAAAGTAACAATACTTTATTGGCTTCATACAATTCAATCGTAATCTTTTCAAATTTCCGTCAAGATGTTTTCTTCCATTCTGTCTAGCCTGGTTTCTTTCTGCCTTAGGTACGGTGGGAATAGAGACGGCACGTGAGCATAAACGGTTTGGGAAAAGCGCGAAAAGGTGACGCAGATGCGCACAGGCGACGGCCTGACAATAGCATCGCCCCAACACCGCCAATATCATAGATGAGAGCAGCAGCAATACTAGGAAAGTGTCTGGATTGATCCGTATTTGCGTTTGGATGTATAAAGGTGTCTCACAGACTCCTAGCCCGGCCAGATTACTAGCTCTCCTTCTTTCTCTCAGCCTCCTAAGTCGACAACCGCAGACGTTCAAACGCTACAATCACTGCAATCACTTATATCGCTATCGCTCAGGAGATCCACGGCATCGCTTCTAGAGCTCGTGTATCCGATATATCGTTTCTGCGCCGCCTGTCTCAGCCGAGGGTCGTGTGTCAAGATCGAACTGATTGCGCCCGACAGCCGATTCTGGTCCATGTTCTGAAGGTAACCTGCACCATTGATTGGATTAATCAGACAACATGGCCGAGATCAGAGCGTATGGGCTACCTACGGACGGATGTACACGATTTACCGAAACTGCCTCTCAATTTGGTCCATAGTCGACGGATGAGATGTCCTCCTGATGCAATAGCACTGACGATGGCTGCGACGCATGCGATCAAGGAAAGTGGATCAAACATTTTACTCGATTGCAGAGAGTTTGATAGAAGTTGTCCGATCGTTTGATGGACTTCGAGGGACGTTCGCGCATGATAGACTCCTGTCCTGGTAAGTCCCGATTCCTGCGTCAATTACTAGGACGCTTTCAATACGAGCTTCTGCACGAGCGAAGCGCATATCACACGTCAAGACGTGGCCTGTTTCAATTGACCGAATAGTAAATGGTCGAGCTTCAGCCTTGCATCATTTGCCTTCTTTCTTCGTGCGGCCCGATGCAAAAGGCAACCTCACAGCCTCAGCCTTCTCTCTGCCTTGCTTCTGCTTCCTCCTCATCCGCGACACACACGCTCTTATCATTCAACTTCAATTGGTGGCCTCATTTTCGTATTTCAGAATGCTTACCGCTGCACCGAGGGCTCCGGTTTCTCTCGTTATATCCCAACGCCCTGCTTTGGCAACTTGGAGGATAAACCAATTCTTCGTCTTGCATTGCATTAGTGGGCTTACCCGCAGCCCAGTTGAGCATATCTTTAGCCATGTGAAGCTTCCACTTAGCTTGCGTGAAGCTGAGAATGCCTGCGTGGCTTCATTTCAATGGACATCGTTCCTGTGTCGCATACTACTCGTGCGTCTGCATGGTCCCAGTGCATCTGCATCAGACTGCACGATCAGAACTTCCGTTTCTCCATTTCCTTCGCTTCTAATTGCGCTCTGATTATCTGAACTCACATAGCCGGCTGACCGTCACTCCATCGTCAACAACTACCTCAACGTTCGAAGACAACAATGGGTTTCCGAAGCTGGGTTCATCGCATATACGTCAGGAGCCGCGAGAAACTCGGTATACCAAGATACCGGAACGGGCGATACGATCATTTCGAGTGCACCGTCATCTTTTATGATGGTTCGACAATGGGCTGGCGAGGCACGCCTTGGGGATCAGGCTGGGAACGATTCAAGAGAATCATGGACTCGAAGCAGGTATGTATATACTCGACGACTATGAATTGGATGCTTTGGTCCATGTGAGAAGCTCTGGCACGAGATTCAGGTTCCGTCATGTCAAGATGCGGTGGTGTTTGAGTGCTCTTGGTCAGCCAAAGTTTCATTTAGGTCGTTAAAGGATGCGTCGCGCAGCATTGGATTGCGAGAACTCATATACTGACCAGCGCCAGGTTGAGTCGGTCTACGTGAACTTCGACGGTGACTTTTGGCGGTAATGGGCCTTGAGGGAGACGAAATCGGGGTTAGAAGGTGAGTTTTCCCCCCATTTCTTTCGTGTTGGCAGGACTGATATGATTTTAGACATGTATAGGAAATACAGGCAGGTTACTGGCTCGGTGTCTTGGAAGCATTAGGGTTTTCGACAAAGGGCTTAATCAATCTGCTCCCCGTTCATAGTCACTTCGCAACGCATGCACGCATTTGTGTCACATTATGATATGTTCCATGATCCACTTGTATTACGATACTGCCTATGGACATCCCCAGTGGCAGATTGGATCTCGTTAATACTCCGTACACCGCCAGAGACGGCTCCGGCCAGCCTTTGAATCCTCCAAGCCCGTGCAAGGCGTTCGGTGTCAAACAGCTTGTCAAATTGTCGAGAAGGACACTTGTAGTGGTCAGTCTGGTGTCTTCACGAGCAGTCAGTCTGGATTTCTCACCATCTTAAAGAATCTCCGACATCAATACTCATTCTTAATCATCTTCTTCGCCAACTTGAACGCATTCGAGGTTGCTTTGCTGCCGTCTGGTCCCTGGTACCAGAATTCTGTATTGCCTTTCTTGACGCCGATTTGGACGGGGTGCTCGATGGTCATGACTTGCATCTGCCTGTCGTTGCCGTTGCCGTAGCGCTGCATTGCCCAGTCTGATTGAGGCATGTTTGAAGAAGAGAGGGATTGCTTGAGTTTAGGGGAAAGGGTACAATGATTCCTGGAATTGGCCGCGCTGAGAGGCTGTCCGTCTTTGTCGAAGGGAGTGGGCTGCCGCGCGTGGAGTTATACTGCAATCCAGGATGTCGAGCTGGCTAGTTCCTGGGATCGAGCACCTTTTCAACAGGTACGTCCCCTCTGGGCATGCGGGTGAGTTGGTGCTTTGGCTGACTAGCGGTGCATGCTCGAAAGTATAAATGGCGAATTGCAGGACTTTTGTTGATTGTCTCGAAGCGCCCGGTGCACATGCGAGTCTGACATGCATCGTGTACGATAAACAGAACGCGGAGAGGAGTGGTACGGCTCGCGCGGGCACGCCCTTTCCGCCCTCTTGTGGTAGTATCAAAACGACCACTGGGAGTGACACAACGCCCGGCTTTATCAATTCTGCACTTCCGGATGACCATCATGTGCATGCAGACTCTCTATCACAATCTCAGCCTTGCATACAAGCTGAAACGTGTGGGGCATGCCCCATCCGACTGGCCATCTCCCACCGTCGGGCGTAAGTGTTCGACTGCTCTTCGATTGCCTTCTCGCCCTCCTCAACCCAAATCGAGAATGCACAGCAGAAGCCTACGTGGTGCATCCCTAGAGGCCCTCTCACCTCTCCACACTCTTTTAAGCATTCGATCAGGCTGAGTAGTAGCCGTCAACCCACTTCTCCGAATCCTCACTATCCCAAACCTCACCACCTCAAACCCTTCCATAACTCTATTCCCACACCCAAAATGGCCGACGAACCTCCCAGAAACCTCTTTACAACCGTCTTCCGTCCCCATTCTCCCTTCTCCTCTTCCTCCTCCTTCTCCTCCGCCCCACCCCCCTCCACCCACTTCCCCGACGGCACCCCCCGCACAATCTACCGCAGCAAGAACAACACTACCGGCGCCGAATTCTCCTGCACCGCACCCGCCGGCTCCAAACACGCACAGGCAATGCGCGAACTATGCGCCAGCGTGCAGGGCGTCGGACTTCCCCAGGCATCGCAGCCACAGCCACAACCGCGATATCAGCGGCAGCTCCCTACCACCAGTTCAGCGCCGGGGATGACCACCGACGCCCATGACGCTCAAGTGCAACGTCAGACGCAGGCGTTTGAAGAGGGAAGAGGGGGTGGTGGCGCAGGCGTCATCCGCACCGTCTCGAAAGCCGCGGCGGGGTCGCGGCGGAATCCGCGGCCGCCGAAGCTGCAGTATCGCAATGGTAGCGGTAGCGCGAGCGCGGCGGAGGGCGGGACGGTGTTCAGACGCGTGGAAGACGAGAGGAGCGTGACGTTTGTGAGTAAGTCGGCGCAGGGGGAGGTGTTTGTGGCGGCGCCGAAGGGGAGTCAGGAGGCGGAAGCGCATGAGAGGATGGCGAGGGGATTGGTGAGTTTTGCGTGTATTTGATGATACGGGGTTTGAAGCTAATGAGGGACAGAATGGTGGTGAACGACGAGAGGGGGCGGTTAAGGCTGTGAGTAGTGGGCGGCGGTGGGCTATTGGGTGGCTGGGTTCGTGAGAGGAATGGGGGGTAATGAGAAAGGGGATGAAGAGGTTGAGGGTCGGAAGCTCAGATTTGGAGCATTCTATTCCTTGGATCCAACCATAGAATCCCGATTATTCGTGTACATTTTTGAGCCTGCACCTCGAGATCTGAAGCATTCGGAGACCGCTAATCGACAAACAAAAGTAGAAGAACACGTGGAGTCCCATATCCACACACCCCTATCATGCCGGTGCTGGCTTCCACGCCGCCAAGAACGCTTCGGCGCTTTCAAGTTCTTGCTCGATACGAGCCAAGTGCTTCTTACTCCTCGGCACCACCTTGACCGTAAACGGTAACGGACATAACAAGATAGCCGACGTAAACGCGTTCTCATCGAGATGTTCAACCTGGCCAGTGATTGGGTTGTCCACCTCGGAAATATCGAACGCCCATAGCAGTTTCGACGCGATACGCCACATGTTGCGTTCTGCAAGATGCATCCCAGGACACTGTCTCCGGCCTGCGCCATAGCCGTAATGGTCCCGGTTGTTATAGTCCGGTGACACGGCGTATTCGTTGGCAAGTTTGGGGTGGTTGAGATACCGATCTGGGTCGAACTTGTCGGGGTTAGGAAACCTGCTGGCGTCGTGGTTCATCGCCCATATGCCGCAGAAGACCATACTACCTTTGGGGATGAACATGCCCTCGTATTCGTCGTCTGATTTTATAATTTAGCCTCGTAGTTACTACTAGGGAACAAGGGTTGATCATACCCTGAATGCACATGTGTGGTAGGCCGGTTGTCGCGCTGTTTCTCGTTAGACCTAAGGAAGACATTCAAAGTGCAGGGTGACTTTACGTAGGACGCCACCTCATCCCCTCCTTGATAATGCAGTTGATATAAGGAAGATTCTCGAAGTCGGAGAACAATGGAGCACGTTCAGTTCCACACACAGCGTCGATTTCTGCCTTTGCTCGTCTCTGAATCTCAGGATACTTTGCGAACGCTAATATAAGTGTCAAGATCTGGTTCGCCGTCGTGTCCGCGCCCGCCTCAAGTAATTCGCCAAACAGGTTGTTAAAAGCGTGTTGCGACATGGGAAAGCCTTTCTCGGTATATTCTTCGATCTTCGAGTCAATAAAGCAGTCCCTCTTATCCCCCAGAGCTCTGCGTTCATCAACGACACGGCGGGCCTTGTCCCACATATCGTCCATCATTGAGCGACACTCATCTGCTTTTTTCTTCCATTGGCCTGGTAGGTACTTCAAGAAAGGGAATTCATCAATAGGAGGGGTTGCGCCGGGTTCCTGTATCGCGAGCCACTATATAAAGGGTAAGTAAGTGAGTACGAATACGACCCCTACGGTTTTTCTAGCAAAAGGCCTCCTCACCATTTCCATTAATTCAAAAAAGCCTTTGAACCAGTAAGAATCCAGGCTTGCGACCCGCTGACCATAGATCAGAGTGCTTGCGACCGAAAGTGTGTAAAGTTTAGCATAATCAAAAATCCTTGCTGGGTCTCTAAGGATGTTGTTCATGAATACGACAGCCCTTGATCCTATGTTAGCTGCCTTACGGATGAAGAAGGAAACCTCGAAGAATTAAAGTAGAGTCCTTACTCAGCCTCTTGAATCTTCCAATGTTTTTCATCCAACATCTTTGGATTCAGGTTCCGAGTGGTCACCATGCGTTTTTCTCTCCACGACGCACCCTGCTTCTCCAACGTCAAGTGGTCTCCGTGAGTTATGTAGTTGGTAACATAGTTGAAGGGTCTATCAGAGTAGATGCTCCCCTTTTTGTCCAAGAGATAGTTGACAGCTTTACGGTCGGTAAGGACGACGATGTTGGTCGGTCCGATGGTCAGCGAGAAGATCGGGCCGTACATGTCAGCCCAAACTTTGAACCTGCTTGACGGTCAGACCTGTCTAGGAGAGCTCAACAGCAGGGGCGTGGTAACACAAGGGTATTGGTATTTTCGGGCCTTACATTTTCCCCAACCCGGTCTTTGGGATTTGAAGCGCATTGCCAAGTATTGGTACAGTTGGTGGTCCTGGTGGCATACGGGGGTGACGCTTCCCGGTCCTAAAGAGCCGGTACGCTGGATACGCTAATAGCAACAGCACAATATAAATGGGAAAAGACATTTTGAACTCCGTCGGCCGCCTTCTCGTACTAGTTGCTTGCGCCGGTAGACTTTGGACCCGCTTCCTATATGCATACTTGTAATGGGGTCACGTGCGTGAGCACGGTACAACATCGGTCAGATTTTGTCCGGGGAAATCTGGGGAGAGTCCGGGGTTGGCTGGGACTTCGCTGAATTTCATGTCCAGGTGCTGGAAGCTACACGTAGATCTTCAATCATATTAGCTCTTGACCATGCCTTATGCGATCCATGGGCGAGCGGAACGAATGAGTCTTGATGATTGGCGGTGTGAGGTGAGCGACTAGTTGAAGCTGTCGATTGGAGGGAAGATGTCGACTCAGCTTACTCGACACGGCAGTCCCGTTGCACTACTACGGAGCACGTTCTCTAACTGCCATATGAGCCCCACCCAGCGTTTTAGCGGGGTTCTTGACCAGCTTCCATTATCGACGCAAACGCTCGAAAGAAATGGAGAGGAAGAGTTAGATGATTGAATATTTCCCGCAAGTAAGAAAGACATGGTAGAGAGGAGTGCAAACTTGCGTATTTTAGTGATCAGTAGCAAAGCGTGATAGCAACATATCTTGGAATAAACCGTGCTGAAACCATCTCTCCGAGCAATATGCTTCTTCAGCTCGGACGAATTCATGATTACATAAGCCTCAAATTTCTCTAAAAACCTCGATATCTTCCTTAAAATGTCTTATTGGGCCCGACAGGACTTCCTAGCTGCAGAGACACCCAGGAGCGCGGAGCGGGAAAGCGGGGTCGTGGGAGAGTCACCTCACCAAAAACTAAGGATCAATCCCTCGGGTAAAAGCTCAAAATTCTAGCGAAATGGCTCCGGACCAACAGGTTTCTGTAGGCAGGGAACGATAAATAGATTGTAGAAGCGGTGAAATGTTTGTAAAGCCGACCTACCATCGCTACGCCTTATAGGAGGATACATACTTTGAGAATTGCATTTTCCAAGACGGCGGCTAGTATCTCTTATCTTCTACCTCAATTTCAACCCCTCCGTTTACAATAATGGCCCCAATTATGCATGGCAAGGTGTTCACTGTGACAGGAGCCGCATCCGGCATTGGTCGAGCTACCGCGATTCTGTTAGCAGAACAGGGTGCGGCTGGCATCGCAATCTGCGATGTTAACGAAACAGGCTTAAAGGAGACTGAAGAAAGCTGTAGGTTTTTTCGCTAACGTTTTCGGTGTTGGAAAGAAGCTAATGCACATAGGCCGCAAATTCGACACGAAGATAACCACCCACAAAGTCGACGTCAGCAACGCGGATAATGTATCGCGGTGGATTTCAGACACAGTAAAAGAGTTTGGAAGGCTTGATGGTGCAGCAAATGTGGCCGGGATAGCTGGAGGAGATGGCGAAACAACGGTCCAGACAATTGTAAGTCAAAATCCCTAGGGTGGTGTGAAGCTGAATTCCATGGAAGCTCATCTTGAGACTTAGGAACAACGCGACTGGGACCGAATGATAGGTGTTAATCTAACTGGTGTGATGTACTGCATGAGGTCGCAGTTAGGACATATCGCGAAGCCCGGTGGATCAATCGTGAATGTCGCAAGCGCTGCTGGTATATTTTGTTTCCGGAAGCCCCATGGTGATTCTATGTTTTTAACTTTCTCTAGGTATTCGTGGACTTCCAAACAGCGCAGCTTACTCGGCTAGTAAGCACGGTGTGATTGGGTTAACAAGCTCTGCTTCCGGAGAGTTTGGGAAGAAAGGCGTGCGTATCAACTCGGTCCTACCGTAAGATATCTCTGTACACGTGGATTTGCTATCTGTTAACGGAGCTGCTCAGAGGTCCAATCGATACAGCAATATTCCGCGACGGCGAGAAGAAGGGTCTGTTCATTGAAGAGGTTCAGGCTGGCGCTACCCAGCTAGGGCGCATGGGACAGGCAAAAGAGATCGCCAACGTGATAGTATTCCTCTTGAGCGACAGTGCCTCATATGTGACCGGAGGTAATTCAGAGAACAATCCGTCATGTTATGCTGCCACAGCTAACCGTCAACCTTACAGCTCGTTGGACTGTAGATGGAGGATACTCGGCGTAGGAGCATATAGATGGGCAACAAGCATGTTGAAGGAGGAGGTAAAACAGACTAGCTCCAATGGCAGTTTGCTCCCCTACCTAGATCTCCTGCCGTTCTACACATCGCCGTTAACCCAGCCGAGGCAACGCTGAGCCTGTGTCTGTGTGTTAGACACGTCACCCGTGTGCCCATCCCCACCATGGTGGTGTGAGAGTTGTGTTGATTATGCAAGAGTGGGCGATAACTAGACGCTACTGACTAAGTAGCGCTATACTGAATTGAAGACATCACGTGCCGCAGCCTCAAACCCCTGATGTGCTTTTGAGAACTGGCTAGACGAAAAGAATCTCACTTGAGAGGCCAGAAAGATGCGGTCAAGATATTAGCAAGATGAGGTCGAGACCCGTGATATATGTCGGAACAAGCACACATGTCCCATGGCGACAGACTCTTTTACCTCACTGAACTGGATAGTGATTTCTCGAAGACCGATGGGCAAAACCTGCTTCCGTCGATTTACACCACAGGAAGTATGCATGGCATGAGCCCTTGCTGCGGATCTTCCGAAGCGAGCCGCAGGCATCAAACGGCGGAAGACACCACGATGCCGGTACCTCGTACGAAGCCGAATCGCATGGAGGCTCGTCTAGACTTGCACCAGAAAGGCAGCTAAAAACACCTGGCCGGCTCCCGTCTCGATCCGACTGCCGAGGATGTGCTCCAGTGGCCATGTTACCCCCGGCTAAGCGGCTTCGAACTCCAAAGACGGTTAGAGAAAAGCGGCGCTGTGCATCGGCTAGGCCGCTCCCGCTGAAGTTGTGAAGGCGACGTCATGATTTGGGCATTGCGCCACGATAAACCCCTAACTCCATGAGCAGGACTCAAACGTGTCGCAGCCGCCGAGATTATAAGGGATCCAAGCGCCCTGCTGGAAATTTTCACAGGCCAATTCTGATCCCAGTTATCCTTCTCCTTCTCATCGTGATACATTTTCACTCTCCTTCCTACCATTTCCTCTGTCGAACTTTTTCTTTACTCTCATTTGTCTTCTTTCAACCATGGAGAAAAAGGGTGACGGCACCGATGTCGAGTCCGGCCGCGGCCCTTCTTCTGTACCGCACTGGAAGCTCGTCATTGACCAAGGTAAGTACGTTGCTCTTAATGCGATGTTGATCGTCCTAACATTGCCAAGGTCTTGTGACACCCGAAGTCCTCAAGTGGGAATACGATGGCGCCGGCACTGAGGAAGATCCCTATGTCGTTGACTGGATCGATAATGATCCCAGGAACCCCATGCTCTTCTCTCAGGTGAAGAAATGGTCGATCACAATGCTTGTAGCTATTGCTACCCTGGCAGTCGCGTTTGTATCTTCCGCATATGTGAGTACTAGAACAAGTGGTGGAAGTTGACGTTTTCTAATCATGTCTTAGACTGGCGGTGTGAAACAAATCATGATTGAATTTGGTGCTGAGCAAGAGGTCATCACGTTGGGTGTTTCGCTTTTTGTTCTAGGCTTCGCAATCGGTAGGCATTCCCCAGCTTGCATTACGCCATCACAATTGACCTTACATAGGGCCTCTCCTATGGGCACCGATGAGCGAGCTTTGGGGCCGTCAAATCCTCTATATCACGACATATGGCGCACTCACCGCCTTCAACGCTGGTGCCGCTGGTGCGAATAACATGGCGACGCTCGTCATCCTCCGTTTCCTCGCCGGGACATTTGGATCTTCTCCCCTGACCAATGCTGGAGGTGTCATCGCCGATATGTTTCCTGCCAAAGAGCGTGGTTTGGCTATGAGTATTTTCTCGGCAGCACCCTTCATGGGCCCTACATTGGGTCCCGTTATTGGTGGCTTCCTAGGCGAGTCAGAAGGCTGGAGGTGGGTCGAAGGCCTGATGGCCATCTTCACTGGAGTTCTGTGGATCTTAGGGGCAATTCTCATCCCCGAAACTTACCCTCCCGTTCTCCTTCGCAAACGTGCGAAGGCTCTATCGAAGGCGACTGGAAAAGTTTACCGCAGCCGCGCCGATGTCGAGTCTGGACCCATCTCGGCTAGCACTGCATTCAAGACCGCTATCACTCGGCCATGGATCCTACTCTTCCGCGAGCCCATCGTACTTTTGCTCTCCATCTACTTGGCCATCATATACGGTACTTTGTATATGATGTTCGGCGCCTTTCCGATTGTGTATCAACAAGAGCGTGGCTGGAGTGAGGGTATTGGTGGCCTGGCTTTCCTTGGTGTCGCAGTCGGAATGATATTTGCCGTCGTCTACACAATCTTCTTTGGAAACAAGCAGTACATCAGAGCGGCAGACAAAGCTGGAGGATTTGCTGCACCAGAGGCACGTTTGCCCCCCGGATTGATCGGAGGAGTCGTCCTCCCGATCGGACTCTTTTGGTTTGCCTGGACGAACAGCCCGTCAATCCATTGGATAGTCAGCATTATGGCCGGAGCACCATTTGGGTTCGGAATGGTTAGTACTTGATTATGTTCCATTGCCTGTCTGATCGATGATCACTAACATTGGCGAACAGGTCTTGATTTTCTTGGCCGTCATGAACTACCTCATCGACGCATATACCATTTTCGCGGCCTCCGTTTTGGCAGCCAGCTCGGTCCTTCGATCTCTCTTTGGTTTTGCATTCCCGCTTTTTACTACCCAAATGTATGCCAAGCTCGGCATTCATTGGGCCTCGAGCATTCCAGCTTTCCTCGCCTTAGCCTGCACACCTTTCCCCTTTCTCTTTTATAAATATGGCAAGCAGATCCGAGCGCGCTGCAAGTTTTCCGCAGAGGCCGATGCTTTCATGAAGAAGATGATTGCCCGACAGCAGGGCAGCGAGGAAGTATCGGCATCCGAGGAGGAAGAAGACTCCCACTCCGAGAAAGAAGATGCAGTCCCGGATCTCGACGGTGCCGCAGAAAAAGAAGACGAAGTGCCTCGTTTCGAGAGCATCCAAACTGGTGGGCAAGCGCCACTGGATAGGACTCTGTCCCGTGTACAGACAGGCCGGTCTACGCGCTCGAACCGGAGTAGGAGGAGCGTGAATACGTACTACGACAATCCTTATGAGATTGATCGTGTAAACACCCGCGACAGCTTTACTGCGCGACCAAGGACGGCCAGCAATCCTAAAAGCTTCCGGAAAGTCATGAGCAACCAGTCAAGAAAATAGTCGGTCGCGAACCTCAGCGGGCTATGCGTTCTTTTTTTATATGTATAGATTTGGTGTAAAGCGATGATACCTAGTAACGACACAGTGTAAAAAAGTAGTAATAATAACATAATACTGTATATGCAGATGAAACATTTATGAGTCTGTCGTAGACGCTGATTGTCGTTTGATGTGCAAAATCGCGTGAATGACGCAGATTGAGGCGTTGGTCCGTGCGTCAATCCTACCTAAATCAAACGCCCTTGCAAACACCAGTTCCCAAACCTACATATACCGTAATCCACGGATCGCTTTTCGCCTTTGATACTTAGGTTTTCCTGGCGTGTGTGTATCAAGATGGTAGCTTCGCAGTCTAGATAAGTCGACGATGCTGTTCAAATCTGCTCATGCAACCTAACCTGACGTTGAGCGAAAGCGCAAACGCAAGGACAGCAATGTCGACAGTCTGCCGAAGGCCAAGGAGATCACGAGCCCCCGTCTCTATAATTCAACGTCCAGGCTTGGCTTCCTCGATCTTCCTAGGGAGCTTCGTGACATGGTGTACGCCAATATCCTAACCAACGGCCCCCCCGGTGGCATGGGGATCTTCCGTCTCAACATCGGTCAGCGTATGGAAAAAATCAAAGGAAGGGGCGTCACAAGAACTTTGCGCCTTAACAAACAAATCTTCATGGAGGCCAAGGAGGCTCTATACTCTCTCAACATCTTCTCAATCGATCTCACTAGCTGGAACCCACACCTCTGAACTGCGAGCCCAAACGGTGACGCTCAACTTTTGGTCTCATCGGGCGCCTTCCCTAAGGGTGTTGACTTATCTTCAATCCAGCACATGAACCTCCAATTCCACTTTTGGGAGGCGGATCGGATTTTCGAGACTCCGCGGAGAAAGGTTTCAATCGGCGCATGCTAGGAAACATTTCAACAGACCATACAAAGGCTCTAAAGTGCGACTTCTCCTACGAGGGTTTCAGTTCCATGAAAGGGCTCCGTTGCCTCCGCATTGCGTTGGCTCGTGAGGACGACGAATTCTGAATCTGGAAGGAGACCAGCAGCCGGGAGCTTGCCTGGCGTTGCTGGGTTAGAGCCCTTGGACCAGCGCCAAACGAAGCAACAGAGTTCATTCGCACATTGATGACTGCGATTCCAACAAGTGTAAGCCAGATTCGATGGGGAATGAGCAAGGAGGAAGTCAGCGAGGAGGCACTGGCGCTCGGTTTCAAGGCCTTCATATACGAGTGGGCCTTCGTTGAGGGTGGAGTGTTGCGCGAAGTGGCCGATCAATTCAAGAGCCTAACAGCGACCGACATGGCGTGTGTTGACGAGGACACCAAAGCAGGCTCAGAATCCTAGTTTCTTACTTCCGACAAAACTATTGGTCGAACATAGCTCACCTCTCCAATCCAATCCTGGGCTTTCAGTGCCTTATATACAAGGTTTCATAAAAACTATATATCAGAATAAATCTTTACACCAACCGTCATCTAGTATTACGGTGTTCAAAGTGCCGTATGAGAGAATGTTCACTGGATCCACCGAACGGAGGAGCCTAATCGAGCAATAGTCTTGGCGGCCCTCGACGGCATGTGACCAAGACCTTCCTGTAACTTCTGGGATCGGTGAATTCAGCGAGTTGCCTGCCCCGTTGCATTCAACGCCTGACCTGCCCGCCGCATTCACGCCTGGCCTGACCACTGCATTCGACTTCTGACCTGCCCTACCCAATCTACTATATAAGAAGTCTGCAATCACCTGCAGTCCTCCTCCACAAGCAACTCCTTCGCACCCTCGACTAGTCTACCCCACACACCACCAACACTTCTCGTCCCCCATTGCGAGCTCTTTTCTATCAACAGGATGGCTCGGTCTTCTCAATTGAGGTAAGTACATGTTGTTATCTACATCGGCCGACGTTTCGAAACTGTGCTAATTTTAAGCAGGCGCAAGGGAAAACGCGAGCCCGTCGAGTCCGACTCTGAGTCCGACATAGACTCAGACTCAAACGTTTCGAAAAAGCCCAGACCGATAGCATTGACAAACGCTGGGAGCCCACTGGCCCGTTCCGTTTCCTAGATCTCCCACGCGAGCTCAGGAACATGGTCTATGTAGAGCTCTTGACCAACGGAACTGCTAGAAGGAAGGGAACCAACGGAACCATCACCTGCTTCGACCGATGCGCGAGGACTGTCTGGCTCAGCAAGGCCTATAATTACAAGAAGGCCAAGGAGGGCAAGTACAAGACCGACACCAACCCAGTATTCACGGCTATCCTAAGAACCAACAAACAAGTCCACGCGGAGGCGAAAGAAGTTCTATATAGCTTCAACATCTTCTCTGTCGATCTAACGCGCGAGCACAATCGCCTCCTCAATAAAATCGAGCACGAGGAAAACGTCCTTCCGAACCCAGGCATCGAAGCCGACGACAATGAAGCATACAGACGTGAAGATGCTGATCCTGGTGGCCTGCCCTAGAACTGCGACTTCACCGGCATTCGCCATATGGATCTCCAGCTGCACCTCTGGGACGCGGAAGGTACCTTCGATCGATACTGGGGAATGCAACACCATTGCAGACTCTCCGACTTCGAGGGTGCGTACGATGTCTTGTCCAATCTCTCCTTGCAAAGCTTCCACCAGCTCAAGGGACTGAAGAGCCTCCAAATCTCTCTAGCGTTTGACGACAAGCGTACTCCGAATCTCGCACGCTGGTGCCTGGGCAACGGACCGGCTCCCATGCGCATGCGGAGCTTTGTGCGGGACCTTGTTGCGACCATCCCAGAGAACGTCGAGCTTTGGTGGGGAATGACGGAAGTAGAGGCCACGAAGGCAGTGCAAGAGACGAAGTTCCGTGGTGCTCGGGAGGGCAGCTGGTGGGGATTCGTGGCTGGCGAAGTGCTTCGCAAGCTAGCAGACGAGTTTGTGTGTGTGCGAGGGATAGACGCAGCATATGCTAACGAGCATAATGCTCGGGCGTGAGCGAGTCGATGCATGGACTGAAGAGTGAGTTGAGTCCTGGGCATGTTTCTCCAGTCTTAGTGGGCACTGTAGGTCCTTACAAGACTAACAACGGTCAACAGCTCGCCTACCATTAACGGTACCGGAGGGTCTTAGTATGATTCCCGGGCGAACACCTGGTGATGTTTATTTTCGTACAGGAGATAGAGGCTTTTTATTACAAATTACTTGATCACCACCCAATGTCTCTTCGCTCTCCGAATTTCCATAAGTATATCATGTCGTGACCTTACCGCGCGTTTTAGGACACTTCATTCATGAGGAGTAATTTCATATCCTATTAACTTAAAAGAAATAACGCTTAGTCAGCTTGTCCCCTTTATGAATGAAAGCTTCCAATCACGTGTTGCAGTTTTTGAACTTGAAATGAGCCTCGATGCGAGCCTAAGCCGATCAGTAGGTCAAGAGTTGGACGTATGGAGAGGCTAGAAAGGTAGAGCTTCTCGCAGATATGTATTTACTGAAAAAAAGGGGTTGTGTACTCGAGAATTAATTTCAAATTTGCAAGGTTTCGTTTCGGCATTCATGCTATTTGCATGAGCGTGAGTACATGTTTGAGACAGGCACTACTTAGTCCGCACCAGCCGCATTGTAAGCAAGCAAGTCCAATATGTCCCCAAGCTATGACATCGAGGAAATCTCGAGTTGAAGTAGAAGTAAATCAAGGCACTCGTTTCTAACCACCATATCGCCGTCCAGAGACCGGCACGTCATCTTTAGCTCGCCATAATATCGCACTGCAGTGACTTGAAGGCCAGTCTACACTAGCCGTCTAATCGGACTAAAGACAAGCATCAGTCTGCCTGTCGTCCTCGCCCTATTACTCCTTATTCTTGCCCGACGTGTCCGCGTTGTCCTCCCCATCCGCATCATTAGCGTAGTAATCGATGTCAGTTCCTCGGAGACCTTCGAACTCGTCCGCTAGTCCTTTCAACACCTTCTCCTCCACGGTGCCCCAGTCAAAGATGTTCATGTTTTCCACATCTTCCGGATCGTTCCTCCAAAACATATCGCGATACTCTTGCTCCGCAAGTCCCCATTCAATGTGGACGCTCTTCGGGATCGACGCAATCAAGGACCGCATCATTTCTCGCATGCGGATAGGCGCTTTGTTCCTACCCATGCAGAAGCCCAGCAGTGCTGGCGGAAGGTTGTCGTCGTAAGTCATGCCTATGCGTAGCTCCTTCATATTTGGCATGGCGCGAAAGGCTTCGAATGAGGCTGTTGAGAGAAGTAGGTATCCTTCAGCTGTGCCGAAATGTTCCAATGGATCACATGGCATCCAATCTGGAAAGTCAAACAGCAGGACCAAGCGGCGGATAGAAGCGAGATCCCATTGATAGTTGACAGCTCGTGTGGGCTTGATCTCGTCGGCGTGCGAGGGGCCGTACCTCGTAATGAATTCCAGCGGCTTGGTGTAGCGTCGTACGACATCAAAGCGTCGGGTCCTCTCGTTGAGGGTCACCACGAACGTGCGGTCGCGATACAGAGCCTCCTTCGCTTCCTCGTGTAACTGCTTACAAGTGCTGAGGACGGCGGTTGGGCCTTTCAGATTGACAGGCACATAGCGGGGATGACGGGATTTGCCACGCCATTCATAGAACTCCCCTCCAGACGTGTCATGAACGAGATTGCCCCACGGGTGGCGCTCTGGAAGTTCCTCGAAGATCTTGTCGTAGACCATGTCGCGGAGTTCCCGAGGAAGTCCGAGGAAATTGAAGGGACCGCATGGCTCCCAGGGCTTTGGCTTCACTGCATTTGTGCGCTTGCCTTTTGCTAGCCGCTTCTTGCGGGTTTGCTTCTTGGCTCCTTGGGTGCTGTCGTGGTCGTCCCGCTTGCGTTTCCTTCATAGTTGATTAGCACCACACAACAAGACACTGTATAACCAATAGCCTGATGAAAAGGAGACTTGGATTGCGACTGCGCGCTGGCAATCGCAACGGCATTGGCTGCAGGACGAGGTCGGAGCTGCATTGGTATGGGTGAAGAGAGTAAGGTAGTGGAAGTGATTAAGAGGCGGTCGTGAGCTCCGATGGCAGGGAGGTGATGGGGTGTGTCGGAAAGCAGTGGTGGGGCTGGGGTGGGTAAAGAGTGGAGAGTAGAGAGTGTTGGGTGTGATGGATAGGTGGCACGTGGATTTGTCAAATCGCGCTAACCAGAAAAGCGAGCGTGTACCAAGCCTTTCGCGATGAGCGGCAGTCAGAGGGGAAGCGGATCAAGACAAGGTGAGGATGGAGGTGAAACAATGCATTGAACGAGGTAAGTGATGTATTGGTATACTCTGTGTGTGTGGGGGCTTACGTAGCCGTACCGTAGAACTGTGTGGGCTAAGTATAGGAACCGTGTTCTATATTAAGGTAGCCGAGCTAACCGTACCATACTCCGTAGGCTAGCTGGCTAAGAATACGTACTCCGTCACAAGGTGTGTAGCCAAAAGCTGTTGTATTGATGAAGGTGAGGAAGCTAGCTATTGAGCGGAAGGAGGAAAGATATACACAAGAAGCTGCTGAGTAAACGGCTAGGAAGGGGCCGACAGCGAGAACAGTGAATTACTCGGCACTAGTGATAGTAATTTATTTATGCCACGATCTGAGGTCACTTAATGCATTTCCGGACAACCAAACAAGATAGAAACGTGCATGATAGGAGTATAGGACAGACTTTGGTTGAGAAAAGGGGCGAGATGACTAAGCATTATGATGCTCATATAGGCTTCACTTCAGGATTTTACACTGCTGACGCTGTATGGAGTAATCTCATTAGATTACTAACTGTCCAAAAGGCCGGACTTTCCCCTTATTTGAAATGCTGGAAATTGCTTTGAAGCTCCTCACACAGCGGTAAAAGAGTGTGCGGACTTCTATGAGGAGGTGTTGTGTAGGGAATGTTCACGAACAGTTCAGCTCCTTCTCAGTAGGGAATTCGGCCTCATAGTCGGCATCGATGCCCCTGATTGCGTCTAAACCAACGACCAACTTCTCCAGCGCCTTACCGTCCACGACTTCATATGGGGTATCCTCTACGAAGTAGAAATGCTCAGCGCTGCATTCGACCTTCTCCAACCATTTGCGTTCATCCTCCAATCCCCGCATCCCCAACGAATCTTTCCTGCACTTCGCGGCACCGCAGCCACCAGCTCTCTCAGCATGTGTCGTAGTTGCATCGGCGCTGGCCCTCTTCCGCGGCAGAAGCTGTAGAGCATGGGTGGAGTATCCGGTTGAAAGAGAATTCTTACACTGAGGTTGACCAACTTCCCCATTTTGTAAAAATTCTCCCATGATTGCTTTGACATCGTTGTGTATGCTTCTGAAAAGGAGTGTTCAGATGGAGCAGACTCGACCCCGGCGAGTTCTAGGTAAACCTGTATGTGTAGGTGGCGAATCGCTGCGAGATCCCACCCGAAAGGAATCGCGGGCTGGCAGGAGATTGGGTCCTGTGGGATCCTGTCATTCAGGACGAATTCGTGGTCGAAGGCGTCGTTGTGCGCCTTGGATGTGCCAGAGATGACCCCAGCGTAGGAGAATTCGCCGTACGTCGGTGCGTTGACGAAACGCAGGTCGTTCTGAGCAAGTGCCACGGAGAATACGTTGTTGGTGTATAAGGCTTCCTTCGCTTCCTCATCAATTTGTTTGTTGACACGCAAAAGGGCGGTTCGAGGCTCTTTTAGCTGTACCTCTGGAGCATAACGATCTTTGAGGCTATGGAAGAGACCTTCGGATCCGCACCTCGAATTCGCCATGAGCATACCATAGACGATGTCGCGAATCTCTCGGGGGAGATTGAGAAAACGGAACGATGGAGGGGACGAAGATGTATTGGTGGCAACTTTCATCCGCTTCCTGCCCTTCTGTACGGAGATGTGGCTGGCTTGAGGGTCGGTCATGGTGTTGGTGGTGTAGTGGTGTAGCACTCTCTGAGGTGGCCTCCAGAGAGTTGAATTGCTGCCCAAAGAATAAGATGCCCGGAATTTGTAGACGTATTTGCGAAATAAGAGATTATACTAACGTCACCAAACTGAAACCCCACAGATCCGGTATCAAGACTTTAGACCTATTACTGAGGGGTCGATGTACCTTAAAAGAGTCTACCTACCCATACTTCACTCATCCATCTCGAATTCGGCGCAATCGACAGTCGCATCTACACATTTAGTATTTATCTTTGAGAGCCTATTCACAAGACTCGATCGACAGTTTGAGTATAAAGACAGCGTTGAAACTGTTATTCAACCCCTGTATGCATCTATATTCTTCAAAGACAACTTTCCCACTGTAACGCCATGCTGATGTACTCGTCGTCTACTTAACCCTTACTCTACTTTTTCGCATAAGCCATACGGTCATGCTCGTCGATGTCCCTATCAAGGTATTAGTCCATCTATCCAATAGAGCTGATCAACGAAACTCTACACATACGTTGCCTCCCAAGGATAGTTAATCCACACATCCCCAACCGTCTGTGCCGCCAAATACTTCCCTTCGCCAATAATCTCCGTGGGCAGATGTCCCTTCTTCGGCTTGTCCTTATTATGCAGCACGAAGATGGTGAAATTCGTCTTCTCGCTCAGCCTTCCGAGCCTGCTAGCCGCCTCATCCACATCCTTCTGCAGCTCGCGCACCGCATACTCCAGCGTCGTCCGGGTGTCGTCCACCTCATCCACAATTAGCACGTTCTTGCCGATCAAGTTCGCCATCTCGAGGCTGCTGAGGTCGAGCCACTGCGTTCGCGTGACCTTGGTGCCGGGCTCCTCGACCTCGTCGGTGCCGAGGGACTCGTAGAGGGAGAGCCCGATGGCTTGGATGGGGATGTTGGGGCTGCCGGGCCTCTTAAGGAATGATCTATGGCGTACATGCGAAATTAGATGGGTGTTCGTTCGGGAAGTTCACATGTCAGGACCATAATAGTTCTACGTACCGCAATATGCGCGCGGGCACGTAGCCTCCACCGCCAATGGCGATCATGAGGTTCGGATGGAATTCATCGAGGATCCGCTCTGCCGATGCCTGGCAGAGCTTATGGACCTGCGCGGAAGGTGTTTAGCAGGATTCTTGACCGGGGCCCCAGGCGCGGGGTGATTGGGAGTAAATAGGCATGCTGGCTTGGCTTGCTGGATACTGGAAGCAGCCACAATCGCCAGCGGAGCAGAGGTGCAGGTAGGACAATAGGCGCATGCATTCAGCCCAGGGATAGGACGTCGGGGAGTTGCAGGTCCCATGCTGCAGCTAGGTACGCGGGACGCAGTGTGGGGTAGGTAGGTGTTTGTATGAGCAGAGGCGTACCTGGTTGTAAGAGACGTATACTTTTTCGACCATGGTATTTGCGGGGTTCGTCTGTAGCGGGCATATAGAAATGGGGAGTCGGATGCTCGTGGTTTGCTAAAATCCTACCTGCCAAAAATCCGACTCACCCCGCGATATGCTAGTGCGTAGCGGGATTAGACGCGGTCCGGAAAAACAGCCGCTCCGACCACATAAAACGAGTTAAATCAGGGGGAGCAACAGCGGGTTATCCGCGATACATGGCCTGGAAGTATCACTTAGCGCAACAGAGCGTGTTTAAATAAAAATGTTTGGATAGTCTTGCTAGAATATCCGCTTTAGGCTGGGAACCCTATTTTCCTTATGTATGTATGCATGTATGTACATACAGTACATACACTTTTCGCAAGAGTTATCTTGATGATGCTACTGGGCTCTACGCTGTTAGATTAAGAAACGAGATCCTGAACGTCATGGTGTTGAATTTGCGAATGCTCAGGCCTTTCCAAACCCCCTGCATAGCAGGCGTACGCCGCGAGTTCGACGCCCTGAGCCTGGTCGCTATTGACAGCAGCAATCTCCTCGAAACTGATGTCCTCGTCGAATGTCCAGATACAAATATACTGCCGGCCGGTCAAGGCAAGAAATCTGCCGCTCAATTGAAGTGGATCGTGCTCCTTGAGCCAATCATGCTCTGAATTAAGTTTGCGGAGGAGTCTGAGTGCCATGCTTTACAGAAATCAGTCAAAAGATGGTCCTCATTGAGAATTGAGCTCGGAAGTACAGTATAGGGGCTGAGACACATACCTGTTCAATACACAACCTAAGACTGGCTCCGGCCCAGTAGACGTAAGACTGAGCCGATAATGAGCGCCGAGCCACCACGTATTCCGTTCACACATACCCAGGCCAACCGTACCATTGCCGAAGTAGTCCCGCGACTCGTCGTAAGGCAGACAGTATACTCTAGGGTAGAATCGGCCTTCTTCTATCGCCCTCTGTCGAAAATAAAGCTGAAAGCGGCCTCGTCGATCAATCGGCTTGAAATATACTGCGTCAGAGCTCTTCTCTATGTAGTTCACTTTTCCACTTCGTATCAAGTCACCCGAGTAACTGTAGCGGTGATAAAGCAGTGCATCTGAGCAAAGAGAATCGCTTTCTGATGCCAATTTTGAACATATCAAGAGGCTCTCCGAAGTAGGGTCAACTAGAACTGCTGAAGGAGGGTTTAACCTAGCGGCAAGTCATTAGCGACCGAGATTAAGACGAGGCATAGGAACGGCGAGCCAAAGCTTTATGAGGTAGGTGATTGACTTGACTCACGTGAATGTTTCGCCCGTAGGCTTTGCTTTTAAGTCTTTGCGATCCGGCTTGCGCAAATCGAAAGTTCTGCATTTCTGCCTGTCGAAGTCCCAGACATAAGCGACATGCTTACCAGGACATTTTTCATCTCTCAAAACGCCCGCGATGGTTTTTCCCCGGCAGGAAAAGACTGGTACACGCGCAGATGGCAATCTAAAAGACTTTCGTTGTCCGGTAACCAAATCGCAAGCATACCAAATACCTGTGAAGGTGAAGAACGCAACAAGTTGGTCACTCAACGCGACTAATGCGATCTTCTCGCGTGCTTCGCCTGTGAGCGATAAGGATTTACCGGATGGCAAATTCAACACAGTGACGGCGCAGTTGTCATATGCAGGCCACGCAATATTGTCCTCGAAGGAACTGTAGGTGACAGAGCAATCGACGCCAGGAGGAAGTCCTACTATGAGTGACTTCGCGAACGCTCCTGTTTGGAAACGATGTACGACCTCCGCAGTCTTCCTGCAATGCAAGTAGTCGTGGCTGACGTCGGGCGATTCCCCGAGAAGTGGAAGCCCAGTTGGAAGGGCGATGTTGAAGCCCTGCAGACATAGTAGGCCTCTTAGAACGTCAGGACTGCTCAATACTGTCTGCCAGCGTCTAGAGACCTGGACTATGTGTTAGAACGTTGGATGGTTAGCATGTTGCTGAAAATTGTGCCTACTCTTTGAAGTTGAAAGGGTGTCGAGATTTCAAGGTATCCGAATATTTGAATGACAATCTCCACTGGTAGGGAGCCTACGATATCGACACAGAATGTTTCGCTACCGAGTTTTGCAAGTAGTTGCCGCCATTCAGTGTGGTTGAGCTCATTGATCAAAGCATCGAGAGCAGCCGCGCGTGCAGTGGACGAAGGAAGCCGCCGGAACGCGAGGGCCACGCATGACGGGTCGTCCATCTTGAGGCCGCTGCCGTTGCGGTTACTTGTGATATGTAGCCATATGTTGGAGCCTCAGCGATCAGACGCCTACCGTGGAGCTGCCTGACTGTTTCAGGTCAGTTAATACGAGGAACTGGGCCCTCGGGTTGTGAAAGTTCGGGTTGTTTCTGCGCCGTAACACTTGCGAGCCAGAAGCTGTGCTTTCATGGTATATGGTGTTCAATGGAGCTACGACGGGTAGGGCTTCGAATTGTGACGATTAGATAGACAGCAGGTGAGTAGTGCCTCGCAAGAGTCGAGGAGGTCGCCGTCGGCACCAACAGCAGGTGCACGGCGCGGATCTGGGGTTCGAGGTACTTCGTAGGAGGTACTCAGCGCGGACCCAAGAGCGGGTGAGCCTTGAGTTCTCGGCGGCTTCCGGATCGCCTCCCGCGATTCTGTAGACGGGGCCCGAGTAGCGCAGCTATGCCGATGGAAAAGACTGATGCAGGCTGCACAAACACGGCGCCCTCCTCCACCGCGCTGCTGAAGATGATCGGCCCGTAGCTGCAGTCCCATTGCGCAAGTCGGGGCCACAGGCACAGGGCGTCTCCGCAAACCCAATTGATTGACCTCTCCAGTCGTCGGCCCGTGCCTGCGCCGCAACGCAACATTCCGCCGCCGTGGGTCGGTCGAAAGCTGCATCCATCAAACCCCCAACGCCTTGCCGCCAAGCTTCCACCGCAGCTTCTCCAGCTCGCGCATCCACTCTGCTGCGCTGCCCGTCTGCATTATTATCCTCCTGTCCTCCAGCTTGCCGCGTCGAGCTTGCGCCAGCTGCGGGCCAGCTCGATCGGGAGCGCACGCCCACCTCCCTATCATCAGCCGACAAAGGACGGAGCTCCTCCACCTTCCCAAACCACCGCGATACCCCTAGCCCGAGCGCTGTCCACCCTCACCTCGAGCCCCCGCACCAGTATTCTTCTGCCTGCTATCGCCCGACGAGAACTCGAATGAGCCGCTCAATCGCCCTGCGACTGCGCTGTCCACCACAAGCCCGGCTCCCTACTATGGTATAACGCGCGACGCATCCTATCATTGAGCATCATTCTCTGGCCCGCCAGCGCCTACTAGAGCTATATAACTGCATATTGGGAAACGGCGGACCAGGCCCGGCACTGGACACGGCGGCGGAATTCCTCGCATCTTCTGAGCGTTTCTCTCAGGACTCACGGCCGACGACACGACCACTTGCGGGCGCATTTGGCTTAACGCATCATCTTTATCCAAAAACATGGCCTCTACCGCCGAGTCCATCCGGCGCAGTCCTTTCTCGGCAGACTCTCACATCCAAGGCATGCACAAATCGATTCCCATCCTGCCTTCGTCCTCGGGCGCCTCGTCCCTCACACCCCCGCGAGATCCCATGGACGTGACACCTTCGATGCCGACCATGGGGCCCCCGATTCTCAGTAGCCCGGTTGGTGATCGCAATGGCACAAACGGGGACGTCGAAAGCGCGACGAATGGGAACGCTTCCACGGCGATTGGCGCTGCCGCTGCAGCTCAACAGCCGAAGGTTGTCCAAACTGCATTCATCCACAAGCTATACAAGTCAGTCTAGCGAGATCCCCCCGTTGAAATTCCGCTAACATTGTCGCAGCATGCTTGAGGACCAGGGTATCCAGCACCTAATCTCATGGTCGAACACTAACGAAAGTTTTGTCATGTCACCTTCCAGCGAATTCTCAAAAGTCTTATCGTACGTTGATGGTTGATGGTTGATCTCTAGCTTACTATATCTAACCCCATTCTGTAGATCATATTTCAAACATACCAATATTTCTTCTTTCGTTCGCCAACTTAACATGTATGGTTTCCATAAAGGTAAGAATCCAGTCTACCATCACAGATCTTTTCTAACCCTGATTTAGTGAGCGATGTCTTTCATACCGGCTCGCCAGACTCGCCACTCTGGGAATTCAAGCATGGAAACGGAAGCTTCAAACGAGGAGATCTGGTCGGATTGCGAGAGATCAAACGACGCGCCTCAAGACATGCTCTTATTCACCGAGATTCTTTTTCTGCAGGTCCGAAGGTTCCCACAGGCCCACCCGCCGGGGTTCCGGTGGAGCCCATGCCCGACCCAGTCGAATCAAGACTGGGTATGCTTGAACATGGATATTACGAAATGACCAATCGCATGAATCGCGCCGAAGACAGCTATGCATATCTCAACCAGAAGTATCAAGTTGTCATGGAGGGCCTAATTAAATGTCACCAGGTACGTTCACCACTCACATTTCTAACTAAAGACTTTACTGATGACGGGCAGTGGAATCACGAACTCACGAACTATATCATGGCAATGGTTCACGATCCGGAGAATCAAATATACAAAGATGGTATGTGACTTCTCTCCCAGGATGCGTGTGCCCTTCTCACAGTTACAGTATCGGCAATGCAGCGAGAGATTGCAAAACAATCAGAAATGCTCCGCGCGATTGAGGAACCAGGGGAGCCCCTCTCAGCACGGCCACCTTATTTCATGCAAATTGATAATGCGCCACCACTTTCCCCGCGCCAAATGCCTCAGGACGACCACCGAAGAGCATCACTCGCCGCCAATTCTCGCCAAGCACCTTTCAGGCCTCCCGTACCAGCACATCTGGCCATATCGCCCCGCCGCTATGGTTCGATAGGAACAGGCACCTATTCTCCGTCGTCCGCGAGAACTCCAGTGCACCAACCCCCGCCGCCACCACCGCCCCCAATCCAACATCCAGCTTCATCTAGTTCTTCATCTCCACCATACAATCTGTACAGGCGACACACATCAGCCGACATCCGATTACACGGCTGGCAAGCACCTCCACCACCACCAACTCACTCACCGTATGCCTCCGGTCAGAACTCGTCCCAATGGCCGTCATCGCCGCACCGGACCCCTATCAGCGGTGGCGACCAGCAGATCCGGGATGCACTAGCACAGTACGAACTGCCCCGCAACCCTCGCCCGCAAGGTTCTCGCCAGGCAACCCCTCCGCTTGGGAACGATGCAGGGCCCTCTAACCTTAGCGCTGAGAGCGGCTGGTCGCTTCCCGGGCGCGCATATCCATTCAAAGGCATCGATGTCTCTGGCCCACCAACACGACGCTCAAGTATGGCCAGCAACGTCCACTCTTTGCTGAACCCGGCCGAGACTGCCGAAAGGGCCGACGAGGACGAGCAAGACCCCGATGCTAGGAAACGGAAGCGGATGCAATGACGCCTGCCTTTATCGGCCTTGAGATTAGAGGCTGTACTTGTACGATGATTTTCGCACTTAAATTTTCACTTCGTCGGATTTTCGCAGTGTCACGATTGTGCTTCAGCAGTTCTTCATACCTTAACTCGTTTTAAAAAAAAGGATCATGTCGCTATTGGATTTTCAATGAGCTGGATGGAGGTTAATCTGAGACATTTCCAAATATTGGGTCGGATGTGGCTCTCACCTTCGCATTTTTCCGTCCTTTAACATTTTTTAATTATTGCTATCGTTTTCCAACGATGCTCGCTTGGTTGGACAGTTGATATGGGTTTGGGCGGAATGTAATGGAGTTTTCCTGGCTCAATATTTGCGAATGGAGCGGATAGCGGTGTGGCATGCTTTTTGGCTGTGGTTTTCTGCTTGGATTGGGACAGATAAGATCGGCGCGATGTTTGTGGATGTCTGTGTATGCTGCCAATTGGGATCCTCATGGCATTTGAGATTACTAAAAATGGAACATGGTTCGTTGCTTTTTTGATTCTTGATATTTTTGGCCCCTCTGTCGTTGATCATACTTACCTGTGAAAGTCGATACTTGCCCACGCGGTGTGGTACGCCGCACATTTTATCCCTTGCCTGACATCTAGCAAATCGAGAACTTGTGGTTCATTTCGTTACTTTTACTCACTTTCACAGAGGAGAAGGCCCCACGCGGTGTGGTGCGTACCTAACCCTCCACCCAATGACGAAGAAATCAGGATATCTACGGTTCGATTCGTTACTTCTACTCACGTTTATCCAGGAAAAGCCCCACGCGGTGTGGTACACAGCGTCCTTACAGTTCTACTCGACGTCTGTCAAACAGACATATGCACGGTTCGATCTGTTGCTTTTACTCGTATTCACTCCGGGAAGGGCACGCAGCGTGTTTATCCCCTGACCCGACGTATAGCAAATGAAGAAGTATGCGGTCAGAGGCGAAGGCCCCACGCGGCGTGGTACACAACGTATTCGACTCCCTGCCCAATGACTAAGAAATCAGGATAGTCGCGGTTCGATTCGTTGCTTTTACTCGCTTTTGCAACGGGAAGGGTACGCAGTGCGGCACACAGCGTCCCCAAACTGTTACTCGACGCGCAGTTGGATTCATTACTTGAACCTACCTTACAATCGAGAAAGTTTTGTAGGGGGGGAAAAGTTGTATACGATGCGTATGAGAGATGACCAGAAGGCCATAAATTCACAAAGTCGATTATCCCAATCCTATTAAGCGCCCCGAGCTAGATTATACGCTCAAGTACACACCCCAACACTATAGCAGAAACCCACAACGCCCACACTAAACCAAACCATCTTCATCGTCTATCGCCTACGTTCCCACCGGCCTCGTTTTCAACCCCTCAGGCTTCGAGTTCCTTCCCGCCAGCCAATTTTCCTGGGCCAAGGGCCGCACGAACTTCGCTCTTTGCTCCGCCAAAAACTCCTCCTCTGTCAACGGCCCCGCCATCGGCCGCGAGTGGAACCACCCCTCCCTTGCCGCCTTCGACCTCTCCCTTTCCTGCTCCAACCACTCCTCCGGCATGCCCTCACGTGCCGCAATCTGCAGTTCATCCTCCGTCAACTGCCGCGTCACCGGCGTGTGGAAAGGGATGTGCCACCCTCCCCTCGCGGCCGCCACGGCGTTAACATGCTTCAGCAACTCCGCCTTCGCCTTGTCCAGCCTCTCCACAATCCACTCCACCTGCGCGTCCTTCAGCCCGCTCTTAGTGTCGGGCCGCGAGACGAGCGGGAACCAGAACGCCTCGAGCGCCGCGTGGCGCTCGACGATGAGCTGGCGCAAGTCATCGAACGAGGCCGTGACATTGGGCGCGCGAGCGGCGATGGTGATGTCGTAGAGCTTGACGGCCTCCTTGCTGAAGCCCAGGATCTCGGCGGGCGTGTCGCCGAGGAAGGAGAAGTGGTCCGTGCGGTAGCCGCAGGCGGCGAGGGGGAAGTGCAGCCGGATGTTGGGTCTGTAGCTGTATAGTAGGCTGGCGAGGAAGATGACGACGGCGAGGATCCAGCCGGCGGTGATCCAGTGCGAGGAGTTGAGGTCGAGGTTGAAGGGGGAGGAGGGGGGCTCTAGCTCCTCTGGGGGGATGGTGTCGAGGAAGTCGAGGGGGTCTTCTGATGTGACTGAGGAAGTGGAGGTGGCAGTGCCGCCTTTTGTGGAGTCGGTGAAGCGGAGTGTGTTGGTGTCGTGGCTGCGGAAGCCGGTGTTGGCGAAGTTTTTGTGGGATTCTCGGGCCATGGCGGGAGAGAATGGGGATTGTGAGGCTGAGGATGCTGTGGGAGGGCAGAGGGAATGACGAGGCGGTAGAAGTAGAGAAGAGACGTTGACTATAATGCAGACGCTGAAAGAAAGATGATGCAAACGGCCGAGGTGTCCAATACTTACATTGCCCGATTGTAGGTGTCGAAGGATGCATAGAGCTCAGATATGTGGATTTCTTTGAAGGCGTTCAGTTGCCAACCACAAACGGATAAGTGCATTAACAAAGAAGTGCTGGTGAACTCTAAGAGTAACCCTTGGTTAAACTGAATGGAGCAAATTCATATTGTAGCTGCTTCAAACTATAAGCGACAATTGGAGGGAGGAGGAGCTGGAGTAGATGTCAAGTCTCCCAGCGATTGTGCATGTCGTTGAAGTTGTGAAGCATGATTGGGATAAGAGCAAGCAATAAGCCAAACCCTCCGGAGGCTGTCATAGCAGTAAGGCCGAAATAATGCGCATCTCTCGCCTGGGACAAGAAGTAATCGGGCCTGCAACCGACTGACTATGGTAGAGGGATGCGGCCGCGGCACGAGGAGGCTTGAGATGGGAGATGTAAACTGTTTTGGCGATGATGGGAGCTTGGACCCTCAACAAAACTTCCGGACATGTCGGGGAAGCCGATTTATCGAGACGTCTCACTCCAGTTGTTTCCCGACCTTCATCACTCTCTTCAATCCCATCGGACAATCTTGCTTCTCGTCCTCCCCTTTCTCCTCTCCATCGCGAACTGTACAGCAGCCATGTCTGCCGCCCGCCTCTTCCGTCCTGCTGCCCGACTGCTGTCAGCCACGCGATCGGCCCCAACACTACGACCTGCGTTCCGCCCGGCGACCTCATTGCCCTCGATTGTCAGGAGTCGGAACTATGCCGCCGCCAGCGGTGTCAAGGAGATGACGGTGCGAGATGCCCTGAACGAGGCCATGGCCGAGGAGATGGAGCAGAACGACAAGGTGTTCATCATGGGCGAGGAGGTCGCGCAGTACAACGGAGCGTAAGTACACCTCCGGGGCATCCAATTGCGCGTCAATCGCCGCTATATGGGGGATTCTGGCGCTATGGAACCCTCTCGCCGAGTCCGTCCATGCATTGTCAACAATTTCCATGTGAATATTACGACCCTAGCAGATCGGCGCTAATCGCCTTCAAGATACAAGGTCACAAAAGGCCTACTCGACCGCTTCGGCGAGAAGAGGGTCATTGACACCCCCATCACCGAGTCTGGCTTCGCTGGTCTGACCGTTGGTGCCGCTCTTGCGGGCTTGCACCCAGTGGTATGTTATCTCTGGCCCTGAAGATAGATAGTAAGCTAATCACGAACCAACAGTGCGAGTTCATGACCTTCAACTTCGCCATGCAAGCCATTGACCAGATCATCAACTCTGCCGCAAAGACGCACTACATGTCCGGCGGTATCCAGCCCTGCAACATCACATTCCGCGGTCCCAACGGTTTCGCGTCGGGTGTGGCTGCACAGCACTCCCAGGACTACAGCGCGTGGTACGGAAGCATACCTGGATTGAAAGTCGTGTCGCCATATAGCGCGGAGGATGCTAAGGGGCTGCTCAAGGCTGCTATTCGGGACCCCAACCCGGTCGTCGTTTTGGAGAACGAGTATGGATCCTGAAGCAAGTTTCAGAGGAGCTGAACTGACGCGTGACAGGCTGCTATACGGTCTTTCGTTCCCAATGAGTGAGGAGGCACAGAAGGACGACTTTGTCATTCCAGTATGTAAACCAGTATCAGATGAGTTATGGGGGACGCCACATACTAATCAGATATGCAGTTCGGCAAAGCTAAAATCGAACGCCCTGGAACGGACCTCACCATCGTGACCTTGTCTCGCTGCGTTGGCCAATCTCTGGTTGCAGCTGAGCAGCTGAAGAAGAAGTACGGCATCGAGGCGGAGGTGATCAACCTCCGGTCAATCAAGCCGCTGGACGTCGAGACCATTGTCAAGTCTGTGAAGAAGACGGGCCACATGATGGCTGTTGAGTCTGGATTCCCGTCGTTTGGCGTAGCGGCTGAGATCATGGCGCTCACCTGCGAGTACGCCTTCGACTACCTTGAGGCACCCCCAGTCCGTGTCACTGGCGCGGAAGTGCCCACACCATATGCCGAGAAGCTGGAACAGATGGCATTCCCGAGCGAAACACTGATAGCGAACTACGCTGCCAAGCTGCTACGGGTGTAAAGGCGGGGGTTTCACGCTGTATCAAAAGATCCATTGGCTTGTGGATGTGTAGGGTGCTTGGACTGTACTTTTAATGCTCCTGTTTGTTCGGAAGATTTCATTTCTTGGTCGCGGCAGCATAGCGGTCAATAATTGTTAACTCATGCCGGAGCGCGGGCCGATTTCGGACTGATTGGAGTGATTGCTAGTGCGTTATTGAGTTTGCGTGAAAAGGAAATGGGCGTTGCATTGAAATAGGGTGCAGGAAGCTGGCGTAACTTTGCTCATGGTGCAGTCAGCTCGTTTGTAGTTGCCGTGGGCTGTCACTGCTTTCCCACAAATCAAGCAACGCTCTCTACTCGAAAATGCCTCTCTCGGCTGCCCTCTACCATGTTTTGCACCTCATGCACTGATCAACGTCGCTTGGAGGGTCATCGCACGTGGCCACTATGCGCTCCCAGTGCTCTACAGTCGGAGCACATTGCGGCGTCCCACACCTAACCCTAACCCTAATCCAACTCATCGGGCAACATAGTGTCAAAGCTATGTGCTGCAATTACAACAAAGCACACTTCGTCGCCATGCCCATGGATACGCTACCTAAACAAGGGGGTGTTCCGACCATTTTTCAATGCAAGATGCAAACAGCACATATATCAAATCCATGTCATCTGGATTGGGCTTGACTGCATGTGTCAAGCTGTTAGGGGCCTGCAACTATCATCCCACTGCGGCTCGGTGTCGTCCGAGGCACTGCTAGACGGACAGGCTCCGACTGGGGAAACGAGTGCCATTTGTGAAATGGTATGCTGTGGCTCCTGCAGCACAGCGTGGAGGCGTTGCAGGCGGGCAGGCCTGGAACCGAAGATCTCCGCCCAGCGCCAAGGTGCCACAGGAAAGTCCGCGGTGCCGGTTCACGCGCAGAAACACTATTCCACTTACGTGCAGCGTGGGACTGCGAGGCCGGACGCGGCGAGGGGCAAAAAGTGCGGGTAGCAGATGAGGACAGGAGATGAGGACAAGAGCTGCGAGCTTGAAGATTTGGGCTGCAGAATGCGGTGAGGGCATCTGGCGTCGTGGATTTCTTTTCCAGACTGTCGTCGCCCGAACACCATGCCAAATACTGTGGTCCTTTGCGGCTCGTGGATGCCGGCCGGGTGCGATCTCGCAACTCCAGGACCACGAGGCCGGAGGGATGGCGCAGGCGCTCGAAGCGGAAAGGTTCTAGAAATGGCCGCGGTCCAGATTCCAGTGCGATGACCTCGAGGCCAACCGTCTCTCTTCAGCTACTCGCATCCTCCCCCATCCTGACATTCTCTGTTCCCCGTCTGCACACACTCAGAACCCGCACGATGCCAATCGGACCGCTCAGACCTCTCGATCATGACGCACCTGCCATCAAGCGCTCGCCTGCATCATGATGGCGTTGAACTATACCCACCTCCACGCCTCTGTGCTCAGTGGCAGTCTAACGCGAGAGCTGGCATACGGCCACCACGGTCTCAGTCTGCGCCTTCCTAGCACGCTGTCTCGCTTCTTGCTCACCGATCTAGTCATCATTCGTCCTACCCGGACATGCTCGGTCTGCCCCGTTCTCTGGCCTGGAATCGGGATCCGGCCGCGAAACCGGGCCCTTGCGAGTCCATCCCCACTGTACGCACTGCTCGCCGGTCATGTCCGCCATGGACGGATCTCTCCGCCCGCAGAAAGCCTTCTCCAGCCCGCAGGGGGCACGATGCAAACGTCCCTCGGTTCGACAACGGCGTAGACGCACGACGGCCTGCCAGCCTGTTACATTGTCGCTGGGTACCGACCAATGCTCGGTTTGGACGCAAAAGTCACTGGGCCACGTCAATGGCTTGAAAAAGGAGGAGAGTATGGTCTGAGATCGTACGATTTTCCTCACAACCACATTTGTTACCCTCCTTCCGCAGCCAAGCCGCAGCGTCTTGTGCGTCCACCATCCACACCAGCCTTACCGAGCTTCTCCAGATCAGATAGACGACATGCCGCAGATCCCAATGGCCGCCGCGTGCCTCGTGCAACTACCTCGCTTGCTTAGGTTTGGTCAGTGTAGCTCTGTTGCTCCTCAGCCCAAGCCTCAGCATGCTGTGCAGATACGCATGCACTCCACCAGCTCCGAACTCCAGCTATTCTATCGTCGTAACCTTGTCGGCGGCCAGTCGCTATGCTCGGAGGGCTTGTCGTTCAGCCGGCATGCTTTTGCCGTTTCTTCCGCGCCTTGAAACGCCATCGGCTTGGGTTTCCTAGCCTCGATATGCATGATTCTTCACTACAAGTTCACGAGCCCTGCGTTCCCTAGCTCTCCCTTGCTAGCACACCTAATGAGGGGACGCTTGTGCAGATAGCCAGTTCCGGGCTGTAGCTGCGGGTATGGCCGCTCCAAGTCAGGGTCCTAATGCCGGTCGTGGCGCTGGACGCCGTGGGACTCGAGTCTTCTACCCTAGCGTCACGAGCCGCCTTTGCGGGACTTAAAGGTAGTATGGAACTGTTTTTTAGTAGGGGCGCCATTGCGATTGGCTTGAGGCCTTGATCTTGCTCGTTATGGCGTCTTCGGGCGGTAAGATGTGGCTGTCAAGGAGTTGCTTGACGTTCAGCTACCGTCGCGTTTAGCTTATCAATATTGGTAGTCGTGCCGAGTCGTCCCCTCATATCCCCCGGTTTGTTGCCATCCGCCTTGCTGTCCTCATGCTGCCATCGTTTCTCTTCGCTGCCTGCTTCCGAACGCACAAATCCACCTCAGATTAGTCTCCCTCTTTCCTCGTAGTAACTATTTATATCTTGCATTTATACTACCCAAGCCATGTCCTCCTGCACACTGCAGCCTTCCCCGATCCTATGCCTCCCCGCAGAGCTGCGAGAGCAAATATACGCCGCCGTCCTTCTAGCGCCCAACAGTGACATCAACCTCCTGGGCGTCTGCCGGCAGATATATGCCGAATCCTACCCCCTGCTCTTCAAGAGACCGTTGACTTTCTCCTCGCAGTCCAGCCTTTCCAAATGGCTTGGCCTTGTCCAATTCGAGCACCTCCACAATGTCTTCGCCATCACCCTCTACCTCCAAGACATCGACCTCACCCCCATCCTCTCCCTAGCACCCCTCCCCGGCATCCTTTGCTGGGAACTATACGAGCAGGAACTCTCAGGCATTACCCTCGCACTCCGCCAGCTGCCGGGCCTCCGCAACCTCTCCATCGCCCGCTGGACACCACACCAGCTACAATCCCACCTCTACCGCTCGTTCCTCCACGCCTTCTGCGCCCTGCTCCCCCACTGCAACCCCAACCTCACCCACCTGACCCTCCACGAGTCCATCCAACGCTTCTCATTCCTTCTCTCCCTCCCCCACCTCCGCTCCATCCGCCTCGTCGGCTTCGGCGACCACCACACCGCGCACGCCTTCACCGTGCTGGCTCAGCTCCCGTCCCTCGCGGAGGTTGAGCTCGTCACAGAAGACGTCTCGCACGCCGCGCGGCCGTACGGCCAGCACCACCTCCTCAATAGCGACGAGAAGGCGCTCGCGGCCGCTCTGGCAACACTGCCCCCGCTAACCGCCTTCTCGATCCAGGAGTCGGCGGCGAGGCCGTCCGTGCTCACGCCGTCGCTACTTACGGCGCTAGGGGAGGCGCATGGGGCGAGTCTGAGAATACTTCGAATGTTTGTGGCTTCTACGCCTTCGTTTCCCACGTTAGCGAGGTTGCATGGCTTGCTGAGGGCGGAGGGGTGTGGGGTAGAGGAGTTGGAGCTGCGGTGGCCGGATGTCGAGGCGGAGATTCTGGAGAGTTTGCTGCCGAGGGGGTTGAGGATTCTCAGAGTTCGTGTTGAGGGATACGTGCATGCGTTTGATTTGTTGTGGGGGGTTATTCAGCGGAGGAGGGAGTGCAGGGCGTTGGAGAGGGTGGGGTTAGTTGGGGAGTGGGAGGGATGGGAGGAGGATGAAGAGGGGCAGGAGGTGGAGGGAGGGGGATGTGAGGTGAGTTTCTTTCTTTCTTTACGCTTGGAATTGACACGTGGGTTGTGCGAGGTTGGGGAAGAGTGGATTGGAGGAGATGCTGGGTATGTTGGCCAAAGTGATGCTGACTTGTGTGTTCAAAGGGGTTTGAGGCTGCGAAGAATGAACTGGAGCTTGCGATTGGAGAGTTGAGGTATCTAGGGGTTGGGACGTTGAAGGGGGTTGAGCGGGGTGTTGATTGACATCAATTTGCAGTACTGGGAATTGTCGGAATGGGGTTGTAAGGTGAGCAACATCTCGGTGTCTGAGAACCCCTATGCACCCTGACTCTCTTCTCTATCGTCTTAAGAAATGGACGCGCTGACGTTCCGTTTAGATCCACACGAAGCCACTCCGCCTCCCTTTGAGACGTAACCAAGCTCACAGGTTTGGTTGAATATGACCGATTTACGTTCCTCCTTCAAATTCCGGATTACGTCATGAGTCCACAATATCCGTTGATAAGCTTTTCCGTCCTACATGTATTTATATTCTGACAGTGCCCGTACCAAACCCTCAAGTCCTGAATGAACCAAATAGAGGACCACAACCCAGCGCTGTTACTCACTTCTATCATCAAGCTTGGCGGCTGGATATATCATAAAACCCCATCCAAGCACCCCTCCTGCCCCCTACCCGGATCTCCACCGCCCCGAGCTTTAATAAGCCGAGTCTACTTCACGCCAGGCCGCATACAATGTATTTCCCTCCCCACCGAACATAACCCTTCCCGCAGTAATGCAAGTAAAAGTAAAGAATCTAACCGCATCACTCTCCATTTGTCAGACGTCGAGGAACTCTAGAAAAAAAAACGGCGCACCCCTACACCGCGTCTCCACCACGTAACCCACACTTCCTATAACAACACAAGTAAAAGCAACGACTCACTCCGCGCCGATCTCATTCAACAGCCATCATACAAGGACGCTGCGTGTGTCACACTGCGTTACCCCTTCCCCACGTAAAAAAGCGAGTGAAAAAATCAACCAATCGAACCGCGAATTATCCTGGCATCTCAGGGGGTGTTCAACGCACGCTGCACGTCCCACACGGCGTAGTTTTCCTTTTTCGCTTTCGCTTCGTGTCAATGTGAGCGGAAAGGAACGAATCGCAACCGCATAGTCCCTACGCTTGCTGGAACATCAGGTGTGGCAGGTGCAGGGGATTAGATGGATGCGTTGCGTACCCCAAGCCTCCCCCCCCCCCCCCAACCCCCCCCCCCCCCCCCAACACCCTTCCCTCGACAACAATGTGAAGCAGGAGTACCACATCGAAACCGCGGAAACCGTGTTTCTGTTAAGAGGCTGGGTGTTTCTCGGGGGATAAAAGTACATTGCGGAACTAACTAACCTACAGCGGAGCTTACAATCTCCTCTCCCCCCCCCGGGTCGACGTGACCAAAAACCATTGAACTAATCGAACGAACCACGTTAGGGGTAGAGTAGTAGACAGCTAGCGGGTCGGGTGTAATTCGATCTCACGGCTTCAAGGAAAGGTGTGCATATCCGATCCAGTACAGTGATTAGTCAATCCATTACTACATCTCCGCATCCCATATATAGCCTATTCCTTGCCCGCGTTCCATCCATACAACCCAGACTCCCCACTCCAAGGCCACCCGGCCCCGGACAATGCATTTGGAAACAAGGACTCAAAGCACCTTTCTTTAAGGAAAAGGGGCGCGCGTCGGTAAGAGCTGCGGAAACCGCCGGCTCGGACGCGAAGAACAGGAGCGCTTTTGGTAGCTCCCAGTCTAAAGATGCCAAGTCTACAACGGATAGACTCGGCCGCTGAACATGCGAAAAAACGAGACATATGAACAGTTCGAAAGAGGATAGAAGAACGGGCCTATTCCGGCACCGGGATCGTGGGGTCCTGGAGGAGGGCAGTAGCCGCATCCAACGGCTTCCGCGCAACCATGAGGTACATGGGTGTGAAGAGCTTCTCCTTGCCACCCGCTACGAGACAGTCAGCAGCCACGGCCAATGAGTCGGCCGTCTTCTGGGTGCCTCTGGGCGCAATGCCGATCATCTCGAGCCCGCCGACAAACTTGTGCACGATGCTGCGGCCGATTTTGGTCATGCGCACGACGGTGGGGAAGTCCATGAGCGAGCTCATGTACTTGAGCTCGCCGGCAATGGGCCAGTACCACGGCATGGGGTCGTCGCGCTCCGCGAGGTCCTCGTGCATCTCCATCTCGAAGCCGGCGGCCTTGATGGCGTCGATGGCGACGGAGATCTTCTCCATGTTGGAGATGCCGTCGCCTTGCTCGATGCCGAGGCGGATCTCGCGGTGCCGCGGGTTGTCGTTGTCGTAGTTTTCGGTCATCAGCCACTCGTAGACGCCGAAGACACCGCCGGGTTTGAGGACCCGGAAGATTTGGCTGTAGATGCCCTCGAGGGAGGGGGCGTGCACGGTGGCTTCGATGGCGTAGACGGCGTCGAAGGAGTTTTCGGGGAAGGACATTTGCTGTGTTATATTAGTCTCATCATAATTGGCTGCTCCTCTACGGGATTGCACGCACCATAAAGTCACCCTTAGTGAATTTGAGCTTGTCCGACAGTCCCTCCTTCGCAGCGTAGTGTGTCGCACGCTCAATTTGGTAGTCGTTGTTGTTCAATCCAATGACGTTGCAGCCGGAGAACTTGACCATCTCCCGGGCAGGGCCACCCACACCGCATCCAACGTCTAGCACGCGCATGTTGTCGCGGAGGCCCATGACGTGGGCGAGGTAGTGCTCGTGGCGGGCAATGGCCTGGTTGAAGGGCTCGCCGTATGCGAAGCGGCAGAAATGGAAGGACTGTCCCCATCCGTACTCGTAGAGATCGGTGGCGAGGTTGTAGTAACTAAGGAGGCGAGTTAGCCATTGAGACGGCGTAAGACGATGGAAACACTTACTGCCTAGTTAGAGTGGCGTATTCGTCTCTCCGTGCCTATAGAACCAATTGTCAGTCGCATGCTAAGTGTAGCAGTCTATGCATAGTACCTTGCGGGTCTCGTCGGTCTCGACTTCAGCGGCCTTGTTGTCCCAGTGCTTGAAGTACTCGTCGACGGCGGCCGCCTGGGCAATTTTGTCCTTCTTCATCATGGCGAGGAAGCCAGCGCGCTCCTTGCCCGACTTGCCATGCAGGGCCTTGTGGAAGGCTGCATCGCGGGCATGGTCCTCCTGTTCGAGCGCAATGGGAGACATGGTGGTGTGATTGGTGGGTGCGGTGTTGTTACCTCAGAAGATGGGTGTACGATTGTTGAGACTCTGGTAGGGAGTGTGTATATATTATAGCAGCAGAGTCCGGGCTGGGGAGAGAAGCAGAGTTCGTTTTCTGTTGAGAGGAGCGCCGTGGACTTTATGGTGGAGAGCTAATTCGTCCCTGACAGGGGCCGGCCTTTGGGAATATCACGTGACACTTGATCTTCCGTACAGGGCAGTCGCTGATTGGTTGCACCTTCCGCGCCCATGCCCGCCAAGCTATGAAATCCATTTCGCCTCCGACGCCAGCATCACCGCAACCCACGCCTATTCACTGTCTGCTTGCGACCACACCGCCCATTACGCCGTGCGCTGTACAACGAATCCACTCGCACAGGCCCATACAAACACCTCCCGTGCCTCACCCGTATCTCCACACCTACTCCGAGTCTCTCCTCCGTGTTTTTCCTTAGCCCGCAAGCACAGAAACCCCGCAGACACCCCCCTCTCACCGCCGCCATGGCCACCGGCGCTATCAAACAGGACCTGAACAGGTCGGGCTGGGAGTCGACCGACTTCCCTTCCGTATGCGAGCGCTGTCTTCCGGACAACCTCTTCGTACAGATGCTGAAGGAAGACCACGGCGCCGAATGCAAGATCTGCACCCGCCCGTTCACTGTTTTCCGCTGGAAGGCGGACCGCACCGCCCGCCAGAAGCGGACGGTCATCTGCCTGACCTGTGCACGCCTCAAGAACTGTTGTCAGTGCTGCATGCTAGATCTGTCCTTCGGCCTGCCTATCGTCGTGAGAGATGCGGCGCTGAAGATGGTTGCGCCGGGCCCGGAAAGCGCTATCAACCGTGAATACTATGCCCAGGAGCACGAAAAGGAGATTGAGGAAGGGCGCGGAGCTGTCGAGGCGTATGAGAAGACGGATGAGAAGGCGAGGGAACTGTTGAGGCGGCTGGCAAACAGCGAGCCCTACTACAAGAAGCAGCGGAGATTAGAAGAGAGCGAGACTACCGAGGGTGGCCAGAAAGCTCTCACAGCTCCCAGCGGAGAAGGAGGAGGACATATCCCAGGACCAATACGGACGCGAGGGACACCAGGTTCTCGAGGGGCAGGACGAGGTCGCGGCGGAGGACGAGGTGGACGGTTTCCCAGCGCTGCTCAACTGCCGCCGAGTGAGGAAGATATTCGACCCCCTCAAGACCCCAACATCACTTCGCTCTTCGTCACCGGTGTCGAGGACGATCTACCTGAGCACGAAATCCGCAAACACTTTACACAGTTCGGCACCCTACGATCCGTTGTGTGCTCTCATCGGGCGCACTGCGCTTTCCTAAACTACACAACGAGGCAAGGCGCGGAGGCAGCCGCGGAGGCGTGTCAAGGCAAAGCGGTGGTAAAAGGGTGCCCGTTGCGAGTGCAGTGGGGCAAGCCGAAGCCGCTGGATACACTGGACCGGGATGAGAGGATGCAATATGCAAGAGCGGGCAGGACTGCTGCAGCGCCTGCAGCAAGGCAGCGGGGGTCTGGTGGTGCGAGAGGTACTTTAGCCGCTGCGCCGGAGGAGGATCTCGACAGCTTGGCTGCTATTGTGCCGCCGCCAGGTGGAGATGACGTCCAGTACGCCAGTCTGGCAGGCAATTGAGGGCGGCATTACTTCACATTTGGCGTTCATTTTGGGTACTTTGGTCAAGCCAGGCGTTCTATGGCGCCTAGAAATGGGCCATATCAAGTCAATCGGACTTAGTCAGCACTCTCGAGTGTATTCCAACATGTATGAATATCACATCAGAACTCAGGCAGATAAAACTTATGATTGACAGCATTTGACTCCTGCTAATGTGTTCCCCTTCCCTGCCGTCTTGATATCCTCGTTGTCGCCTCGTTCCGTGTGCTCGTGTATCCGTAGCTCTGTGATCCCAATTAGAGCCCCTTTCCCGCGTACCAACAACTTGAATAGTGACGCTTGACATACTGTATTTCTCTGCCTCGGTATCGACCTTCTCGCCCTGCACCACGTTCTCCCTTAGGAACTTCGCAATCTCCTGCGCCTGCGCTATCTTGCCCGCCGCATCCTCACTTCCGGACGAGACGCTACGGTTCGAATCGAACTGTCTTCGTGCCTCGAATCGCGCCGCACTGAGTGTATTGATATCCCCTGCATAGCTTGTGAGCTCCTGGTGCCGGGATGGAGGTGGCGTCGGGGCATTACGGACCTTGGAAGGCAATGCGCGTGGAGCGCAGGAGGTGTCTGTATGCTTGCAATGCCATTTCGCGGGACATTGGGCGCTGTATGGACTGGCGGTGGTGATGGAATGAGGCGTTCATCGAGAAAGCGCGTGGAAAGAAAGATCGGGAGGCGACAGGGATGAAATGCACGGGCCGCCCTAGGGCTGATCGCTGCGGACGTCAACATCAACGGGGAGGTGAAGCCTACGCCCACGATGCGAACGTAGCTACGTATATTTCTTTCTGCGACCCGGGAGGGCTGCGATCCTTCACGAGAAACGCCATGGTAAATCTGTGGCCTTGGAAGGTATGTATTTTTCACTCTACGTCCGTGTAGTTGCCTGCCCGCACATGCTAGGCTTCTCATGCGAACTGTGTGTTCATGGGCTGCTGGACGCTGACCATGCTGTAGGGCGACAACAACTCCGCCGCCTCCTTCGAAAAGGCCCTCTCTACCCTCTCCATCAAGATTACCAAGATCGCCGCCAGAAATGACTCCCTCCGCCAGCGTGCGCGGCGCGTGCGCGTCATGTGGACACTATACGCCGGCTTTGCGTACATCCTCACTGCTCTAATCCTGACACTCGTCACGGGATGGCGGAGCTGGGGAACTGTGGAATACTCGGTCATGGCAGGAGGGCCTGTAGTGTAAGCTCTGCCCTCTGCTTCCCACATCCATCCCCGCGAATCGAACAGCCAGCTGAACAAATCTTGGATATCATATAGGGTATATCTCGTTCGCACCTCCCTAACAACCTACTACGACTACCGCATCTCCAACACCCAACTTTACCTTAATTCCCTCTACAAAGAGCGCGACGCTACCATCGAGCGCCTTAAGCAAGCCACAAAATACAACTCCACCCAGCAGCTCCTCGAGAAATATGGCTCGCCACCGCCTAAACCCGAAAAGAGCCCCTCCGACGCCCCAGCCAACCGGCGGAAGTCTGAAGGGCCGCAGAAACAGGGCCAGCGCACGAATATGCCCCCACCGCCTACAGCCAACATCCCACGCCCGGGAATCTCGCTCCCTTCGACGCCGCAGCGACCCGGCTCTGCGGCCTCTCTTCGCCCATCTAGTTCTAGATCCGATGCTAGATCCGATGACATGCCGCCGCCTCCCCCGCCGAAAGATATGCCGGGTGCTGAATTCGCACCGAATGCGTTTGCTCCTCCCGAATTAGCGAGGCAGTACACCGCTAGCTCCGCCTCTTCTTTCACCCAATCGAGGTGGTACGACCGCATTCTAGATGTATTACTAGGCGAAGACGAGACGCAGCCTAAGAATCGCCTTGCGCTGATTTGCAGCGAGTGTCGGTTAGTTAATGGACAGGCGCCGCCTGGGACGAGGACGTTGGAGGATGTTGGGAGGTGGAGGTGCGCGGGGTGTCGGGCGTGGAACGGCAGGGAGAAGAGAGAGGAGGTAGGAGCTCTGGCGGAAGCATGGGAGAAGGAGAGGGAGGCTGAGAAACAGAGTATCTTGGAAAAGCAGCTGGAGATCGAAGAAAGGGGAGTGACCCCCCGGCCCGTGGACGCTGATGCGGACAATGACGGCGAGAGCAGCGGCGCGTCATCGGATGCGGATGTCGTGATTAAAGACGCAGACACACCAGCGCGGTCGACGAGGAGTAGAGTCAAGTCGAAAGGGGCGGGGAGGAAGACATGAGCAGCGGACTGGAGTTCGGGATGGGAAAGCATACGTGGGATTCTGCTGAATCTTTTCTCTGGGAGTGTTGGCTAATTGTGCATTGCAGATATAGATAAGGGAGTCCTTTGAATATTAGCGGGTAGGCACTTTGGCAATCAGGCTAGTTTTCTTTTGTTTATTTTACACTCAATCAATCAATCAGGCAGTCATTCAAATCAAGCATTCAAAAGTTCTATCAACGGTTTTCAAATCTCAACGATGTCACATCGTGCGCAGCGTTGAACTACTTCTAAACATTGCAAGTACAGTATGCGAAGTTTCACGGTCCTGCGCTCAGAACGAACAGCAGCTAGGTGCGAACGGCGGTCCACAGAGTCATTACGTAAAGGACTCCATTTTCCTGTCTCGCGCAACCCTGGATCTGAGCAATCTGGCCTCAGGCCTCTGTGCTCTATACTTCTGCATCTACCAAAAGCTACCGGAAGAGGCGAGTAGGAGGTTAATATACCTTGGATTTGAGCAATCTGCCCTCGGCCTCTGTACTCGATACTTCTGCGTCTACCAAGAGTTTGCCGGAAGAGAAGGGCGGGAGGTTTAGGTATACCCTGGTTTTCGGCAATCTGGCCTCTGGCCTCTGCGCTCTATACTTTTGCATCTACCAAGACTTACCGAAAGGGACGAAAGGGAAGTTCGGGTATACCCTCGACTCGTATGATCTAGCCTCAGCCTTCTGTGCTCTACAGTTCTGCCCCTTGCCAAGACTTGCCGGAAGACCCAGGGAGGCGTTTGGGTATGGTCAGTTCTCCCACTTATGCCAAGATATCATGATCTTGGTTCCAGCGAAGATGGGATTGGTCCGTATCGGTTTTAGCTGTGCTAACAGTGTGTGTACAGTCCTGCGACATAGGGTTGGGCAACTCTCTCTTTCTTACCACTGCTTGGGGTACCTCTACGAGCTAGCAGAACTCTGAACACGATGTTAATAATGATGCAATGGAGATTGGGCAGCTTTTTGACTGGCCGGCTACGTGCCAGCGGGGGTACTCCTTACGGTGGTGTCAGCGATCTAAGAGTGGAACCTGTGCGGTGGTATATCCGGGTGCCCGAGTTTATGACCTAGTAATAGGTTGTCAATCTGGATTTCTTGCGGCATGAACATGGGTAAGTGTAGTGCGGTGGAATGGCTGTGTAGACTTGGTTGACGCTGTCTGGGGCGACCTCGAGAGTTTACGGGGTGGTCAAGAGGATGGCTGGGAGGGGTTTTGGGGTATGCTGAAGGAACTCGGACGGTGGTAAACAGGTGCACGCGGGCTGAGAGATCGTCACAATCGTCACGTCCAGGGAAAATAAGGCTGGTTTAGGCATGTGTTGCTAATTCTACAGCGGTGATATACAACTATGAGGAAATTAGGTGTGTAGTGCTTTAGCCCCCCGTACAGAGAACCACAGCTAATCAAATGTCCGCCTGATTCGCACCTACATCAGTGGAATAACGGATAGACACACCCATCGCGGACATTCATACGGCTAGGAATCATGATCGGTTCCGAGGCGGCTAGTCGCATCGTCGTAGTCTCGGTCTCGGTCGTCCGCGTCCGAGTAGTGTGGCCCACGAACTTTATTGCAGCTGTGAAACCACCTCGCGAGTCAACACGGTCTCCACGGGCCTCCATGTCATCACGTTCGTTCTGCCACGCTCGCCGCTCCTCGAAGTTGACTTCGGAGGGCGCCGCTAGCTCGCGACTCGACTTGCGGTCCTCTTTGTACGTGTCTTCTTCCTTCGGGCTGTCGTGGAGGTTTGTGTTGTCGTCGAAGCGGATGCGGTGGGGAGGGTCGATGTCATGGGTCTGCTCGTAGACCTGCTGCTGGGAGACGCGGGCAGGCAGGGGAGTCTCCGGCTCCTCGCTGTGGCTGAGCTTTAGCTGGGATCGATCAAGCTGGCGCTGTTCTGCCACTCGGTTGCTGTGAAGTCGGGTGAGCGGCGAGGGGGTCTCAGGGGTGTACTGGTTGACGAGAAGGGGAGCCGCAGGCGTCTCGAACACAGCAGTTGACTTCCTCCGATGCTGGATCACCGAGGTTGGGCGGGAGTATGGACTGGTCAAGTACGTACTAGAGGCACGGCTGTGTCCACGGTCCAGCGTTGGGCGTGAATATGTGCTAGAGGCGCGACTGTCTCGACGATCAGAGGCCGGGCGTGGAGAGGTCATACGTGAATAGTCCTCCTGCCACGCAACCTCGGCCGCCGTGGGGGGTGGTGTTCCATTAGGAAACCTCATTTTCTCATCCTTCCTCTTCTCTCGCTCCTTTCTGGCTTTCTCCCGCGCTTCACGCATCTCTGCACGCTCGCCTGGAGCCGGGCCATACTCACGACTCGCGAGTCCAACAGTCTGGCGGACTGTATACAGACGCTGTGCGACCTCAGGCCCCATCTTGTCAGCGGCACGCGTAGCTCCCATGGCCGCAGTAACCAGCGCGGCTTTCGAGACGGTCACAACGGCGCCCCCCACTCCGGCAGATGTAACGACTTCTTTGGCGATGCCGCCGAGGTTCCGCGCGGTTTCGCGGGCCTTATTGAAAGCTAGTGACCAGGGGCCATTAAATGATTCTTGGGGGATCTTAGCATTGACGGGGGAGTTTCCCTGGAGGATAGTGCGTTAGTCAAGAGATGAAGAGGAGGGAAGAGGCCACATGCAGTCTGGCGCATAACGATGATGATAGGGGTGATCGCATACCTGTGTCGACGGCTGACCCTCAAGACAGCACTCTTCCTGCAATACATCCCAGTCTGACAGGTCAGGGCCAGATCCACGCGAGGGTGGGCCTTCTTCCTCTTCCTCACCCTCCCCATAGGGGAATTCTCCAGGCCCATAGGGAGTCGTTGGAGCCGGCGGGAAATAGTTTGTTGTACCGGTATGTCGAGGAGTCTTTTCCAAGGTCTCGCAAATCTTCCTCATCTCGTCCTCGACGTACTTCGGGTCCTCGATGGTTCCCTTTCGGATCGGCGGGGCATCGTGCATGGCGGCAGTAGAGTTGGGAGGACCACGAGGGTGTCTGAGAGTTACAGGAAGTCAGTTTCAATGGATATGTGAGCGAAGTGGCAAGATTTTGTGGCAGGCGGTGGCAGACGGTGTTGCGTGGCAGAGAAAATGCTTTGGAGTTAAAGAAAGACGTCGACGCTTTTGTACGGCGCGGCCTGCCGGGTCTTGGCCCTCGGAGCTAGGTCAGTAAATGATGTTACGATACCACAGCGGAGCGGGTAACAGCGGCGAGGTGTTGTGCGCGATGCTAGGCACCACCGAAGTTGACGCCTCCTGGACCAATCACTAACACTAACAAGGTACACAAATAGCTTGCTCTCGTGGTCTGAACCCCCTATTGGAAGCCGCTCGTCGTGCTGGCGCTTAGTGAATTATGGTTTCGTCCGATGCCTTTTGGGTGAGAAGTCAGTGATGTTGGAGGTCATCAGCAAGCGATGATGATGAGGAAAACAGGTGGAGAGACACGCAGATACACGTTTTAGTGGCGTGTGCTATACGACCGTACGGTAAATCAAACGGGAAGCTTCTGTTGCAGTCGATTGTGCGATTGTCAAGGAGGTTGCCTTCATAGTTTGGGGCATTGCCAACGGCCTTGCGGACACGCTGAGTACTCCGAGGAAGCCCTGAGTGTAGTACAGGTATGAAAACTTCTCTCTGCCATGAAGTTGCTTCTGACCCGATCTCTGATCAACATCGTTGCAGACCATATGCTCAACATACATTATGATAATGATGATTGCTGTGTTTAGACTAACTTGAACTCACCGCATTTTTGAGCATGGGTTTAACCTGCTGATTCGCTCCAGGAAGTAGATGGCGATGTAAACATGTACGTAGATTCGACTCTAGTACAGTTCCCCGTGTTACTTACGCTTGGGTAGGCGCACAGATCTGGCGTGCTTTATAACGCCCTAGATGATAGATTACAACTCATACTTGACGGCATACACCTTGAACACACGGCCGCAACACCGTATGGCTCTAGACTTTGCACCCAGTGCGAATCGTCACGGGTGACATCCAGCTATTTCTTGCTTCCCTAGATCTGCCCGCGTCGGACACGCCCGCTCAGTGACGCCTTTTAGAGGACTCTTGAAGGAAACCGCCTGCTTGCCGAACTTCGCCCACTTCCAATCACTGGTGTCGTCGAAATAAAGGAGACTGGCAGGCGGTGAGCGTTTTGGGGAGCATGGCAGATCTGGAAAGCTCAGCTATTTGAACTCCTTTTCCACAACCCCGAACATTCTTCCACCTTCCACGTACCAACTTGACCACCACGACAGTAAACACCAACGTGGCCAACACCACCATCACCGTCAAGCACGCCACAACAGCAAGCTCCACCAGACCTCTCTCTTTACCTCTCTCCATCCATCTACCTTGTACTGTGACATCTCCATCCACCGCATTAACCATTCACCTTTTTCAACCGTGTCCAAGATGCGGTTCAGGCTACCATCAAGTGTAGCTCCTACACCAACATCGGGAGACACGCAAGATCACCACCAGTCCATCAATCCGCCTGCCATATCGCCTCCTCTTGTGACAGTCTCCGAGGGACCTGCTAGCACGCTTGCCTCCCCGCCTCCTGCCCCAGGCTCTCTGCAAAAAGCTCATCCGATGAACTCCGCTTCGGGAAACACCTCTAACTGCGGCGCCATGCCTACCTCGTCGCCAGCCCCAGAGCCTACTCAATCTGAGGAACCGAATCCAAAGAGCACCGTTTCGAAACACCCTTCGACCTCTATCTCCGGGCTCTTCACTCATGAGTTGCCGACGGAGTCAACATCCTCACAGACCTTGCAGCCTACCGAGTGCGACCAATCGGCTCCACAGACCACTCGTTCTGATCACGCCTCGAAGCTGACCACGACTTCTTCCCGACCGAAGCTCACCCCCGTCTCTCTGTCGAAGAAGAGCAATGCATATCAGGATGGGAAAGACACGGTTGGCAATGACCTCTCGATTGAGACCTCTTCTGTCAATAGACAGGCAAACAATATCCGCTATGGTCGCTCTATTCATGCCTCCCTCGCGAGTCAGACATCTGGTTCTCAGGATTCCTACGAGTCGACTCCACAGAGCACATTCTCGGAGGCCTCTACCCCCAACACGACTCCTCCTTCATCTATAGAGAGTAGTGCTTCAACTCTAGGGAAGCGCAAAGCTCCTCGAGAACTGGAACTGGAAGAAGAGGATAACACACTTTCCAGGACACTCGGTCACGTGCAGGGCTTTAGATATGGCAAGAAGATGTCAACCCCTTCATCTTCCTTATCTACCGCTAGCGAAGCGGCTCCAAAGAGCACTATTTTGGAGCCGAATGCCCACATCGCCGCCCCAACTTCCTCTACTGAGATCACTGCGCCGATAGCTAAGAAGCGCAAGACTACCCAAGATTCGAAATCACAAGGAGAGAAGGATTCGCTCTTCAAGACGCCGATCTGCCTCTCACAGAACACGACACCTACTAATAACGGGCCGAATAAGTCACAGCCCGTATTTGAGCAGCCCGCATCGTTCACCCAGGCCCCACACCGGCCAAATTCTGGCTCTTTTGCGCAATACTCTAATTGGAGCAAGCGAGCCCCGTTCAGTTCTACAACAACTAGCAGTCCGTTTGCTGACCTTGCTCGGGATCAAGGCAAGACAACAGGCAAGGCGGACCAGAAAGAAGAGGTGAAACGAGGCTCCGAGGAGACGAATCTCAATCACGAGAAGAAACCAGCCTCGAAGAAGAATAAAGAGGATGAGAAAGAAGCAAAGTGCCAACGTGACGCGCAGAAAGCTGGGGTAAAGTGCGATGAGAATGAGCAATACGAGAATGAGCAATACGAGAATGATCTCCGTGAATTCGGTAAGAAGTTTGCTAATCGAGCTCGACGAGAACGGAGAGAGAATCTCGATGCGGAGCGCGAGAGTGTCGAAGCTCTCGAGAAGGAGCTCCGAGAGCGTCAAGAACCTCAGACTGGAACAAAGAGGAAGGCAGACGATATGGATGAACCCGAGCCCGAGTCCTCGGCCCAGTCCCCCAATTCTGATACTGTGAGCAACAAGCGTGTCCGTTTCACCCGCCCGGAGGTCACAGGGGTCAGCCAGCCACCATCGACTGCCGAGACGCTGCCTCATCAACCATCGCCAGAACACTTGCGACGAGTGAAGGCCGCGAAGCACGTTCTGAGGGTCCGAGACGATCACTACGCCGTCTTAGGCTTTCATTACACCCCAATGCTAACCGTTGCACAACTCAACAGCGCCAAGCGACATACACTGCTCCAAACCCATCCCGACAAACTGCCTGCATCGCAGACGGCTCTAGCCAAAGAAGCCACCCAAATAGTTAACGCGGCCTTCGAGCTTCTCAGCAACCCCCAGAAGAAGTCCAAGTACGACCGCGAGCGTAGACAATTTTCCGCACAGCGCGCAAACTCATTTCCAACTAGCTCTTCTTCTGACTCGGCGAGACCGCAACCAACGCCAACTCCGACAATGCCATCTCGGACTACCCCACAGGAACCCTACTGGAGCCCTCCAAAGCCTTATAATTTTGGTGGCTTCGGCGGCTATAACAGCTATGGTGCCGGCCCATCCTATACATGTCCGAGTCCAGCCACCAACTGGGCTTTTCCTGGTCCCGCTAGGGTTCCACATCCTTCTGGCGGATGGGCGGACTCTGGGATGCACGGTGGGTTTGGGAGCGCTCATTCTCAGGGGGGATTCATGAATTCTCACTCTCATGTCGGAGAGCCGAACTCTCGGCGGCCCGTTTGTGTCAATACCAGATTCTATGGCAGACCTCACTTCCTTGATGAATTATCGTGATGGCTAAAATTGGGAGGACTCTTTGGAAACTGCTGTATATATATATATGTAGACGGCAATGAAAAAATTAGAAACTCATGGGAAGGCTTTCGTATCACGTTGAGAGAACCTACACTTACTGAATGCCCGTCGAGTGCATCAAGATGACAATAGCCTGTCTAAACTCTGGTGTAGTAGATACATGTTACAGTACCAGGTCATAAGTCTGGGTACATAGAATTATCACTGCTTAGCTCAAATCTGGCTCACTCGACACCACTGTGAGAAGCGGCTCAGCTAGTAAGCAGCCAGTTAGTCAAGAGGCAGTCTAACTTGCATCACTTCACACTTGACATTGGGTCTAGGTTGTTTGAAATTCCATGGGGTACCCCAAGTAGTGGTAAACGCGTGTGCACAGACTTATGACCCGTCACTGTATAGTCACGTGAAGAGCACGTGAAGAGCACGATTACCCAAGATAGTCTCAGGAATTACGTACTTTTCCGGAATATTCAACACGTTAGTATGAGAGGTCATGAGAAGCTTTAAGCCAAGATACAGAGGTATCAGAGAATATTGTATAACGGTAATAGTCACGAATGGTCGTCTTGAGCTTGTAGATTTGAACTGAGTAAGCTTGCCAGTGTAAAGCATGTCTATGGGCATCACTTCGAATTCGGCAACGACTTAGAAGACATAAGCGCGAGCCATACTGATTTCTGAGTCTTACGTATAATTGTGTAAAGCTTGCGCGTGATTAAAAGGCTAATATCCCACCAAAATGCCAACAACTTAAGGAGCCTTCGCTACCTAGGTATCGCAGCGGCTCAGTTCCAGCCTTGATATCAATCAATCACCTGAGTAGGAGCTTACGCCATCCTTCACATACCTACATCCCTGAGCTCTACCCCTGCATTCATTCCGATCCTCAAAAGAGAGTCGATGTCAGCTCCACTCATCTTCCACCTCTATTCATCCTCTGCCTCGACCGCCGCTTCATCGTCCGCTTCACCCTCGGCCTCGATTTCTGCTTCATTCGCCACTTCGACAGGTGCTTCCCTCTCCGACTCCATCTCCCCTTCGACCTCCTCTTGGAAGTATGCAGCTTCCATGCCACGAAGCGCCTCGAATTCCTTCGCTAACTTCTCCAAGACATTCCCGTCCACTTCACTCCATCTGGGGTAGTCTTCCCTGTATTCCTCAGGCCATTCGATGTCACGTTCGGAATCTGTGAAATTCCATTTGACTTTCTCAACGGTGTTGGGGATCGAGGCAATCAGAGTTCGCATCATCTCGCGCATCTTCACAGGGGCCTTGCCCTTTCCCTGAAAGAAGGTCAAAAGCGCCGGCGGAAGACTGGAGGTATAGGTAATCGAAACGCAGATGTGCTTCAACTCATGCATTGCGTAGAGGCCTCGGAATGAGAAGCGCGAGAGTTTCTTGTGAACTCGCGGCACATGGTGTACAACTTCCTCGTAACTCCCTGGCCAATTGGTAAGATCGATCTTCAGATTCAGCTTGCGAATCGAAGTGAGGTCCCATCCGTATCGAATCGTCTGTCCAATACTGTACAGATAAGGGCGGGGGTAGTTTAGGTTGGGGGGAGGGGGGGTGGTGGGCGAACTAAGAAACTAAGAAGTCATGGACCATGAAAGCGCCTTCCATGCCTCCATTCACTGCGTCACTTGGAAGGGGAATCTTATCTCCGTTCAGGCCGTATATGGTGTCTTTCACCTCATTGCACACTTGCTTGCAGGACTGAACGATTGCATGGCCCTGTTTGAGCCGAAACCCGCTATGGTCGTACACTACCCGTTCGCCACAGGCAGCCTGAATGATGATCGGTGAATCGAACTTTGAGACCGCACCATTGAGTGGGTTGAAGATGTGGCCGTAGACCATATCACGAAGCTCCCTGGGGAGATCGAGAAACCGAAATGGTCCCGTCGGTGCCCAAGGCTCGTCAGGAACTGTTTTGTTGGCTTTTCTACGTCTACGCTTTATAGGGGCCAACTTGGGCTGCTTCGCTCTGGGGGCATTTGGGTAAGCATTTTCGCCTCGTTTGCGCTTGCTATAACTACTTGTTAGCGGAAACCTTCGAACACAAGATAGCGGCAAAGACTCTTACTTGGTGGGACCGGGCTGGTCAGGCTGGGCCTCTCTACCGGACCGCAGTTGCATGATTTTCAATTCAGGCTTGACTGCAGGAGACTGGATTGTAGATGAGTACTTTTGGTAGGTAAAGCTTGTAGTGTTGGTGGATGGTGGTGGATGGGGTAAAAGTTGGTTGGGTTGCTGGGAAAGGATTCGAGTGGAAGGCTTTATACCGGAGCCAACAGAAACCTGGTGAATGGGCCGGGGGATATTAGCTGAGTGTAACAGATTTGTCATACAGTAGTTACAGCAAGTGAATAAAAACTTACCACTCGGCGCCTATATATGCAAGGCTTCGTGTTTTGTTTCTCCGTAACTCTTCGTCCATCCCCCTCCACAACACCACTTTCAGTACCACACCATCTACTAAAACGTAGCTCTTGAGTGCCGTACACGTCACCGCCATGGCGAAGACACGTCATCCTGCTGTTCAACCCATAGCTGCCCGTCGACTCAATGTTCAGAAAATGGTCCGAAGCGCTGCTCAACCGGCAGACCACACGAACGTCGTTTCCGATGCTTCTGTCGTCCCGTCTGCACAGCCTCGGCGTAATCCTCCACGAAGTTCGAGAATGTCTACCTTGACCAACTACGCAGTTGACCAGCGAACTCCACACAAGTAAGTACTGATCTTATAGAGTCATTATTGTTCCTATAGCCGATCACCACCAGCTTCCCACTCTGGAACCAGACGTAAGTGCTATTATTTGATACTAGTAAACGCAAGAAGAACAACGGCGACAAGGACGATGGAGAATTTCCAAAGGGAAAGAAGAATTTGGAGCCAAAGAAATCGGCAACGAAGCCAAAGCAAACGAAGAAAGCACCTACGACAAAGCTAAAATCCAAGAAGATGATGACGAATAAAAGATCGAAGAAGCAAATCGTAGGACTGAAGGCCGATGCTCCAAAGCCATTCTCGCGATCCGGGCCATTTCGATTCCTTGACCTCCCGCGGGAGGTTCGGGACATGGTCTACCATCATGTCGTCTTGCCCCCGGTATCTGAATACCTAGGCGCCAGACCGAAGATGCATTCTTACATCCGAACAGAACTTGACTATCCGCCCCTTCGTGTCTCATCGAATCGTACCGCCATTCTCCAGACATCAAAACAAGTGTGCGAAGAAAGCAAGAAAGTTCTATATGAAGAACCTATCTACCAAGTCGACCTAACCCTGAAACACTGGTGTTTCGATGTTTTCGAGCCGGAGATATACAATGATGATCCGACTGTACTCAGCGGGGGAGAGAAGTACCACGAGCAGTGGGCTGACGATCGCAACGACACGTGGTTACTTGATGGTATGGCCGGAATCCCTGAGTGGAACCTTAGCGCGATCCGGAAACTCCACATTACCATTAACCTGTGCAGGTACACACATGCGAAAGACGAGGAATTCGGCTATGCGCCATACCGCATCTTGGAAAAGATATCCGTCCGCGCGCTGCACGGCATGAAGAACCTGCGGAACTTGCGTATTTCCATCATCCATGGATGGCTTCCCCCAGAGCTCCAAGGCTTCTTCCAAGGGATAACATATGCGCCGCTCAAAATGAGAGAGCTCATGCGCAAGTTGATCGGCTCGATCCCAAAGACTGTTAAGACAGTTCGTTGGGGACTGACCGAGGAAGAGATTAGGAAGGAGTATCCGAACCCTCCACGAGCCCATCGTCACACAGCACCCCCTTCTTCTATGACTTTTGGCCTTATAAATTCTGGCCTTAAGCACACGCAACACGTGCGTGCGGAAGTTCTGAAACCATTGGTGAAAGAGTTCGAAGTCCTGCGGGGGATGGACGCAGAGTATTACTCTACTCCCCTTGAATCTTAGGAATCGGACCGGGAGAGCACGACTGATGGCCAGCGTGGAATCCTATATGGCACTAATTGGGATTATCTTAGGGTAAACTGGAACGACAAAGAATGCGGCTTGGGATGGACCCTAATCTTGTACGTGCACAAATATGTACACTTGCTTTCCATACAGTGGTTTGAAGCCGAGAATGAGGTATCAATGCGAGGGGCGGTGTTTGCAAACTAGGCTTATGTAATAATACAACTTTTTGTGACCATTTTTCTAGCGCTGTGTAGGTTTTCTCACATGAAGCGAGCGCTCCGAAGATGGATAGAGCTTCGGAGCACTTTTTGGGTGAAAGAGCTGATGATCTGTTGAAGAAAAGTTCCGCGAGGTGTAGATTGGGTAGTCGATGTACAATGACGCGGTATTCTACCACTTTGAAGCGCCTTTTGGATTGTTTCGTGTGATGTGAGCGTGTTTGTAGGTAGAGATTTGGAGGACTTCACGGGGGGGCGGGCCATTCGTACTGTAGCACGAGAGAGTCCTAGTCTACCGAATATTCGCCCTCGCCTTCTTTTTCATCATCTTCCGAACTGTCCTCATCTTTTGCCGCGTCGCCCTCGTCTTCCTCTTCTCCCGTTTCGTCGTATCCTTCGTTTTGGTCATCGTGCTTTCGCTTCGTTCCACGCTTATCACTTTCCTCCTTCTCCACCTCATCATCTGCCCTTTGGTCGACAGCGTACCTGACCGCTTCTTCCAGATAGCCTCTAAACTCCCTAAAAATGTCCATGAGTATCCTATCGCACGATAATAGACTGCGCTGACACTCACCTATACGGCTGCGGTTCCGGGTTCCAATGATAGGCCTTCATAACCAGCCATTTCATGTTTCTCATTTCCTCCAGCCCGCCATATAGGTCGTTAGCCACTCTCTCGTACAGCCTCTGATGATCCTCGGAGGCGTTCTCGTACGCTTCTTCAAAAAGCTCAAGCGCAGCCTTAAGACATTCCGGGTGTACCATCCATATATTCCCCTCATCACCGCCAGCACTGACGGAAAAGGCCCGCGGTTCAGGTATTTGTATCGGGTCCATGTCTTCCGAATTTGTGTTGTGATCATTCGGGAGAAGTTCAGGCTCCAGGTCCGCTATAAAGCCGTCATCCCACTCCACCGCAGAAGTGCCGTAGAATTCGCCGCAGGTATCATCTGGAACATCAACATAGAAACCATTGGAAGCTCGCAGAAACGATTTGTAGTCTTCAGGAAGTTTGAAAGGCTCGTCTTTTGACCAGTTTTCTTCGTTTTCGCCTAGTTTCGTTTCCAGGGCCGTGATCTCTTCATCCGTCGCTGGATCCTTCAAGAAAGTCTTTGGCAGGGAATGCCCAATGATGTTCATATGCGATCCAGCTTCCGGGTTCGCTTTCCTTGCTGCGATATAGCTCTCATCCATGAGTTTCAGTAAATCTGGTATCGTCATATCGGCATACGGACGAGCTGGACCTTTGTTCAATCGTTCTTTGATCAACTCTACCCCTTGAGTAACGTACTCTGCAACTGCACTCTCATCAACTCCAAGCTTTTTACCCACGACTTTAGTGTCGAGTATGCCCCAAATTCTTCGGCTCTCTAAAATCTGATGTCTACTCCTTCTCAACTTCTCCATCTCGGATCTATTCTTGCTCTCTTTCTTCTCATCCAACATCCGAAACTTCTTCACAACTTGCTCTTTAACAACCTTCTCCGCTGCCTCCTTTTCACCGAGCCGTAACGCTACCTCCACGGCAGCCCCGTCATTTCGCAGCATGCCATCCTCAACAGCCTCAGTCGCATATTCCAGATCTGCTTTCACGAAATTCGGATACGCACTTCGCAGCCGCTGAGGCCATCCTGTCTGCTTTCCAAAACCGTTCAGTCTCCTTTCTTTAATCTCATCGTCTTCAAACCAATTTTTTCGGTCCTCCGAATGGCTCTCTCCTAGGACTTCGGGGAAGTTATTCGAGCTCGCCCATGCAAGATACATCCACTCTCGTACTTCGAATTTCAGGCTGTTCTCGTAGAGAAACGATACTAGTTGATTCGCCTCGCCGATGTAGCCTAGTATCATGAGATCTGCGATGGTTGGTAAGACGTGACTGGCTATGTTGGTGGAATCCCGCTCTGAGAGTATCTTGATGTGCGACCATGGTATCAACGGTAGCGAACGCACAGAAGCCATTTTGAATCCGAATGGTCTCTGAGTAGTTTGAAAAGAAGGGGTGAGTACTGAAGATCCTGAGATGTGGGAGCGAGGTAAGAAATGCGGACATGATTGCTCTTATGTGGAGAGCTTCGTCTCAGGCCCCCAACGCTAGGTATCCAGGCTACCGTGAGCGCTATCCTTGGGAAAAGAATGATCTAACTATATGGCGTTAGAGGACCTGCGACGGGTTGACCTGTACACATCCATTGGTTTTCCGGTCATCACGTTTGGTCTCGATTTCACTAGCGTACTATACTAGAAACTACATCTTTTACGAATGAGGCATAGGAAAATAAAAAGACAAGGACTATTTCACGAAACTCGCACTTTTGAAGTCGTTAGTCGTGACAATGCATGGGAGGTGCAAATACGATGTTCTATTAAGGTTTTCGAGAGGAACCCACAGCCGAATCATATTCGTCCCTATTGGCAAGAATATGCGGAGGAGCTATTCGGCAGCGTATCCACCATGCCACGTTCCATGCTTTGTAATAGATATATCTTCGCATTAACGTCAACGGAACAACGGCTCTACTCACAATTACTCCGACTTTCATATTGCCCCGGAGTAGAATAGAACATAAACACCAGATGCCTCATCCAAAATAAGTATCGCATTCCCTTATTCTCGACTTAGTCCATCCAAATCCATCAAAATGCCCAACTCCCAATCAGTCTTCCTAATCGGCCCCGGCTTCGTCGGCTGGAACGTCCTCGACCTCCTCCTCGCCGAAGGCTACCCCATCTCCGCCCTCGTCCGGCGCCCAGCACACGCAGCGCAAATCGCAAAATCTGGCGTCACCCCCATCATCGGCGACCTCGACGACCACGCCCTGATCAGCGCCCACACCGCAAGCCACGACATCACGATCCACACCGCGACGGCCGACCACGTGCCCTCGGTCGCGGCCGTCATCGCCGGCATCCAGCAGCGCAAGCGCGAGGGCAAGAAAACCATCTTCATCCACACGAGCGGCACCGGCGTGCTGGACGACGGCGCGTGGGGCGCGTTCAAAGGCGATAAGATCTACTACGACAACGAGCCCGCGGCCATCGACGCGCTGCCGGACACCGCGGCGCACCGGGACGTGGATCTGACGATTGTGAGGGCGAGCAAGGAGATTGGCGAGGCGGCGAAGATGGTTATTATGATCCCGCCCGAGATCTATGGGTTCAATCCCGCGCATCGGCGGCTGACGGTCCAGCTGCCTATGATCGCGCGGTTGGCGCTGAAGCGGGGGTGGGTCGGGCATGTGGGGAAGGGGTTGGCGGTGGAGTCGCAGGTGCATGTGCTGGACCTCGCGAGGGCGTATGTGGTGCTCTTGCATCATATGGAGAGGACGCCGAGCGAGGAGTTTTTGGCGAATCCGTACTTTTTCTGTGAGAATGGGAGAGAGTTTAGCTGGAAGGAGGTTGCGGAGCATATTGGAGAGGCGCTGTATGAGAAGGGCTTGATTAAGGATAAGACGCCTAGGACTTTTGGGGAGGAGGATTATGGGGAGCTGTGGGTATGTTTTGTCCTCTTCTGAATGTGACCCGGGCGTGAGGAGTTTCTGACAAATGTAGGGAGAGGCTACCGGGAATGTTTTTGGCTTGAACTCCCGGAGTCGGGCGGTGAGGTTGAGGGAATTGGGATGGGAGCCCAGGGAGAAGAGTATCTGGGAAAGCTTCAAAGACGATGAGTTACCAGAAATACTCAAAGGAGAAGGGTAAGTGAATACTTGAAACTAAGAACGATTTGAAGTGTTCTAATCTTCATTTCGCAGGCTTGACGGGTTTGCATGGAAATACTCCGCATCTCAAAGCACCGAATGATGCACCACAAGAAAAAACTAATTTTTCAAAGAATGCAATTAGGCTTCCAAATCTGCTTTCCAAATTCGCGATTCATAATTCTAGAGTGCGAAAGATGCAATAAAGATGCAATAGTAAGCCGACTCAGCTAGAAATCCTATAGATGGACTTTACTCCTGCGGAGTCTGCTGCTTCATCGCAATCATCAATCTATCCATCTCAGTAAGCGGATACTCAGCGGCTGCCTCTGCCTCCAAAATTGGCTCAACCGACTTCCTAATAGCCTCTTCCAAAGATGAGAATCCAAATTTGCCCATCTTGCGAAGCAGTTCCTCTGATCGCTCCGTAGGAACCTTTCCCATGTCCTTGCCCACATCTGGAAGGGATTCCAATGTGAACTTGTGATCCGGATACAGCTTCTTCAAGAGATCAAGGATCTGTACCCAATCATACCGCTGAGCCATTGCGAAAACGCGCTCGTTCTTGACGTCGGGCAAGATGAGAGCAGCTATATGCAGCAGAGCCGTATCCTCGACATACGAGCACCACTGCGGCTGAATCACTTCTGTCCCCAACGTGTACCCGTCCCAAAGGGCCTTCACTAAGCCGGCAGACGAGCGGAAGCCTTGGTGCTTGAGCGACACCACGCCTCCGAAGTTGACATTAGGGATGACGGAATTGAAAACAAAATGCGGCTGGTTCTTTTTGACCCACTCCCACGAGCCCCTTTCCGCCAAAACCTTTGAGGCAGAATAAACGTCGGCCATTCTCTCCATATCGGCAGCTCCGTCTTTCTTGTAGGCTGCTTCAACAGCGGTGTCATTCCAGCTATCCGCGGTGAGCTCGTATGGGGTGTTAAGATTGAGCCGGTGCATCGCCGCTTGAGAAGAGCAGTATACCACGCTCTTGACGCTGGGTTCTTTGGCCGCAGCCTCCAGGACGTTTATGGCTGCTTGGACGACCGGCGGGACGAAGCTCTCGGCGTCGGGGCTGAATTGGACGTTGGAAGCTACGTGAGCAATCCCATTGACACCCTTCACAGCTTCATCTAATGCGTTTGGGGCAGAGAGATCCGGCACCTGGACGAGGCTGAATTTGTCGCCGAAGTGGGAGGTCATCCATGCTTGCGCTGTGGCGTCTCGGACTGTGCCACGTACTTGGTAGCCTTTCTTGAGGAGATGATCGATAAGATGACTTCCTATATAGCCATTTGCCCCTTTCGAAACGTTAGATGTCTGCTAGTAGTGACTTTGGTCGATTCAAATACCTGTGACTAGGATGAGGCCGCCTGGGGAGATTCGTGGAGTTGTCGACATGATGACCAAGGAATGTTGAGCCAGCGGAAGAGATGTAGCGAATACAAGGCTTGATAGGGCTAAGAACGTGGGTGATGATACCGCCTTTATCTAGATGATGAACGATTGAAGCTAACTGATTAAGGCGAAATGTGCGAGTCCATGTAACCAAAATAGTATACGCTATACGCAGTTGTAGGGTTGCTACTGATTCGTTGAAGAGCCAGGAGCAGTCAGAGTCGCACCACGTTATTTATGCAGAAAATGCCGCGGGTAAATCGAAGACACCTATAAACTAATCCTTGTGATTGCTATCATATTGCGTGGTCATCTTCTAGCTGCGTCGGAGGATTTTGGAGCATGGCCGCTATGATCAAAAATCTAGATAATATCCTGAAGGAATCTAATCCCTCCGACTCTCCAAACCTAGCCAACCAGCCATTAAATATAAGTGATCGAAGCTGAAATCTGCTCACTCGGTTATATCTTTCACCCGCCCCGAAGCCGAAGATGGCCGGTTAATCTCACCACAGGTGGTTTCCGCCGCTTTAGTCCGTGGAGTTTAATGGATTCAATATTTGGATTAGATAGTATCGCCTATATGGGATGGATGATATAGCTTGGACTTGGAAATGGTTGGAGAATGATTACAGCTTGCCCTTGGGAAAGCTCGATTATGTGCTAGCATAGATCTTCTGAGGTCCGGTCTTAAGGAATCAGCCAATCAATCTACAGTGGAATAAAGAGTTATCTCGCGTCTCCTTCGCCGCCCTTGTCTGGCGCCCTTGTTCAGGCCCTATCTTAATGCTACATTTCTGTTAGCCGAAGTAGAATCATTGACCTCCACGCATCAAGACCGCCTCTTAGAATATCAGCTTCAAATGTTTTGCTACCTTAATTCCCGCATTTCCATCACCCCCAGGCATACCTAAAATCACTTTTAAATCAATAGTCACCAACCTCCCATCTAGCTCATCCATCCCCCCAATCATCTCGTCCCCCTACTCCGGCACAATCTCCCCCATCGCCCTCCAGAAATCACACCTCACCCCCCTGCCCCCCTCCCACGTATACCCATTGGCCAAACTAAAGGCATTCTTTAACCCCGGCCCCCGATACTCCGTCACATTCTCCATATTCGGAATCCCCACATTCGTGCTAAACGCCTCGCCGCCCGTCTGATTCATATTCAGCAGCCACGGCGACTTCGTAGAAAACGGTGGCCAGGTGCCGTTAAACACCGTCTCCCCCTCCGCAACACTAGCATCCGTGCTGTTCGCGATACTAGCCGGGATGGACGGGTCGTTGGTCGTAATGAACGCGCCCCAGATATGCTGCACCGCGGCGAGGAGGTCAGGCCCTTGGTTCGGCGGCGCGGGGCCGAAGTAGGAGGACACATCGGCGCCGTGGTAAGCGTTTGGGACCGAGTATTGGTATTTCCAGCTTTTTGCGGACGGGGAGTCGCGGGAGGGGGTGAAGGCGGTGGCGAGCCAGTAGCTGGGACAGACGAAGGTGGTTTCGGCGTAGATGTTCTGCGATATCATCAACCTTCATGCTCAAACTTACTGGGGACGGTGTAGAACTGCGGAGATTTGGTGTCAAGGGTACGTACATCAGCTCGCTGCTGCTGCCCCGCCGCAACCTGGCTCACGTTCACGGCTGTAGCGTTAGCGATCCCTGAGGTTGCGTATTCGAGCATGCCAGATATGTCGGAGGCATCGGTGCTAGGGTAGTACAGCAGGATCTTGTCGATGTCGTCCGGGGAGAAGAGGGGGAAGGTTAGTGTCAACCATGCCACGAGGTCGGCTTCCGTCGTTATATTGGGAGTGGTGAAGGGTGCGCCTTCCTCTGCATTGTTCTGGACTACGCGTTAGAGCTTTTTGTGAGTTGGGGGTAGTGGGTAGTACGCACCCCTGAGAGGATGTTTAGGCCGTTTACTTTCTTGGACTGGAGCTGAGTGCTGGGCAGTTGTTGGATGAAGACGCCGTCAGTTACGGGGAGGAAGCCCCAGGTGCCGTAGGTGCCGGAGCTGGAGATATTGAAGCTGGCGCGTTGGAGGGTCTCGGTGTCCTTGGAGGTGAGACATTCAAATACGGTTTGGGCAGAGCTGCCGTAGGCTGTCACTGGTGGGCAGCCGGACGCGATGGCGAAGGCGTAGTAGGATTGGGATGGAATCCAGTCCCTATAGCCGTATTGCATCGGCAGATATGGCGAGGCCGCGATGGACTGAATCATGACACGTGAGTCACGGGCATTCCTGTCAACCTTGGGACATGGAAAAGTCAGGTTGGCTTACATTCGTGAATAGGGAGGTCCCAAGTGTGCCGCCATATGCCATCGTTTGAAGCATTACAGAGCCGCCTCCAGCGCTTTCGCCGGAGATTGTCACCTGCGATGCATTACCTCCGAATAGGGAGATATATGATTGCACCCATTGCAATGCGAAATGCTGGTCCAGAATTCCGGCATTTACGACGCCGTTCCGAAAGACTTCATCGGAAGATAGGAAACCGAAAGCTCCCAACTATATAGACTGTCAGACAATGGAACATAGAGAAGAAAGTCACAAGTGAGGGTTAACGTACTCGATACTGAATGGCCACGCCCACGAATCCGTTGGAGTTAGCATTGATGATAGCGGAAAGATCCTGAGATCCGGACCCTTCGCCGTACCCTCCACCATGGATCCATACAAGCACGGGCAAATTCGAGGCGTTCGACGGACTGTACACGCTTAAGAACAGGCAGTCCTCAGTTCCAAGCACGAACGGGCTCTGTTTTCCCGAAGTCTGGCTAAACGAGTCCGGGTTTTGCGGGCAGGCTGGTGCAAGTGATGCAGCAGAGATCGTGGAACTACGGTTATATGTAGGCACGTGGGGAGGTTGCCATCGTAGCGAACCAATTGGAGGAGCAGCATAGCGGATGCTTAGGGCTTGTAAGTATTTCTTGCTTGTAATGGAGAATTGGAAGGAAGGCCCAACCCTTTGAAAGTATTCAATCCCGTCGTGCTGTTAGCTACACCTTCGTAGATCTCATAACCTAGGTCTACACGTAGAGGGTTGGTGGCATTTTGCCCGGCCTGGCGCTTGAAAGCTTGGAAAGAGTCGACACTGGTACGCGGGAATGCAGTGGCCGTATGGGTAAACACAAGAGCCGCCCCCAGCACAGCGTAGACCACACCTCTCTTGAAATCCAACATCTTAATGGTGGATCGATTAGTTAAGGGTGAGGTCAACGAAGTTTGCAAGTGCCGTGATGGGGTATTCAGCGGCTGGTGAAGTCCCTGTTCTCATTTCTACTTAGAAGGTAGGCGCGACTTATACATCTTCGCATGACGTCAAAGCAAACTCGAGTAGTCTGATTTCCAAACTTTCTCTACAGTTCCCATGATCGAGGGGAGCTACCGTAGATGCGGCAGGAGTTACTCCTCGGGTCTTCCCCGCAAATGAGGACAAAGAACGGCGGGGCGACGACGATGCGGGACGCTCGGGTGGCTGCAGGAAACACGTTGGCTGTTGGACGAGCCAGTTGCGGGGTAAATGCAAGCGTTAACGGCATATCAGGAAAAAGGACGCAACCATGCACGCCATGCTGTGATCCCTTGTAGTGGAGACGAAGTAAATGCCGCTCGGTCCGAGTTATGGGATCTTACATGGGCAGGATTAGTACTCTTTCGGCGACGAAGGGTCGTCCACGGATCTCTTTTCAAAGTTGGCGAGTACAGAGTGCCGGGAAAAGCAGCTGTAGCGGAGGAACCCGTACAGCAGCGATGGTAGGGTGTGCTGTGATGGTGTTGAGGGTACTAAGCTAGTCCTCGAACGGTAACGTGGGGGCCCGCAAAATGGGTCTAAAACCACCACGTCGTGATGCTCTCTAAAACTCAACCACACACACATGCAACCTTCGAAAAATTAGGTCACTCCTCGTCACGATGGAGTCCATTGTTGACTTCTTTGGTCGAACGCCATGATTCGGCACTGGTCTCGCATCACCTCGCCCTCCATGAACTATGCCCAGCTCGTGGAGCTCAGCCTGTGTGATTGATACGGAGTTCAGTCAACAGCATTTGTTCCTGGGAATTGATGGTACATCTTACTATGCAATAAGATGTTGAAGCCGGTTGCGGTGTGCTTGAACGTATGTACGAAGGAGCTCATTTTTCTTGAGTCATGCATAATGCCCTCGCCTAATTTCAGTGGCAGGGTAGGGCTCAAGAAAAACGAGCTCCTTCGTAAGGGAGGCAGCAAGAGAGAATCGGAAAGGCTAATCGCTGAGAGAAGCAGCCTGTACTCTTGCTTGTAAAATAGCCAACGTAGACGCAAAAAGACGAGGCCGGCGCCAAGGATCGAACTTGGGTCTTGATGAATAGCCGCCCAGGCAACTGGGCCCTTGAACGGTCGTCCACCATATTATAGCCACTAAACCACACCAACTTTGATATATTGGAAGGTTGTCGAGATTAGAACGTTGATAAAGACTAGGAAGACGAAAAGGCGGCTCAACGGCATGAAGTTCGCAGGAGGTGAAGACGAAGACGCAGATGAGAAGTTGCATGTATAGTAATACCACGGGTATGGACAGGAGAAAGTCCGTTACTTTGAGATCGAGCGATGCTCGTGTTATTGTTTTGATTCCAATATTAATAGTAGGATAGGAACCAACTAAATTGAACGCTTGCTTCCACAATCCAACATCATGCCCGCTCCAAAACGCTAATTGTCTACCCAAGCCATACACATAATACATCCAAAAAAGGGTAAAAAGAAGAGAAATTAGGAAATGCGTCTTGGGAGTCACGCTTGACTCTTATGAAAACCCAATCCAAACCAGATATGCCAAAACGCCGTTTTCAACCATGCATGCATTGTATTCCGTGACGTTTACTCGAGTTTCCGCTTCGCCCAGAACTCGTCGAAGCGCTCTTTGCAGATGTGGTCACCGCCGACCCAGCAGCCGGCCAAGTGCACCATGAGGTCGCCCTCTCGCCAACCCATCTTGTCGCCGCCGACAGCATAGGCGTTGAACATGCGCTGGGGGAAGACACCCGTATGCTCGCGGATAAGTGGGTGCTCGAGCAGCAAGTGTTTCAAGGCGTCTTGCTCCTTGCCGACCCAGTGGTCCTCCATGAGCAGCTTGTCGGTCCAGACCTCGAGAATGAAGCGGGTGAACTGGCTGCGGCGAAGAAAGATGCTGCCGGCATTTATGCCGTTGTGGTCTTGGGTGATGAGGATGTCAAGGTTCGAGATTTTGGGCTCTTCGGGCATGTTGACTTTCGTCTTGTGGGTCTTGCCGTCTCTCATGCCGTTGAAGAGGGTCTGGCCCTTCATGATTTTTTCGGACATGACTTTTTGGCTAAGGAGCATCTCCTCGAGCTTGACGGTGTGGGTCATGAAGATGATATCGGAATCGGCGATCCAGAGCCATTTGGCCTGGGGGTTCTGGTAGAAGGCGTCGGCAATGGCGGGAATTTTAGCCCAGACCTGCGGGGCGGAATTAGCTAGGAACGTAGGACAATGTTGCAAGTGGCGTTTTGAAGCTTACCGGATGAGCGTCTCCCACATCGTACTTGTCCGTGTTGAGCCATGTGTGGGTGTAGTTATGAAGTTTGGCGTAGCTATCGCGCTCCTCGCAAATACGTTCTAGTAGGTTCGGGATGGCTGCGTTGTGTCCACCGCCATTGCTAGCGGTCAAAATGAGGATCTCCTCGGGCTTGAATGTTTCGTCGGAGGGTTCGAGGGGCGCGTCAAAGTTCCATTCCTTCTTGTTTTTGAAGTAGCCGGGTTCGCCGGACCACGACTCCTCCTTTTCTCGATCGCTGTTAGGCTTCTTGGGCTTCTGCTCGTCGGGTTTCTTCCCCTCGGGCTTCTTATCTACAGGCTTCTCTGTTTTCTGTGATGACTTGGGAGATGCTGGGGCTGATGTTGATGGTTGTGGCTTGTCGGGTGATTGAGGGTTGGCAGGGGATATTTGCAGATCGGAATAGGAGAGGTGGCCGAAGGAGGAGTCGGAATAGATTTTCACGACGAGGAGGAGGAAGGCGGCGGTGAGCACACCGAGGAATAGTCTGCGCGAAGAGACACTGTGAGTTTGCAGTCGCGGTACGGAGGGTTGCGGGACGAAATACCTGGAGCCCAGCATTGTTTATGGGGGACCACTGAGGCAGCAGGGAGTTTGGCGAGCGGATCAGCGCGCGGAGAGGCTGCGGGTGGATATAGGTGCTAGAGACAGTGAGTATCACCGATTCATCACCGTCTTGGCTGGTGGAGTGGACGTTTGCGGTAGTGCGGGATGGTGGGCAGGACACTTCAGCTGGGTGCAACGAGGAGAGACCCTTTTTCAGATGCTGTCGTCGATGGCGCAGTCGTCTCGGAACCAGCTGAAGGGGGGCGTGCTGGGCTGGCCTGTCATTGCCGCCGCCCGCCAATCTCCAGCGGCCTAGCCGTTGTTGCATGATCCGACTGCTGTCAGCAATCTTCGGTCCGTACTCCGTAACGGCTGGGTGGCAATGTCGTTCCAGATAGATGTAGAGGCGTGAATATCATCCAGCATGCAGTTGATGGAGGCGCTGTTCAGGGCGCGAGACGTCTCATTAGGGGAGGACCGCGATCGCAGCTTGGGAAGAGTGCGCCGTGGTACAGAGGCCAGATCCCTTGCTGCCCGCTTGGTACTGGGTGTCGCCTCATGTCCCAAGATCGGGCTACCGGTAATGCAACACGGAAAGGGGCATCGCGACATCGTAAACATGGTAAACAATTCAGGTCTGCGCTGATTCATCATCAGCTGCTCCCTGGTGGCACCGGCGGAGTCCGCATCCATCAGCTGTCATCTTCTTAAAATAGCCCAGGACCGAACTTCATGCTCCGTCGCTGCCCTATTCCGGGGCCCGTAGCTCGTGTCGCGAATAGCTTTCCGGTACGAGGATGTGTTGGAGAAGTTGGACACTGAAAATGGATGTTGCTACCTGAAGCCGAGTCGTCGAAGGCGTCGAGCAGGGCCAGAGCACAGATATACATGGGAACATCTGAGAGAGCGATCAGTGCTTCTGGCCCGTTAGACCGATCTTTAGATCGAGTGCCAAGTCATCACTCAGCCCTGCCATCCGGTCCCTACACAAGGTTGCGACTTGGACACTTGAAGGAGCCATAGAACGTATCGCCCTAAGAAGGACTAATCAACATCTTGTCCAGTATCAACCGCCACCATGCCACCTGGTTCACATTGACGTTTCCGTACAGATAGTTATGCCTTTTGGATTGCTGAGAACGCCCGTTGTTTACTCATCCTAGACGTCGTATTTTTCAAAATATGGATTAGACGAATAGGTCACCATGGTGATCCCAGGCCCACAGAATCCGCGAACCAAGATGCTTTGGCCCGCGGTACTTCAGAGCCCACAACATGATCTTGAACAACCCCAGTTGGGCAACGCTCGCGTTTCCAGGTCGACGAACTCCCCGGCTGCCCGGTAGCCAATCGTCGCTCTCCATGATAATCCACGCCTGTCAACTCGTCAAGCGACTCGGCAGTATTGTCCGAACCGAGAAGGGAACCGCAGATCCAAGCAGGACAACAAACTTCATGCCGCAGTTCGTGGCCGAGTCCAGGGTTGAAGGAGCACGCTTGAAGTTGGTCGCCGGATGCAGCTAGCGGGAATTTCGAAATTGAAAACAACAATTCGAATACGGGGCAGCGGCACTGCGCAGGGGCAAGTTCCTGCGGGAGCGCTAAATTAGCTGATATTGTAAAGGCTTACGAAGGAAGACACCAGATCACCGAATGTGGCGCCGGCGTTAGAGGATGCTGCATGAGAGCTGAGGATTGTACTCAGGGCAGCGGCACTGCACCTGTTGGATTCTCTCTGGGTCGAGGGAGGGTGGAACTAGAGGGGACTCCCGGCTGCAGGTGCTGCATTCCACAAAAGCTCGCTGACAGCGACGATTCAGCGTCGAAAAAGCCACGCATGCGGCTTGAGACGACCTCTGATCAGGGGCGATAACGCGTCCAGCCACTGGCGGTGGGCGGCAGCCACTGCGATCGGGAGCTGAGTATCAGGGCTGCATGTTATCTTTAGCCCGTTGCCCCAAAAACTAACAGCTCCAGGAGACGCGCGACTTCTGGCCCTACAAAGCAGAAATCCCCTCTCCATCCTCGCCGTGCGACTCTACTCCCTCCCTGCCCACTGCACTTGTTCGCCATGCTGCTCCGCACCACGAACCCGGCACGTCTGATGCAGGCCGCTGCTGGCTCGGGCGCTGTGTTGTTTCTGCTATACGTATTGTTTTTCTTCAACAACGACCACCTCCCAAATCGAGTGCGTAGCAGCATTGGCAACCCGCCGCCGCCGACCGCCGCAAATGCTACCCTCGACTTTGGCGCCATCTTATACATATCCATGCCGTTCCGTACGGACCGCCAGGATGCGCTCTCGCTTATGGCCGCGGCATCCGGCTTGAAGTTAACCATGATCGAGGGGGTAGGGCAGCCCGTCGCTCTTGGCTCTCTGCTGTTGGCGCTCTCCCTTTGGCTGGCCGGACGCTAATCACGTACCCAGGTCGACGGCGACACCATTTCCCATAAAGCTGAGCCCGATGGCCTCCCTGAGAAGATGCGCGGTTCGCGTTTGGGATGCTGGAGGGCACATGCGAACGCGTGGCGCTATGTTATTGACAACAACCTCGGCTCAGCGCTCATCTTGGAGGACGATGTGGACTGGGACATGAACATTCGCGAGGTCATGGGCCTCTGGAACTGGCAGCTCAAGTACAACAACACGATTCGCTGGGGCCAGGATGTGAAAAAGGGGTGGAGCGAGGAGTGCCCATACGGTAAGCCTTCTGCCTATAAGAAACTGCCAAGCCCAAGGTACTGAACAAAGCTCAGGGTGCGATTGGGACGAGCTCTTCATGGGCCAGTGTGCGAACAAGCCGAACGACGAACGCCTCGATCTGCACCAGACCTACTACGATCCCAATGGCCCCAAACTCGAAGACAACCTCGACACCTTCAAGAAGGAAATCACCCAGGTCTGGAACATGACCCAGCCGGATCAGATGCGTATCACGTCCCCGACCTTCAAGCCGCTCTGTCTGCAGGGCTACTCGCTCTCCCACCGCGGCGCCATGCGAATGCTGTACCACAACGGTGGATATCTCGGTCTCGCCGCACCCATCGATCTCGAGATCGCGTGGCGGACAGCCGAGGGCAAGCTGAGCGGGTATACACTGACGCCCCCCGCAATCTCGGCGTGGCGGGTTGGTGGAGGCAAGGATAGCGATAACGACCCTGTGACAGACAAGGAGGAGATCAAGGCGAGTGGAAATTCTGGAGGCAAGAGCTTCGGCCTGAAGAAGAGCGTGCGGAAGAACTTGGAGGCGCTTTTGGGGAAGAACTACTGGGAGGAGATGAAGAAGAAGAACTGAATGCGGCATTCTGGTTAGCATTTACGGTGTTCATCTCTGGGGATTTCTGGGCTCCCACGATCAACATGGCTTTTCGATTCTTCGACACATTCTTCCGCCATGGGGACAAAATAATGGTACCCCCGACTAGTTTGTCAGGCGGAATGCTTCGGCTTGCAGGCGTACCATCTTTCACTAGACATCGCGCAGCCCTGGGGTTGCGTCAACGCGTACTCGATTCTCGTCGATTTGCGGGCGACATTTTCATATTTCACGTACATCTGGGTCTTTCTCTGCTTTCACCTCGGATACCAACATGTTGGACGATATCTCTGGGAGACTACACGGCGTCTGTGGAGTTCATCCTTTTGCGTATCATGCCACAGGATATCCCCTAGACCGATCGGCGCAGCATGTCATATAGCGAAGTATGCAATTTTGATTAGCTAAAATTTCATCTCTTCCACCCATTCCTGCCCATCCTCACCTTCCTCAGTTCCATTTCGGCTCTCAATTTCCTTCTCCTATCCGGCTTACGTTTACATTTGTTAGTGTTATAAGCAATTTGTTTTCAATTCCCTCCAATCTTTCAAAGCCGGTGTAGTTTAATGGGATATAACGCGGTAGGGTGACCTTTTTATGGCGAAAGCTTTGGCGGCACATCTCCCGAGACCTGCGTTCGACTCGCAGCGCCGGCCTCAACCCATTTTCATTTTGCTATATTTCTCTTTGCGGTTAGTAAAGTCTACAGGCAAGCGTGCGTAGTAGTACCCCGTCTATCTTAGCGGATAGCCCCTTTTTGGTATTCACGCCATCCACCAGATAGTGAGCACTTGATAGCGTTTGATGGGAGACGGAAGCTGATGGAAACTCATAGCCGGCCTCGTCAGATACCTTTTTTCTTTGCTTCTGCATTTGTCTAAAAAAGGCTTGTAGGGCATCCTGTTCACCCTAGTTGTTAGCATATATATTTGGACTGGTGTTGTTTGTCTTTTCTCCTCTATACGTCAGTCAGTCAACATGTGTGAGGGTGCTTTTGTATCCGTATAGTAAGATAGAGGTGAAAAGTCTACCGTTAATTCATTTGGGCTACCAAGAATTCCCTTCTATCAAATCCTAAGTACATCACTCTTCGTCTTCGTCTTTTCCCTCGCCATCTTCTTCCTCGGCGTCAGAATAGCCCATCATACTATTGAACGTCTTTTTAATCTCTCGCATACACTCAGCTTTTTGGTAGCCCTCCCCAGGCCACCCATAAGCGTGAAACACTTTCCTGTACTCCTCATTGTCAACCTCCTCAATCCCCTTCGCCATTTCCACGGTCTCAGCGTCAGTTGGGTACTGTTGCTGACATCAGTAGGATGCACACTACAGGGAGATATATTTTTACATACCGCCTCAAGCAATCTGAATTTCTCCTTTATCTTCTCAAAGAACTCGGCAATGGGCATTTCATCGAATTCGCCATCCTCGAATTGGGCCATCTGTATGATTCCCAATTGAACATCTAAGATCCACCAGCAGCCGTTCTCCCCCGAGGCAGCAGCGAGAACGAAGGTGTGTTCCGAAATGTCCAGCCCCATGGACTCTGCAAATTCGGCTAGATGGCAATCCTCTGCTTCGAAAGGGCCTGGACCTTCGAAATCGTAGCCGGCGTAGTCGACGCATACAGCTCCCCCATAAATCTGAAAGGGTTCACCGTGGGGTTGTCTTGAGTCTATGTATGGGAGCGCCCGCAACAACTCCATAACCGCTTTCGACTTTGGGGGATTAAAGAACCCGTCGGATACGTCGGGCCACCCTCCTAGTGTCGGCTGTAAGTAACATTCGTGTTCATAAGCGATTCCTCATACCTGGTGGCGGGGTCTTTAAGGAGCTCTCGGGAAGATAAAAGCTGATGAGGAAGTCGTAGAATGACGATATTGCCGTCACGATCTCGTCCGTTGATAGAAGTGAGGTCATGTTGAGGAAGTCTGGTGCTGATGATCGTAAGTGTTACGCTTGTCACGGGTTGCATGCGCCTAAGTAAGTTCTTGTATAGTCCAAGGATGCGGCGCTAATGCTTGGCACAGGAATCGTAAGCGCCCTTGTGGCACAGCAGAAATAGTAAATTCACTGCTGCGGCGCTTACAGGGACCAACATTTAGAAGTCCAAGACAACTGCAACAAAGCCGCTTGCGGTGCCGCAGGAATGGAAGGATTGCGATGTTTCAACAATCACTATTTCCGTCGCATTGGCGCCTAGTGTGCAGGCTGCGGTACTAGGTCACAAATCCAGGCACACGGATATCTATCACTGCTTGGCTTCAATCTTGCTCACTCGACACCACTGTGAGGAGCAGCCCAGCTAGTAAGCAGCCAGTTAGTCAAGAGGCAGTCTATTTGCACTACTTGAAATTTGACATCGGGCCTAGGTTTTTGAAATTCCATGGGGGTACCTCAGGCAGTGGTGAACGCGTGTGCACAAACTTATGACCTATCACTGTACCAACAGATATTCTCAAGTGCCGACGTCAACAGCCAATAATTGATTGCAACCGCTCTACTTACCCCATAATTTTTGAAGGAATCGCTTTCGTCATAGCCTCGGCGCTTATAGTCCTAGGTCTAACGCGGCGAGGTTCCCAAAGCCTCCGCAACTGTTTGATCCTTCGACAAGACACAGCCTTCATTAACAGCCTCTTCGTTGATAGCCTCCTTTGTTTTGAACTCCAACGCCCATAGCCTCATTCGTTTCAGTATCTAACGCTCTTAGCCTTTTCCGATCTAACGTTTAGAGCACTTGGCCACTCTCGTCCCAATGCTGGATTCCGTTTCTCGATTCTGCCTTGCACGTCAACACTGCAGATGGAGGTGTCGAGCATGGCCATTCCTCCTGAGTCTCTTCCCTGCCTCCGAACTAGCCAGACTGGTCAGCCTCAATCCACATCTTCGGGGGACTGCGCGCGACTTTGGGGCTCCAACCTCTTCAATTACCAAAAACTACCTCGCCTCGCCCACAATTATTACGGAAAAGAGAGTAGATTGTATCTACGCCTCTTCGGTAAAATATTCAAGGAAAACCCACAAGGCACAGGACCTCCTTCTTCCAAACTGTCAGAATGTACCTCGCCTCATACAAGGATCATGGGAGAATAGCTCTACGATCACTACAGGACAGATGGCGGGTTGCATCTACGCCTCTCTTCGAGACGGTATAAATCTTGAAGCCCCCGGAGTCTCTGCAGCCTACCGACAGCTCAATACTCTGATGTATATGGTCAGTATCTGAGTTTCTCGACTTCATCGCTCCGTTAGATTTATCATTCCAAGTTCACTGACCTTGCCTTATTTCCTTTGTCATGATCCGTTATTTCATCTCATTTCTGACTCTTGGAGCTCTTATCACTACCTCTGTTACACATCCGGCTCCGGCTCCGACCCCTTCATCGATCGACGATGCTCACTACCAGGCAGTACAGGAATACAAAAACACCATGAAGTGTACTATCTTTGACCCGTATGTCATCACGTCCCCTCTTCGGAAGCGCCTACTCATATATACTGGCACCTGAAGTCCAGATCCAAAGACTTCAATCTCTCAGTGCAACGATGTGTGCGGTGAGGCGGTGGCCAAGGCCATCGCTGCAGGCCAAATGGGATCAACAACGTGCTTGGTCTTAGGCGGGGACATCAAGTGGGAAGTTGTCAGCGGTGTGATATCACAAAACTGTTTTCTAGAGGTATCAACCTGATCAACATCCAGGCAATCTCAAAGTTGCACCCGCTCAGTGCTCGTGCAATAACAATTTTCTCAACCAATTCGCAGACCTACTGATGGAAGCGTTGCCGATAATCGCAGAAGTACGGCCTATGATAGCACTTTGATACTGTCTTTGCTAACGACATGGGGTAGATTGGCTGCGACCTGCTAATGGGGATGTTGCAATTGGTCGTTGAAGTTGGAGCTCTGGCTATTCCTGGTGTAGGCGAGGCAATTGATGGAGCTATGAGTAAGGCGTCATCTAATCTACGAGTGCTCTGCTGACTCTTCGAAGTTGCTGGCATTGAAGCGGCTAAGCTGATTTCTTATTCGGTCGATGCTGGCGAAGCAGGTGCCAGTGTCTTTTCAAATTGGCTAACGAAAGGCTGCGGCAAGTCTTACCTTCCTCCCAATGTGAAGAAGGCGTTCGATATCTTCAACAGCGTCAACAACCTTATCTTGCCGAAGGGGTTCAAGATCCCGCCAAAAGTCCCAAAAGGCGGCAAGAAGCCAAAGGCCCCAAAGACTAAGGTTCCCAATGACGACCCAAAGACCGCAAAGGACGGCCCGAAAACGAATGCACCATCCGAAACCAAAGCTCCACCAAAATCGACTCCAAAAGCCACCAAAGCATCACATGCGACCACAATGATAACAAGTCCACCAAGTACCAAAGATCCACATAAGTCCGCAAGCAATAAAGCTTGTACGAAGAAACAGAAGCGTGCACCACCTGGGAAAGAGCCTGGGAACGAGATCCGTGAGTGTACACTCTCAATCTGCCATCAATTCTAACCAATAATGCTAGCTGATGACGGCGAATGCGACGATCCCAGCTTACACATCACGAAAATTACCAAGTCCAACCCGGTTCTCAAGACGATCACGAAGGACTGCGACTTCAAGAAATGGCCCCAAGCATGCTACCATTACTATTCGGCTATCCAGAATGATGACCGAATGTCGAGCGCATATACTTGTCGAGACGATAATCGTAGCCGCAACGGAGGATCCACACGTGACTGGAAGTCACAACATGCCTTGAAAGGTTGGAAAGACTTCACCAAGCCAGCTTATAAGTTTTGGAGTGATGAGAATCCTAAAAAGAAGCCTAACTGCCAATTGGACGAATGGCCACCGGCCTACTTCGTTCCTCCCAATCCCAATCCCAATCCGAAGAAGGGTGAATACAAGCCTCCAGTGGTCGTGCGCTGGATCCCTGGAAGCGAGAATGGTGGTGTTGCGTCCCTCTGTGCGTATGATTTCATTCCTTTCAAATTTCTTGCAACTTTTAAGAATTGCCTCTCTAATTGAGCCTCGAAGGGAATAAATACTGCGATGATGAAGACGGCGGGTTTAAGAACGGTCAACTTCTTAAACAGTACGGCCAAGTTAAGAAACCCCCCACCGGAAAGAAGTTTGGTGACGTCAACGAACGCTTAGTCAAACTTATTCGTCCGGGAGAAGAGGTGGTAAAGAAAGGAAAAGATAAAAAGGCAACTACTACGACTGAGTTCGAAGCTGAGTACACTCGAGCTGTATTCGAGATCTCGTTCGACAAAGACTTTAAGGATTTTCCTACGAAGGAAAACGATTGGGGCCTTAGAGAGAACCCGTGCTGGCCGGAGGACATTGTTCCTAACGACCCCGGGTTCGTGGTGTTCACCGACGACCCTTGGTACAAGACAGCTGGATCTCCGAAACTTGTGGCAGAACTCAAGAAGCAGAAGGTGTTGTACAAGAAGGCTCCCTCGGCAGACATGGTTAAAAAGGCAAAGGAACGGCAGAAAGGTAACCCGAGCGATGATAAACCAGTTGAGCGATCAATAGAGCTCATAGATGATGGTGGCCTTGCCGTCCGCGGAACGAATACCTCTCGTAGGCTCACCCCCGACGAGATCCGGCAGAACCTGCAAATCATCCGTTGTGCAGACAGCACGTGCTCTGAAGAGCGCAAGGGTCTGCGCGACGAAGGAGAAGAAGCCCTAGTGATTTCCGGAACTACCATAGGTTTACCTGCTTTACCTTCCGTTAACGTGGACAGTATTCCGACTATTATGCCAAGAGCATATCTGGAACCCAAGGACAATACGAGGACCTCAGTATCTCCAGAGCTACCGATGTCGACGAAGGAATCTTCCTCGTATGCAACTCTTCGAAGGCGAAAGGCCTTGTAATCTGTCATTCTCGTATACTACACTGTTATTCTCGTACACTTCACTGTCTCAGCCACTTTCTGGGTTATTTTTCTAAAATATCTCCCAATTCTTTCCCTTTACGCATAGGTCTCTGTTTAGCATAGCGATGTATGGATTTGCATGTTTTATGGCGTTTTGTATAAGTCTAGACAGTTGGTGTTATTGAATCCCTTATGTTGAGCGCTTACTCTTTCCTAATTCTCTACATGAACCAACAGACTAGTCACTCCATATTTCTTTGTCAGTAGACATACCATTGCGAGCTCTCATATCAGAGTATTCTTTCCTTCTTTCCCTTGGTCTCCATGAGATTGTTACTCGTCACGACACATGCGCCATCGCTGATGTTACTATCCCGAAGTCTGCTTTTCACCACTTGAGGTTCAACGGCGCTAGACCGTTTCAGTTGAGTGGCCCACTTAAATATGTCTTAGCGTCACTTCATCTTCGACCCTGGTGTTGTCTCCAACTCTTCCTTCCTCTTCACCGTACATTGCAAGAATCATCTCACGATCAGCCAGTACATGCCAGTGACTCTCTGAAGCTCTACAAGCACAAGACATTGCTCCCATCAAGCCAATTACGAATTTCTTCACAATGGCTTCGAACAACACTACCACTCCCGCCCGCGACGCCCGCAAGCACACTCTTAGCGAGACGCGCGACAACGACGAAAAGGGAGGCGTATCTCCTCCACGCAAGATCTCCAAGGTTGAGCAGGGGGAAAAAATCGACTCCGTCGATATGCCGGTGACGGCGGACAAGCCCGTCATGGGATCTCCTACCGTCTCCGAAGGGTTCGCTTCTGCGTTCTATCATGCCGGCACTGTCGAGCATCCGGACCAGAAAGGCGAGAGCTTGCTGGCTGGTATGCACCAGCTACCGAAGAGCCTGGACGAGCAGGATGTCACCATCGGTGGCGTCGACGAGACCAGCGCTATCAATGTAGCTGTCGAACTGCCGGACCAGAAGGGTGATGCCTTACTGGCCGGTGTGCACCAGCTGCAATCAATGGGTGTGGGAAAGCTTGGCACAGGTGCTCCTACCCTCGCCGCAGCGATCGCTCACGCGGTCGATACAGCTGTCCAGCAACCGAGTAAGCAAGTGGCTCGTTCCTCGCTTGCCGAAGGACTTCAACAGCTGGATGTTGATCCAATGAGCCAGCAAGAGGCAGGAAGTTCCTCGCTGGCCATGCATCAACTACAAGACCAGCCACTAGACGGCACATCACAGCTGATGGATGGCATCGAGCAAGAATCTCAGCAGGGGTGTGCCGCCTGCGTTAACTACGGGCTCTCCGGAGATCACGACCATCAAGGTAGGCCGTGCAGCAAACGGTTCCGCAAAGCTAAACGCCTAGGGTATTATATGCAGTGGGATGGCGCCCCGTGTGCGAAATGCCTACCATTAGGCCTCCAAAACCCTTGGCACCCTTCTTCATGCTGCAACGCCGATCTCCGAGACAAGATAGTCCAGTCGCTAGCGAAGAAGAAGGCTGACAGCGACGATCACTGGTTCAGAAACGAACTCCCGCGCCGACAGCTAGAGCGTATGGACCTGCGCACCCTGATGGTCAAGGCGAAACCCTTTATGGAATTAGAAGACAAGTCCCTTATCCAGAAGTATGTCGATAATGTTCTAGAACCATACGTCCTACTTCTGGTGGAGAAAGAGGAGAAGGCATGCGCGCTAGTCTTCTGTATTCTCTTGTATTTCTGGATTCTCCAAGACATGGCTTTACTGCTAATGGCGTTCGACGCATTTACCTAAGTTCGTAGATGAAAGGAGTAAACCTTACCAAAAATCTGGTTTCACGTGCGTAGCGCGTGGGGTCACCTTGGCTGGAAGCTCGAGACCTTTACGATTGGTGCCAGGGATAAGTAGGCGCTGTTCTTAGAACGCGACCGAAACCAAGACGAGCAAAAGCAACGAGTGTCGAGGATATGGACAAACATCGCGGGCAACTAAGACACGGGAGACATGGGAAATATCGGAGATTCAATGATGCGGTGCATACAGTACTTGGTCATACGTTTGAGCATAGGTACACTGCTCGGTCGCCACTCTTGCTCGCTCGGCACCACTGTGATGAGTACCCTAGCTAGTATATCTTCGGTTAGTCAAACGTTAGCACTATTTCTATTGTGTGGCGTCTTACATCGTGTTTGGATTTTCAAAAGCCTATCGGGACACCCCAAGCGGATTCAAGAAGTGCCCAAACTTATATCATAATATTGCACTCGCTTTCAGTTAGGTGAGAAAGATTAAAGCCGGAAAAACCAATGAGTTCACATCGCGGTAGGATTTTAAGAATGGAGACGAATCACGGATATACTGAAGATGAGTAGTATTTGAGATTAGATCAATCATGTATCCATTTCTTCAATACCCTCTGTCAGCTGTTGAACATCCTCATTGCCTTCATTATCATCATCTTCAGAATCAGACCACCCATTCTCTTCACGCCACGCTTTTCGTATCTTTCGCATACACTCGTCCTTCCCGAGACTGAACTCCGCTGACGGCCAGCCATACGAATGGAAGATATCAGCAAGCCTTTCGTTTTGATCGTCATCACATCTTTCTGCCATTTCCACCTCGTTTGCGTCGATTGGATACTGCCGCCGGTCAGTGGAACACTGCCGAATCGAATGTAGAGTCGAATTTAGGCTTACCACTTCGAGCGACCGAAACCTCGACTTGATGACTTCGAAGAATTCGCTCGCGGGATATTCCTCCCATTCGCAATAGTCGAATTCGCGGAGCGAGATGATTCCCGTCGCAGTCTCAAGGATAAAGTAATACCCATAATGGCCGCCACTAGGTTGCGCTAAAACAACCTCGGATTCAGAGACGTCGATGATCTCCCTCAAAGGATACGGATCAGGATCATGCGGGCCGGAGCCTTCAAACTCATCCCCTGAATAGTCCCACACCGCGGTTTTCTCGTACACTTGATGGTCGTCACCATTTTGGTCTGAGTGGAGATAAGGAAGATGCCGTATCACATCAAGCGCGGCCTCGTTTTTTGGAGGACGATAAGAAGAACCATCGACGTCTGGCCATCCGCCTAATGATAACGCTTTCGTGAGTAACATCGTCGTGTGCAGACAGACTATAGGATCAAGTACCATAAGGCGGGTATTTTAAGGCGCTCCGCGGGATGTGCAGGTTAGCGAGGAAATCATAGAAGGACGCCACTGCTCCCACAATTTCATTCGTTGTAGCCATGTCACTTTGCAGGACGGTAAGAGTAATTTCGTAGCAGCGAATCTCGATGTATGGGATGGGATGGTGCTCGAAGTCGTTGAAGTTGGATGTGAGTTACGCGCCGGTGCGGCACAGCTAGGTAGACCACGTCCAAGAATGCGCGTAAGACTCTAAGAATATGCATACCAGCCTAGCACTGTTTGAGGTCCCCCAGTAGATTAATATAGACTTTAAAGCGACACTTTTGGGAAGCCTAATAGCTCTGCAGGCCACCCTAAACCGTGCTAGACTGCCTGACTGCCACTTGACGTTCAAAGGAGCCCAGCTCGGCGCTAACCCGTTCCTATCAAGACCCACTTTAAAAATGTCTTGGCGCGTATCTATCTTCCGACGCGTCTTCTCAAATTCTTCTCCTCCTGCACCGTACATCGCTAGATTTCATATCAGGAGTACAAGCATACCAGCGCTACTTTCCAAGCTCCCTAAGCACCAAAGAACGCTCATCGCTCTCACCATTACCGAAAACATCACATTCGAAATGGCCTCCAACAACACTTCGGTCCGTAGCCGCAAAGGCACCAAGGCCCAGAAGAAGGAGGAGAAGAAGTCGGCGCAGTCTGCTCGGGCTGTCGTCGTACAGGCTATCCAGCCTGTATTTCCGGTAGTGGAAGCCCCGGCGACCACTACCGCAGCGGTGTCTCTTGACATTGGTATGGTGGAGAACGATCCCGCATCAAAGCAAGCCGGCTATCCGGCCTCTGCTGCTGTTCAATCGGCGCCTCAGGACGTCGATATGATCGGTAACACCCAAGAGCAACGGCCACACAAGCCTCAGGGATCTGTGGTTGCTGTCTCCCAGGCTGTAAGGCCTACCTTTCCGTCACAGCACCGTGGTCTGACCCGGGCTGATACCGAAGCTGCGACAGACATTGTACAAGAGGGCTTAGCCCCGGTCTCGTCTGGCGGAGGGGCTGCAAAGCCTACTATTCCGATGATTCATGACAAGGGCGAATACCCGATTGATCTCGAAGCGGCGTATCAGGACGTCGATATGGTCCCTTGCTCAAGATGCTTATCGATGCATCGAGTAAATGCATGCCAGGGTCTTGCAGGCGCGCGTCATGAATATCATGGCCCTGGCGCCTCGACTTTTGCCGAGGACGACGAAATCTTAGCAAGCTGGAGGAGGCAAGGGATAACTTTCCCTCGTCCATCCGAAGTTCAGAATAGAGAGCGTGCAAAGCAGGTTCCGATTCCGGCGCAATCCAAGCCGAAGACTAACCCCGGAAAGCCCACCCAGGCCAAACCGAACGGGAGTCCGCAGGCTCGCTCTCAGAAGAGAAAACGTGATGACGACAGTGTTGTCGGAGACCATCCGTTATGGGGCAAGCTCAAGCTCTCCCGCAAAGAGCTCGAGGGTTGGGACATTATGAATATAATAGGAATCGGAAACCGCATGACGGAATCTGATGAAAAGCGAGACTATACTAAATATATTCTAGTGCCACGCGTGAAGCTAGCCAAGAATCTCTCACGAAAGCAGCTAAAAGCGCTCTCTTACGAGACATTGGAAGAAGTGGAGCGTTCCCTGCCTCGCGAGGGACAAGTTGCCTGGCACAGAGATGTCATGGAACGATGGCTAAGGGTTAGGGCTTCTGAAGAGAGAGGCAAAGCCCAAGCGAAGTTCAAGGGTAAAGGAAACCCGAAAGACAAAGACAAGCGTAATGGAAGAGGCGGCAAGTCGTGAGTAAGCCGTAAGGATACTCGCTATTCGTCCGTACTCCCCTGTTTTCGTTGACTTTCCTGAACGTCACGTTACTGCTAACCTCTCCCTGTCTACTTTCCTAGATTCCTAGATGAAGGAGTAAACCTTGTTAACAAATCTGGCTCGATCCTGCATTGCACATTGTGGGGTAGAGTCACCTTGGCTGGAAGCTTGAGACCTTTACGAGGTGCCAGGGATAATTAGGCATGGTCCTGAATCTTCAGGATCGTGGCCGAAACCAAGACAAGCAAAACAAAGCCAATCGAATACGGAAGACACAGACGACACGAGCGAGACGGACCAAGCGGGCGAGGTTGAGGCATAATGCGGGAGACACACGGCGGAGGGATCTCGGATTGAAGGGTCAAGGACCAGAGTTGTGCATACTAGGAAGGATACATTCACAGAAGGATTTGGCCGAATGCCGTGACCTTAGATGTCTAACGTTCTTCAGGCCGACCTTGAAGTGTACGAACAACCTGAGGTACAATAGCGAGTTCCCTCCGGATTGTTACTTCCCTAGAATTGACGGGGGGAACTGTCGTGTGCTGCGCGGAGGCTGCAGTATGCGAGGAAAGGGTGTAGCTTTTTGAATGCGTAGATGGGTAGGTCTCCCGATACGGTATAAGATTGAGAAACTAAATTCTTCCTGGGATTGCAAGTTGGCTGTTATTTTGTCTACCAAAGGGTCGAGTATGGTCCGATCTGCTATTTTCTTCGTTATAGTCAATCAACATTCTGGTAAAAATCCGAAACCCTGTTTTTAACGGAGCTAGTTACTAGGTTTTGATAGTTGTCATTATTCTAGACTCTCTTTATCTGCAATGTCCCATTTGATTGTGTAAAGTTGTTCGAGGGAACACCCCTAGTCTTCGAACCTCCTCTATAAAAACACATACCCTGTTTCTCACTGCACTTGCTCGTCTCATGCATTCCTACCAGATCCCTCCCCTTTTAAATTCTCACTTAACGAAGGCTTGCGTTCGGCTGCATGCCACAGTTCACGCTCCGCCTCTTCGCCGCTTTACTGCCTTATCTAGAGCCATCTCATCCTGTCTTTCAATATTTTACTGATAACTCTCCTCCTCGAATACCTTCATCGTCGTCCCAGTCAGGGTCAATAGAGGGCACACCACATGATCGTCGAACGCAAATAGGATCTCCCTTTCCATCTGATATAGCCACCTGGCAATTTGTGGTCAACGTTTACAGGCCTTTATCTTAACGGAGGACGAACCCCACATCTATTCCACCACCTCGCACTTAGCGTCCATATAGTCGGAGCTCCTTGTGCATGAATATCGGAAAATTTCCAGGCCTCAATTCTATTACAAGCCCCATTGACCCCGGCCAGCAGGTTGAATCCGGCTGGAGCCGAAATCTTATCGATATATACATCTATTATCAACTCTCTAATTACAAAGATACACCCTTTTCCCTTACAAAAAGAGCAGCTATACACTTCCCCTCCCCCTGTCACCCCCTCCCACCCCGACAAACACACTCCTGCCTCCCCCACGGCTGCAGAGACCCCAACCTCTCCCCAACCTCCTCAGCGCTCGGCCGCGCCTCCCGCTCAACCGCCAGCATCGGCTTCACACACCCATCATACAACGCCCGATACCGTTCCTCCAGCGACGCAAAATAGCCATTCACCGGGGCAAGAACATTGCAGTACACCAAGCGGTCTCTAAGATTATTCGTCGTCGGCTGGCTGTCGCCATGCCGCACGATCTGCGTATTCCGGCTGACGCAGTAGGCATAGAAGTCGCGCAGACTGCGCCCGGACTCGGCGACGAGGAGCTCGAGGAACACGCAGCCGAGGAGCTCGAGGAACACGCAGCCGAGAGAGAAGACGTCGGATTTGGAGCCGTGCTTGCTGATGCTGATGCTGACGCCGGAATTCTGCAAGCGGTGGACGATCTCCGGGGCGGCGTATCGCTCAGTAGCGCGGGCGTGGTCGCTAGTCGAGGTGATCTGGCCGAGCTCCAGCTGGCGCGCGGAGCCGAAGTCGGTGATGAAGATGTGGGTGGTGCGGTAGATGATGTTTTCGTGCTTGATGTCCTGGTGGTGGATGCGCTGGCTGTGGAGGTAGCTGACCGCGGCAGCTAGGCATGCGAATCACTTCTGAATGCGGCGATTGACAGCACTGTCGGGGCTGTGTCCTTCCAGGCTGTCGAGGTAGTCTTTCAGGTTTCCGTCGCCAACGGGGTACATTAGGAGTGCGTAGGAGTCAGGTCCGGTGCTTGGCGCCTCTTCGTAGCTTCCAAACAGCTTGACCATGTGAGGGTGAGCGAGGCGTCGCAGTGTGCGGATCTCGGCTTGGATGATGGCTCGGTCTCGACGGGCGTTGTGCTTGAGGATTCGAACGCGCTTTCGGATGAAGGTCTGTCCGGGAGGTCTTGCGCGGACTTCGTCCACCACGCCCATCGAGCCGTGTCCTAGAGTCTTTACTGTGTCGAGTGGGACTTCGATGGCGGAGGAATATGAGGTGTGGTCGATATTCCAATGGCACTCCCGTCTAATGAGGTCTAAGGACTCCAAAATTGGAGGCTCAATTGGAGTTGAGGGAAGAGAGGAAAGACGCCGAGTTTGCAACACCAGAGCACGGCTGGTAGGTTTTTCGGGAGAGGACTTACGGCGACGACGACGTGCATGGCTAACAGGTACTGCGGCAAGCCCGACGGCACCGACGGCCGCGAGACTCTGGCGTGTGCGGCGTGCAACCTCACGTCGACGCCGGGTTGTCTCGCGTCTTTCATATTCGTAATTAACTGATTGGTTTTGAGTTGGTAACCTATGGGATGACAAAGGCGAGAGTGGGCCTAACCGTGAGTCCTCTAGGGGAATGGCAGTCGTTGCGTTGGAGCGGCGCGAGCTGTTGGGTATTGTAGAGTTTGGGCTTGGTCGCGTGGCTCTCAGGGCCTGAGCGGAGGTGTTTAGAGACGAGTAAGATTCCCGTGACTTTGTTCTATCCGGAACACTCCTAGGGCGTGGAATCTCATTCCGTCTTGGCTGATTATTATCGTTTTGAGGCTGTCCTAAAGTCTTATGCTGGCCGTCGCCCGCTCTACTTTTCACATATTGGAACATGATGGCTTCGCGTTGGTAAGTGGTCTGAGGGGGGTTAAAGGCTTCATGGTCGTTATTATCTGGTTGATAAGTATTATTGAGGTTACTAGTGGTCGAAACCTCAAAGCTTCGAGAACGTCGTTTAGCTTCTTTGCGTTCGTAGTGGCGTGGGACTTCACTGCGAGCGGGCGGAGGTGGATTACTGGGAATCTTCTGGAATATTATTCCATGGTCTTTCGGTAGATCAGGGGCTTGTCTCTCTCGTTGCGGTGACTCCGGCGTCTCATAAACTGGAGCATGACGATCGCCAGGAATATATCTACTCCCATTGATGAAGATGTTTTCCTTCTCGCTAGGATTCCATAGTTGCCGTTCCGGTTGATCGGAGAAAGACCTTCTGATATTCCTGAGTTCAGGTAGTCGCCGACGACCTGACGACCGTCTTGTCTCGCGGCCGATCCGAGAGTCGTGAGTTTCGCGAAGAGGAGGTGATGGTCTCTCAACCTCAGGCTCAGGCTCTCGCTCGATCCAAAGCTCCGGATTGTACCGGCGAAAAGGTAATGGTTTGAAAGGCTGAGCCGCACGCTCCATTCGATACTCGCGAAGGTCGCGGTCAAGGGGTGGTAGCTTCATTTGGACACGCGGTGGCGGCGATGGTGGACTATCGTATTCGGCATTAACAACGTAGTCTTGTCTGTCCGGTCTGAGCGTAGTTGACTCGAATAGTGGTGGAAGAACCGGCGGAGGATCTGGCACTATCTGCTCTATCCATTGTTCAGTTCGAAACGCTGTTCTCCTGCCCGATGAAAAAGACAATGACCGCCAGGGGAAGTAGCTGCTTGGACTGCTCCATCGTTTCCCCGATGTCTGGGCGGGACGGCGTTGCCGTCGGGGATTCGTAGGCGCAGCCTTTGTGTTGGGAGACCTTTTTAGCATGAACATTTCATGGGCTATTCTAATGGCAGCGTATATATAGCCGAGGAGTAGGGAAGTCGCAATTACTCCGATCACTATAACCACTATTGCGCCACGGCTAAGTCCAGTGGTGTGTTTTCCAGCGACAGTAGTCCCATTAGAAGGAATGGCATGGCTTGGGGATAGGGCGGAAGCCGTGCTATGCGGAATCGGGGTCGTCGATAATGATATAGAGCTCAATAACGAATTAGACCTCGCAAGAGAGGTAGAGATTTGTACGGCGTGACTGATGGGTGTCCCTGCAATTGGTGCAACAATAGTAGGCCTTAGCGTACATTGTCCAGTCTCGAGGCAATAATACCCAATACTGCAGCAGAGATCACCACAGGGAGTTTGGTCTTCGCTTGAATTGCAGGTTGCGGTGGCGGCCCACACTATGCTTGTCGAGCTTGGAGCTTCACTTGATAATGCAACACCCCAACCTCTTGGATTGACGATGATTGTTGGATTCGGCGTTGGTTCTAACGATCCATATCCTGAGGAGCCTACTAGCATTCCGGCGGCATGATAGCTGTCCTTCCTGTTATCATTCACGTTACCAATGTCATGATTACTGCCCCCTTGAGACCTTGCCGATGATGGCATCAATTGCGATAGCTTTGATGTGTGACCATCCGTACCAAGATCATGCGTTGCGGTATGCATCATTCGTCCAGAGACGTGGGAGAGCCGCGGAGTAACCCAGGACGATGAATCATTTGATCCGGGCCTCGGAATCACGGTTGAGCATTATGCTGTTGATGCACAGATTGATGAAGAAGAAGACAGAAGGGAAGTATGTATACAGCTTGGCAAAGACGAAGTTGAGATCTGAATTGGCAGGACGGACGAAAGGGTCAGCTTTATCAACCACATGGCCATTGGAGTCTTGTAGAATATCTGCGGCAGGAACGACACTGCTCCGAAACTGAGCCGTACCAACTTCTGTAGGAGAGCGAGTACGGACTGGTTACGGTGGGCGGGCGCTTACAGTCCGGCGAGTGTGGTTAAGGCAACAAGGCATCAAGGCATCAATTTTATGACAGCCGGCTCTGCTGCCTACTTCAGGACGCTAACACCTACTAGGCTGCCTACTGTGCTGCCTACGCCACAGTAGCTGCCTACGTCTCCTGGGCCTATATATTCCTATCCTCCTACATAGCAATACACAAGAGTTCTCATCACTTTTCACCAGCTGCCATTTTAAGAACTCAGCAACCAACACTAAGCACTCTGAAAAAGTAGCTAGTCGTGCAAAAGAGGGCTCGTTTCCATACATACGCCACCTTTTCAGAGTATTTGAATCGCTTTTTAATAGAAACAAGTTAATAGGTAGGTTTTACCTTAGTGCCTTAACTATACTTATATACTTTACTTACTATAGGGGGGGTTTAGCCCCTCTAGATAGCGTTACATATTCTAAGGCTAATCTAGGCCTTATATATATCTAAGTTATAGATCATATTAGCTTGAAATCAGCGAATGCTAAACGCACTATGCGCTTTAAATGGCGTTATTAACGTCCATTTTTGGAGGCGTATTTACCAGAAACCCGTGTATATTTGTAAGGGCGGCTAAAGTGGTTGGTGGTTGGTGGAGAAAACGAGCATTTCCTTGGCGGCGGCAAAGCACTTGAAACTGCACAGCCCCTAGCATACGCCGCACTCTCGATACCAAAGAAATAAGTCCTCCAAGAAAAACTGCCGCAAGTATCTGAAGTGGCTTGTTTGTGATACGGTAACAGATGAGGCTGGATAAAGATCATGATACCTGAGCGCAGCCATACATCCATCTTGATGCGCCATGTTTCTATGGTTTCAGACGCGGAACCAAAATAGACTCGATCTTTCACTCAAGTAAGTATGGATAATCTCCTCTCGTGCTGTTGTTTTCCACCTGAGTACGCAGCTCTCATTACAATTTTGGCGGCCTCAGATATGGGTTACCGCCCCCCGTGGCTCCAACGAATCCAAGAATCCTTAGCATGGGAGGCATCGAATGCGTGCCTGTCGAACGCGAACTCGATTTCTCGGGGAAACAGGTCGTGGCCCCGACAGAGAAAGAGCCAATATCCAGCCTAGAGAGTGAAAAGGCGGACAGGCTACCACTTCCAAAATTTCGATGGCAAAGGATTCCAGTGCGGTACCGTGTCCTTATCATCGTCGCAATTAGCACTTCCGTCGCCATTGCCGTGGGCTTGAGTCTCGGTTTTTTGCTGAAGAAAGGCCATACCGCTAGGTAAGATTGTAGACTCCACTTTCAGAACGGGGCCTAGGATCGAGCGCTGACTAGTTCTGAGATCACATACGCTCACACTTGGAGTTGCTGGCATAGTAGCTGCCTACATGCCTAGCCAGTTACAACTTCTACAGAGAGGGGTTGGGGTACGGTGGCCTACCGTGCCTACCGTGCCTACTGCTGTCTCTAATTAGTGCTTCTGCCTACGCGTACAGTCACTTCCTACGTAGTATATAGTTTGGCCTTCGGGCCCCCGAAATAAGACAGAGTTCACATCAATTTTCAACCTGAGTGTTATGAGCCCGGATACTTATCAGGATCTGCCTTCCTCCCTGCCCTGTTGTTGTTGTTATTGCTTTTTGAACCTTTTTGGTGTTGAGTCAGTCACAACGCCACAAAAACGCCACAGCCGAATCGACTACACAACAGCCCGTGTTCTCTCACCAATATGCCATCTACTTCCACCTCTGTTGAAAAGATTGTTCTATCCTCCCCTGCCGACTGGAAGCACTGGTTCTTCACCGTCGAAACAAAGGCCTACTCCGGCAATGTATGGGAATATGTCAACCCCAACAAGCCATTTTCTGATGATTCCACGAAACTGAATAAGCCTGGCCGGCCTGCACTACCGGCAGCAGCAAGCAGCGCGGAAACATGGACCCCGGCGGCCAAATTAGATTGGAAACAAGCCCAAGAGGATGCTAAGAAGGAGGAAGATCGCTATGACGCCAAAATCGATGCCATCAACAAACTCCGAGTCCACATTGTTGAAACGGTCGCATCGCACTACATACCATTCATCAACAAGGCCAAGACTGTGCACGAAATGCTGATTAGCCTCAAGAATCAGGTGGCTCCATCTAATCAGCTACGCCGCTACGAACTCCGCACGCTATGGCAGCAGCAGCAAAAGTTTCCAAAGGATTCAAATATTGAACGATGGCTACAGGAATGGACAGTTCTCTACAGAGAATGCGAAGAATATCAACTGCCTGAAGCCGCCGACAATCGTCCACAACTCGACTTCCTGCTCTCTATTCAGCCAAAGAATCCCGAATTTTCGATATACTGGCGCAACGAAATGCACCGCCGCATGGCTAGGGCTGAGAATGCTCCACCGCTTCAGGAACTGGTTGATTTATTCCGTGACCAAAGACGGGAGGCTCTAGCTATTGCAGGCAAAATTACCAGCCATTCTGCATTTGCAACAACACTCAACGGCGTGGAATTGAAGCCACCAAGCACGCCGGCAGCCACGCAGGCCGCTACAACGGCATCCACGCCAGCCGCTATAACGGCCTCCACAACAGCCTCCAAAGCTAAAAATATGCTCCCAGAATGCATCTGCGAAGAATACTACTTCTTCCGAAATTGCCTATATATCTGTGAGAATAAACGGCCAAACGGATGGAAAAGCAACCCAGCTGTAGCAGCCAAGCTCAAGGAAAACCTCAAGAATCGACCCGAAAAACAGCAGGCGATAGTTCAAAAGCTGCAGGAAATAGCCGAGGCCGGAGGGCCTAATACTGGATCAGTTTCTTGCTTCACAATCGCTATTGTTCCGCACGGAGTATTCCATTTGTCTACCTACAGCCTACGCAACAGCGTGCTTCTTGACTGTGCAGCAACTACGCATATTTTCAACCACCAAAGCCGGTTTGTTGGCGATCTAATGCCATCAAACGATGCTTACTACGCCGGCAGCTCGATGGTATCAATTGCTGGCTATGGAACAGCCAAGATTTCGCTACAAGGCCCCAACGGTGGTCATTTTGCCCTACTATCGGGGGCCGCGTATATTCCAGGATTCCACTGCAGCGTGGTCTCCCTTAGCAAGCTTAACGAAAAAGGGGTGTTTTGGCACAACGAGAAAAACTATTTGTACAATTTGCAATACGGACGAGAAGTTGTTTGGGCCCGCATCGAGCAACGAGACGGACAGAATCTTATCGAATTTCACGAAGCCGATTCAAATCCAACAAACTCAACACCATGGCAGCCGGCCAAGCAGACGGCTATGCATACGGCTGTGCATACGGCCAAGCAGCCGGCCAAGCAGCCGGCCAAGCAGACGGCCATGCATACGGCTATGCAGCCGGCCACGCAGCAGGCCGTGCAGCAGGCCGTGCAGCAGGCCGTGCAGCAGGCCGTGCAGCCGGCCACGCAGATGGCCACGCAGCAGGCCGTGAAGCTGGCCATGCAGCAGGCCGTGCAGCCTTCGAACTCTCCGAATGTACGACAGCCAACGGCTGCCCACCAAGGGGATTCTCTATCAAAGCCTACACCGGCCGCTGTTGTAGCAAATCGTCCAAAGATTGACCTCACTGCATTCCTAACGCACCAGAGCCGTTTTGCACGACCTCCACAACGCGGGCCATACTCAGCTCGTCCAATCGAGCTCCAGCAGTCTGTTACAGCTCTCGGCCTACTATGGCATCGCCGCCTAGGCCACGCCGGCCCCCGGGCCCTGCAGCATCTAACTGCTGCTGTTGTCAAAGATGCACCAGAAAGCAGAGTGGAACTTATTGGCCCTACCATCTCCGAATGCTCCAAATGCGCCCTGAGCAAAGCTAAGCAACAAATCTCCCGTGTACCTGTTTTAAAGCCCTCCAGGCCATTTGAACTTGTACAATTCGACGTTATACACGAAGAACATAGCTACAACGACAACAGCTACGCTGTCCACTTCTTCTGCCCGTATACGAAAGCACACACGTGCCGAATATTCGGTAGCATGGCCAATCTGACCCAAATCGTTATGGACGAAGTTGCCCTTATTGAAAAGCAATGGAACGTTACCGTACGTACGCTACAAACCGATGGAGAACGATCGCTCGGCAACGAATTTGGGGCATGGCACCGCAGCAAGGGCATTAAATTCAATCAATCTACGGCCTACAATGCTACACAGAACGGTGGAGCAGAGCGCTCTGGCGGAATTATCATTGAAAAAGCCCGTTGCATACGAGAGGAAAGCCAATTGCCCACAAATCTATGGCCGGAAGCATATAAAACAGCCGCCTATTTGCTCAATAGGACGCCCACCGAAGCGCTAGGTTGGAAAACTCCAATTACAGCCTTGCAGGCTGCAACTGGCAGGCCGATAGACCCCAGCGTGCAGCATCTACGCGTGTACGGATGCAGAGCATATCCGATGTTGAAAAAGCTACCAAAAACGCCGAAAACAACACCCCGAGCAATCGTTGGCTATCTTGTTGGCTACGAATCGGCCAACATCTATAGAATATGGGTGCCAAGCAAGGATGAGGTTATCAGGGCACGAGACGTCACGTTCGACGAAACGCTATTTTATAACCCCCTATTGGAAGATCTGGCTATGCAACTACCAATTCAACAGGTAAAGCACGTCCTAAACGTAGGAAGCCTCTCAAAGCCGCCCGTTGCACGAACCTACCGGGTAATAGAGGATGACGATTCTGACGACCCCCTATTCGACAAAATTGAAGTACAACCCCGTGCAGAGCAACAGCAGCAGCCGCCTGCACAGCAGCAGCCGCCTGCACAGCAGCAGCAGCCGCCCGGCTCGCCGAGCTCAAACAACGACGACTGCTCCAGCAATGGCCGTTCGGAGCCTGCCTTGCCTACGCCAAATCCTACGCCGTTACCTAGCCGTCTTCCTACGGCATCGCCTACGACCTCTGCTACGGTATCGCCTACGGCCTCTGCTACGGCATCGCCTACGGCCTCTGCTACGGCATCGCCTACAGCCTCTGCTACGGCATCGCCTACGGCCTCTGCTACGGCATCGCCTACGGCCTCACCAACGGCCTCACCAACGGCCTCACCAACGGCCTCCGTAGTGGCTACCACGGCAGCTTCCTCGAGGCCTACCCGTGACCGCAAGCCGGCCAAACCCCGTGCAGCCTTGCATACAGCAATCGTACAAGCCGAAGCTCTAGACAAACGCCTACCCACTCTGCATGCTGCTTTTGCCGCAGGCGTTACCGGAGGCAGCCATCGAGAATCCCTTCCAGAGCCACCTAGAAACTGGAAGCAGCTACTGCAGCACCCCGAGCGCCAGGGGTTTATGGCAGCCGCCATTAAAGAACTCGACGGCTTGGTGGAACGCGGTAGCTTTACAGCTGTAGAAGAGACGCCAGAAACAAAGGCCCTAGCCGTGCCGGTCACCTGGGTATTTACATACAAGTTCGATGAAAACGGCTTCCTTATGCGCCATAAAGCACGCCTATGCGTGCGCGGCGACCTCCAACAGCCTACAGAGCTAGACACCTATGCAGCTACGTTGGCCGGAAAGACCTTTCGGGCCTGTGCAGCCATCATCTGTGCAGCCAATCTCGATACCTGGCAGGCCGACGCTGTGTCGGCCTTTACAAACCCAGAGCTAGACGAAGAAGTATACATCTACTACCCCGACGGCTTCCGCCGTAAGAGCTACCTGCTGCGTGTAAACAAAGGCCTCTACGGCCTCCGCCGTTCCCCCCTGCTATGGCTAAACGATCAATCGAAAACGCTGCGGGAATTGGGGCTCAAAGAGGTGCCCGGCGTGCCATGCCTGTTCGTCAATCAACACCTGATTGTATTCTTCTATGTGGACGATCTTGTAGCATGCTGCATGCCACAACACGGCGATAAATTGGCCAATTTCAAACATGCCCTGATGGCTCGGTATGAGATGAAAGATCTAGGGGAAGCCTCCTGGTTCCTAGGCATTCGTATACTCCGTGACCGAGCCGCCGGCCAACTGTGGCTTTGCCAGGATT